AACCTATTCTTGCAAGTTACGTGGCAGACTGACCCTTCTTCTCCTCCTCTCCTCTCCTTCGCCAGGCAGACGCAGACATCGACACTCTGCCCAAAGAGTCTCTGCGCGCCATTGCGCTCGCATCTGTGCGTTCTGTCTGCTCCCTGCCCCCTCGCCTCCTTGCGCTGCCTCTCGCGCCTCTTACTGACCCCCCACCCCGGGCCACGTGCAACGCGCAGGAGATGATCATCGCCACCATGGCGTCGCACAGCGCCGTGCACGCGCAGCTCGACAAGCGCAAGTACGTGCAGTACAGCGACATTTCCTACGCCGTGCGCAAAAACGACCTGTTCTTTCTCCACAGTGAGTTCTCTCTCGTCGGGTCCCGAGGGCGGTGGAAGTCCCCTCCTTGACTCCACTTGGTCGCCCTTGCGTGGCCGGCGCGCGCGCGCCCGGAGTGAGGCCGAGCCATTTGCTGGGCGCCAATCGCTCTTGCCGCTCTTGGCGCTCCTTTTTTCGGGCAACAAGGCAGGCGTCTAGCTGACGCGTGTACCATGCGGCCCACCAACCCACAGGCATCATCCCCGCCGCGCTGCCGCTGCCCGTGGCGATGCGGCGGCGGGAAAAGTACATCCAGAAGCTGCGCGACGCGCAGTCGGGCGACGGCGATGCGGCGGCGCTGCTCGAGCAGATCAAGCAGATTCCCATCTGGCACGGCGGCGAGGTCGAGGGCGAGGGCGAGATGGAGCCGTGGGAGTGAGAGGCAGGAAGAGGGAGAGGGGCAACGCATGTTGTGTCACGTCCGTTCCCCCCCCCCCCCCGCTGCACCCGAGCGAGAAGACGCAGGAACGTGCAGCAGGGAGAGAAAGGCGGAGGCGGTGCGAGCAATGCCCGACTGCGCGTCCTGTGCGCTGACGCAGGCCGGGCCGTTGAAGGGGCACGTACGGGCTGCTCTCCCCGCCTGTCTGGCTCACAACAACCAGGTGCTGCGCCGCGCGTGCGCTGCTGCGATGCGCTTACGAAATTATGGGTAGTGCGATCGGGATCTGGGAGCTGCGGAACGAGGGGCGGTGATGGGCGGAGAGATTTACACATGGACGAGCAAAGGGCGCGCAGATCGTGGAAGCGGAGGTGATGGCCGCGCGATGAGAGAGAGAGAGGAGAGCAAGCGCGAAAGACGCATCACATGACATCGCACTTGCTCGGCGCCGGCTCCGGGTTCTCCTTCGTTGTGCCGCGCTCCGTCTCGCCGAGCATCAGCTCAAAGACTTTTGCTGTTTTGCGCGGGCGCCATGATTGCGTCAGTGACGGCATGCAGCGAGTGCGCAGAAAGGGGGCCCTGGCCGATGTGCAGCTTACAGCCGGCGCCTCGGCGGCGCTTGTCGAGACACGACTGGAACGCGCCAGCCGGCCGAGGAGAGGCCTTTGCCCTGCTGACGCAGAGGTGTGCTTGGCTCCGTCCAATCTGGCCCTTCGAGACCTCTGCCCACCTCACACACTCTCTCACTCTCTTGCCTGCCGCTCCTCGCCCTCGCCGACTCACAGACGTTGGCATTGTGTCTTGCGCTCGTCTCGACCCAAGCACACTGCAGTTGCTGCGCCAGGTCCTTGCCCTCCTGCTCCGACACTTGCCTGTCCCGCCAGCGCGTATATCAGCCATTGCCACATCGCCTCCCCGCTCCCTCACACGCCCCACTCACCGCTGCACATGCAAGTCGCTCTTCTGCCCCACAATCACGCACGGCACGTGCTCCGTGCCCGTGTAGTTGAGAATCTTGTCGTACACCGTCTGCACCATCTCAAACGAGTTGCGCGACGCAATCGAGTACACCAGCACGTAGCCGTGGATGCCGATGGCGTGCTTGGAGTTCAGGATCGAGTACTCGTCCTGCAGAGCAGCGTGCAGAGCCGCCGCGTCAATGAGTGAGAAGGCGGGATGGAGGGAAAGGGGACGCACCTGCCCTGCGGTGTCGATGACATCACAGTCATACTCGACGCCCTTGTACTTGACGCACTTGTTGAAGATGTTCTCAATCGTCGGGTAGTACGAGTCGACAAAGGCATCCTCGACGTAGCGCACGATGAGCGAGGACTTGCCTAGAGTCGTCGTCAGAGGAGAGAGCGTGAACATGGCAGCATGCGGTGAGCGGCCCACGCTGGCGCTGCAGGCGCTGTATGGACACCCGGGGGGGACCAGATTTGGCGCGCAGTGGGCCAGCCATCTCTGTCCGCCAGGAGAGCCGGGCGTCCTCCCGCTGCTTCTCGCGGCCTCCAGCGCAGCCGTCGGCGTGCAGCGCTCAGCCCGGCCACCAATGCGCCCTCTTCGCTGCCCGCTCCACCGCCACGCTGGCCTGCGTCGCGTCGCTCGCACGCCAGGCCCCCGACACGAGCTCTGCGCCGCTCGCATCCAGATCGACGCCTGCCCGTCGCGCTGCGCAGTGACAGCCGGTGCCTTGGCACGCCTGGCGAGCCAACGCAGACCAAGCGCCGCACCTGGACCTGCGCCTCGCACAGACCCTGAGTTGTGGCCTCGCGTTGCCCGCACCGTGCCGCAGCCTCACGCGCCGCCCCTCGTAGCGCCGCAACGCAGCGCCCTCTGCGCCCTGCTGATGCCTCCTCTCGCCGCCCGCGCCGCGCTCGCCGCCTACACTCACCGACGGAGCGCGAGCCAAGCACGGCGATTTTCCGCTTCGGGTGCCGTGCTGGCTGTGCCATGGCTGCTGCGGGCGAATCAAGTGGCGCTGTGGAGGCACGCGGACGCGAGAGCTGCGAGGCAGGCAGGCGGAGCTGCACAGAGAGCAGAGAGCAGAGAGAAGTCGCGTGGGCCAAGTGGACGAGAGCGAGACGCAGAGAGGCTGCTGCGACGGCGACGGCGAGGCGGGCAGAGCGAAGGCAACGAGAGGAGCGGCGGCGTGGTGGTGGTGAGCAGCAGCGCACACGAGCCTGGCCCTCTCCCTCTCCCCCGCGCGCGGCGAGCGGCGGCGGCGGCGGCGCCAGCCAGATCCGGCGGCGCGGCGCGGCGCGCGGCGGCGTGCCTGAGATGCGCGCCAGATCATGCGGTACCGTGATTTGTCAGCAGGGCACTGTTCCCACGCCTGGCTGGTGGACCCCTGAGCTCGCCGTCTCTGCCTGCTGCAGTCGCGTGCGTCGAGCGGACGCTCCTCGTCATGCGTGCCCGTCTTCTAGGGTCGGTCTGCCAGCCTGAAGATGCGGCACTATCATCCGGAGAGGCAGGTGCAAGGCGGACAGGTCGCGCTGGCCAAAGCGCTGCGGGTTAGGCTCGGATCGAGTCGAGTGACGTCTTAGTGCGAGCACGCCCAAGGCAGCTGGCAGAGCGGTGCTGCGGCACGATGCGACCGCCAAGCGTGATCTCACTGCGAGCTCTTTATACTTGCTCCCTAGAAACCCGTGCCTGCAGGCGGCAGTCCAAGTCGGTCGCTCCCTGCTACACCTGCTTCTCAACTACCATTCGCCTCTCCCAACACCACCTCATACACATCATGGTCTGTCGCTTGCCTCGCCTCTTGGGCCCGTCCGCTCACACATGCCCCTTCAGAATGCCGCAATGCAGAGCGCAGCACTTGCCAACGTGCTGGTGGAGGTGCGCAGCCTGCGCGCCCAGTGCGTCGAGCTCGCCGCTCCCGCTGGCGACGCTGCTGTGTCGGCCGCGCCGCAGGATGCGATACGCCGCGAGGCGGCCGGCATCATCACACGCCTCGACGCCATGATCGAGGAGCTCACGCGCGATGTGGCGCGTTGCCAGGCCATCGACCAGGAGACTACGACAATGGGCGCGACGCTCCACGGTCAGCCCGCCGCCGTGCTGGCGCACACCATCATGCGCCTGGACAACCATCGCCGTGAGACCACTCCACTCACGATGCGCACCGCCGCCTCGGCCAACGAGTTTCTCGCGCTCCTGAGTCGCGTCGAGGAGCTGCAGCGGCTGAAGCAGGTGAGTGACTGTCTGGGCTCGTGCGGGTGTGCGCAGAGAGAAGTCGGGCGGCGCACATGCCCTCCTCAATGCTATCGCCTCCTAGTCTGCCTCTCATGCACGCTCGTCCACTCACCGACTGACGCGCTTTGCAACCCCAGGCGCGCGCGACAGCGGCATAGCCCTCTCAGCAGGCGCGACGCCCTCTTCTTGCCTCTCCACACCTCCAGTTGCGTCTCGGCAGCTTCTGACCCTCGAACCTTACCACCCGAACGATCGTCCACTCTCTCTGTCAACTGTGCATCGTTCGCTCGTTCGCCGATCATGATGAAAGTGGGCAGACATGAGGTCTGAATGCATGAGTTGTGTCTGCACTCCAGCCTCAGCTGCCGTTCCGGAGCATCTCATACCTGGTCTTGAGTCTCCGCACCCGCGTGCTGCGTGGCTTGTTTGACCTTCTCTTCTCTGACTTCTGGCTGTTCCTTCGATCGGCAAATCCGCCGCTTCTCACATACTCATGATCTGGCAACTCCCGAGCCTTGACGCTGTGCTGCCGCTGGCTCGTAGGAGGCAGCAGTGATTCTGCTGGTCGCCGGGGACCGTACTGACAACGGTTGTGTCCGTGCCCCCTCCCCCCCCCCCTCCGCATTGGCTACGCTACATCTCCGCAACCAGCATGAGATGTGGTGCGCAAAGCACAAGGCGGACTCAGACCACACTGTTGCCACAGTGTCGAGACGTTCGCAGAGTGCACCCGTCTGTACCAAGGGCAGCGGCAGGCGCGCCGTACGCTCATGCACCGATTCACATCGCACATCACAGGGGGGGGGGGTATCTCATTGTCTCGGCGTCTCCTCTCCCGGCTGCGGCTGCTCGTCCATGTAGACGCTGCCCCGCGAGAGGGCCGTGAGCCAGTCCTCGCCCATCTCGCGGCGCAGCAGCTCGATGCGCGCACGAAAGTCTCCCTCGGCGCCGGCTGCCTTGCTTGCGTCGCGCGGGCCGGCCGCAGACGCCGCAGGCGGCGCAGTCGGGCCAGAGGCAGAAACATCGGCGCCCGCCGCGACGCCCAACGACGGCGCGTACAGACTGGCACTGATCTCCGTGCGTCGTCTTGCCAGCGCGTCTTTGTTCGGACGGCGTTGTGCTACTGCTGCTGCTGCCTCGTCGCCGCGTGCGGCCGGCGGCGCACGAAGCGTGTTGCTGCGCCCGAGCGTCTGCGTGTGGCTATTGCTGCTCCCCGCGCGCTGCGGGCGTGGACGCGTCGGCGAGCTGGCGGCAGCATCTCGCGCCGGCGTCGGCGACGCAGAGGTCTCGTAGTCGCTGGAGAGCAGCGCCGCTGCGGCGCCGGCCTTGCGCGTGAGCGTGCCCGAGAGTGGCGCGCGTGGGTTTGCGGGCCGGGCGCTGTGCGACGTCGTTGTGCGTGGACTGGACGGAGCGGGAGGATGGGATGCATCGGAGCTTGGCGCTGGCGCTGCGTTGACGCCGTCGACGATGACGGCATCGGCAGATGCAGACGCTGCAGGCCCGGCAATGGCCTGCGACTTGCTCGCCGTCGACGCGCCGCCACGAGGAACTGCGTCAGGTGTACTCTTGGCGTGCACAGACGCATTCGCCTCTTCCTCTCGCTGGCCCATGGCCTCACCCAATCTCCCCTCCCTTGCCGCCGCCACAATCGACTGGGCATCCGTCACTTCCTCTCTGAGCGCGCGCCGCGCTTGTTCCTCACGTGCCGTCTCGTCGGCCTCGGCTGCGGCGGAGGCGGCGGGCCGCGCCTGCTGCGTGCTGCTCGCGGCGTCGTCGTGCAGATGCACCACGCGCCTCGCGCGTCGCTTCTGTGCCTTTTGTGCCGCCGCCGGCACGACGTGGTGCACCGAGACGACTCGTGGCGCAGACGACGCTGCTTGCGCGGCGGCATCGTCGCTCGATGCCGCCGGCGTGTGCGGCGGTGATTCGGCAGAGGGCGTCTCCTCCCTCTCTCCTCTGCGCGACGAGCGCGAGGCGACGCCGTTCGTCACGCGCTGGCGCTCCCAGAAGCCGGGTGCTTCATCGTCGATCTTCAGCTGTTCAATCTCGCGTCCTTCTTGCGCAAAGACAGCAAAGATGGCGATGCGCGGCTCGTCTTCTTCTTCCTCGAGTGGGTTGCCCTTGATCCAGATCTCGCATACGTGCGGCAGCGGCGCCAGGCGGCCCACCTCTGCGACCTCATACACGTCGTTGCGCCGCAGATCGATGCGCCGTAGTGTTGAGAGACGCTCGAGCCCGCAGAGGGAGGAGAGACGATTGGCGGAGAGGTTGAGCGATTGAATCGCCGGCAGGGCATCGGGAATGCCGAGGAGCGAGTCGATGAGATTGTCGGCGAGATTGAGCGAGGCGAGGTGGCGCAGGCTGGAGAGAGAAGGCGGGACCGAGTTGAGCAGATTGGACGAGAGATCGAGCGAGACGAGCGCCGCGAGATGCACGAGGGGTTCGGAGGGAAAGAAGGTGAGATTGTTGCTTGCCAGCGAGAGATGTGCGAGGAAATGCCAGGCGAGAGTGGGCATCTGCTCCTCCTCTTCGTCGTGCGCGAGGCGATCCTTTGCGCCTCTGCGTCTGCGCGCATCGCGCCGGACATTGCCGCACAGCACCTCCTCGACGTCTTCCACGCCACAGCGACGCAAGGAGAGACTGCGTAGCTGGCACGCGAGGCGGTCCCAGCCCGCGAGCGTGCGCACGTCGACGTCGCTGGTGCTCAGCACGGCGAGCGTCTTGAACACATCGAGCGGCACCAGACTTGTGCCTGGCGCATCTTCAAAGCCGGCAAGCAGGCGCACGGGCGGGGGAGAAAGGGAGAGTGACGGGATCTCTGCGCGGAGAAAGTCTGCTCAGCTTGCCACTCACACCGCAGGTGGGCCTGGGTGCACTCACTTGTCAGCGCAGAGTACAAGTAGCGCCCATCGCGCATCGGATCCTCCTTCTCGCGCCACCAGCCCGCCGCTCCAAACGTGACGGCACTCAGCGCCGTCGTGGCGACGCTGGCGGCGATGCTGCGCGCGTCTGCGTCGATGCCGCCGCGGCTCGGCGTGGCGGGCACATAGGCGAAGCTGACGGGCCGTGCGCGCTGTGCGGGCGGCAGCGTCTGTGCCAGATCGCCCGTGGGGAGCGCGAGGGAGTCGAAGTGCAGCAGCAGGTAGTAGAGATGATGCGTGCTCAGCGGCAGCGGCGTGGGCCGCGCCGCTGCGGCGCGCTGCGGCGTGCGCGGCGGCGCTGCTGGGCCGCGCGGCGGGAGCGGCGCCGAGGAGGAGGCGAGATAGTCGAGGCCCAGCCAGGCGCCGGGCGCCGCGAGCCAGCCGAGTGCAGAGCTGGCGCTGGACGATGAGGAAGAAGGGCCAGCGACGGCCGCGGCGCCGGAGAGGGCGGCCTCGTGTGCGCGCACCCAGCGCGCGAGCGAGTGCACGTAGGTGGAGGGCTGCTCCGTCTGCATGCTGGCGGCGCGCTAGGCGGCGCTGCGACAGGGCGGAGCGTGCGGCGGTGGTGGTGGTGGTGTGGACAGGGGCAGAAACGAGAGCGAGAGGAGCCAAGGCCGGCGCATCATTGGTGCCCCTCGCGCAGTCGGCCGTGCTCCGAGTCGCCGCCGGCACGTGCTCAGGGTCCTCGCGGTGCACGGACCTTCGCTTGCGAGCCAGTCAAGGCACGGCAAAGGCAGCGCGCCGCGCCTTCAACTTCCCTTCTCCCACCCACCACCATCGTCTGCTCGGCTTGCAGCTGCCGGCTCACGGCGCCCATCTCACCTGCTCCCTCTCCTCCCCGTGCTCGCCATCCTGCGCCCTCTCTGTCCGCATCTGCCGCGTCCTCTGCGCGCCTCGCCGCTCCGCGCGCTGCGTGCGCTGCGCTGTGTCAGCATGGCCGCCTCGCGCATCGCGCTGCCGCTGCTGCACCACAACGACGAGTACCGCATCCGCCAGCTCGACAAGTCGCTCGGCGGCGACGGCATCATCGACGCCAGCCAGTTTGCCGCCAAGATTGCGCGCATCCGCAACACATGGACGCCGGCCACGCCGGGGCCGGAGGAGCGCGAGGGCAAGGATGCCACGCAGCGAGAGCTGGGCGGCCTAGTGCTCTTCTCGGGCGATGCATTCAATCCAAGCGTGGAGAGCAGCGTGAGCAGAGGAGAACACATGATTGAGCCGCTCAATGCGCAGGGCAACGACGCGGCATGCGTGGGCAAGTGAGTCAGCTGCGGCGTCGGTGGTGGCGACAGGCGGTGCTTGTGTGTGCATGTGGCGCTCGCGCCGGGGCACGTACTCTCTCTCTCTCTCCCACACGTGGCCCCCTCAACTGACCCTCGCCAAGCCACGACTTCGACTTTGGCTACCCGCATCTGCGTTCGCTGATGGCCAAGACGAACTTTCCCTGGCATCTCTCCAACATCGTCGACACCTCTTCCTCTCCCGCAGCGCAGACCAGCACATCTGAAGAGCCGCAGGAGGGCGACGCCGTCGTGCCGGGCACGCAGCGCTACACGGTGCTCAACGTCAAGGGTGTCAGAGTCGGCATCATCGGCCTGGTGGAGAAGGACTGGCTGGCCACGCTGCCGTCGCTGCCCTCCGAGTTCCGCTATCGCTCCATGGCCTCCGTCGCCGTTGCGCTCTCGCAGCAGCTGCGCGACCCAGAAGGAGAGGCATGCGAGCTCATCGTTGCCCTCACGCACTCGCGCGTGCAGAACGACATTGCCCTGGCCAACGCCGTCGGCGCAACCAAGGGCAGTGCGGATGGACATGGCGTCGACATAGTGCTCGGTGGGCATGATCATACGTACTACATCGGTCGTGGGGCCGACTCATTCGAGGGCGAAGCGTTCGAGAGACCGGGAGGCACGGATGAGGATCAGGCGTGCTTCATCATCAAGGTATGTCCATTCTCTGCTGCCCCTCTCACTTGACAGGGCAGCTGACCAGCGACCACGCCGAACAGTCAGGCTCCGACTTCCGCGACCTCTCCGAAGCGACACTCTCCCTCTCTCCTCCTCAACACAACGCGATTCGGCGACGGCGTATCCTCTCGCTGAGCGTGACGCGTCATCGTACGCTGCCCAGTGATCCCCCTCTGCCTGCGTTGCGCAAGCGCATCGGCGAGCTGCTGGCCAAAGTCGACGAAGCGACGGGTCAGCCCGTCGCGTTTGCACTGGCGCCGTTTGACACGCGCGCGGACAGGGTGCGGATGGGAGAGAGCGCCTGTGGCAACTTGTACGTCCCCTTCCGTCGTCGGAGGCTGTGCTGCTTCTCTGGCTCACCGCGGCGGCGGGGCGCAGCATCGCCGACGTTCTGCGACACTCGTATGAAATGCCACTGCGCGAGCGAGACAGACGAGGAGAGCTCCAGCCCAGTCGCTCCGAGGAAGGCCGCGAAGTGTGAGCTGCTCGCGCCTCTCCTCTGCGCCCATTGCACAAGTCGCGCTGACCTGCCTGCCCCGCTCGCACAGCGACATGACGCTCATCTGCGGAGGCTCGCTGCGGGGTGACTCAGTGTATGGACCTGGCCCATTGACGCTGCGCGCGGTGCTGGAAGTGCTGCCGTTTGAGGACGCCACCGTCGTGCTCGAGTTGACCGGCCAGCAGATCTGTGCGTGTACCGGCCCGCAAGACACGAGAGACAGAAGCGATGAGGCTGACTGCGAGACACTGCTCCAGGGGACGCGCTGGAAAATGGCTTCTCCGCATACCCGCGACAAGAAGGTCGCTTCCCTCAAGTCTCCGGCTGCAACGTCGTCTGGGACTCGTCCAAGCCTCCCGGGGCGCGCGTCGTGTCCGTGACGCTGCTGCGCGACGGGCATCTGTTCGGCAAAGATGCGGCGGGACAGCGCAGCGCGGCACCGCAGCCGGTGACGGTGTTTGAGTTCGAGTCGGACGAGCAGGGAGGATGCAGTGTGGAGATCCAACGGCCAAGGCTGGAGCTGGGCCGCGAGCTGGAGATGGACAAGACATACCGCGTCTGCACGCGCGAGTACATGTTTCTCGGACACGATGGCTTTGAGAGTCTCAAGGCTGGCAAGGAACTGTAAGCTAGCGCTTTCCTCGCTTCGTTGCCTCCGCAGTACTGATGTAGCCCCCCTTCGGGCAGCGTGGATCACGAATCAGGCGCCCTGATGAGCACGCTGCTGCGCAAGTACCTCCTCGGCGCCAGTCTGCTCTGGCGCCTGGGCCAGCTGCGCGACTCCGTCGAGAGCGGCGGCTCCTCGTCCGCTGCTGACGCTGCACCGGCGGGCGGCGCCAATGCACGCATCATGCAGGCCAGCGTGGCACGCGCGCGGCGCCTCGCCGGCACGTCGTCCGAGGATGCCGCCGCGGGCGAGGGCTCGCTGGAGTCGACGACGCAGCAGCCGACGCAAACGACGACGACAACGCAGCCGCAGAGCGCAGCCATGACGCCGAGCAAGTCCAAGGCGCGCTACATCGTCGACAGCAGTCCCTCGGGCTTTCAGAATGCGCTGCATGCCGCCTCGGCAGCGCATCACTCGCAGCATGACCGCGGTGAGTTTTTTTTTGGCTGACCCAAGCTGCTGTGCTCGGGCTGCCAGCTGACTGAGGGTGATGCGGCCTTGGATTCAGTCTCGAGACACTTCTCGAATCCCAAGAAGGCGCAAGAGCCGCAAGACGAGCGCGAGACGAAGACGAGGCGCGCCAAGCTCCTCCCGAGCGCCGCCGCCGCCGACGCGGCAGATGCAGGCAACAAGTCGCCGAAGCGGCGGCAGGGCGACATGCTGGAGCAGCACCTGCACCTCAGTGCCGCCGACGTGGAGGAGCTGCGCGCGGCGGGCGCCGAGCTGGCCCTCGTGGCGCCCGTGCTGGACGGCCGCATTCGCGATGTGGCGAGAGCGTAGTTAGGCGGCGTCCCCTTGGACACCTCGGATAGAGGAATGGCAGCATGCCAGCACTGCGCGGAGGTTGGAGCCTGATGGATGAGTGACCCCCACAAGCCGCCGCCGCCAACCTCGATGCGCGCCGGGTCATGGGGGGGAGGGGGGGGCAAAGGGAAGCTCGAAGGGCGAACGAGGCAGAGATGGCAGCCCCGCTGTCTTGGCTCCGCCCCCCGTGAGAAAACGTCGGGCGGTGTGGGCGCGTGTCAAAGGAGTAGGGGGGGGGGGGGGGGCGGCATGAACGGCTTCGCCACGAACGACATGCGCGATGTGTGCGGGGGCGCCTCATCGACGTGTCGCGCGCAGGACTGGAAAGGAATCTCGAGTTGTCAGTGTGTTGTGTCCGCCGCCGCGCAAAGGGGCAAGCTGCAAGCGCCCCCCCCCCCCCTTCCACCCCACCCCTTCCTCTGGACGCGACCCTCGATGCTCAACAATGCGGCGGCAAAGACGCAGCAGGCGCTGGAGGCCAAGTACGACAGGCGCATCACAGGCCATGTTGGTTGCATCTCAAGCGACTGCTAGCCACAACGATGTGCCAGCCCGAGCCCTTCTCACTCCACACGGCCATTTGCCCCTGCCGGCCATTGGGCCACCACGAGTGCCACTGCACCTGCGCAAGAACAGAGGGACAACTCAAGGCCCCCTGCTGCTTGCACTCGGACGCCACGGCAGAGCTGCAGCCTCGACAACGACAATGCTGCTGCCACCACGCTAGCAGCACTCTACCGGCCGTCCGGTGCCCGCTGCTGCACGTTCATGGCAGAGCAGGGTCTGCCGCACAGCCTGATGCAACACCTGCCGCTCTCACTCTCACGCTCGACGCCGCTCTCATTCTCCACGCAAAACCGCTTCTCATTCTCACCATGACATTCTCCCTTGCCACCTTGATCACTTCCTTCCTCCTCCCACGTCGCTTCCCCCCCCCCCTTCCCTTTCCCTTGCGAGGGCGAGAAGATGATGCGCGTTTCACGCACATTTGTGTGCGTCGTGCGCACCGGATCCACCCCCTCCTCTTTGCGCCTCGCGTCACCTGCCTGGCGCCAATTGCGCAGAGATGCAAGGCACTTGGCTGCGCTTCAAGAGCTTGCCAGCTCGTACGCTTACATCGAGAATCGAGGTCTTGCCTTTTCCCTCTCTTGCACCGTCTCTGAGGCGGGCGCGTCCTTTGCTCACTACCTCCTAGCGCTCATTCCTGCGCTACGATCTACATTCGCCGGAAAACCCAGCCAGCCTAGTAGTACACCTTAGCCCCCTTCTCCACCTCGCTCCTCCTCGGCAGCACAATTCGCCCGCTCGACGCGTCGTCGCCGTACGCCAGCAGGCCGACGTACGGCATCACGTTCCACTTGAGCACGAACGTGGCGTCGGCGATGTTCCTGTGTTTGCGCGCGTTTGCGGCACAGGGGAGGGGGGGGGGGTGGGATTCAGCCAAAGTGCACACACAAGTTGCAGGGAGAGCAAAAGGGGAAGCTAGCGAATCGACGCTGCCCCCTTTTCCTGCCCTTGCGAGTCCGAGCTGCGTGCGACGCCCCCCCCCCCCCCGGGCCCCGCTGCTCACTCCCTCGACCCTGCGCCTTGCCCGCTGCAGCTCTTGCCAAACGAGGCCGGCTTCATCTCGCCCGCCTCTACTTTACGGGCTTGTCTCTGCTGCTTCTCCCGCGCAGCAACGCTCGCAAACTGATGGGGCTCCTGCTACCAGCCCTCTGCCAGCGCCTCTGCAGTGGTTGCCTCTGTTCCCTACCGCGCGCAAGCCCACTCACTCAAAGCTGCGCGCCACCTCGCGCACGGGATACTTGTTGCGCGCATCCTGCAGCACCACATGGGCGTCTGCTTTCCTGCGCACGATGCGGTCCCACAGCACGATGGAGTTGTTTGGGTGGCGCCGGCTGCTGTACTCGACGGCGAGCGAGACGAAGACCTGCTTGGTGTTGCGCCCGAACAGCGGGCGCAGGTCGACGTCGGCGTCGAAGTGCACCTGCAGAAAGTCCTGCGTGCGCCGGTCGGCGTGCCACACGGCGCGCGCCTTGTCGACGGCGAGCGTGTGCACGGCGAGCGTGCCCGACGGCGCGCGCGCCGCGGGGTGCGTGAGCAGGGCGACGAGGCAGAGCAGCACGAGCAGCGTCGACGTCGCCATGGCGCTGACGGCGTTGAGGCGGTTGAGCGTCGTGTTCATGGCGCGCGGTGCGGAGCGGGTGGAGAGGCGGGCAGAAGGAGGGAGCAGGAGCGTCGAGCGCTGGAGCAAGGCGACGCACGGACGTGCGAATACAACGCGTGCGGGCGCTGCACTACAACGGCGCGGCCGCGCCGTTGTATTCGCGCGCTGCGTGAGCTTCGCTTCGCCTCGCCCTCGCCCGACCTTCGCTTCCCACCTCCACCCCCCTCGATGGACTACTTCAAGCGCGCCGCCTCGGCCGTGCTCTCCTCGGCCGCCGGGCCGTTTCCCGGCTACACGCTCGGCGAGCGCGATGCCTGGCTGGCGAACCGCACGCTGTGGACGCAGCATGCCGGCGTGCGCCGCGACGACGGGCTGCGCGTCAGCATTCTCTGCTTCGACGCCGCCGCAAGCCCACAACGACGCAACCTGCTGCCGCTGGCCAAGAACGCGCTGCGCAAGCTGCGCACGCTCAGACACCCAAGCGTGCTGCGCCTCCTCGACTCGCACGAAACGCAGACGGCCGTGTGGATCGCCGTGGAGCGCGTGCGCCCGCTGGGCCAGGCGCTCGAGGAGATGCGCCGCGACGCGCCGGGGCGCGACGAGTGGATCGCATGGGGCCTGCGCAGCATCGCGGTGAGTCGAGTTCGTTCGTCGGTCGTGGGCGTGTGCTGCGAAGAAAGAGGGCCCAGGCGTGCGCGGAGCGGCGCAGCGGGCATGCCCCCTGCGAGGGCGCAGCATCGTCTCTGCTGCCCCTCGCCTCTGCGGCAACAAGGGGCAGCATGAGTCTCTGCCTGCCCTCCGCTGCCTCCCTTGTGCTGCTGCTCCGCCGCGGTCTCCCTGGGCGTATGTCGGCGGCGTCGCACGCCGGCTGACCCACCCTTGCCCATGCCCTCTTGCCCCGCCGCTGCCCCCCAGAGTGCGCTGGCCTTCATCAACGACGATGCCGCCTCGACGCACGGCAATATGCGTCTCGACGCCGTCTTTCTCGCCGCGTCGGGCGAGTGGCGCCTCGGCGGCTTCGAGGTGCTGAGTGCGCCCAAGGACGAGACGGCCGTGCTCTACGTGAGTTGTGCCTTTCTCGCCCCCCCCCCCACCCCCATCCGCCGCCCGCCGCGTGCGGGGCTGACGCGCGGGGAGAAAAACAGAACATGGGCAGTCTGCTGCCCGACGCCGCACGCTTTGCGCCGCCAGAAGTCAAGCTCGGCGGCTGGTCGCCTCTCAAAGAGTGAGCAGCAGCAGCAGCAGCAGCAGCAGCAGCAGCCCGTCAGGCAGCACAGGGGAGGGGGGGGGAAGGGCGCAGCGGCGCACGTGTGTGTCAATTGGCTGAGCGCTCCAGCTCCGCAGTCTCGAGCCGCACGTGCTAGACTCGTACTCGTTCGCGCTCCTCATTCTCGAGGCCTACAACGGGCCGCTGCCGCCCCTCGTCGGCGCCGCCGTGCCCGCCGCCGGGCGGGTGCCGCCGCCCATCTACGCCCTCGTGCGGCGCATGCTGGTGCCCAACGCCAAGGCGCGCCTGACGCCCACGGCCTTTCTCGCCGCCGGCGAAGCGCCCGGCGCCTTCTTTGCCGCCAACCGCCTCGTGCGCATCGCCGCGGGCCTGGAGAACTTTGTGCTGGCGCGCGAGGAGGAGCGCGCGGAAGTCATGCGGTGAGTCGTATGCCCCCAAGCGCGGCAGATTGCTGAGGGCGCTTGCGCCGGCTTCCTCGACGCTGGCTGCGTTGCTGAGGCATCTTTCCCATCACCCTTCGTCTTCCAGGCAACTCAAGAACGACGCCGACTCGCTGCCGCCAGACTTTCTGCAGCACAAGGTGCTGCCGGCGCTGACGCATGCGCTGTCGCTGTCGAGCAGCGGCGCGGCGGCGGGCGCGGCGGCGCAGACGCTCGGCTCTGCGACGCTGCAGGCGAGCCGGCTGCTGCCGCTGGTGCTGCAGCTCGGCGCCACGCTGGGCGACGGCGAGTGGGTGGCGACGCTGCAGGCGCCGCTGCTTGCGGCGTACAAGAGTGCCGACCGCGGCGTGCGCATGGCGCTGCTGGAGCATCTCGAGCTGTACAGCGGGCGCCTGGAGCCGAAGCGCGTCGTTGACGGCGTGTGGCCCCATCTCATCTCGGGCTTCGCCGACACGGCGCCGGCGATTCGCGAGGCGACGCTGCGCGCCATCCTGCCGCTGGCGCCCAAGCTGAGCGAGCGCATCCTCAACAACGACCTGCTGCGGCAGCTGGCAAGAACGCAGATCGACTCGGAGCCGGGCATCCGCACCAACACGACGATCCTGCTGGGCCGTCTCTCGCACGTGCTGACGCTGCACACGCGCCGCACCGTGCTTGTGCCGGCGTTTGCACGCAGTCTCAAGGATCCGTTTGTGCATGCCCGCCTCGCCGGACTCATGGCCCTCATGGCCACCGGCGAGAGCTACGAGCGCGACGACATGGCGCGCCTCATCCTCCCCGCGCTGGCGCCGTGTCTCGTCGACGCGGAGAAGGTGGTGCGCGAGCAGGCCAAGCTGGGCGTGGCCTTCTTTCTGCGCCGCATCGACGAGGCCGTCGCGGGCATGCCGGATTCGGCCCTGCCGCCCAGCGACGAGCAGCAAGCTCCAGGCGCCCTGTCGTCGCCGTCTCCTGCCTCGGCGAGTGCTGCGCGTGCGCCCGACGGCACGGCCGCCTCGAGCGGCAGTGCCGCCAGCGCACTCGCCGGCTGGACGCTCTCGGCGTTTGCGCGCACCCTCGACGGCATGCCCGGCGGCACCAGTGGCACTCTGGATGGCGGCCTGCCGCGCGTCGCCTCTGCGCCGGCACCCGGCGCGGCGCCGGCTCTGCGCACGGCCGCGGCGGCCTCCTCGCCGCTGCGTGCCTCCTCGGCGGCCTCGGCATCTTCGAGCGCCGGCGCGCCGCTGGCGTCGCTGGACGACGACCTCATCGACATCCACGCCGACGCCGACGACTGGTCGAGCTTCGAGGTGGGCACGCAAAAGGCCAGCCAAGTGCCGCGCCGCATCGTGCCGCGCGCCTCCACCGCCGCCGCCGCCGCCGCCGCCGCCGCCGCCGCCGCTGGCGCCTCCCACCGGCCGCTCGCGGCGCGCGCGAGCTCGAGTCGCCTGGGCGTGGTAAGGACGGCGGAGCCGGCGGCTGCTATGGCGCGCACTAGTCTGGCGGTCAAGGACGTCGGTGAGTGGCAGCCGCCGGTAGCAGGGCAAAAGATGCACGCCCGCCGATGTGTGTGCTCCCCCGCGCCATGCTAACACCCCTCCACACCTCCCCAATCTAACGCAACAGCCGCAGATGAAGCAGCATGGGACTCGCCCGACGACTGCGCCGCCGCCGCTGCTTCCGTCGATGCCCTGCCTCCCTCGTCTTCGGGCACCGGCACATGCACGCCTTCGGGCGCGAGCGCGCACACGACGGCCGCCTTCTTCGCGGCGCCGCTGCCGGGCGCGCTGCAAGCGGCGCCTGAGGAGCCGCCGGCGGCCGAGAGCTGGGGCGCGATGGACGAGGCAGAGCCAGAAGAGGCCGGGCCTGCGGCACAGACGGAAGCTGCAGCACTGCCGCCTGTCGTCGTCGCTGCGAGCAAGGAGGAGAGAAAGGCGGAGATGGAGAGGCTCAAGGCGCAGCGGCGGGCAGTGAGTTTGTTTTTCTTTTGGCTGGGGGGGGGGGGGGGGGCGTCGTTTTTGCCCCCCCCCCTTCCCCCTTTAGACGCATGCGTGCCGTGGCTGATCCTCTCTCTCTCTCTCTGCCTCTCCCGCAGCGCATGGCGGCGCTCAAGGAGAGCAGGGCGGCCAAGCTTGGCAACAGCCTGACGTGAGGGGCGTCGGCGCAAGCAGGGGGGGCAAGGGTTATACCACTTTTTGTTGCACACACATGCGATAGAATGCGGGAGGGGGGCATTGCAAACTTAGGCTGTGGCCGCGCCCGGCGTAGCCCATCGCACTGGGTTGCCGGGCGCGCCCCGGGCGTGCTCTCAAAGTCGACAAGGATGCCCTGCTGGACGCAACGCTGCTGGGCCCGTGGGGGGGGGAGCGCATTGGTGGCCCGCTCGATGCCTCCGTGGCGCCCTAGGCTGTTGCTTTTCCGGCCGGTGCGGCTCGCCCCGCTGCATCGGCTGTGCATCGTCGTGCGCCCGAGAGACAAGCGTGCGATGGCAGATGGGATGACGCACAAGAGCCATGGGCAGGGGCTCCTTGCAGCGCCGCCGCTGCACCCTGGATGCTCTCGGGCACGGTACGACCAGGCTAATGGCCTGTGGCTGGGGCAAGGGCCGGTCAGGCACTGGCGCCGGGGGATGAAGGGGCGCACACATGACGCGGCTGCGGGCGCCGTTGCTCCATTCGCCGCAACGGAGCGCGGGTGCGGCCTCTCTCTCTGCCCGAGGCGCCGCTGGATGAGATGGGGGCGTGCGGGCGACGTGACAGGCGGCAGGCCAAGAGGTGACGGCGGAGGCAACCGCCGGCGCCGCTGCCGTGGGAAGGAGCCTCAGCCGCCAGGCACGAAGGAGCCAGCAGCACCAGCGGCAGCCGGCATGCGGCATGCGGCCGCAGCGGCAGGAGAGCCTCCAAGCACCTTCTCGCTCCCCCCTCGCGCGCGCCCCTTGCGCCATGCCTCGCCCGCCTAGCGTGTGCACCTGCAGCCTGCACCTGCAACTCGGCGCCGTTGACAGCCGCCAGCGCGCAGCCGCAGCCGGGGGGGGGGGGCACATCAACGCTGCCGCGCTGCCGTCAGCCGCGGCCGTCTGCGTCGTCTTGCTGCGCACGCTCGGCGCCGCGCATCAACTCAGACTCTGCCTCAAGGCCGCTGCAGCCGTCAGATGCAGGGCGGCAGAATCAGCACCCAGCCGCCAGCAGCAGAATGCAGCTGCAGCCTGACGGCTGGCGGCTGCGCCGTGCGGCTGTGCAGCAAGCAGCAGCCCCCCTTTGCTTGCCTCCTCGCCGCAGCCGATGCCGCTGCATTTGCATGCCATGCTGCGCTGCATGCTGAGCATCGGGCTGGGCCTCCTGCTTGCTGCTGGGCGCAAAGTCTAGTGCAAGCGATGCGATGAGTCTGAGTTCGCCCGCAACGCTGCGCCCACCGTCCGCAGCGCCCGAGCGGCAAAACGCAGCCCGGGCGCACCGCTGCACAGCAGCGACGCACCGCAGCCGAGCGCCGGCAGCTGGGTGCTGGGCAGCCGCGGCCGGCCGAGGCGGCGTCGCGGCACGACGCCTGGCGCGGCTCGCCGCTCGTGAGGGCTGCCGCTCTGCACCCTGCATCTGCACCTGCCGCCTGAGCGACTGCTGCTGCATGCTGCGTCGGTGCCTGCAGCTTTCAGGAAAAGAGGCAGCACGCAGCACGCAGCGCATCGCGGGGCGGGCGGCGCGCTGTCGGCCGCGCCGGCAGCGGGCCGTCAGCTGCAGGTCACGCTGGCGGAACCTCGACGTGCAAGCAGGAAGGGAAGGCGAGGGCGTGGCTGCACCAGATGCGGTGTGCGCGCGTTCCTTGCAGGCATCCCAAAGCGTCGCGGCGTTGCCTCTTGACGCGGGCTGCCGCTGCCTGCCTTCTGCTGCTGAGCCGGCTGCTTGCACCGTTTTGCCCAGCCCAGCCTAGCTCGAGCAGACGGCAGCAAGGCATGGAAGAGCTGCTTGCTCTTTGCGCGGTAGGGCGGCTTGCGCGGCCCCGCTCGCTGTTGCTGAGGGATGGCGGCGGCGCGCACGGAAGCGCGGGAAGCGAGGCGGCGTGCGGCAGCGGCCGCGCCGCGCCGCGCGCGGCGCGCGTGCCGTTGCCGTCCACGCGTCGCGACGTGCTCCCACGCGCCCCCTCCGACGTGCCTCCGCCCCCAGGTACCCCTCCCGCTCGTGCCGGCTTCTTGCTCGGCGCAGAGGAGGTAAGACGGGTCTCTTTTGCGCTCATAATATAGACGTTGGCATAACATACTGATCCGGTGCAGTATGGAGGCATGTTCGTCGCCATTGTGATGCCGCCTGAGGCCTGGCGACGTCGTTGCGAGAGGCGTCAAGAGACGTGTTGCCCGCCGTCTGTGCGTGCCCAAGCACTCCCTCTTTCTCCTCCTTGCGCCTGCCATCCTGACTTCCGAGTCCCGTAGCCACGCCTCAGGCCCGGCTCCGGCACACGAGCCGAGCCCACGACGCATGCTCTTGTGGCTCCTCGCTCGGCTCTAGATCAAGGCGGAGCTCGGCTCGAGCACCGCGCGCAGCCGCAGCCGCACGGAGGCGCAGCCGGGCAGACACGAGCCCTGCGGCTTGGCACTCAAGGGAGCGCAGCCGTCAGACACCTTGACTCTCTCTCTCTCTCTCTCTCTCTCTCTCTCTGCCAGCATGCGCTTGTTCGAAGCCGGCAATGCCGCATGCCACAGCCCGACGGCGAGGCGCGGCGGCTCCTGCCGGCCATTGCTGCCCTGTCGCGCTTCCGCCGGCTTGTCGTCTCTCTGCTCTGGCGCGCATGCTCATTGCGCCACGCCTGCTGCTCGCTGCAACTGGCCGAGTGCGTACGCATGCGGAGCACCGCAGCATGCGGGATACGACGACGAAAGGGCAAGCGCAGGCCATTCAGGCATCAAGAGCCGAGCCGATCCGAGGGACGGAAGGCGACGAGCCGGAATGTCCGGACGGGCGGCCGACAGCGCTCGACGCGCGGAGCAGCAGCGATGCGTCCGCCGCGCGCGCGCCCGCCGCCCGGCGCGCCGCTGCTCCCTCACGCCTCTGGCGGCTGTGTGCTGCTGTCTGCGTCTGCGCTGTCACGACCCCTCGTCGTCCCCGTGCTTGGCGATTGAGCGTTTTCCGCGCGCACGCCGAGACCTTCGAGCGGCGCTTGTACCCTTCATGCTTACCCTGCTCCATGCAGGCATGCCCGCCTTTGGCCGCTGCAGCTGGGCGTACACAGTACGTCGCCGCATGCCGAGCGCGCAGCTGCAGGCCGATGCCGCGGCCGAGAGAGAAAGGGCGCCGCGAGGGCGCGCGCGTGCGAAAGTTTGCACAGGCGCTGCCCCCGGCTGCGAGCACGAGCTGCGGCGTGCCTGAGAGCCTCACGCCTCCTCGCGCCGGCTGCGGCGGGCGGTGTGTGGGCGCAGGTGCAGCGTGGGACGGCAGCAAGCCTGCGCCTCCAGCATGCAGCCCAGCGCGCAGCGACGCAGAGCTCGTCTCGTGCAGCACGGCAGGCAGCAGGCAGCTCTCCTGCGCCGCCCACGCGCCTTCTGCGGCACCGCGTCTACAGCCTAGCTGCGGCGCTGCGAGCTCTGGACGCTGACGGCAAGCGAAGGGGGGGGGGGGGGGGGGCGCTTCTTGCTCCCGGTTCCCGCGGCCAAGACCTCGCGTGCTCGAGCCGCAGGAGCGAGGGCTGGCCGGCCCACGCTGACGGCGAGCTGCCGCTGCGGCGGGCTGCGATGCTCCCCTCGCCGCCCCCGCTGTGGGCTGCCGGCGCGGCGCATCGCTGCGGCCGACCGGGGTCCAGACTCCGCGACGCATCCCTGCGCCGACGCCGACGCCGCCGCAGCATGCAGCAGGTACATACAGGCCGCTGCCGCTCTGATCCACCATGCACCTCCCCCCTTCCCGCGCCCGCTTGCTGTCGGAATGGAAAGAGAGCTGCTCTGCCCACGCGCGCGCCGGGCCCTGTGTTGCCGCAGGCGTGGACAGCATGCAGTGGAAGACTCAGCGCCCCGCTGCCGATCTGTTGACTCTGCCTCGGCGTGTCGTGAGGGGGTCCCGATGGGAGAGGAGAGAGGGTCCTCGCTGCGTGCTGCGTGCTGCGTGACCTCCTCGACTGCCACGCCGTGCTGCTGCGGCTGCTGCACCCCTCTCGCGCCCCCCCCCACCCCCCTGGCCGCTCGATGGCCGTGTGCCTGGCGCTAGGCAGCGGCAGGAGCCGCTCAGCGGCCGCACACGGACATCTCGCCTTTGCCACCTCTCTCTTCTCGCTCTGCTGCTGCATCGCTGAGCTCGTGTGCGGCCGCGCCTTAACGCAGCTGCGAAGCAACCGTTGGCCTCGCTGCGTGCCGGCGCTTGCTGCTAAACGGCGCGCCCTTGCTTGCTGCGTGCTGCCGGCCTGCGAAGGGGGCGCCGGTGCCGCAAGGCGCGGATGAGCGACTTGCCGCTCTGGGACCGCCGCCGCCCAGCCGTGACACGCGACGTGCCTGGCGGCTGCCGTCGACGGCCGCGCACACTGCTCTCCCGCTGCGGAAGCCGCGATGCTCTGCGCGCACTCGGCGGAGCTTCGTGTCTGTGGCTGCGGCGGCAGGGCGCAGTCGGCGTGCATGGGAGAGCCGTCGCGCGGCACTTGCGCCGGCAGGCAGTCGACCCCCCTGCTGGCCGCGGCCGTCTGCCGCCTCGCCGCTCCCGACGGGCAAGGCGCAGGCGCGCAGTGCAGGGCCAGGCGTGAGCAGTGCGGCAGCGGCAGGGCTGCTGCGACGCTCTCCTGCAGCGCAGCACCCACGCCGTCACCTGCCTCGCCGCCGCGTCTCGGGCCGAGGAGCGCGGTGCAACGCCGTGCGGGCGAGCAAGACGTGGCTGCGTGATGGCGGCGCGCTGCTGCTGCGACGCTGCATGCTGCGCTCCCATCGCCGCCGCCGCACCCGGGCGGCCGCCGCCGCATCAGCATCAGCGGCCTCTCCCTGTCCCTCACCGCACGCAGCACCGCCGGCCGCCTTAAAGAAGACGCAGCGGCCTTGGCAAGGCGCGCCCGCCGTGCCGCCAGCTCGCCCTCTCTCCCGCTCCCCCACTCCACCCTCGCCGCCTCGGCCACGTCTCCCAGCGCACCCCTCTTCGCCGCAACCTCTCCGACACCCTCACGGCCACGCCCGCGCCCTCTGCGCCTCTCCGAGCACCACCTCCGCCTCACACTCTCCCGCCTCGCACTCTTTCCGCCTCGCCTCCCGCCTCCTTTCGCCCCGGACTCACTACATCCCCTTCCCGGACCTGCCGCACTAGACGCTGCTCTGCCGCACCGCACCCTTGCACTCAGACTTGCTGCGCGCCTCGCCGCTCCCGGCGCCGACGCCATGAGCTCCTACCGCTCGCCCGTGCTGCCGGCGTACGTGGACCAGTCCAGTGAGTGCCGCGCCGCCGCCGCCGCACCGCACCCCGCCGTGCTGATGCCGCGGCAGACATCACGTCGGTGGCCGAGTACTACACGAGCCACCCCGTGCCGCAGCGCCTGCAGCCGGCGATCATCGTCGCCTCCATCGCCGTCGCCGCGCTGGGCTCGTACGCGACGCTGCTGCTGCTCGGGCGCCGCACGGCCAACAAGGGCGCGCGCAACGTCTTCCTGCTGCTCGCGGCGGCCGTGACGATGTCGAGCGTCGGCATCTGGGGCATGCACTTCATCGGCATGCACATGACGCTGCAGCCCATCGCAGGCGTCAACTGGTACTTTGCCTACTCGCCCGCGTGGACGGTGTGAGTGGTGCCGTGGTCGTGTGCCGCGTTGCCAGGCTGACATGTCCGCCAGCTTCTCGCTGTTCGCACCCATGCTCGCGCTCGCCGCCTCGTTCCTCTTCCTCGACGGCGCCGAGAGCAAGTCGGGCGCGCTGAGCTACACGCGCATCGTCCTCTCCGGCGTCGCCGTCGGCGGCCTCGTGGGCCTGATGCACTTCAGCGCCGCCCTCTCGGGCAACCTGCGCGTCTCGTACGCCATCCCGCAGACGGTCGGCTCCGTCATCCTCGCCATGGTCGCCGCGACGGTGGCGCTGGCGTCGTTCTTTGCGCTGCGCCGCCAGTGGCAGGACAACTGGCTCAAGCGCCTTGCCTGCTCGCTCATCCTCGCCACGGGCGTGTGCAGCATGCACTACCTCGCCGTCAGCGGCACGAGCTACACGGTGCGGCCCGCCAGCCTGCTCAATGTGCAGGCCCTCATGGCGGGCAATCGGCGCAACAACGTCGTGACGATTGCGATTGGCGTCATGTGCGCCTGCATCCTCGGCATTTCGACGTTCCTCGCCGTCTCGGACGTCGTCATGGCGCGCGAGGTGCGCCGCAACGCGCGCAAGGTCGTCGTCGCCTCGGTGGCGTTTGACAAGAGCGGCCGCCTGCTCGTCAAGGCCGACGGCAGTCTGCCGATGGTCGTGCTCGAGACGAAGCTGCGCATGACCGAGGTCATGGACGCGCTCGACAAGCGCCAGACGACGTTCCAGTGGCTCTACACCATCTCGTGGGACTGGAACATCGTGGCGCCGTTCCTGCGCGCCATCACGAGCAAGTTTCACCAGCGCGAGGGCACCAACTACGCCGCCGGCGCCGCCGAGCAGCCGCAGCTGCCCGGCGGCGCCAACAAGCGTGCCTTTGGCCGCCGCGTCAGCCTCGACCAGACGCACGACCGCCAGCGCGGGCCCGCGGCGCTGGCCGACTTCCGCGACAGCGTCATCGACGCGGCCATGCAGCTCTCCATCGAGCTCGACATTCCCTTTGAGCAGGTCGGCATCCTCTACGACTCGGTCCTCTCCACGGGCACGCGCAAGGCTGCCGTCGCAGCGGCCGTGGCCGCCACGGGCCCCGTCGGCCCGTACACGCCGTCGCGCGAGCGTGCCGACGACGAGAGCTCCATTGCGGCGCCGAGCATCTTCGGCGAGGGAGCCGACGAGCAGGAGGGCGTGACGCTCTTCCTTGTGCGCGAGCTGCCCACCTCGACGACGTCGACGGCCGCCGAGAGTGCCGAGCGCTACCGGCAGCGCGGCTTCCGCGTGACGGAGACGCGCTTCCTCGCCAGCGTGCTGGCCGACCGCTTTGCCGTGGCCAAGCCCGAGATGGAGGTGCTGCTCGACTCGCTCAAGGTGTACGCCAAGCGCGGCACGCGGCCCGTCGTGCAGCCCGGCGGCGTGTACGCGGGCCTCTTTGGCGTGCGCCCCTCGACGAGCAAGCAGGGCGGCCTCGACGTGCTCGTCTACCACTTTGCGCGCCACCAGATTCCCGCGTACCGCCTGCCCGAGGTGCAGTGCATCACGCCCGAGATGAAGGACTTTCTGCACGAGCTCGACCAGCTCACGCTCGACGAGGCCGGGCGCATCTGCGAGATTGAGGCGACGCGCTCGAGCGAGCGCAAGAAGCAGCTGCGCCTCGATGTGGCGTCGCAGCTCAGCCTCGACGAGCCGGAGCTGCACGACGAGGAGGCGGCGCTCGAGGCCATGATCCGCTTCCAGACGGCGCTCTTCATCGCGCTCGACGCGCTGCACCAGTCGGTGCGCTTCTACCCCAAGATTGCCTCGACGGCACGCCTCAGTGCCGAGGTGCTCGAGGTGCCGTCGAGCGTCGACGACTCGACGCAGCCGGCCGAGATGATTCTCGTGCAGGCCGTGCTGCCCGAGGAGAACCTGATGCCGCCGGCCAACGGCTCGCTCACCACGCCCATGCCCTCGGACACGCCCAGCGCCGGCTCGCCGTTTGTCTTTACGCCCTACACGCTCTTTGCGCGCAGCCAGATGATGCTGCTGCGCGGCCGCCAGGCCGACGACTTTGAGCACGAGGTCGTCGTCGAGCTGCGCCGCCGCTACCCGAGCTCGCTCATGCAGGAGCAGGAGGAGAAGGCCGAGCTCGGCGTGCGCCGGACGGGCGCCGCCTACTCGGAGCACCGCACCTCGAGCTCCGTCGACCACGTCACCAAGGACCTGGCGGAGAAGGACCTGCTGCGCCACGACGACGACGAGTACACGCAGGACAAGCGCGCCGTGGCGCTGCCGGGCGCGTTCCGCCGCTGGACGTCCAAGCTCGTGGCACCCGCCGGCGCCCGTCGTGCCTCGCACGAGCCCATCTCCGATGTCGTTGTGCAGCAGCAGCAGCAGCAGCAGAACCAGCTCGGCCGCGTCACGAGCTCGCGCCGCGTCAGCGTCGTCTCGTCGCACTCGCGCCACGGCGCGGGCGCCAAGGGCAGTGCCGGCGGCAAGTCGGAGCACTTTGACATGGTCGAGACGCGCTCGCCGCAGGGCAACACGGCCAACCTGCCCGTGCTCAACAGCGACGACCCGCGCTACCGCTCGCCCACGTCGCCCGGCACGGCCAGCACGACGTCTGACTATCCGAGCCCGCTGCGCGTGCAGGCCACGCAGGGCGCCGTGAATGCCTCGCTGGGCATCCGCCGCTTCACGCAGGACGGCGCCTCGGCCGCCGCGCATGCTCAGCAGGCGGCCAACCAGAGCCGCTTTGCGCGCTCCGCCGACGACCAGCCCATCGCCGAGGAGGCCAGCGAGGCGCTGCGCGACGACAGCAGCGACGTCGGCGAGGCGGCGCCGTCGTCGGGCCTGGCCGGTGCCTTTGACTACCAGCCGCGCCGTCCGTCGGGCAAGAGCCTCGTGGGCGCCGCCGCGGCGCCCGGCCGCCGGCCCAGCAGCGCCACGAGCGAGCAGAGCAGCGAGCCGGCGACGCCGACGATCGTCTCGGCCAGCACGACTGCCGTCTCTGCCACTGCCGCGCCGGGAGCTGCGTACCTGGCGCCCAAGACGCCGACGCCGCGCCGCTCCAGCGCCGCTCACCCGCTGCGTGGCGCCGCGGCGTCTGCGCGCCCGTCGACGGCGCCCGCCGGCGCGCGCCGTGCCGCCTCGTTCCGCCCGCACACGGCCGACTCGCACACGAGCCCCGTGCTCTCGCAGCGCCACGCCATGGCGTCGATGGAGCCCGCCAGCATCAATGCGCGCCTGCGCGCCGACGGCTGGACGACGCGCCAGCTGCGTGCCCTGGAGCGCGGGCCCAACGCGCCGCCGCTCCTCGGCGTCGACTACTAGACCCCCCCATCCTCCGCATCGCTCCGTCATGCCCCTCACGCTCCTTTACGCCGCCCGCGCCTCCTGCTCTCTGGACACCACCTTCCTCGTCGGCCCCACTCGCGCTCCTTCATGTCTCGACTCGCCGCCGCCGCCGTCTGCCGCGTGCGCGCGCGTGCCTTCACGCCACTTCCTCCAGCATCGTCTTCTTCATACGTCACCTGTGCGAGTCCTCGCCCTCTCCCGTCACAGCACGCGCACCAGCCCGGAGCACCTCCTTTCCCGCATCATGTCTCGTGTGTACCCCACTCATCCTCGCCGCTGTATCCAATGCGCTGCAGACTTGGCCCAAATCCCAATTGCATTGGCATCCATCGCGCGCACAGCGTGGCACAGCGAGAAGAGGAGAGGGGCGGCGAGAAGGAGGGAGGAGGGGATATCCAGGGAGACGAATGCAGGGGGAGTTGGCTGAGCACGACGAAGCCTCTCAGAAGAGCGTGCCCGTCTGCGGCTGCGCCGCGGGCGCCGAGTGCGGCGGCTGCTGCGCGCCCGCCGGCTGCTGCTGGCCGAGCGCCGAGCCAAAGGCGGCCGAGCCAAACGCCGACGTCGGCTGGAAGGGCCGCACGCTCGAGCCGGCGAAGCCCGTGGGCTGCGCCTGCAGCGGCGCAGCCGCCGACGCGAAGAGCGAGCTGCCGAAGCCCGTCTGCTGTGGCTGCTGTTGCTGCTGCTGCTGCGGCGGCGGCTGAGGCGAGGCGGGCGACGCGAAGAAAGACGAGCCGAAGCCTGTCTGCTGTGGTTGTTGCAGCGCCTGCTGCTGCTGCTGCTGCTGCTGCTGCTGCTGAGGCGCAAACGGATTGGCAGAGGTATACTGCGGCGAGAGGGCCTGAGCTGGCGGCGCCTGCGCGCCGGGCGACGAGAGCGCGGCGAGCGAAGTGCCAAAGGAGGAGGTCGGCTGGAATGGCTTGACGCTGAAGGGGGAGGGGGGCAGATGTGTCAGTCTCGAGCGCCCAACGTGGGGCTTGCACGCTCTCTCTCTCTCTCTCTCTCTCTCTCTCTCTCCTCTGCTCACCTGGACCCGGCATAGCCGGTGGGCTGCGGGGCGAGCGGCGCGGGCGAGGACATGCCGCCGGTGCTGAGCGAGAGGCCGGAGAAGGACGCCGGCAGATCGTTGCTCTGCGTCGCTCCGTTGGGCCCTGCGCCATTCGCCGCCGCAGGAGGAGCAGGCGACGGCGCCTGAGCGGCAGGCGGCGCCGGCGACGAGGTGCCGTTGCGGCCAAAGGCAAACTCCGAGGCGATGCTGCCGATCAGGCCCGTCTTCATGGGCACGAGGCCGGACGACGTCGGCTGCTGCTGCTGCTGCTGCTGCTGCGCTTCCGGCTGCTGCGGCTGTTGTTGCTGATGCTGCGGCGGCGCGCCGTTGCTTGCTGCTCCGCCATTCCAGGCGCCCGCTCCCAGGCCGTAGTGTCCGCCCTGCGGCTGCCCCCACGCGCTCATCGCCAGCTGGTTGAGCGAGGGGCCCTTGGGCGCACTAGGCTCCGAGGGCGGCGGCGTCGTGCCGGGCGGCGGCGCAAAGGGGTTGCGCGAGCCCGTCTTCTGCGGCAGCAGCTTGGCCGTGCTGCTCGACGAGGGCGCAGAGGTGCTGGAGGAGCTCGGCGCGAAGACGTTGGCGGAGAAGGTGGGAGCTGCGCCCGTCGGCTGCGCTTGCTGCGGCTGAGCCTGCTGCGGCTGTTGCTGCTGTTGCTGCTGTTGCTGTGGCTGCTGCGGCTGCGGCGCCGGCAACTGCGCCATGCCATTCGCGCTGAACTGGCCAAACTGCTGTTGCGCCATCTGCGGCGAGAGGCTCATGCTGGCGCGGAACGGGTTGAAGCCCGTCATTTGCGGCTGCAGGTAGCCGCCCTGCGCAAAGCCCGTGATCTGCGGCTGCATCATCTGCTGCTGCTGCGGCTGCTGCTGCTGCGTGAGAAACGGATTGAAGCCGGTGGCTTGCGGCTGCAGTTGCTGCGCGCCAAACGCAGGCATGCCGGTCATCATCTGCTGCTGCGGCATCATGCCAAAGGCCTGGCCCGTCGGCTGCGTGCCCAGGAAGCTCATCTGCGCCGGCGCCGGCTGGAAGGCGCCCGCGCCAAACTGCGCGCTGCTCGAGGGCGACGGCCCAAACATCGACTGCTGCTCCGTCTCGATGGAGTCGAAGAAGTCCTGCAGCGCCTGGTTGTTCGACGCCGGCCGCGCGACACTGGCCGACGGCTTGACCTTCTCCTCCGCCGTCGGCTCCTTGATCGTGACTGGCCGGCGAGTGAGCACGCCGCGGCGCATGCAGCCTGACTTGCTCCACTCACTCTTCTTCTTCTTGGCCGCGTCCTCGGCCGCCTTCTTGTCCTGCTCGTCTGGCTCCAGGCCCTCCGCCGCGCGCCTGTTCCTCCGGTACTCTCGCCGATTCTCCTCAAAGTTGGCGTCGTCGAGGTACTCGCCCAGCGCGCCGGCGAGGCTGATCGGCGCGTGCTTGAGATTCGGGATGGGCACGTTGAGCGAGTGGCTGGCCTTGCGCGCGGCCGAGAGATAGGCGACCACCTTTTCCGTGTGGCGCGTGAAGCGCTTGTAGATGTCGAGCGCCTTTGTCGCGTCGGGCTTGGACATCTCAAAGTAGTGCTCGAGGATGTTGATCATGCCCTCGTTGATGGCCGTGTAGAGCGCCAGCAGATCCTTGAGCGTCATGCGGAAGGCCGTGATGGTCATTTCGTCGTTGAGGTCGTCGAAGAAGAACTGCGCGAGGGACTCAGCGTGCAGCTGGGCCTGGTCTCTGACATGCGCCACTCACGCTGCACTCCAGCACCCGCCCGCACACCTTTTGCGCATTGCCCACGGCGCGCAGCAGGCCCTTCTCCACGCTCAGTGTGCGCAGCCGGTGCGCCGAGTCGCTGCCGCCGCCTGTGCGGCTCACGTCGGCCGCGCGGATGGCGTCGTGCTTCATCTCCCTGTAGTAGCCCACGCGCGAGTCGAGGTACGCCGCGTACGCCGCCAGCGAGCGCGGAGCATCTGCGCCTGGAGCGAAGCGGCATCAGCGGCAGAGCGTGCGGCGGGCCGAAGCGGCACGCACCCTGCCAGTTGCCGCCCTGCGCCACGGCACGCAGGTTGATCTTGCCCTGCTCGCTCGCCAGGTGCGAGAGGACATTGTCGACGCCGCCGTTGCGGATCAGCGTGTGGAGGACGATGAGCGACTTGAAGACGACCTGCAGTGCGCGAGACGGCAGGCGTCAGCCATCAAGCCAGGAGACAGCACGCCCGCTGCGACCGAGAGACAAGCGCCTTCTGCGGATGCGCCGAGGCAATGCGCGTAGAGCGCAAGCTCGCAACGAGCACGCTTGGCAGTGCCGCCAGCAGGCCTCCTCCGAGGCGGCTCGGCTTGCAAGTGTGACGTGGCTCTGCGCCTTGACGCTGCCTTTGCGCCTCGAGCTGCGGCCGCGCGCGACAAGCGACAGGCGCCGGATGCTGTGCAGCGGCAGGCTCTGGAAGCTCGCCTCGCTGCTGCCTGCCTGCCTGGCCATCCGCCGAGCCGATGCCCCGCAGCTCTGGACGCTCGCATCGGCGCTGCATGCTGCAGGCAGCTCTGCAGCGCAGCGATGGCCGCTGGCCTCGCCGCAGCCCTCCTTGCCATGCGCCGGAGCGCGTGCTGCGCGCCCTCGTCGCCGCCTCGCCGCGCGCCGCGCTGCTCAACGCACCGTGCTGCCCTCGCGCAGGCGGCCCGCAAGCGCGCGCAGCACATCGGCCAGGCTGCCGTCGCGCGCAAAGCTGGCGGCAATGAGCGGGTCGATGTGCTTGGCCTTTGGCGCGCCGGCCTTGGGCTTCGTCGCCGCGCGCAGCAGCTTGTCGTACGACGACATGCCGGCCCCGCAGGAGCGCCTGCGCGCTGAGGTGGGAGCGAGAGCGAGGCGGAAGAGGCGCACAGATGAGCGAGGCAGGACAGATACGAGCGAGTGCGAGAGGGACGGCGTGGGTTAGGAGAGGGTGAGGTGGAGCTGACGCTGGACGCTCGGGCATCCGCCCGCGCCGGGAAGGCGGCCGCGACAGCAAGGCGGCGCTGCAGCGGCGGCGCGGCATCGGCGCATGGCACGCCGCCTGCGCGGCGCTGTCGCCGAGGGGGCGAGCCGCGCCGATCTGGCGCCGCGCGCCGGCAAGGCGTGCCGCACGGTGACGCAGCGCCAGCCACAGGACCTCCGCAGCACCCAGCGGCATCATCGGCCCTCGCACCCTGACTCCAAGGCAAGCGTCCCTTTCCTCGCCCTTCAGCAGCAGCAGCATGGCGCGGGAGCAGGGCATTGAACACCAACACGCATCCATGCTGACTTTCCGGCGGCAGCGCACAAGGAGACGGCGATGCGTTTTTGCTGCTCTGCTGCACTTGTTGACAACATCTGTCCACCAAAGGCCTCCGAGCCAGATGGAGGCCTCTTCGCAGACCGCACCAGTTGCAGAACGGCCCAGTGGTAGCCCACAAGCTGCCGATGATAGCAACCCTGCCAGGCCGGGTGCGGAGAATGTGTGCGCAAAGCAGCAGATGCATTCCTCTCTCCTCACAGATACGTGACTTTTGTCCCGAGACTGACCGTGTTCACGAGGGCCTGCCACGCTCGCGCCGAGGCGCCGCGCAGGCTCTGCGCGCGCCGCAGCGCCGCCAGGGCGCGCGCGGCGCCGAGCAGCAGGCCGAGGAGTGCGGCGCCGGAGAGCGAGCGCAGAAGCACGGCCAGCACGGGCGACGATGCGCGCGGGACGGCCGATGAGCCGCTGGCGCTGGCGGGCAGGGGAGCGAGGTGGGAGAGATAGTCGGCGATGGCGCTGCGCTTCGACGCAAAGCCGTCCGCAGCGCGCGACGACACGCTCGACGCGGCAGCAGGCGCCAGAGTGGCGGCCGCCGGCCGGCCACTGGCAGAAGCAGACGACGAGCGGCGCGAGGAGGAGAGGCGCTCCTGCTCCTCGGCGCTGCTGCTGCGCGAGGGCAATGCCGGCCTGCGCGCTTCCGGCGCAGCTCTGCTCGTCGTCTGCTCCTCCCGAGTGCCGCCGCGCGAGCCCGACGACGACGACGACGACGCCGCCGCCGTCGCCGCAGCTGCCTCGGCGCTCGCCTCGGCGGCCCGTCTGGCCTTCTCCCGCTCGTACGTCGCGCGTGCGGCGCTGCTGGCGGTGCGCAGCCGTTCGGGACGCGCCGCGTGTGCGGCGTGTGCGCGGCCTAGCTGCGCCAGAAGAGCCTGTTTCGCAGGGGGACCTGTCAGGATGGGGGGAAGAGGGGGCCAGCGCCGAGGGGGTCTTCAGGCGTCGCGAGAGAAAAGACGTACCTCACGTGCCTCGCCGTCCAGCTCGCCGTGTGCTACCTGCGCCGCCAGCTCCCACTCATGCGCGCGTGCGCCGAGGATGTGCAGCGCGTACAGCTCGACAAACGCCTGGTGCGCCGCGCGCGACGGGCGCGCCACGTCCGGCGGCGCCACGGCCAGCGCAGAGAGGTACCAGTCGGCGAGGCTGCGTGCGGCGTGCAGTGCGGCGTCGGGCGCGGCGGGCGCGGGCGGCGGCAGGGCGAGGGCGAGCAGCAGCAGGGCGGAGAGCAGCGGCAGCGGCACGGCGAGGAGATGCAGATGCGTCGCGGGCGTCGGCGCCAGACACGGCGCCGTGCCGCCGGGCGCCGGGCGGAAGAGCTGCAGGTGCTCGGCGCACAGCGTGGCCAGCAGCGGCGGCGGCGGCAGCGCCAGGAGCGCCGCGTCGCGGCCGCACTCGGCGCGGCGAGCGGCGCCGGCGCCGTGCAGGGCGGAGAGGAGCGTGAGGCGCAGCACGGCCGCGCTGCTGAGCAGGGCGTCGCGCGCGGCAGAGGCCGGCAGCGGCGCCAGCAGCGCCAGGGCCGCATGGGTGTCGAGCAGCGCCGCGGGCGTGGGCCCGTGGTGCAGAAAGTGCTGCGTGGCGCGCCGCTGCGCCTGCCGGGCGCGCGCGAGCGGCGAGGCCGAGGAGCCCGAGACGCTGCGGGAGGCGGCGGGCGCAATGTACGAGGCCGAGAGGGGCGAGGGCGCGTATGCGGCCGACATGGCGGGCGCGGGCAGAGGACAGAGGTGGTGGTCGGGAGACGAGGTGCGACTCAAGTCAAGCTGCGTGCGTCGTGTGCAAGCTCAAGGCCGCGCGCGCGCGCGTCGCGACGACACACGCGCCTCGGGGCCGCAGCGTCTGGGCGGCTTGCTGCGCGCGGCGTGCTGCTGCGCCGGCCCTTGCCTGTCTTCGGTTGAGAGCACATCTCAAGGGAGAGAAGAAGGCAAGGTGGAGGCGCCGGCTCCTCCCTGCTGGCGAGCGTCCGTGGGAAACTGCAAGGGCGCCCGGAATGCCTATCCGCTGCCTGCCTGTGCCTGTGCCTGTGACTCTGCCTCGGCCAAGCTGCCGCCGAGCGCTGGTTGCCATGGAGATTCTTTGTCTGCGATGCTGGCAGCTGCAGTGCCAGAGCCGGAGCTCGTCGTCCCTTGCTGGCTCGAGGGGATGATCGGATCGCCGGCTGCAGCGTGTCGCCGGCGCTTTTGCGCAAGACGCGCGCGAACCGGGCCGGCAGCGCTCGCACAGCCGGGCAGCGCGAGAAGCGGCCCCGGTGCCGGCAGCCGAGCGGCAGCCGGCGGCGGCGAGACAGGCGGCGTGCCGGGTGCTGCCTCTGCCTGCTCCCCCGCACCGCGCGCGGCATGGCGCGCCCCGCACTCACTTCAGCCGCAGCCGTGCGCCGCCTGCTCCTGCCTCTCTCCGCCTCACCACCCCCTCGCAGCACCCGCACCCCACTCACGCAGCACTTGCACCCGCGCGCCATGCCCGAGGAGAAGCAGAAGATCGGCCAGCAGTTCGGCGAGGTACGCAATGCCGTCGACACCGCCGTGCTCAATGCGTATCTCGAGAGTGAGTGGGCGTGTGGGCCGCACCCGCCGCGCAGCAGAGAGAGAGAGACGGCAGCTTCGGCGCGGGGCGCGCACCTTGCTGATCCATGCCCCCGGCGCCCATCAGAGCACGTGCCGGACATCGCCGGCCCCGTGAGCGTCAAGCAGTTCTCCTTCGGCCAGTCGAACCCCACGTACATCCTCACCGACGCGCGCGGCGCGCGCTACGTGCTGCGCAAGAAGCCGCCGGGGCAGCTCGTGAGCAAGACGGCACACGCCGTCGAGCGCGAGTTCCGCGTGCTCCGCGCGCTGGGCGAGCACAATGCGCGCCTTCCGGGCAACCCGGGCAGCGGGCCGCACGACGATGAACGCCTGAAGCACGCCGATGCCGTGCCCGTGCCCAAGGTGTATGTCCTCTGTGAGGATGCAGAGGTGCTGGGCACGCCATGGTACATCATGGAGTTTGTCGAGGGCCGCATCTTTGAGGATGTGCGCATGCTCAGCATGCCCAAGGAGGAGCGCGTCGAGTGGTGAGTGGGCAGAGAGAGAGAGAGAGCGGCGTCTGTGGGAGGAGGTGGAGAGGGAGGCGGAGAGCGGAGGTGGAGAGGAGGGCATCAGCAAGGGCGGCGACTGGGAGCGGCCAAGGGGCCTTGTCGCTGCTTGCTTGTGGTGCTGGCGAGGCTGTGGCCCTTGGCTAGCAGGCAGCAGCTCACGTTCTCTCTTCCCCAAGCTATCGCTCCGCGCTGCGCACTCTCGCCGCGCTGCACCGCATCGACCCCAACGCCGTCGGGCTGGGCTCGTACGGCAAGCAGCAGGACTTCTATCCGCGGCAGCTGCGCGGCCTGGGCGGCATCTCGCAGGCGCAGGCGGCGACGAAGGACAAGGAGACGGGCAAGGCGGTGGGGCCCATTCCGGCGTTTGACGAGATTACGACGTGGCTGGGCAAGAACATGCCGAGGGACGAGAATGGCGTGAGTCGAGGCAGCTCTGAGCATTGGACGCCAAAAGAAGCACACCCAACTGACGTCGAAAGGCAGATCACGCACGGCGACTACAAGATTGACAATCTGGTGCGCCACCTTTCCTCGGCCGCCGTGCCTTAGAGTTGCCCCTCTGACGCGCCCTCGCGGGGGCCAGATCTTCCATCCCACCGAGCCGCGCATCATCGGCGTGCTGGACTGGGAGCTGTCCACGCTCGGGCACCCCTTGTCCGACGTAGCCAATCTGCTGCAGCCCTTCTCGATTGCCTGCCCCTTCCCCGAGCGCATCAACGAGCCCGAGGAGCTGCAGCGCGCGGCGGCGCGCGGCGAGATGTTCATGCTCATCGGCGGCCTCACGCCGGCGCAGAGTCCCGTGCCGCTCAAGGAGGAATGCCTGCAGGTGTACTGCGAGGCGGCGGCGCGGCCATATCCAATCGAGAACTGGGAGTTCTGCGAGGCGTGGGCTTGGTTCCGCGTACGTCCACTGCCTGCACGCTGCCCACCATGTGCGCTTGGTGCGTCTGCTGACATCGGGCCCCCTCTCCTCGCTAGCTCGCTGTCATCGTGCAAGGCATTGCCGCACGCGTCGCTCGTGGACAGGTGCGTTCCACTTTTGCTCCATGCCAGCCCTCTTGGCCCTTCCCCACTGAACGCTCGGTCCCTCTCTCTACGTGGCCACACACACACACACACACACACAGGCAAGCTCGGCACAAGCAAAGACGCACGCGTCGAAAGTGGGGCCGTGCGCGGAGAATGTGCGGCAGATCATGCGCAAGGCCAAGACGCAGGGCGCGCCGAAGCTGTAAGGGCGCGCGTATTTCGCGCTGTCCGTATGAGTGCGAGGAGGAGGCTGGGCAGGAGGAGAAAGAAAGACTGAGCGCGCGCATTCGTAATCGTCATCCTTGCATCGAGACCTCCGCGGCATGCGTGCCCCCCAGCGTGCGTGAAAGGCGGACGCACGTGTCAGGTCCTGGGCCGTGCAGTGCTGCGCAGAGGTGGGTGCAAGATGTGTGTGTGATTTGCGGTGACAGAACTAACCCCCCCCCCCCCTCCCTCCCTACCTTTCCCCGCACTGCGTTGCCCGTGGCTAGCGGCAGCAGTTCGCCTGTCCGGTTCCCTCAGGCTGATGGAGCGAGCAGCTTGTTCTGCGCAAAGACTGGGGGCGCCAGAGAGAGGCATCAGCGAGAGTCGCCTTCTCTCCCACCTCGTCTATCTCTCGCGCCTCATCGCAATGGGGGGGGGGGGGGGCAACTCACCTCTCTCGACGCCCTCTCGAAAGCCATCGCTGTCCACTCCTCTGCGTCGCTCCTCCTTCATCTCGCCTGCCTCGTCCGTGCCGCGCGAGCGCTCCAGCGCCACCGCCGGGTTGCGCACCACCCATTCCTGCCACGGGCCGCGCCACAGCTGCTGCAGCACGCCGGTGCTGCTCATGCCGCCCGTGCCCGGGATGCCGCCGCCGCCGCCTGCCGAGGCGGCGCGCGGCGGCGCGAGCGGCGAGGTGATGAGGACAAAGGTGTGCAGCGTGGGCGTGTGCAGATGCGAGAGGGTGTATTGCGGCGTGGAAAAGGAGTTGAACACTTCTTGTCTGTGCGCGCCGCGGGAAAAAGAGGGCAAGGGGTGAGGAATGTGCTCGGCAAAAAGGCGAGTGTGCTGCAATGGGCGCTGCGGAGACAGTGGAGCCGCTCTGCGCAGTGAGGCACGCCTGGCTGTGGCCATCGCCGACGTTGCCTTCAGCACGCGTACAGCCATGCGTCGGCCAAGCCTGGCTCTGCCTTGGCGCCCCTCTCTCGTCGGGGAGCTGCAAGTGCTCCATCTCCTCGCCCTCCTCCTCCTCATGCCAAGCCTCGCTCTCCAGCAGCAGCAACTCACGCGCCATTGAGTTTGCGCGCCATGTTGCGCAGACTGAACACGACGCCATACACCAGCTTGGCCTCCTCGTCGAGCGCGAGTCTTGCATTCGCCGGCCCTTGGCGCGGCTGCAGGCCTGCCTCGGCCTCGGGCGCCGCTGCCGCCACGGCACGACTGACGCCCGGCAGCAGCGTCGCGCCCGCCGCACGCGGCGCACGTGCCGCGGCGGGCGCGTCGGCGTAGTGCGCGGCCCAGTCGGCGTGGTAGAGGAGCAGGCAGGCGGGCGAGTAGATCCAGAGCGAGTAGACGCGCGGCGCCGCGGGCGACGCCTGCGCCATGGTCCTGGCGCACGAGGAGGGGTGAGGGCGTGGAGAGGAACGGGGGGAGCGGGCTCGTAGGGGTGGGGAGAGAACGGCCAGGTGTGGCGCGGGGTGAGGCAGAGGTGGTGGAGGAGCAGAGGCAAGAAGCACGCACCTGTCGCAGCCCGCGCGACTTGCGGCTGGCCTGAGCGCGCGCCGTGCGGAGGCGCACGCGGCGGCGGTGCAGGCCTCGCCCTGACCTTTGAGGCTACTCTCTCTCTCTCTCTCTCTCTCTCTCTCTCTCTCTCTCTCTCTCTCTCTCTCTCTCTCTCTCTCTCTCCTGCACAGCACGCAGCGCAGGAGCGAGACACACACGCATCAAGCAGAGGGTATGACGCATGTGCATTAGGCGTTCGCTGTATCTCAGGAAAGCACGTAGCCTGCTACAGCTCCTCCTCCATGCCCTCGCCCTGTCGCAGCAGCGCCGCAAACGCGCCCTGGCCTCCCTGTCCTGCGCCGCTCGTCTTGGCCTTTGCCTTCTTCTTCTTGTTCTTCTTGCTCTTGCCGCCTCTCAGCTCCTCCGGCACCGGCTGCGGCTCGGCAATGTTCATCGCCGCCTCCAGATCCTGCACCAGGCCGGCGCCGGCGAGCGTGTCGCGCTTCTTTGCCTTCTTCGCCCGCTTGCGCGCCGCGCCGCGGCTCTCGGCCAGGCCCGCCATCTCGGCGGCGCTGAAGAAGGCGCCCAGCTCGGCGGTGCGGCCGCGCGCCTTGGTCGCGGCGAGCGCGGGGCCCTCGGCCTTGGCGCGCTCGCGCTGCTTCCACTCGGGCTCGTTGGCGCGTGCGGCGGCGGCGGCGGCGGCGGCGGCGGCGGCGGCGGCGGCGTCGACACCCTCACCGGCGGAAGCCAGCGGCACCGCAGAGCTTGCGACGGGCGCTTCGTCGTCGGAGAGCGGCGAGAGGGCGCGCGCAGAGGAGACCTCCTCCTCGTCCGACTCCGAGTCGGACATGGGCTCCTCGGCATCCATGCCGCGGCGCCGCTTGCCCAGACTCGACGTGAAGCTCGCGTCGCCCAGCTTCGGCTTGCGCGTGCCTGGTGCAGCCGACGGCGGCGAGGGAGGCGCAGCAGGCAGTATCGGCTCCGTGTCTTCCTCCAGTGCCGTCGCCTCGTCTTCGTCGGCCTCGAGCGCCGCATAGCGTCGTTGCGGCGGCGCAGGCGCCGGCATGCGACCCACGCCGGATCCGCCGCCCAGGGCTTCGGCATCTGCCTCGCCCAGCAGTGCCGCGAGATCAAATGCGGCGTCGAAGCCCGCCACGATGCGGCTGCCGTCCAGCTCCGTCGGCGCCGTGCCATCGGCTGCGACGCTGCCGGATGCGAGCGCACTGTTCGCAGCGGCAGAGGCGCCGTGAGAGGCATGCACGGCCGGCGGCTGAGTGTAGTAGGCAATCTTGCCCATGTTCCAGTCGTGCAGCACGATGCGGGCCGTGCCTTCAATGTCCGGCACGCCGCCCTGGAAGTAGCGGTAGCACGAGCACAGTCAGCGAATTGTAGAGATCATTCGCGAGCCTGCTCTTGCGGCCGACTCACTCTCCCCAGCTTGCCACGCAGCAGTGCCACGCGCATCAGAAAGTCCTGCACGTCGCCCTCGTCAAAGCCACCTTCGATGCTGTACAGCTCCTCGAGCTGCGCCGGCGCCACTCGCGCCAGGATGGCCTGCACTGCAGGTGGGCACGATACGGCGTCAGCTACTGGCGCGCAGCCTGCAGAGCGTCTGCGTCGCCATCTCACCAGGAGTGATAGGATCGGCCACGAGCTCGACCTTGATGGTGTTGCGCAGCGCCTGCAATGCACCACTGCCGTCCTCGGGACCGAGAAACACGACGCCGGGGCAGTCGAGCAGGCGCAAGCCTTTATCCAGCACGACGCCCTGCACCACCTTTGTCGCGCCCGGCGTCGCGGCGACGGGACAGGCGCGCGAGCGCACGAGCGAGTTGACGACACTGCTCTTGCCCACGTTTGGCGCGCCAAAGACGCCCACGGTGAGGCTTGCGCGGCCGGCGTCGCGCCTGGCGTAGGCCTTGAGCAGCTGCACCAGCGCCGTGGCGCCCAGCGCCTCGGCGCCCGCACTGATCTTGCTGCCGCTGCTGCCCGACGCCGTCGGCGCGGCGGCGCGCGAGTGCGAGAGATGCGAGCGCTGCGACTGCGTCGAGGCCTTGAAGGCCAGCACGGGAAAGTCGTGCCGCAGATACTTGAGCCACGCCTCGACGTTGGCCTTGGGCACCAGGTCGATCTTGTTGAGCACCAGCACGACGCGCTTGCCGCTCGCCAGCGCCAGGCGTTCCGTCGCCAACGATCTGAGTGCGTGAACATCAGCGCCTGGCACCATGCTTCACCCCTCTGTTCGCCACGACTCACCGGCAGCCGAGCGGGTCGCGCGCATCGAGCACCTCGAGCAGCACGTCGGCCAGCTCGAGCACCTTGCGCAGCTCGCGCATGTAGGCGCGCGAGCTGCTGTCCTTGCGTCCCGTCAGCGCCGGATCGAGCGCCGCACGCGCAAAGCCCTCGAGCTCGTCTGCGTCCTGCGCCGCCGCCTCGAAGCGCGGCGGCGGCCGCGGCGCGAGGAGCTGTGCGTTGAGGGCATGCAGGCTGCTCTGCAGGTCGGCAAAGTCGGCGTCCATCACCGCATCGACGCGCTGCTGCTCCGCGTCCTCCTCCTCCTCGACATCCATCATGGCCGCGCCGCCGTTCTGTGCGGCGTACCGCTTGGCCGCCTGCAGCTTGCGGCGCGCCGTCTTGCTCAGCTGCGGCTGCGCGGCCTTGTCCTTGGCGCCGGGCAGCGGCGCGAGGCGGCGCGCCTTGAAGAACTGCGGCAGGCCCGTGTCCTTCCTGCCGCTGCCTGCGCCGCCGGCGTCGGGCAGCGCGCGGTTCGACTTGGACGGCCCGCCGCGGGCCATGGTGGAGCGATGTGTGTGGGTGGGTGTGGGTGTGGGTGTGGGAGTGTGAGGCGCAGCGTGGAGGGAAGCTCGAGGTCGCTGCTGCACAGCCCGCGCCGCCTCAAGCGCGCCGCCAACTTTTTGTGCTTACGTCAGCCGGCCGCGCTCCCACGGACCCCTAGCGGCCCCTCTCGCCTCTCTCGCCTCTTGCGGCGGCAGAGCAGCAGCGCAGCCAGTGCGTTGGGCCAGGCATCACAGAGACTCGAAGGTGCAGACGTGCGGAGAAGCGCAGAGGCTCGGCGCATGCTTGATGCTGTGTGGAGCGAGGCGCGAGGCAATCTAGAATGCGGGGTTGCAGCAGGCAGCTGCACGTGGAGAGATAAACACGCGCTGCAGCGGTGCGCCGTGATGAGAGCCGCGCGCTCGGTGCGCCTTGCCCGGCCCCTGTCCGCCTCTCCACGCTCCTCGCCACCACCTCCTCCTCGCAGCCATGCCGCTCTTCGGCGCCGCCTCCGGCCCGCCGTCGCCCACGTACAGCGCCGCATCGACGCGCGCCTCCTTCGATGCCGCCGCCGCGCCCGCCTTCGCCGGCCCGCTCATCACGCGCTCCGCCCTGCGCGCCTCGCTCGGCGCGTACGAGGAGCTGCTGGGCGCGGCAAAGGCCTACACGGCCGCCACGCTGGCCATGAGTGCCGCGTCGGCGGCGCTGGCCGGCGCACTCGAGGGCGCCGCGCGCATCAAGGGCGCACATGCCGTGGGCAGCGAGCTGCAGGCCGCCGCCGGCCTGCACCACCTCCTCGCCAACAGCCAGAGCCTCGTGGCCGACGTGCTGTGGCGCGACGTCTCCATCCCGCTCCTCGAGCGCTTCGACGCCTACCGCGCCGCCACGACGGAGCGCCAGCTGGGCTACGAGGCCGACATCCGCGCCATGTCGCAGCGCCTCAAGGCGACCGAGGAGCGCAACCTGCGCACCAAGCGCAAGAAGGAGCGCGACCTCGCCTCGTTCAAGCTGGCGCTGCGCGAGCTGCAGGAGCAGGTCGAGGCGCTCGACGAGATCAAGCGGCAGCACTACGTCGAGGTGCGCGAGGCAGAGGAGGAGGTCTGGGCCGAAATCACGGGCAAGGTGAGTGTGGCACAGCACAGCGTCGCATGCTGCTGTGTGCGTGTGGCTCACCCTCCCTCGGGCAAAGGTCTCGCATCTGCTGCGCACGCAGCTCGACCTTCACGAGCGCATCTCGTCCAAGGGCGAGTCGGACCCCGTCATCGAGAGCATGATCGCCACGGTGCCCGATCCCTTCTCGGCGTACGGCGCGCCCGCCTCGGCGGGCGAGGGCCAGATGTTCAGCGTGCTGGCGCCCGGCTCGCTGGGCCTGCTCTCGCCCGAGCCTTCGACGCCGGCGCTGGGCCTGAGCCGACAGGGCGTCACGCCGTCGGCGCACGGCCTCGGCATCGACGAAGAGGCGCCGCAGCACCGCAGAGCGGCGCCGCTCCTGCCGATGAGCGCATCCTCTGGCGCTCTCTTCGGCAGCGATGAGTCGCAAGACGACATTTTCAACGCCTCCAGCTCCTCTGCCGCCTCCGCGTCTGGCTCCGGCTCCAGCTCTGCCGCCGCCGCCGCTTCGCAGCAGCGCGACCCCGCCGCGCTGAGCACGACGGTCAGCCAGCGCCTCAAGCACGCGCTGAGCATCATCGACGAGCATGCGGCGCGTGCGGCGCGCGGCGCCACGCCGGAGCCGCACGACGAGGAGACTGCGTCGTGGGCGCAGACGGCCGAGGAGGTGGCGCAGCGACGACAGAGTCGGCACTTTGACGCCGAGCTCGAGCTGGAGGCCGAGGCGGCCGTGCAGCAGCTGCAGATGGAGCGCGAGGAGCTGCTCGAGGAGGACAGACTCGAGGCGGACGCGGAGGCCGATGACTCGACGGAGGTGCGCGCGGAGCAGGAGACGGACACGGCGGACACTAGCGTGGAGGAACAGCAACTGGCTGATGCGAACAAGGCATGATCCACCTCCCGCCACGCCCACGACACCTTGACTTCGCTCGCTGCCCCACGATTCGACATACCACCTCGCGCTCGCATTCGCAGATACCCTTCATTCACGACGAGACACGACAAGCACTGGCGCTCTAATCTGATCTGATACACGATGAGGCCTTCTTTGCAAAAGGACACGTGGCGACGGGGTCTGGAGGGCAGAGCGACTGGAGGGGCGGAGCGTCGGGAGGCAGAGCGACTGGAAGACAGTGCGTGAGTCGACTGCGTTGCAAGGGCACGACGACGAGCACGCACGGTCTCAGATAGGCCTCGACAGCTTGACCCACTGCTCCCACACCGCTCGAGGGGTGCGCTGCGTCTCCACCTTCTGCGAGAAGCGCGCAAAGAGCGTCTCCTTGGTCACGAGTCTCCGGTTGCGCTGTTCTTCGTAGCCGGCAGCTAGCAGAACGACGTTCTCTTCCTCATACCACCGGCAGCCGGACTTGGAGCGCAGCTTCTGCAGCACTGACGCAGTAGAGCGCTCCCGCGGCCGGCCTCGAGGCTCCTCGCTTGCCAGAGCGCGTGCCGCAGTGCGTGCTGCGCGGCCGCGGGCGGCGTGCCCGCTGCGCCTGTTGCGCTTGCGCTTGCGGGGAGGCAGGATGCCGTCTTCGTCGTCGGAGGAGACGGACGCGACTGACGCAGCGAGCGGCGTCGGACTGCCCGCGGAGCTCAGAGTCGAGCTGGCCGTGCGTGGCAGGAGTGCGTCTGCGGCACCTGGTCGTGCCGGATTGATGCGCAGCTGATCGAGCGTGCCGACGGTGCTGGCCAGCTCGCCTCGAGACGTGTTGCTGGGCGGCTCCACGCCGCGCTGCCACTCTCTGACGCCGTCGTTGCTGCTATGGGACTTGCCAGCACAGTCCTTGCTGGCCTGCACCTCCGCTGGGCCGATCACATCAGTCGAAGGGCTCGCTGCATGTGAGCATGTCACACTTACCCGCAGCAGGTGGCCGACGCCCGTCAAGGCGCAGCAGCACCTTGTAGTCCAGCGAGAGGGACGCGAGCAGCTTGTCAATGAGCTCAGGCTCTGCCTCAATGGTCACAGCAGCAACATCACCCATGCTGAGCGGGTGAGAAAGGCTAGGGGGGGGGGGGTCGAGGTGGAGGTGAAATGGAGACAAGGCCTCGCACGGCGTAGCGTTGCATCACATGGCACGATGCCAGCACGGCGTGCGGCAGATGCGGTCTCGCTGGCTGATTGATTTCATCTATTGCCCCTCTTTTGCGCGCTCAGGGGTTGAAGAACTCATATGCGGGCGCTCCCGGCTGCGCGATGTCGAGCAGCTTGGTGTCCGCAGCCTCCTCGACGGGCGCGACGCTGACCTCGGCAAAGCCGAGCGAGCGCCTCATGTACGCGTCCACCTCCCCGAGCGTCTTGCTCTCGTCGAACGGCAGCAGGCGGTTGAAGGCGAGGTCGGCGCCGAACTCGGCGATGCGCTTCTGCTCGAGCAGGGTGTCATTCAGCAATGTTCTCTCGCGGCACGAGCATCGGCCACAACTCACCTTGAAGCTCATCACAAACGGCATCACGCGCTTGTCCTTCAGCATACCGGCGTCGGCAAGCGCCTTGCGCACGCCCGCGTCGTCGACGCCCGTGCTGGCGTCGTAGTTGTCCTTGACGGCCTGCACGGCCTGGTCCTGCCACGCCGGGAAGCCCTTGGCGACAAAGATGCGCACGCCGCGCGGCGCCTTTTCGTTGTACGCATTGGCCGCGGCGTCCTTGCCCTTGGCCTTCTTCTTGATGAGCACGGCCTCGGCGTCGCGCACCGTCTTTGTGAGGCCGCGCACGTAGGCGGCGGCGTCGGAGAGCGCCTTGTCGACGGGCGCCGACGGCTGTGGCCAGCGCGCCGTCTGCACGCTCGCCGCCTCGCCGAGCGTCTTGCGCCAGAGCTGCTCGGCGAAGTGCGGCGCAATGGGCGCCATGAGCAGCGACTGCAGGCGCACCCACTGCACGACGAGGTCGTGGTGCATGCCCACGTCGCTCGTCGCCTCGCGGTAGAGGTCGCGCGCCGACTGCAGGTCGTAGAAGCTGTGCTTGAGCGCCACGCGGTACAGCGACTGCTCGTAGCTCTGCTCCGCCGAGGCAAGCAGCTCGTTCATGTCGTTCTCAAACGCACGGTCCCAGAAGGCGTCGCGCGCCCCCGTGCGCAGCTTGCCCTTGTCCTCGCCCAGCGTCTGCTCGCACCACTCGAGCAGCGTAAAGAGACGCAGAATGTTGGCGTTGGCCGTCTTCTCCTCGAAGTTGGCGTCCTCGATGCCGTCGCCGGCGTCGGCGAGGCTGATGCGCGTCGCGTCGGCGCCGAACTTGTCGACGGCCTGGCGCATCGTCAGCACGTTGCCCGTGCTCTTGCTCATCTTCTTGCCGTTGAGCATGAGGTGGCCGTTGATGCGCATCGCCTTGGGCCAGTGCTGCTCGGGGAAGAGTGCCGCGTGCGTGTACACGCAGAACGTCAGGTGGTTGGGGATGAGGTCCTTGCCGCTGGAGCGCAGGTCGAAGGGGTAGAAGTAGCGGAACTCGCGCCGCAGCGTCTCGAGCTTCTCGCCGGGGATGGCGCTGCCCTCGGGCAGCTTGGCGTCGCCGAGGATGTAGTCCCACGCCTCGTCGGTCAGGTCCTTGGCCTCGATGCCGAGCGGGCCCACCTGCGAGCCGTCGACGACGCCGCCCTGCAGCATGTGCGCGACGGTGTAGTACGCCATGTAGATCGTCGAGTCGCTGAGACTCTCGACGAGGAACTGCTCGTCCCACGGCAGCTTCGAGCCGAGGCCGTAGCTGCGCGCACACGCCCACTGGTGCAGCCAGTCAAGCACGCCCTCGAAGCCGTTGCGCGTCTCGGCGCCAAACGTCTCCATGTTCTTGACCAGCCTGGCGGAGGAGGGTGTCAGCACAGGTGCGGCAGAGGTGCCTTCGCCGCCCGCCACTCACTTCTTGGCCTGCTCCTTCCACGACTCCTCTCCGTAGTCGATGTACCACTGGTCGTACAGCGCCACGACGCACTCGTCGGCACTGCGGCTGACGATGCGGCCCTCGGGCTCGGCGTAGGGAAAGGCGAGGCCCTGCTGGATCATGTCGGCGCGCACCTTTGGCTTGGCCTCCTGCACCGTCAGGCCCTTGTACTCGCCCGCCAGCATGACGCCCGAGTAGAAGCCCTCCTTGTACGTCAGGTCCTTGGCCTCGGCCAGCTGCACCTTGTCCTTGGGCGACTGGATCTTCATCTGCTTGCACAGGAACTCGGCGGCCATGTCGCCGTACGAGGGCGTGCGCAGCACCGGGAACGGGTCCAGCGCTGCCCACGAGGGGTCGATCTTGTAGTACTCGGCCTTCTTGCGCAGCTCCATCAGCGTCGCGTAGTCGTCGGGCGAGTCGCTCGGCACCGACGTCACGACACCCGTGCCCTTGGTCGCCAGCACCGTCTCCATCGGCAGCACATACACCTCGCCGTAGTGCGCAAAGGGCGCCTTGATCTTGGTGCCGACGAGCTTGGCGCCGTCGAGCGTCGCCAGGCACTCGACGCGGCCCTTCTCCGACGTCGTGCCCTGGTAGGCCATGTTGCGCGCCGCACGCTCTGTGCAGACGTACACGTTCGTGTCGTTGATGGCGTACAGGCCGTAGGGGATGGCCGGGCCGACGTAGCAGTTCGTCTGGCCGTACCTAGGACAGCACGCTCAGCCGCAGCACGTGTGCGCGTCGGCCGCGGCACTCACATCGTCTCGGGGCGCAGCGTGGCGGCGACAAAGTACACCTTCTTGCCCTGCACCTTCTGGTCCACCTCGGGCGCGGCCAGGCCGCTCCACTGCACGACCTCCATCTTCAGCGCCGTGTACTCCTGCGGGCCGAGCGCCTCGCCCTCGGAGCGGTCGTGGTCCATGCACGGCTGGCCGTCCTTGGGGCTGTAGATGGTGTAGCGCTCGCCGAACTTGATCTTGTTGGCCTCGCGCAGCTTGTTCATCTGCCAGCGCACAAACGAGTCGTAGTACGGGTTCACGTCCGTCGTGAGGAAGGCGCGGCGCCAGTCGATACGCGCGCCGAGCGCGGTGCAGTCGGCCTGGCCGGAGGATTAGCTGCGAGGCACTGTCATGCGTGGGCGACACTCACCTGCGAGATCGGCGGGTAGTAGGACAGCCAGTGCCGAGCGTCGGCAAACTTGGCAATCTCTGCCCGCGGCACGCCCGTCGCCTCCATGATCTGGAACTGGTACTTGAGGCCGGTGCTCTTGGCCGCGACCTTGCCCTTGGTGGCCTTGGCCGCGTTGCTCTGCGTCACGCTCGACGTCGACGGCGTGGCGCTCGGCTCCGGCTGCTCCTCTGCGTCGGGCTTGTAGCCCGAGAAGTCCTCGCCGAAGAGCTCAATCTCGCGCTTGAGCTTGTCTGCGCACGCCTGCGAGGCGATCAGAGCTGCAGGGGGCTCGGTGCTGCAGGGCACTCACCGGGATGGGCATGCCGGTGCAGTGGAACGCCCACGGGAAGAGCGCACGCTTGCCGCGCATGCGCTCGTAGCCCGTGGCGAACTCGACCTTGGACAGCGAAAAGGCGTGGCCGAGGTGCAGCGAGCCGTTGGCATAGGCGTAGGGAAAGGTGAAGAGCATCTTGGGGTACTTGGCGCGGATCTCCTCGGGACTCATGTCCTCGAGCCCGGCCTCGGTCTGCATTGGCGAGTCGACCTCGAAGTGCTTGGCGGCCGCCCACTCGGCCTGGAACGTCTTTTCCAGCTCCGTCAGGCGGTCACGCTTGCCCGTCTGTGGGCAGGTCTCAGTCAGCTGCCGCGGGAGCAGAGCGGGCGCACGCCAGGTACGCACGTTCTCAAACTGCAGCATCGGGCCCTTGTCGGCCTCGGCGGACGCCATCTTGGCGGCGGCGAAGCAGCGGACGGAGGCGCGGGGCGGGGCGGCGCGAGGCAGCAGCAGGCGGCCCTGCGAGGCGGGCACGCGGCGGCAGAGAGAGAGAGGGCGGAGCAGCGCGGGCGAGAGCGGGGCTGACGCAGCAAAGAGCGTCGTGGTGAGAGGCGCAAGACTCGACAACGTCGAGCAGCAGAGGAGGGTGGTGGTGGTGAGGGGCGAAGCAGGAGAGTCGAGTCTTCTCGCCCGGCGCGGCGCAGCGGGAGGCCTCCTCGGCCATTTTGGCGCGTCACGTGCGCGGCGGAACCAGGCCTCCGCACGGGCCGCGCCCAGTCCCACGCTCAGGGCGCAGGTCTCGGCCGGTACCAGCACGCGGCGCCAGCTGGACCCCACCTCACCCTCTTGCTGCTCGGCCATCTTCACCACCATCCTCTCGGCGCTTCACCCTCCAGCGCATACCTGCGCTGCCCTGCCGCGCCCATGTCGCGCACAGCTGCGGCCGCCCGGCCGCGCGACGGCGGCGCTGCAGAGGCGGCAGCGGCATCGTCGGCCGCCGGCTCCTCGGCCGCCGCAGCCGGCGGTGCCGCGGGCGCCGTGTCGGCGCTCGAGGTGCTCTCGGCGCCCGTCGAGCCGCCGCCATGGCGCCCACGCCTGCATGCGGGCAGCGCAGCCGCCGGCATCCCCGACTACTACCCGCCGCAGCCGAACAACGACGAGGAGAACGAGGGCTACATCCGGCACGGCATCACGCCGCGCCCCGCCGTGGGCAACGAGACGATGACGGCGCACGACATGATCTACGACCGCATCCGCGGCGCCGGCGTGCTCGAGCTGCTCGGCAGTCTCTTTGGCGAGGTGCTGCTGCGCCGCGAGGAGCTGCAGCGCGAGCGCATCGCGGCGCCCACGCACCGCCCGCCGCCGCGCGTCACGCTCAACGAGGTCAAGCTGGCCGCCTACATCAAGGATCTCGCAGACCCCGACGTGCCGCTGCAGCGCCTGGCACGCAGCGTGCCGCACGGCTACCGCGGCGAGCGCATGCTCGACATGCTCTGGAGCGGCTCGGCCACGCCGCCGGCGGCCATCGGCGCCACTGCCGCCGCGGCCGTCGCGGCCAGCCGCGCATCGGCGCCGCGCGAGCCCGTCGAGGTGCATCGTGCCGTCTGGTTCATCCGAGTGGTCGGAGCGACTGAGATCGTGAGTGGGCGGAGTGGGTTGCGTGTGTGTGCCGAGGTGCCTGGTGCTTAAACTCCTGCGCCTTCAGACCTCGTCGCGCTCGCGCCAGAACAGCAACTATACGGGCGAGTGGACAAACGTGTTCGCGGGCTGGATGCGCAAGCAGCTCTCCGAGCTCAACGTCGGCACACCCGGCGGCAACGCGCCCTCGTCGCCCACGGTCGGCACGGGGCGGGCCGGCTTGGCAGCACGCACTGTGTCGGGCCTCGGTGGCCCAGCAGCCGGGAGCAGCACGCCGCGCGAGTCGTTGGTGCTGCAGACGCCCGACCTGGAGCGCCGATGGACCGCCAAGTGGGCGTACAGCCTCTCGCTGGCTCGTGCGCTCGCAGCACAGTCGCTGCTCGATCTGCGCGTGCTGGCGCGCTGGGCATTCGAGCTCATCGGCAGTGCCTCGCTGCCTCAGCTGCCGTTCGTCGTCTCGCTGGCTCAGGAGCACGTGCACCTCTGTCCCTCTTCGTACGCGCTAGCCCACGCTCTCATCGAGGGCGCCGCCTCGCGCATTGTGGAGCTCGAGCGCGTGCGCGGCGGCGCAGTGGCGACGCGCATGGCGGAGCAGCTCGGAGCGCTGCTGCGCTATGCCTTTGACGCGGCGCCGGAGACGTTTGTGGCGCCCGCGCTGTGGGCCAAGCATGGCGCCGTGCTGCGCCGCACGCTCTCGGCAGGTGCAGGCGCAGCAGAGTCCTCGGCGCGCGCGGCGCAGCGCGAGGCGGACCTCGAGCATCTCGAAGCCAGGAACAAGCAGGCGCTGCTGACGGAGGAGGCAGCGCGTACGCGGACCGGCTCGCGTGAGGGCGGAGACATTGAGGTCAGTGGATCCGCGCGCCCGGAACCGCCTTGGGCTGGACTGACTCTTATAACCAGCTGCTGGACAACTTCTCCGCCTCGAGCGACCTCGAGGCGCTCTGCGCTGCGTACTTTGCGCAGGACAGCGGCGGACGGTCGCTGTCCGCCAAGCTGGACACGCTGCTGATCTGGGCCACGACGGCGTGGCGCAGCGGGCTGCACCGGCCGTGGCTGGCGGCGCAGCTGATACAGATGCTCTTCGACGACGACTACGAGACGTCGCACGGCTCCGCGACGAGCGAGCGGCCCTCTAAGCACTCGCGCTCCAGCGGCGCGTCCTTCGACCTCGACTTCTTCCTCTTCCGCTGGCTCTCCTCTGTCGATGCAGCCCAGTCGGGCGCGCCGCAGAACGGCGCAGTGCTGCACTCGCATCAAGACTCGCTTGCCTCCGTCGAGCTCACCAACGTCATCATCACGTTTGGCGAGCTGATCCGACACGGCTGCTTCTCGTTTGCCAAGTACCTGCAGCGCCTCACGGCACGCGGCATGACAGCCACCTCCTCGCATTCCAATGGCGAACGCAGCAGCGACTCGAACGGCGCCACACAGCCGGCCCACGAGGACACGCTGCACTCGCGACTGCTGCGTTCGCTGCCGGTGCACCGCATGAGCACGCCGCTGTCGCACCAGCGGCGCGCAGCGATTTATGGCATGCGCCCCACCGAGTCGCACGAAGAGGCGGCCGAGCGGCGTGCCGTGCGTGAGCTGCACGCGGCCATGTCATGGCTCTTCGCGGCGCCGGGTGCGCTTGCCCAGAGCCCCGACATCGAGCCAGCGGACGCCACGGCTCTCATCGAGCAGGTGCCGCACCTCTGGAGCGCTTCGCGCTACGTGCGCGTACGCGTCATTAGCTCGCGCATCCTGCCCGCGGCGAAGCAGCTCGGCGAGGCTCTGAGTGCAGACCGCTACGTCGTGCTTGCGCGCTTCATGTCCGAGGCGCGCGACTTTGTCTCTCTGGCAGATGTAAGTGCTGCCTGCTTGTCGCCCATGTTTCTTGCGCCTGACACCGCACCAGCTCGTGACGTCGCTGCTGCGCAGCCTCTTCGCCCGCGACGACGCAGCGCTGGCTGCAGCGCTGTTCAGCACCATCACCGAGCACTCGGCCATCTGGTCCAGCCTGCGCTCGATGCCGGCGCTTGTGGACGCCATCAACTCGGTCTACTCCTTCGCGCTCGCTGCGGGCCGAGAGCGCGTGGCCGAGGCCTGCCGCATCTCGCGCCGTTCCCTCGCCGCGCTCGGTGTCGCCGGCATCGCGAATTCGACACAGCACTCCGTCAAGGACGAAGAGCCAGACGCAGCACCGAGTGCCAGCCCGGCAGAGGTCGAGAGCGTGGTGCAGGAGGCACTGCGGCTCTCGGCAGTCGACGCGGCCACCGACGCGGCACTCGTCGACCGCCTGCGCGCTTGCGGCCTCTCACCGCCTGTGCTCGGGCGCGCAGTGATGCAAGGTGCCCTGACTGCGCTGGCTGCTGGCACGTCCGGAGAGGCCTCGGCAAACGTGCTGCATCTCGTGCGGCTCGTTCAGCAGCTCGGCCGGGCCGCACACGTCGCCCTCGGATCCGCCTTGCGCGACTGGACGGTCGCACACGTCAACGATGCTGCGACGCCGCCCGAGGCTGCCCGCGGAGGCCTGGCTGCCTTTCTGCTGCACACCGTCAGCCTCGGCTGGATGGACGTTGGCGAGCTGCTCAACGGCTTTGTGGTGCCGTGCGTGGCCGAGACGGCACGCGCTTCGGCGGACAGCGCTGCCGATCCGACGTTTCCCGCCCTACTGGAGACGTGCCTGCTCGTCGCCCGCACGCTCTTGCTCACGCGCGAGCACGGCTCGAGCCTGCCGCTCTCACTGCAGGTGCTGCACCACCTTGGCGCGCGCCGCACCGAGCTGCTCGAGTCCGAGTCGGTCATGCTCGTCTACCAGCTCGTGGCGTATCTCGCCGTCATGCCGTGCGGCACGCCCACGGCGCCTGCAGCCGTGCAGGCGGCGTCCGGGCTCTGCGACGATCTGCTCGCCTCGCCCAAGTTCCAGACGGCGACGTGCTCGCGGCACCGGCTGCTCGCCGGCGCGATCCGCGAGGTGGGCAAGTCTGCCTGGGGCGTCGACGTGCCGTCTGCCTTTGAGCGCATCTTCGGCACGCTCGATCCCAACGGCCTGATCCGCGTCGCGCCGCTGGAGCTCGACTGTGCCGTGGTGCTCGACCATCTCGACCCGTGGCGCTCGCTGCAGGCCGTCGTCGAGCTGACGTTCATCATCGAGCGCCTACAGACGGTCGAGGCCAGCTCACAGGCGCGCGCGCAGGCCAAGCTCTCGAGCCTGGCTGCGTGCGTGTTCGAGCCGTTTTTCCTCGGCGAGCATGCCGAGCTCGGGCTGGAGCTGCTGCGCGAGACGAAGAACGTCGACTTCATGGCGCGCATCGTCGACATTGGCATGCGCGAGCTGCTCGAGCGCCTCACAGACGTGCCCAGCGAGTCAGAGCGGCGCGCCGAGGCGCTCCTCGGCGCTCTCGCTGCCGTGGCCATCTGCGGCGAGCGCCCTGCCCTCGTGTGCGGCAGCACTGACTCGACGAATCGTCTCGTCTTTCACATTGCCGACTGGCTCGAGACGCTCGTGCAGCGCAGCCACGCCTCGGCGCCGGTCGGCGCGGATCTGCGCGGGCTCGCACTGCGGCTCAAGGTGCTACACCTGCTGCTGCGCGTCTCGAACCTCTGGACCCCGGCTAACAAGGCCGTGGCGCCACGGCTCATCGGCTCGCTGCTGCAGCTCGCCATCGCACACGGCGCAGCAGAGGAGGACGAGGCGCTCTTTGCGGCGCTGCTGGATGCGTGCATCAGTGTGCTCGACGAGCTGCCCAGCGACGCAAACACGCAGGCGCTCGCTGCACTCGGCGCCGCCTGTCCCGCCGACAGCCTGCTCTTCGATGTGCGCGGCCACCAGCTGCCCGCACGCAACACCGTGCGTCTGGCGCGCCTGCTTCCGCTGCCGGCGCTCTCGGCACCGGGCGCGGCTGGCAGCAGTCTGGTGCTGGCGCGCAGCGCAAACGCGGCCCTGTCGCTCGGCAGCTGGACCGCCGTGGCGGACAGGCCGTGGGAGCTGCACGACCACGTCGATCCGAGCAGCGTCCCTGGCGCGCCAAACGGCGCGGCTGCCAGTGCGCTGCCGACGGGAGGCGCACGGCCCGCTGCCGCTGCAGCTGTGCAGTCCGAGCTCGGCTACGCCGCGACGCCGCTGACAAACGCCGGTGCGCTTCCTCTCGGCCTCTTTGCCGCGCACAAGACGCGCGACCGCGTGCCGTCGTCGCTGTACGCAATCAGCGCGCCGGTGCGGCAGGACGGCAACGGCAACTCGGTCGCCTCGACGCCACGCGCCGCGCCGCTCGAGGAGCCGCGGGCATCTGCGGCCGACGAGGCGCGCCTCGGCTGGGCCGCGTACGAGTCGGAGCGCACGTATGGCGACGGCGTCGGCGGCGAGCCGGCTGCCGCTCGCGATGCGCGCCGCGCGGTGGACCTGCTGCCGTTCTTCGTCGCTGCCGACGATGACGCCGATGCGGCAGCGAGCAAGGCGGCAACGCTGCCGCCGGAGCTGCGGCGCGCAGATGAGATACTGCGACAGCAGGAGCTCGACAAGGAGCGCATCCGCGCCGAGGCCGACGAGGCGCGCGAGCGGCAGGCGCGCAAGCGCAAAGAGCCGCCCAAGGAGGAGGCGGCGCCGGGCGGCGACGTGCTGATGAGCTCGACGAAGAGCAGTCCGAAGACGGTCAAGGCGCGGCCCAAGGCGGGCGCGGCCGCGCGGCGCAAGTGACTGTGTGCTGGGATACCAAATAGATGAGCCTGCACACCCGGTCTGATGACTGACTTGGCATTGCATCGCGCGCGCGAGCGCGTCAATTGTCCCACAAGCCCCCTGTCCTCTCATGCGAACTGCCCGAGAATGTGTCAGTGACGCAATGCAGATCAGCACGGTTTCTGCTCGACCTACCGCGCTCAGATAGCTGCGCGGTCGAGGATAGGATGCATGAGCGTCAGCAGGGTGAGCACTCTCGTCGCAGCACGCGTCACGCACCTCTCTGCGACGATGCGTGCCCGTGCGTTGAGGGAGAGCTTGATCTCGGAGATCTCCTGCGGGGGACAGGCGTAAGAATCTGGTCAAATAGCAGCGCAATGGCTCAGGGTGCGCCCGCAGCATCCATGCGCGTCGTTCGGTGACGCGTGTGCATCCCACCCATCCCCAAGTCTGTCGCTCTGCAGCAGGATACTTTCCTTGTCGACGTCCTCCATAAATTGACAAATGAAGTCTACGAGCCTATGCTTCTGCAGAGTCTCGGTGTGGAAGTTTGTGATGAGGAAGGAGATGTCGTAGCCCTGCCAGGATGATTTTGGGGTCAGTTCCAGGCCAAACAATCAGCTACGCGACTCGATCTGCCGCGCCGACCGCCAATTCAGCGCTCGGCACCGGCAGCTCTGCCACGATTCGACTCCGGAGATGGCCTTAGAGAGCTGGCACCATCATAGATGCCCGCTATGGACCAGTGACCCTGTCGCGCTCCAGCTGCGACGCGTCGCATCGCCTCGCACCGCCGCCGCCGCAGCCCTGATCTGCCTGCACTCACCGGCACTGGCTTGCGGCGCAGAATGACGAAGCCCTCGGCGCGCAGCATGAGGAAGCGCGTGAGCTTGTGGCAGACGATGCGTTCGATCTCGTCGGCCTGCTTGATGCGGATGCTGAAGCGCACCGAGTTGGCGCTGGGCTCGATGAGCACGTGCTCCGACTCGTTGCGCGCCACGCGCAGCGGCGTCAGAAGCAGCTCGCGGCTCGTCGCCGCCTCGACCTCGGGCACGTTGTGCCGCTCGACGACCTGCGAGGCGAAGTTGGAGAGCACGAGGGCGGCGGTGAGAGACGAGCGCACGCAGGAGAGGTACGGGCGCAGCGTGTTCGACATGGCGGGCGAGCGTGGCGAGGAGCGAGGTGTGCGCAGGCGGTGAGAGGAGCTGAGTAGAAAGCAGAAGGGGACTTGGATGGGACAGCGGCCGTCGTGGTTGGGAGAGGGAGTGAGGTGTGGAGCAGTCGAGGCATGCATCCGCGACCGGCGGCGGCGTCCGTGCACCGGGGCAGCGGCGTGCACGTGATGCCGCGCGCCGGGCGTGGGAGCAGCTGCGCCCGCGCCAACACCGCATGCGTGCCGCTGGCGGCGTGCCTGCTGGCGCGTGGCCGGTGCTGGCTCAGGAGCGCCGGTGGCTGTTGCTTGCGCCCTCGCCGTGCACGGCCATCCCAGCTCCTGGCCACCAGCATCGCGCCTCGCTCCTCTTGACACACCTCACCGCCGCACCTCGCTGCACCTGCATCGGCCGCGCACTCGACGCATGGCGGCGGCGCTCTGAGGCCGTGCCCCTCGCACCCTTGCGCCATGTCCGTGCGCCCGTCGCCGACGCCTTCGCCGCCGGACTCGGCGCACCCACTGCACGCCGCCGCACGCGCCGCGCAGCCGCCCAGCAGCACGCTCTCGCGGCGGCGGCGTGCCGGCGAGGCTGCCGCGGCCGACGAAGGCACTGCCCTGCTGCGCCCGCCGCGCGGCGCGCCCGTCGATGAGCAGCACAAGGGCCACGCCACGCCGCCCGCCGCCACGGCCCTCGAGCGCCTCGAGACGCTCTTCGGTCTCTCGCCGCAGCCCGACGCGGGCGCCGCCTTTCCTGCCTCGGCCCTCGCCTCCTCCTCTCGCACGCCCGAGGCGGCGCCGGCGCCCGCGAGCCGGCTGGTGCTGCAGCACGCCGTCGGCCCGTCCGACACGCTCGCCGCCATCGCCCTGCGCTACGGCGTCGAGGAGCGCCTCGTGCGCGCCTCCAACGGCCTCTGGCCCGGCGACAGCGTGCAGGCGCGCCGCGTCATTCTCCTGCCGCTCGAGGCGTGCACGCGCGGCGTGCCCGACGCTGCGCGCGCCGAGGCCGGGAGCAGCAGCAGCGGCAGCGGGGCCGCCGACGGGCAGAGTCTGACGCCGCAGCTGCGTCTGCTCGACGCCGCCGCAGCGCAAGAGGCACGCGTCTCGGCCGCCGAGGCCGAGGCGTCCGAGTCGGCACACCACGCCCCACAGCGCTCCCTCTCGACGCGCGCCAGCTCCACGTCGCTCTCGCTGGCGCGCTCGCATGCACACACGCGCAGCGTCGGCACCGGCGACGGCGGCAACTCTCCCGCGCCGCGCGTGCGGAGGCTCAAGAGCTCGGCGCTGAGCTTCTTTCCTCCTGGAGGCGCACGCACGCGCGGAGAGGACGAGGCGGACGAGGCACATGCGAAGGAGGAGGAGCGCGTGGCGCCGGGCGAGAGCGGCGTCGACGATCTCATCCAGCTGGCCGAGCGCGCTCGCCTGAGGCAAGATGTGGCGCCGGGAACAAACGGCCACTCGGCGCCGGCGGTGAATGCGCTGCCGCTGAACCGCAGCCCGGCCGTCTCGGCGCGCGAACTCGACGACGACGACGAGGAGACGCCGTGGAAGGCGAATCGCTGGCGCTTTGGCAATGCCTCTTCTTCCTCGTCGTCGGGCAACCGGCCCGCTCCGACATCGACGCCGTCTGCATCAAGCTCGTCTGGCTATCTCGGCTGGAACGACGCGCCGGAGATCGCGCCCTCCAGCAACAGTGCCTCGCGAGCCGCGCGCAACGCTCGAGCCCGACGACCAGCTGCCACCGCCTATGTCGTGCCTGCGACTGCTGGCAGCAGCAGCAGCAGCGGGCTCTTCGGCCAGATCGCCGCCGGGCTGCCCGCCAACGACGGCGCCGCGGCCAACTGGCAGCGCCCCATCCACGCCTCGGTGCCGCTGCCTGCCGCCGCCGCCGCCGCCTCGGCGCGCGCGGCGGGGCAGAAGCGCAGCGACTGGGGCGCCCTCGTCTCCGACGCCATCCGCGGGCGCGTCAGCCTGGAAGACGCCTGGTCAAGCTTGTCTGCTCCCTCGCGTCCGCCGCCGCCGGCACGAGCGACGTCGGCGCAAAGTGGCACCTCCACGGCTCCGCCTCTGCGACTGCGCCCGCCAGATGCCGCACCCTCAGACGCCGCCGCGGCACGCAAGAGCCTCTCGCGCGCGGCGGGCGCCGAAGTGCGAGAGGCACTGCGCGCCGACAGCGCCGAGCTGGAACGCCTGCAGCCTCCTCCAGCGGCGAACAGTCTGCGCGGCAGCAGCGGGAGAGGAGGAGAGATGGGCCGAAGGAGAGGCATTGTGGATGTGGACTGGACGTCGTGAAGAGGGTGCCGGCGGCGTGTTGCGAGGTGCAATTTCAGACTGCCTTCGAGCCTTGTGACAGGCTTGCCCGTGCTGGACGAAGAGGAAGCCAGCAACCCTTGCTGCGTAGGCGTCAGTACTTGCTCTGGCGTTCTCGAGAGCGTCGCGCCACACTACACGGAGTCCGGACTCAGCTTGCCACACACCGCACGTCGGGCACTAGCTGCACGCCGCTTCTCCTGACGATGCTCGGCCGACCTCGTCCCGCCAGTCTCATCACGCATGGTGGACCCTGGTCGTCTCTCGCTTCACATGCAAAGAGCGTAGGGCTGTGCGCCGTAGGGCCGCCTCACTGTTTGTGCGTCACTCGACTCGACCTCTCTTGCGTTTCCGCAAGATGAGGATCGACGTGCTGCGCGCTGCCTGCTTTGCGCGCTCTTCCAGCCCTCCACCTTGCTGTTTTCTCTGGCTTAAGGTGCGATCGCGGACGAACGATGGGGACGGAGCAGGCGCTCTTTTTTGCTGCTGAAGTGTGCTGCAAGCTTACACGTGGGTCGCAGTGAACCCTGAGCCCGGCCGATCTTCTTGCCATGCTTGCGCCGCCGGGCAATCGAGGAGGGCAGCTCGCCTCGGAGGACGGAGCGGAGGGTCTGGCCTCTCTCATGCAGCCGTGCGCCACTTTCATGCCCATCGCCCGCGCCTCGTCGAGAGACCTCGTCCATACGAGCCGCCTGCGCCGCAAGGTGTGGCCAGGCTCTTCGAGAGGTGCATCCGCAGGACGGCCAAGAGGAGCGGAGGTCGCGAGCGGGCCGGCGGAGTCGGGGTACGCGCGGCGAAGAGGAGCACGCGTCTGGCGCGCCATGTCACACGCGCTCGCGGCCGCACCTCGCAGCGGCCCTTCCGTCGTGCTGCCAGGCTTTATGCTTAGAAGAGCCGGCGGATCCGTCGCATGCCACTCGGTGGATGCTGTGTACCAGATCAAAGCTCTCCTGCGTGGCGCCGGCGCATCACATGGTGGGAGCTGTGCTGCGAGTGCGTGAGCGCTGCTGCCGCGCCCAAGCAACACCTCGCTGCTGGCGCGCGCAGATCATCCGCGCGCTCCGCCCGCAGATCTCTCTGCTCCGCACCACGACCAATGCTTCTTCTCCCCGCGCAGCGCATGCATCTCTCTATCATCCTTCCCGCGGCCGCAGCACCTCTCTCGCAGAGCCCAGCCTCCGCAGTGTTCCTGCATCTCGCACTGCTAGCTCCTGCCGTCGGCCAGCGCTGCGTTCGCCGAACGCGAGGCCGCAGCCGCCCGCCGGATAGACAATGGCCTGCGCCTGAACTCCGTCGCAGCGCATACTCATGATCCCCTCCTCTGGGCCGGTGTGGAGTGTGCCCTGGTCAGCTGGGCGGTTCGCATGAGCAGTGCACTGAGAGGCCTGGCCAGCAGAGAGCACATAAGTGAGAGTCAGCCGTGCGTCCATCTTGATCCGCCCTTCCCGTTCCCCTGTTCCGTGCGATGCCGAGTCGCAGTCACACCCTAGAGGTCCGCCTCGCGCTGGTCGCCTGGCTACTGCTTCTCGCCCTCTCTGCGCCCGGAGCGCAGGCGCATCCCACGTCGGCCCGTCGTCTCGAGTCGCTCATCGAAAAGGACGAGCAGCTGCAGGAGTACTGCTATCTCTACGTCCATGCGCCCGAACCAGAGACCGTCATCGTCACCTCGACGCTGTACGTGCCCGATGGCGCACGCGTCGCGAAGGCAAGCGAGACGGGCACGCCAGTCTGCTCCGGAGCAGACTGCGATGCACGACAGCAGCAGGTGGCTCCTGCTGCGCAGCAGACGCCCGTGAGCGGGTCTGATGAGGAGTGTATCGAGTGCTTGGCGACGCCAGGGCAGGAAGAAGACGCGAGCGACTTCCAGGACTCTGGCGCGGGCTCCAGCGATCCTGATGGGACAAGCCAGACTCCGGGAGGGGACAGCGCCGGCCGCACGTCCCTCTCGTCCACCACCAACTCGGGCAGCAGCGGCACGCAGTCTTCCAGCGGAAGCAGCGACGAAGCCGCTGCCGATCCCGCCGTTCAGCCTTCGTCAGCAGATCAAGAGAACAATGGGAGCGGCACGCTAAGCAAGCTCGGCAAGGCCAAGTCGCACCACCGGCCGGCATCGTCGTCTGATGATGGCACGTCGTCCACGGACGAAGCAGCGACCCCTGATGGCTCGAGGGTGGTCACCTCGTCAGGCCCTCAGACCGAGCAGCAGCAGTCGTCGGGCGCATCGTCTGGCTCTCAGGCGCCGGCAGCAGGCTCTCAGCCCGCAGACGCCGGGCAGCCGACGCAGGAGAAGGTCTCATCGGAACCCGCTGAAGAGACGCCTCAGACGGACAACTCGGACGGAACGGGCGGCTCGCAGGTCAAGCTGGGAGGCGGCAGCGCCACCTCGAGCAGTGCGCCCGCTGCGACCAGCTCGTCCTCGTTCTTCAGCAGCTTGATCTCCTCGTCGACGAGCTGGCTCACGTCGATATCGTCCACTGCTTCTGGTGGAGAAGTCGAGGCGTCCACCTCTGCTCCGGCGGCTGGCACGACACCAGCAATGACCCCGGGCGGATCGAGCACTCAGGGTCCCGAAGACGCTGGGCTCAGTAGCAGCGCTGTGGCGCCGGTGCAGTCAAGCCCTCCTGAGGGCCAGAGCAGCGTTCTGCCGGAGCCCACGCCGACGGCCTCGACCGTAGACTCCGCCGAGTCCGCGAGCAAGCCGGTCGAGACGGCAACCCAGAGCGAATCTATTCGTCCCGAGCAGACTCCACACGCCACTGCCACGGAGGAGACGTCCTCCAGTGCGCAGAGCGTAGAGCCTAGCTCGACGCAGGAGGCTGTTCAACCGAGCTTCAGCTCAACGCAGGAAGTCGTCGAGCCAAGCCCAACCTCGACGATGGAGGCCAACCAGCCCAGCTCGACACAGGAGGCCAATCAGCCCAGCTCGACACAGGAGGCCGTCCAACCGAGCTCCACCTCGTCGCAAGAGGCCGTTGCACCGAGCTCGACGCCCGAGGACATGCGACCACCCACCGAGACTGCGAAGCCCGAGCCTGAGTCGTCAGAGCCCAGCGCTCCAGCCCCTTCCGCTCCAGCCTCCGCAGAGCCCACGGCTGATCAAACCGCTCCTGAGCCGGCTCAGTCGAGCGCAGCGAGCAGCAGTAGCATTTCTTCGCAATCATCCGCCGCACCAGAGGACGCATCGCCCACGCACACAGCGCCCCAGGAGCCTGCAGAGCCTGCGCCTACGAGCCCGAGCGCAGAGAACGGAGCGCCAGGCGGTGGCGAGGGGACCCCGACGTCGAGCAGCTCGTCCAGCGAGCCCACTCCTGCCGCCGAGCCCTCGCAGGAGCCCGGCACTGGCGTCTCGTCCACCTCCGCCGCCGCGGAGCCGAGCTCGTCGTCAGGTGCCCCACCTGCTGCAGAGCCCTCGCCGGCGCCTGGTCCGGTCGAGCCGAACGACACGCCAGCATCTAGCTCCACGATCCCCGAGTCTTCCTCCGTGCCTGCCGCGGCTGAGCCGAGCGCAGAACCATCTTCGAGCTCCGTGCCAGCTGAGGAACCTTCCCCGGCGCCCAGCGCGGTCGAGCCCGCAGAATCATCAGCATCGGTCTCCACACCCGCCCGGCCTGAGCAGACGCCTCCTCCAGAGCCAGCAGCCTCCGAATCGACGTCGACGTCGCTCAGCGACGCAAGCACTTCGCCGGCGCAGCCTAGCGCCGAACCAAGCCCTGCACTGGTCGTCGATTCATCCTCGTCTGTGAGCACCTCTACGGCCGAGCCCTCGGCACCTCCGGCAGAGTCTTCCTCCGCTGTACCTGCTGCCACATCTACAGCGTCGACGGCAGACTCTTCCGCACCGGCAGCAGAGACCCCTCCGGCCGCCGCAGAGCCTCCTCAAAAGAGCGTCTCCAGCAGCAGCTCGTCCAGCTCGGCTGAGCCCACACCGACGCAAGCAGAGCCCACACCGGTGGAGAGCCCCGCTGGCTCCTCATCCGAACCGGCGGCCTCGTCTTCGTCAGTTTCGGAGGCCAGCAGCTCATCGTCTGCCCCTGTGGAGCCCTCGCCGGTCCAGCCTGAGCCGCCGCAGACGTCGGCCGCGTCAAGCTCGTCCACTCCCGCGCCGGCAGGCGAGCCCACTCCGGCCGTCCCTGCCTCCGAATCCTCATCGACGCCAGCAGCAGCCGAGACAAGCCCAGCACAGGATAAGTCGCCCAGCCCACCGGCTGCAGAGACGAGCTCAAGCGCGACAAGCACGTCGAGCGAGGCCACGCCCGCTGCCGAGGTCAAGCCGACCGAGAGCAGCAGCGTCGAGCCGCAGCCATCTAGCACCACCACGCCTCCGCCGAGCGCCGAGACGCCGAGCCAGAGCAGTCCTCCGGAGCCGCCTGCTGAGGAAGAATCGACGGCTTACGTGACCGAGACGGTGTAGTGAGTCAACAGGTTCCGATCTGCTCGCTGCGCCTTGCTGACGATGCCCTGCAGCGAGCGGCCAGCAAGCACCGTGACTGACGTCCGTGTCACTACGACGACGTCGGAAATCCTTGCAACGACGACGCAGCGAGTGAGCTCAGCGACAACGGTGACCTCGACTACCTTCTCGACCAGCACGGTCAGCGAAGAAGTGACGAGGACGTCCACGAGTGTGGCAGAAGCGGAGGTGACTTCCAGCCCAGTCTCCACGCAGCCTGCGCAGACGTCCACGGCGACTGTCACGACTCAGGAGACCGCGACAGTCTCGGAGCCAGCAGCAACCTCTACCGAGTCACAGACGACCACCCTCGAGACCACCAGCACCGGTACGCATCGTCCGCATGCCCTGCTTGCCACAGCTTGCTGACACCTTCGCGCAGATACGGTTACCGAGACGGCAGCTCCCACTACGCAGACCGAGACCGTCATCTCGTCGACCGCCATCGCCACAGAGACCCAGACATCCACTCTGCCCTTCGAGCGGCGGGTGGCAGAGCCGGGCCTGAAGCGACGCGGAATGCTCCAGCCAGCGCAGGCGACATCCACGTTCAAGGTCGATGCGAAGCCCCGGCACACGTTGTCGCCGATGTGGAAGACCGAGCCAGACGGGCCCATGCACAGGGTAGGCTTGGCCAAGGCGGCCAAACACCAGCACATCAATGCACCGGGCCAGCTCTGCTCTTGCGGCATGCGCATGCCTCTCGCGCCTGATGCCGGCGCTGCGCCCGTTCGCACGGTCAAGGTCAACCTCAAGCCGACGGCGACGCCGCTGCCGCTGCGTGTGCCGAAGAAGTTGAGGCAGTTTCAGCCGCAAGAGGTGCAGCACGCCTGCGGCGCGTTCATCGACGGCCGGCTGAACGACATGCTGCGAGGGCCTGATCAGCAACTCGCGGCGCGTGCCGGGCCTCGCGCCGCGGTGACGCTCACGCGCTATGTGCGGCTTGGCCAGCCGGCGGATGTGACGCAGAGCCTCACGCGGACTGAGACTGGTGAGCAGAAGAGCGGCTTTCCCAGATTGGAGCCCGGGCGTGCTGTGTCCGTCAGGTCAAGCCGAACAGAAGAACTCTCCTGCGCGAGCGATCGGCGCCTTTCGAGGCGACAGCAGCGTGCCGAGCGCTCGGGCATGCTTGAGCTCGCAGCCTCTCAGGCTCCTCTCACTACTCTGTCAATCCGCTAACTCAACCTGCTGCAGCACTGGCCGCACGTATCACCGTCAGCGAGGTCGTGCCGATTGTAGCGACCGAGGTGGTTGCAGGCGCGACTGTGCGGATTGCCACGACACAGCGCGTCATCGAGGAGGTCGCACGCATCACCTCGACGCGGACGATCCTGGCGCCCCTCCAGATCATCACGCCTCCGGCGCTCATCATCGCAGAGACTCGCACGCTGCCGCGGATCGTCGAGACGCGCCGTCCGCCTCCGGTGGTACTGACACGTTTGGCAACGGCGTTCCGGAACGTGCAGCAGCTCCGCACGCTCACGCTTCCGGCGGTCCCTACGACGGTCCGAGTCGTTGTGCCGCAGCCCTTCACCCTGCTGCGCTTCGCCCAGGTTCTGGCCAAGCCGATGACGGCTGCCGACTGCTCCAAGGAGATTCTGCGCGACGTCGAGGGCATCTACCGGCCGTTCTGCGCTTCGAGAGTCGCCGGACTGCTGGGACGTTCGCTGGAGCTCGATGACGGTAGAGAGCGCTCGAATGCGACCCTGGGAGAACTCCGTGCCGGCCCTCGACGCCGCGCACTGCTGCCCGACAGGCTGCTCTTCTGCAACCTAGCGGCAATTTCCGACGCCTGTGGCTCTCTCTTAAACGGCGGCGCCACCCCGACGCCGACACAAACGTCGACTCCTGCAGCCACGCCCACAGTCCGCGTTTTGCGGAAGGCGGATACCACGTGCGGCAACGGCGGCATCACCTGGTACCACCATGCGCTGGAGCAGCCGCGCCTCGACCTCTGGGGCGACCCCAATTGGCTGAAGTTCGACCCGCTGCTCTATGATCCGGTGACGCACGCGGCCAACGCGCGCTACTACGACACGGGCACCATCTCTTCGCTCGGCTACTGGTCGAGCCGCACGACGACAGCGCCTGCTGCCAACCAGGACTTCTGCTCGATCTACTACGATACGCACAAGGCGTACAACGTGCAGACGATCACTCAGCGCGGCTACATGTTCGCTCCTCTCACTGGCACATACACGTTTACCATCTATGATGTGAGTCCAAAGTAGGTGCACCTCTTGACAAGCTGCTCACATCGCTTCAACAGGTGGACGACATTGCGATCCTATGGGTCGGAGACCAGGCGCTGACCTCCTACTCGCGCACCACGGCCCTCGGCATCGCGACGTGGGCCACCGGCCCAGGCAACAACGTCCCCGGCCGTTTCACCAAGACGATGGACTTCACTGCAGGCACGTACACGCCAATGCGCATCATGTGGGCCAACGGCCCGGGCGGCAGCCTCATGTCGATGACCGTGACCGCTCCCGACGGCACCAACATCAACACGGCCGACTGGTTCGTGACAAAGCCGTGCGACTCGACCGCAGCCAAGGCCTTCCCCAGCTACGTGCGCGGCACGCCGGCGGCGACGAGCAACTACGCCCTGTGCCAGCTGCGCTGATGCAGCGTGTCTGACCGGCGCCCATTCTGCGGAGCCTCGCGGTTGATCCGTGGGCTCGCTTCCTCTCTTTTCGCTTCCACACTCCTTTGTTTTGCTCCCACACTCTTTGTGCTTTCGAATACATACACATTCCTTCTGAGAGAGGCCACCGAGCGACAGAGCAGAGTTGCGGCGTGGACAGCACGCCGCTCATACAAGCTCGTGCGTAGTCGTGTAGGCGGCCCCGGACGTGCGCTGGGCCTCCGGCACTTGCTGCGCGATGAAGCGGGCCTGCTCCTTCCGTGCCTTGGCTGCGTCCATCGGGATGAGGAACAGGGAGCCGAGGATGGCCATGCCCAAGAGGAAGTAGAACGGAAGCGACTACGTGGAGGTACGTCAGTCATCGTGGCGGGCAGCCTACGCCTCTGGATCTCTGCACGCACCTGGTTGCCATAGTCCGCCAGCGCACTGCTGACGAAGGGCCCGACGAAGCTCGAAGTGCGCCCCACCACTGCGCAACAAGGATGTCAGCCTAGATCTCCCCGGTGGGTGTGAAGACTGACGGTTGAGCAGCGAAAAGACCTGGAACTCCAGGCCCCTCGGGCTGACCTCGCTGATGCCGGTCTGCGAGTAGGCGTACCAGGGGCAGACGAACAGGCCTGCAAGGCAGTCAGCACTAGGTCGAAGCTCTGAGCGGTCCTGCGACGAACCATAGAAGGCCTGGTACGCGTACGCCTCCCAGACGTTGTGGAAACCGAAGCGCAGCGTGAAGATGCCGATGAGGCCCCACACCTGCAGCAGGACGATGAAGCCGCACACAACTTTGAGCATCGTCACGGTCCCGAGTTTCCAGTGGTGCTGCACGCGCCAGAATGCGTAGATGCCCACGCCTTGGGCAGCAATGCCGACGATCAGCAGCAAGTTGAAAGTTTGTCCCGAAAAGCTAATGAGCGAATTCTGTACGGTGCTGATGACTGTCACGCTGGTGTTGAGCGCATCGCCCATGATGAAGCTGAGCGGGGTTAGGTCGGGTCACGAGCGCCATGGCAAGCGGCTCACTAGAAGACGAGGTACAGCAGCGTCTGCTTGAGCTTCCACACGTGTCTGCACGTCTGTGCGATCGTGACGAAGCCGACGGTCCAGTATGACTGGCCGACGGGTCTGAAGAAGGCGTGAGCCTGCAGCTCAAGATCTGGGCAGCATGTCACTCACAGATTGCGGCCGGGACGTCTCTTCTCGAGGATGAACCACGGCAGAGCGACGAGGAGCCACACACCTCCGCTGCGGGATCGTCAGCAAGGGCGCTCTCTACTGGCGCAGCGAGACTACGCACGTGAAGGCCGTGGCAATGGAGAGGGCGCGGGTGTTTGCCTCCGTGGACGAGTCAGACTTGAGCGAGATGAGCATGCCCTGGATGATGGCCAGCACGACGAGCTCGCCGAGCGAGCACACGGCAAATGCGATGTTGGCAATGCGGTTGCGAGACATGGTGTCGAGCCTGGCAGGGTGGTTAGAAGGGAGACGCTCATGCTGCCCCGGCGCCCTCACTTGTGGTGCTCCTCGGCAGTCGTCCGCGGCGGCGTCTCTGCGAGCGCGGCGGCAGACTCGCGCATCTCGGGCAAGTCACGGGCCAAGCCTGCAGAAGTGGCACGATGAGCCAAGGCCCAGCTGCAGCGAGGGAAGCTGCGCACCCGGAAAAGCGGCCGTCCAGTAGGTCAGGGAGGTCTGATAGAAGATGAGGCCGATGATGCTGCAAGCAGCTGTCAGCCTGCCAGCACATGACTACGCTCTTTGCAGCTCACTAGAGAGCAACGCCGATGCGCCAGCTCGCGGGGTCCGTCACGCCGAGCCAGGCGAAGCTGATGCCGACAGAGATCAGCGTCGAGACAATGAGGATCCACGGGCGCCAGGTGCCGTAGTCGGCGAGCGAGCCGATGACGAGGAAGAGCGCCGCCTGCACCGCAAAGCTGATGCCGTTGGCCAGCAGGGTGATGCTCTGCGGCGTCCGCTCGGCGCCGGCCCAAGCCAGGCGGCAAACGTCTTGGCCCTCGCCGCCGCACGTGTCGCCGCCAGCTGCGGCAGCCGCAAGGGTGATCAGGTTCTGAAGCTGGCCGGGAGAATAGTTGAAGGGCCCGAGGCCACTGCAGCCGATGTACTGTGGCGGCCGATGTTAGCATCGAGCACAGCTTGCGTCTGTCCTCTGTGAGATTAAGCCCGGTACAGGCCTCACATAGATGTAGTATGACCACAGCTCCTTGCGCGACGTCGTCCACTTTGGCAGCGCGGCCGTCTTGTCCTGCGCCGAGACAAGCAGCGCCGCCGCGAGCGTGTCGTCGCTGCTCGACGCGCTGGGCGCCTGCCTCACCGACGCCGCCTTGTCGGACGCGCCGTCGGTGACGCCCGCATCCGTGTCCTGGCGCCGGTGCACCGGTCGTGTAGCGCTCATCTTGATGGCTTGGTGGTACTGAAGAGCGATGCGTCTCTGCGCATTCCGAATTTCAAGCACGCACTCGCCGCCGCATTCACCCCCGCTCCCGCCTCAAGAGGCGGGCCTAACGCAGCGTAGGCGGAGTGCCCAGGTGTGCCGCTCTGCCGCCGGCCTGGCCTGCCGCGGCGACTCGACTGCGAGCCGCCGGCAAGATGCTTTCATGCCGAGAGCTGAAGCTTATGTAAGCATGAGGGCGCAGAGCATGCACGCCCCGCGACGCGCACGCACGCGTGGTGGACACGCAGCGCAGCACTGCGATGTGGTGGAAACTCTGCGGAAGCCCTGTCCACTTCCCCTGACAAGTGAGGGCCCAACATTGGAAGGGCGCTGCGGTGCATTTGATGGTTCAATGCAACTCTCTTGGTTTGAATGCCTCGCAGAACAGGTCGAGCAGGGAGCTGCTGGTGCTCGATTTCGGTATACGCGGGCGTGTCCAGCCGTGTCGTGCGCCATGCGCACGCCGCGCGCGGCTTGGCCCCTTTCTGACGTCGCGAGGCCGAAAGCAGATGCCCGCGCCTGCGCCGGCCGCTCTCGGCCGCAGTGTGCCAAGAGAACGACGCTCCACGCTCGCTCAGCTGCCTGCTTCTCACCACCACCACGACCCTTGCCGCCCGCCCGCCCGTCTTCATCATGCGCGCGCAAGCCGACGCGCTCACTGAGGTCAGCCTCGGCAGCAGATTGTCCAGCGTGCACGCACTGACAAGCTCGCCCGCTGCCAGTCCCTCCTCGCGCGCCCTCGACCCAAGCTCAGCGAGGTGGAACTCTCGCGTAAACACTGCGAGTATCTGCAAGAGGCGGAGCTGAGTGCGCTGGATCTCCTCGTTCTTCGTATGGCTATGCTTGCGCTGCCGCCTCTCGCTCCACCGCCGTTGTAAGCCATCAGCCGTGGGACGTTGTGCTATTTTTCGCTGAAACAGACGGTGCACAGTACCCTGGCAGCGGAGGTGAACTTTGCGCTGTTCGACTACCACAAGATGCTCATGGAATTCGGCCTACCGGGCGGAGATCACTCGTGCGCAGCGCTGATGAACCTCGAGCTTATCCGCATCATCGAGGTAACGTGCGAGCGGCTTCGCGTAAGCCATGCTTCACTGTCAGGCGCAAAGGATGTCAGCGCCATCTCGATGAACACGCGTCAGGCAGCCGAGCTGCGCAGTCAAGACGAGGAGAGAGTCAAAGCGGCCGAGCGCTCGTGGCGAGATGTCAAGGATGCCGCTTATCAGGAGCTGTATCCGTGTGGTGAGCTCCGGGGAGGATTGGGCGATGAGGACGAGAACCGCATCGAGTACATGAGAAGATGGCTGGGCCGGCGTAGGGCAGTCTCGATGAATCACACCGACCCACTCGCCACGGTGAGCAGATCAGAGAGAGAAGGTGGCACGCCTTCCAGAGCCGCTTGAGCCGAATTTGTCTGGCATCTTGGTCTCTGACCCGCTCTGCGACCCCAGGCCTCGACTTCTGTCACAGCATCGAACGCTTTCATCCCGCCGCGCTCCCTTACATCCTCGGCTGGCCCTACGTGAGATCCAAGTATAACGTAGTCTTTGCCGCGCGCTGACTTGCCGCTCCAATTGTGCAACAGCACAACCGTGCAGGCCGCTGTATCCCTCTCGCCGCTCGAGACTGCCGACGAAGGCCACGCAAACGACGCCGATTCGCCTGTGCTGGAACGGTCCGAGACCACCGGCGGTCCACTTCGCTACCCAGGTCCGTGGGACTACGCAGCCACCGGCATGCCTAGCGCCTTGAAGTTTCTTCCGAATCGTTCGCAACATGGCGCCTGTCCGTCTGCAGAGATCACTTTCCGACGCTACATGAACGAGAAAGGCAACAGAAAGGCTCGCTGGCGTAGACTCCTTGCTGCCTTTGACGACGCTGTTACAGCCCGCGCTGAGGCTTTATACTATGGCCCAAAAGCAGCAAACGAGGATCTCGATGCTCATCTTGAAGCTGATTACCTCGACTTCGTGGGCAGCATGCTTCCTGTCCGAACCACGTTGCTCGCGGAGATTGCAGGGAGAGAAGAGGATGATGATGAGGAAGTGTGAGTCGCTCGCCCGACGGGTGCATTACCCCAGGCACTGACAGTATCGCAATTCAAGGGTGCCATTCTCTGACGCAGTCGTGGAGGAGATCGAGTGGGAGTTGTGGAACTGGTACTGCTGGCTGCTCGCCGTCGGACTTCCGCCCGACAGCATCGAGTTTGGCGCACTGTACATGCGCGGCCGCTGGCACGCCAGCGAGTACGCTGCCGCAGGTGAAGTCCCCGCGTTCCACGACATGTAATCGGCCTTCTCCCTTCGATCTTTGAGATGCCCTGGCATGATGGGTTCGCATGTCGAGAGGGTGTGAGGGCATCTCGTGGTGTCTTGGGCGGCCTCATGGCGCAATCGGCCGAGACTCCTTACCGCGCACCGCCCTGTACGAGCTGACCTGTGCCAGAGAGCGTTCCGTGCTGCTCGCTGTCGAAGCGGCAAGTCGCTCGTGGTCGACGGCGCGCAGCAGCGAGGTCTGGCAGCTCAGAGGTGTGCCCAACCTCCCAGAGGCCACAGCGTTGCCAGGGAGCACGGCGCGGTCGTGCTGTGCGAAAGGGTCTCCGCAAGCCTCAGCACAGCCGCTCAGGCGCGAGGTGCAGCGCCGTGGCCGGTTGCGACTCAGGTCGCATGCCGCATGAGTGCCGAGGACACGTCTCGCTGCGCCATGAGGATGGGCTGCCGTGCGGATGGTGCGGGGTACCCTGGCAGGCCACGCCGGCATCGGGCGCTGGCGGCGTGCCTTGCTTGCGCTGAGCCGCCGGCGCCGGGCTTTAGCGGCGTCTGATGGGTGCGGGCGCGTCATGGGCCGAGAGCAAGCAGAGTCGCGCCGTGCCCGCAGCCGACGGCGCAGCGAGCGGGCGCGCCGGCCGACGCCCCCGCCCACGACGGCTCGCTCCTGAGCGCACAGCCGCGACCGACGAGCATGCTCCTCGCTGAGCTGGCAAGAGCGCACGGCAGGGCTTCTTTGCTCTGCGCTGCTGCGGTGTAGATGCAGCGCACACACACACCTCACCTGCCGCTGCAGCAGCGCAGCCGGCGGCGCGGGGCCTCGGTGCGGGTGCGGAGCTTGGGCCGCCTCGACGCGGCTATCTCATGCGCGCAGGCAGCCACACGGCCGCTGCTGCGCGAGGCGTGTTCTTTCTTCCGCCCACCGTCGGCCGGCCTGCCCCACCTTTCCGTTCTGCCTCTGCGGCCTGCCTCTGCTCCACCACATCCACCGCTCGTCCGTCTCGTCTCTGTACATACCCACGCTGCCTCCGTCTCTCGCCTCGCCCAGCCACGCCCATACCCGGCGCACCTCAGTGCCGCACCTGCACCGCAGCAGCCCACGCCTCGCCAACTCCACATCGCCCGCGCCATGATGACGCTGCACGCCCCCGCGCCGCGCCGGCCCATCCCGCTGCTGCGCCGCCGCGGCCACGCCCACTCCTCGTCGCTCTCCAGCAGCAGCGGCAGCGGCAGCCACGCCGCGCTCCTCGGCGTCACGTCCGCCAGCACCTTTGCCTCGGCGCCCGTCTCGCGCGCGCCCTCGTCGCGCAGCGCCGCGCCCGCCGCGGCGCAGCCGCCGTGCACGCCACCGCGCGATGCTCGCCGGTCTATCGCTGCGCAGCTCGAAGATGCAGCGGCAGATCAGGACGCCACGCCTACTCGCGCTCGCACAGTCGATGCGTCTGGCTCTCTCTGCGCAGACCACGGCGAGCGCATCGCTCGCGCCGCATCGCCCGGGCTCCTGCCGCCGCTCTCGCCGAGCACGCTGCATCTCGAAGCGCTGCGCCGTTCCGCCTCGCCTGCAGGCCGCACTGGCGGCGCCAGCGATGCCTCCTCATCCCGCTGCACCTCTGCGGCGCCCACTACAGCGCCCTCGTCGCCGGCGCCCAGCAGCGGCCTGGCAGCCATGCACCCGCATACGCCGCGCGCCGCCTTTGGCCTCGCCACTGTGCACTCGCCCATCCCGCGCGACTGGACGCTCAACCCGCTGGCGCGTCGACGCCTCGACGCCGTCTTTCTCGAGGCCGAGACGCGCGCCGTCGACGCTGCCAAGCACAGCTCGTGATGCTGGCTCGCCGCTGAGCACAGCCTGCGCTGCCGCCTCGCCACGCTTCGCTTTGTGATGCCGCCTCGCCACTCTTCGTCTTGTGAGTTGCACGCTGCCACCGCAGACCACGCCCGCTCACGCTCTTGCCCAGCGTCACGACCTGCATCTTCCCAGACTATACCAGGCACCCGCGTCATCGTCATTCTTCACCCAGCGTCACTATGTACACCCACACGTCTCTCTCTCAGCCCTTCTTGCCCCAGCCAAACTTTGCCGCCAATCCAGTCTTGTCATCGTACTCCGGCAGCTCGCTGCCGTCCGCAGCCAGCACCTTCTTGTCGTCCCAGCCGTCCCACGTGCCGTCGTCGGCGCCATAGTCGGGCAGCGCATCGTGGATGCGCGCCTGCTCATCGTCCTGCCCCTGCGCACTGTTCGTCGAGACGAGCAGCGCAGCGCGAGAGCCGACGGCGCGGCGTGTTGCCTCTGCTGGGTCCAGCTCAAACAGATCCTCGAGGCGTATGCCGCTCGTGACGGTGAGCTCGCCGAGCTGCTCGCGCAGCGACACGGGCCCAGAGAGCGGCACGGCGAGCTGCAGCACGTACGAGACGGAGAGGGTGGGCGTGTAGAACGTCGGCGAGAGGTCGCAGTGCATCTTGCCCGACAGCAGCGCCGTCGAGCTCCAGCCGCCGTCGGCTGCTGCCACGGGCTTGGTCCAGCCGTGTCCCGGGCCGCGCAGCTCGAGGGCGCCGGCGCCCGTCGCACTCGAGCCCTGCGCCGGGCGCGAGCCAAGATGCGTCGTGCTCCACTCGACGCGCAGGGGCAGGTCGACGAGGAAGTCGTGCTCGCTGAGCGTCGCCATCGTGTGCTTCATGCCGTTCGACGTGGCGCGTCGCGCTGAGAACACCGGCCCGCCAACGCTGGCCTCGAGCGGCAGGCGCGGCAGCTTGCTGCTGCCCGGCTCGACGTCCGCCTGCGACTTGGCCGTGACTGTGAGCCGTAGAATGAAGGGGATTGGCACGGCAGGCGAGGCCTCGAGCGGCGCACTGAACAGCTGTTGGCAAGGGGTCAGGACTGTGCAGTGCAGAGCTGGCAGCGGCTCTCACCTCGGCTTCAACCTCACCCCGCTTGATCATCAGCGCGTTCCGCCAGGCTTGCCGCACCGTCTGCTGCTGCCACGCCATCGGCAGATTTGGCATGGCCGTCGGCTCTGGCGCCGCCGCTGGCAGCTGCAGCATCTCGAGCGGCGGCGCAGGACCAATCGCCAGCGGCGAGACGAGAAATGGCAGCCAGACGCGCGTGTCGCGCATGAACTTCGAGCGCCGCACGCCGACGACCTTCCATGTGTATACGACGTGTGAGCTGCCGCCCATTTTGCCGCTTGTCGTGTCCTTGAACGACGAGGGCAGCGGGACCGGCTCCAGCTTCCCGGCTCGATACCTGTCAGAGCAGAACGAGGGCAGCGTGAAGCGCACGTCCCATGCTCGTGTTGGTGCCGCTGCCTCGTCGAGCGACGGCGGCGCAGGCGTAGCGATGATGCCGCGGGCCTGATCCAGTTGCGGCGCGTCGGTGCGCGAGAAGAGCACGCAGCTGGCCGAGAAGAGCGTGACGGTCTCGTAATGTGTCTGCCGGCCCTGGCCGCCTTGGCCGGCGTAGATGTAGACAAAGCTGCTGACCTCGCCCTTGCACTCGATGCGCAGCTCGTCGAGCGAGCCGCCGGCCGCGCACACGCTCTCGTCGACTTCCACGCGGCAGGAGACGTCCTGGCCGGGGAAGTACGTGCGCGAGCAGTCGCTGCGCAGCCGAGCGACGGGCTTGGCTGAGCTGGAGCTTGGAGCTGCCGCCTTGCCCTTGCCCGAGCCGGCCTCTTCCGAGCTCTTTGCCGCAGCGCCCGCACGAATCCAGAGATACTGCGAGACGGCGTCGGGCAGCGCCCGGTCGCGCTGAAAGAGCGGCATCGCGTCCGGCGGCTTGAAGTGATGCTGCAGCGGCTAGGCCGGGCGAGCAGACGGCGGCACACCGGCCGTGGGCGCGTCTTGCGAGCGGGTATCGTGGAGCGGAGCGGACTGACGCAGGGTCCGCGCGGCGCGTTGGATCCCACGCGCCGCGACGCGCCGGCGGATGCTTGGCGTGGCCCACGATGCCTCCGCTCCGAGCACCTGCACCAAGCACACCATACGTGCGGCTCAGGGTGGACAGAGACAGAGCCCCACCCGACATCCTGCGACCCAAGCCACGTCAAGCTCGAGCCGTTATCAGCGTGCGCATCTGCTCATCCCTCGCGCTGGCGCTGCTTTGTCGACGCCCAGGCAGCGTCACCGCCATCACTTGGCCCACGGTCACATGCATATGCGGACAGCGTGCCCGCAAGTCAGGCACTCTTGCTCAAGGGTTCATTCATGCGAGTCGTGAAGTAGGTGGGACGCGAACGGCGAGGGAAAGGATGTATGCGCTACAGATTGAAGTTCACCACCCATCCGGCAATGGAGTTGTCCACTGCGTGATGAAGAGCGCGCTCGAAGTTCGCCCTGCCGCCCGGCATGAAGAGCGCATTCCAGCGCATCCAGTACTTGAAGACCTCGCGCTCCAGGTCCGCCACTTCACGATCAAAGTCCTTCTTACTGCGTGAGCAATTGTTCTGTCAGCTCAGACCATTCGACTCGAGGCTCGAGACCCACGACTGGTGCACACGGTCCGACACGTCGACGTAGCGCAGCTTGTGCTTGAAGAGGGCGCGCACAGTCGGCATGTCCTCGGTCCAGCGCTGGTAGTCGCTCCAAAGTTCGTCTTCCGACCTCTCTTTTGGCTCCTCCTCGCGCTTCCTCTTGGTGCCGAAGGGCGCTGGCATTGCGCGCACACGCTCTTCACAAACTTTGAGGAACTGTTCTTCGATGCACTTGTCGCATGTGAGCTTCTTGCTCACCGGCGCCTGCGCGGGGCAACGGGAGCCTGCAGGCAACTTTGCTCTGCCGGTGGGTTGAAATGAGAAGAGCGCTCCGCCTGCGAAGCAAGACAGGTGACGTACTCGTAAAACTCTTCCTCCGTGGCGTCGGACGGTCCAGGCGGCGCCGGCGAGGGCGTGCGAAAGCGCTGCGACCAGTCGGAAGAGGCGCGGCGAGTCAGGCGAGTGTCGACAGACAGGCGGCGGCGCTATGCCAACTTGGCAAGTGCTGCGCGTCCCACTCACCTCGACATCGCCAAGCTTGACGCTGCCGTCCTCCTCGACGGTGACGCGAGTGCCCTCCGGAATGTCCGTCACCTGCATGCCGGCGTCCGTGATGAGGACGCCGCCGAACTCGTTGATGTCGATGACGACAGGCATGTCTGAAGCGCGCAGCGAGACCTGCTTCAGTCTGCAGCACGCCCCGCAAGCTAAGGCCCGACGCTCACTGGCAGAGAGGCGCAGGCTACGAGGTCTTGACGAGGGAGAGACTGAGAGTTACGCTTGAGGGCGAGCGAGGAGGCGGTGGTGGTGGTGGTGGTGGTGCTGAAGAGAGCTCGAAGCCCACGCGCTGGCTCTTGTGAGCTGGCTGCTGCGGTGGGAAGCGCTCGACGTGGGCGGCTCGAGGCAGACCGCCAGCGGTGCAGGGCGCAGCGCAGCGAGAGAAGCGGGGCCGCTTGACTTCTATTCTGGGCCTGCCTGCTCACCCGCCTCGTCTAGGCGAGACTGCTGCCGTGCCGCAGCTAACCTTCTCGCGAGGCGAGATGTGATGTGATGCCGCCCGATCCAGCCTCGCGGTTGCAAGGCAACGCGGCCACGGACGCGCCTGCCTGATGGGCTCGAGGCGCGCCGCGCGACTTCCGCGGCTTCCGAGCGGCGCGTGAGGCTTGCTTCTCCACCAACACGACACCCGCCGCCTCCTCCACGCCCTCTCCCTGCACGCCGCCTTCTCGCACAGCTCGCTCGCACTTCACCTCGCCTAGAGCAGCACTCCCTGCAGCCTCGCTCTGACACAGCGCACCGAGCGGCCGCAGCGGCCTGCGCCAGCCCGCCATGCCCGCGCTCTTCTACCCGCGCCCGTCGCTCTCCCTGGCGCCGGCAGCAGCAGCGCTGACGCTGGCGCGCCACACGCCGTGCGCTGCTTGTGACTGTGCCGGTCTTCGGCCAACCAAGGACGAAGATGTCGAGCTGCGCGACGGCGAGCCGGGCGCAGAGGACGAGGAGGCAGAGGCGTGGCGCTGGGACTGCCGCTGCGGCTGCGAGCGGGGCCATGTGCGGACGGAGGAGCAGGAGGAGCGGACACGACGCCTGCGTGTCGCGAACCGGATAGACGATCTTCTGGCAGTGAGTGGCAGCTGGCAGCAGAACGCAAGCGGCCATGGGTCGGATTAGGGCTGACGCTGGCTGCAGGACGCTGGCCATCTAGAGGACTTTGACTGGACAGACGAGGACGTGACGTCGCTGCGAAAGTGAGCGCCGAGCGTGGTGCGGGCGTAAGGGCTCATCTGACGAGCATCGCAGACAAATGGCATCAAGCGGGGCATCGCTGTCGCGTCCCAAGCGGGGCCGCTCTATCTCCGAGGCGTCGAGCGCGTCGCTCTCGTCCGCTGCCGGGACACTGTCGAGAGCGCCGTCGCCGCGGCATGCCGAGCCTGATGGTCAGTGCAGCATGGGCGCGACTGCACGATCGAGTCTGACGCCCCTTGCAGAGCCTCTGGTCAAGCGGCGCAAGCTTGTCGGGCTCGTGGAGCACGCATCGACCTCATCAAGCTCCCGTGCATCCTCGTCTGGACCGCTGACGCCGCAGGACGACGTGGTGCTGCTGCCGAGCATCTCGAATGGCGACGGCGAGGGGCATGGCAAGCGGCCAGCGCGCAGTCAGAAGGGCCTGCCAGACGGTGCGGCGTCGGCAGACGGTGCAGCTCAGCCAGAGGTGGAGCCGGCGCCGCCGCCGAGCAAGGACGAGGTGGCGCAGGGCGCAGATTTGGACTTGGCTTCGAAGGGCGTCAGCATTGACACGGGCGACACAGTCGATGTGAGCATCGCTTCTGCCTCACCATTGCGCTCTTTCTGACACGTTGTGCAGCCTGAGCCGCCACGAAAGGAGCGCCCAGCGGTCATCGAGGAGCGCGCCGGCCTGATTCAGTTCCGCGTCGTGGAGAACGACGGGCAGCCGGAGAGCATGATCGTGCTGACGGGCCTCAAGAACATCTTCCAGCGCCAGCTACCGATGATGCCGCGCGAGTACATCACGCGCCTCGTGCTCGACCGCAACCACCGCTCGCTGGCCATCGTCAAGCGCGGCCTGCACGTCGTCGGCGGCATCACGTACCGCCCGTTCGACCAGCATCGCTTTGCTGAGATCGTGTTCTGCGCCATTACAAGCACAGAGCAGGTCAAGGTGCGTCGCGCGTGTCGCGTCTGAGGTTCATCAGCTCACACCAGTCGCAGGGCTACGGCAACCACCTGATGAACCATCTCAAGGACCACGTCAAGGCGTCGTCCGAGGTGATGCACTTCCTGACGTACGCAGATAACTACGCCATCGGCTACTTCAAGAAGCAGGTGTGTGTCGTCGCCCAACTGCGCCGCCGCCGTGCTGACCTCTCTCCCCAGGGCTTCACGAAGGAGATCACGCTTCCACGGCCCAATTGGGTCGGCTACATCAAGGACTACGAGGGCGGCACGCTGATGCAGTGCAGCATGGTGCCGCGCGTGCACTACCTCAGCGCGCAGGATCTGCTCATCAGCCAGCGGCGGCTAGTGCTCGAGAAGATCCGGCAGATCTCACGCTCGCACATCGTGCACCGCGGGCTTAAGGTGTTCCGCGAGCACGCCGGCGCAGATGACGACGACGAGGACGACGATGACGACGAGAAGCCGCTGGCGGAGAGCGGTAAGGAGCGCAAGCCGAAGTACCGCATCGATCCGTCGCTCGTGCCGGGCCTCAAGGAGAGCGGCTGGACGCCTGAGATGGATGAGCTCAGCCGTCGGCCAAAGCGTGGCCCGCACCATAGCCTTATGCGCCACATCATCGCCGAGCTCAACAACCATCAGTCGGCTTGGCCATTCGTCGCGCCCGTCGATGCTAACAGTGTGCGTGCAGCGCAGTGCACCCAGAAGCCGCGCTCACATCGCGCTTTTGCAGGTCGCGGACTACTACAAAGTCATCCAGCATCCGATGGGTGAGCAGCGAAGTGCTGCGCAGCTCGTGCTGTGCTGACGCATTTCGCTTCGCAGACCTCGGCACGATGGAGACGAAGCTGGAGAACAACGCATATGCCACCGTCGAGGATCTCACCGCCGACGTGCGGCTCAGTGCGTGCTGCCGCGATGCATCGCTTCGAGCAGAGCTGACACCCTGCAACAGTCGCGTCGAACTGCCGCACGTACAACGGCGCCAGCAACCAGTACACCAAGCTCGCGAACCAGCTCGAGCGGCACTTCGACAAGGAGCTGCCTGGCGTGAGTGCCTCGCGGGCCGTGTCCGGCCACGCGTCTGCTGACACGCCTTGTCTCGCCAGTGGAAGCAGTCGTACGGCATTCTCTAGCTCTGTCGTGTCCGGACTCCATGTCACCCTGGCTCTATCCCTCTGTTCTTGTACGCCGACTCCCTTACGAGCAAATGATGACGCTGAAAGCCACCCATGCGCCTGGCGCTCTTCCAGCCCGCATCTGAGCTGCCCACGCAAGCATGCTGCTGTGCAGTGCGAGAGCTCCCATGCACCACTGCCTGTCGCTCGAACGACCCTGTCCGCACGCGCCCGCAGCACTCTCTACTCGCCTGTCATCTACCGTTGAACGCACGCTCCGCTCATCCGAGATTTCTGTATTCCCCGCCGACCCGATAGCGAGCTCGGAGCCACATATCAGTGGCCGCCCAGCGCCGCGTCCTTCTCCTCCTGGCTGAACATGCGCGGCTGCGGAGCGTGTAAGCAGGCGCACGCCGACGCATGTCGATAGCAGCACTCACCGGAAGGTTACGCTCCCTGAAGCACAGAGCAGATGGGGCCATCGTCAGCTTAATGCACCAGCAGCGAACGTGGAAGCAGAGCTGTGCCCAGTCGCCGAAGAACAGCTCATTGAAACCAACGAGCTTCCCGAGCTTGCCGCAATGAACTGCCTTATCGGCGCACGGCGAGCGAAGGCAGCTCGCAGCAGCTTTCGGCGTGCCGAGCCACAACGAAGCGCCCCTCTATGTGCTCCTGCTGCCATACGACGACCATACTGCGCCAGCATCTCTGCCACAAGGATCATCCCCCCTTCTCTTTCTCCTACTGACCACTTGGTGCCGTCCTCGCCCATTGGTGCTGCAGGCGAGAGTGTGAGCGAACCGAGCTATCACTACGCCGCGCCTTCGGGCACGCACACTTGTACGGGTCCGGGTGCGCGTTGGCCTTGAGGTGTGCCTCGGCCTGCGCCAGCACGCGCGCCAGCTCGCGCGGGTTGCGGATGTTGCGCTGGCGCTCAAACTCGGCGCGGATCTCGATGGCACGGTCGCGCCAGATGTCGCGGCGGATGCACCAGTTGAGCGAGTTGCGCAGGTAGCGGCGGTACAGCGACTGCACGTAGCTCTTGTGCGCCGCCGAGAAGGGCGTCGGCGCGCCGGCGGCGGCGCTGCGCAGGAGCATGGTGGGGCGCATGCCGGGCAGAGTGAGGGGTGAGGAGAGGTGGGAGGTGGGAAGGAGATTCAGGATCGGCGTGGAGATGGCCGGCCGCGCTCCAGCCAGCGCCGCACGGCGCCGAGGCCAGCTGCCGCTCCCACGGCCCCCGGTCACGTGTCGCCGCCCGCCCAGATTTTTGGGCGGGCCGAGGGTGCGGCTGTGCTTCCTGCAGCTCTCGCCGCGCATCCTCTTGCCTCCCACACACCTCATCCGCACCATGGCGGTCCTCGACTTTCTCCTCTCCTCCGACGACGAGGCTTCGGGCGCGCCTGCCCGCCGCGGCAAGGCGAGCGGCAGCAACCGCGAGGCGCTGCAGCCACGCACCTCGGCCTCGACGTCGGCGCCCAAGCCGGCCTCGCGCAAGCGGCGTGCGCCCGCCAGCGACGATGAGGAGGCACCAGACATCACAGATGCGCTGCTCGGCCCGCGCGGCGGCTCCAAGGGCAAGGCGTTGCCGCCGCGGCCCGCACCCGTCGACGACGATGGCAGCGGCGACGAGCAACTCATCGCCGCCGCCACGCACCGCCAGAACAAGAAGGCGGGCACGGAGCTGGCGCGCGACGTGAGCAAGGCGAAGAACGGCGGCAAGGGCAAGAAGACGGGCGGTGGTGTGGTGGCGGGTGGTGGCAGCTTTCAGAGCATGGGTGAGTGCTGCTGAGCGTGGAGCTGCAGCGCATCCCTGACCCCTTCTGCAGGTCTGCCGCCACAACTGCTGCGCTCTCTGCTGCTGCGCGGCTACACCACGCCGACTCCTATCCAGCGGCTAGCTGTGCCATCGCTTATGGCGACACCGACGCGTGACCTCGTCGGCATGGCCCGCACTGGTTCCGGCAAGACGCTGGCCTACATGCTGCCGCTCTTGACACGCCTCGGCGGCAAGCACAGCACGACGGTCGGCATCAAGTCCGTCATTCTGTGCCCGTCGCGTGAGCTGGCGCTGCAGATTCTGCGCGTCGGCAAGGAGCTGGCGCGCGGCTGGAAGGTGCCCGATGCCGAGCCGCTGCGCTGGGCGCTCGTGGTCGGTGGTGAGGGCCTCGAGGAGCAGTTCGCACTGCTCGCCGCCAACCCGGACGTGCTCATCGCGACGCCTGGTCGGCTGCTGCATCTCGCGGTCGAGTCGAACCTCGACCTTTCAGCTGTGCAGTACGTCGTGTTCGACGAGGCGGATCGGCTGTTCGAGATGGGCTTCGCGAGCCAGCTTGAGGAGCTGCTGGCGCGCCTGCCGCCTGGGCGCCAGACTGCGCTCTTCTCCGCCACGCTGCCCAAGTCACTTGTCGACTTTGCCCGCGCCGGCCTTGCGCCGAACCCGAAGCTCGTGCGTCTCGATGCCGACGCCAAGATCTCGACCGACCTCAAGATGAGCTTCCTGTCGGTGAAGCCGTCCGAGAAGGAGGCGGCGCTACTGGTGCTGCTGCGCGACGTCATCGGCGTGCCGTTTGGCTCGCAGGCACCTGTGCAGGCGCCGCACTGGGGTACTGGCGCGAATGCGCCGCCGCCAGAGAAGCGTCGGAAGGGCGCGGTGCTCAACGGCGCAGACGAGCTGATGCCGCACCAGACGATCGTCTTCTGCGCAACGAAGCACCACGTTGAGTACCTCCTGGCGCTGCTCCAGGTCGCTGGCTGGACGTGCGCGCACATCTATTCGTCGCTGCACCAGGCTGCGCGTACGCTCGAGATGAAGCGCTTCCGCGACGGCGAGGCGTCGCTGCTCATCGTCACCGACGTCGCCGCGCGTGGTATCGACTTGCCGAGCATGGCGCACGTCGTCAACTACGACCTGCCTGCCTCGCCGCGTGTCTTTGTGCACCGCGTCGGTCGTACCGCACGTGCAGGCAAGAGCGGTTGGGCGTGGTCGATCGTCACGGGCAACGAGCTGCCGCACCTGTGCGACCTGCAGCTCTTCCTCGCCCGGCCGCTTGAGCCAGCTCGCACACCGAGCGACGGCACACTCGACCTGCACGCCTCGCTTCGCCTCGGCACGCTTCCGCGCCAGGCCATCGACACTGAGTCGGAGCACATCCTGACCAGCCTGCACGCCTCTTCGAGCGACGCCGCTGTCACCTTGCCGGCACTGCGCCAGGTCGTGACGCGCGCACAGAAGCTGTACGAGCGCTCGTCGATCCGCGCTTCGCAGGAGTCGCATCGCCGCGCCAAGAGCATGCTCTCTGGCGAGAACGGCTGGGCGCTGGCGGGCAACAACCGCGAGGAGAGCGGTGTGCACGACGTGATCCGGCGGCCGGCTGCGTATGGCCTCACTGGCAAGGGTCCGACGGCCGCGGGCGAGGGCAGCACCAAGGCGCCTGCCAACCGGCGCATGGACGAGGAGACGGCTCTGGCTCGCGAGGCCCTGCTCGCCAAGATCAATGGCTTCAACCCGACGGAGACCGTCTTCGAGGTCGGCACCCGCGGCGCCAACCCTCTCACGAACCTGATGCGCAGCCGCCGCACCACTCTGGCCGGCAAGCAAGCCAAGGCTGCCGCACGGGTGGCGCACCGCGAGCTGATTGACGGGACTGCCGCGCCAGAGGAGGAGGAGGACGAGATGCGGCTGGACGAGGCCGGTGACGTCGAGATGGCAGACGAGGAGGAGATCGAGGTGAGCAAGGACGTGCGCCGCCGCGCTGGCTTCGCTGACGTCTCGTGGCCAGGACGTCTTTGACGTGCCGAATGCGTCCAAGAAGCGCGCTCGCCGCGAGGCAGCCGCCAAGAAGGACTACAAGGACCCCGAGTTCTACATCAACTACACGCAGAAGGATGCACACACGGAGAAGGGGTGCGTCTGCCGCATGCGCTGAGTCGCGCTGCCACTGATCGCGTCCACCACAGCTACTCGCTCTCCAACGGCGGCACCTTTGCCGAGCAGGCAGCACACGCCACGTTCTCGCTCGGCAACGACGAGGCGAGACTGGGCACGAGCTCGCAGGCGCCGAACGCCGCACGCTGGGACACCAAGAAGAAGAAGTTCATCCGCGGCGACGGCGTCGGCGCCGACAACGAGAAGTACATCCGCACCGAGAGCGGCTCGCGCCTGCCCGCCTCGTTCCGCTCGGGCCGCTTCGACGAGTGGAAGAAGGCGCAGAAGGTGTCGGTGCAGAAGGTCGGCGAGCAGGAGGACGCCAAGGCCGCCGGTGCCGCGTGGCAGCTGGCGGGCATGACCCGCGGTGCTGCTCGTGGCGGACGCGGCGGCGGCAACATGGGCCGAGGAGGAGGCCGAGGCGGCGCTGCCGGCGGCCGCACCTTCCGGCACAACAGCTACACGGCGCCCAAGCCGCTCGACCCGCTGCGCAAGGACTATCAGAAGCAAGTCGCCAAGCGCTCGGCCGCCGCTGAGGCTCGTGGCGGCGAGCCGCATCCTGCCAGCGCCGCTGGAGGCCGCGGTGGGCGCGGCGGCGGTCGTGGAGGCGCACGCGGACGGGGAGCCGCGAGTCGTGGCCGCGGCATGGCTCGCGGCTCGGGCCGGCCAGGACAGCACGTCCGGAACGAGCTCAAGAGCGCCTCGGCCATCCAGAAGACGCGCCAGCTGGCCACGCAGCGCAAGGAGAAGAACGCCCGGGCGCCGAGCCGCAAGCGCGGCGGCAAGCGATGAGTGTCAGAGCGCAATGCCGCCAGCAGGCCAATGCCATCTAGTCATTTGCCAATCTACGACGCAGGAGAGCTGCTGCGTGAGAGGTGCGAGGTGTGCTCAGGGGCATGCCGTGTGATGGACGTCTGAGAGTGCCTCGTCCGAGCGTGCGGGACTAGGCTAGGATGCGAGCAGGACATGAGTGGGCCTCAGGCAGGCCGGGGCACGGAAGCTCATCAGCAGACCCACCTCCGCGTCTGTTCCGTCCCACCTCCATCTCCTGCACGTTTCAGATCCAGACCTCGTGTGGTCCGCACCTGTCTCATCCAGCCCACCCTCGCGACTCACGATGCCGAAAGCCAAGGACGAGAAGGAGAGCAAGGTCAAGGCCTCCTCGCCGGGGAAGGCGAAGCCCGAGAACGGCAGCGCGGCCAGGCCGGGCTCGTGGCGTCCCGAGGACAAGCTCAAGGTCTGCTTGCTCTGCCACTACGCTGAGGCGATGCTGACAGACCTGGCCTCATCCGCAGATTCTCGACGCCGTGCTCGCGAACGCCAGGGGCGTCGACTGGCACGCGCTCGCCGCCGAGATGGGCCGCCCCAAGAGCCAGGTGCGTGTACGCAGCAGACTTCACCGTGCGCCGTCGCTCACTGCTCCCTCGCAGGTGTGGGACCAAGTACGTCCTTCCTTTGCAGTCACAATCCTGCCCCTGACAGCCGCTCTCCGCAGTGGCGCAAGCTGATGATCAAGGACCTGCGCTCGCACTACGGTGGCACGTGAGGCGCAGCTCGGCGGCGCGCTTGACGGCACCTCGGCACAATCGATGTGCCAGCTCTCGACGTTGAAACGTGAGCCCGTCTGCTATTCCCGCTTGCTGCTATTCCCGTGGGCCTAGCCAGGGCAGATCTCCGACTACCCCAGCTCGTCGTCAGCTGCATGCTGCTGCGCTGTGCTGAGCAGCGACACCACGTGTGAGCGTGCCGTGTGGAGATGAGAAGAGGCCGTTGCCCTCGGCACCGGCCGTTCCCTCGGGCGCCGGACCGATGACGCGTGCCGAATGATCGACGGCGCAGCGGCACCGGCGTGCAGCGAGCTCGCTCGACGAAGGAGCGCTCGCTGCTCCGCTGCCCGCCTCTCGACGGCGTCCACGCCGCGACGCTAACGCAGAGAGGGCGCAGCGCCGAGCTTAGCGGGCGCAGGCGTCAAAACATCGTCATCGTCGCGCGAGCATGAAAGCTTGACGCGACGCGCTTTCACCTCTCACAGCTGGAGCCGAAGTGCGCCCTCTTGTAATCTGGAGGCTGAGCAGCTTAGGCGAGGTCTTGGGAATTCCAGGCTGGCGCTGAGGCCAGGGCGGAGTCCGGCGAAGGGCAGAGCCTCGAGCTCGTTGGCGGCCTCTGCGCTGAGCGTGGCTGGGCGGCCGCCGCCGCGCGCAGGCGCCATGCGAGCGCCGGCGGGCTGGCGGCGTGTGCAGCATAGACCGCACATGCAGGCGAGGTGCCGCGTGCCTCGCCGCCTCCCGCTGCTCCGCTCGACTGCCGGGCTCTTGCTCTGCTTTCTGGTGCAGCGGCGGGCGTCGCAGGCCTGCAGCGTGCAGCGCAGATCCCCCAGAGGCGGCGCTGACGGACCCCGCGCGACGGCGGGGCCACCGCACGCCGAGCAAGGACGGGCTGCCGCCCTGGCCGGCACAGGCGGCGCCCAGCTCCTTCTTCCCGACCCTATCCCCGAACCTGAGCAGCGCACATCCCAGACGGCTGCTCCTTCTCACCTCGTTATCCTCGCTCGCACCTGATCTGGACTTCCGGCAGCCTCCACGGTCGGTCCTCGCTCCGAGCTTCCCTCCCCGCGCTCCACGCTCCGAGCGGCAGCATGGCCTCGTCGGTCAAGTCTGCCTCCTCGGCACCCGGCCTGCCCGCCGATGTGGCCGTCGACGGTGAGTGTCTGGTGCTGTGCTGTCTCTGCGTCTCTGGACTGTGTGTGTGTGCTGCTCTGGGCCCGGCTTGGGCATCTGCCGCTGTCAGTCGCGCTCGGGCCGCCGCCTTGCGACCCTTGCCGGTGGTACAGCGGCGTGCGGCAGCGAGCAAGCCCTGCCTCCAACGGGTGCTGCTCTTGCTGCTTCCCGTCCTGAGCTGCGAGCCTTTGCTATCGCGGCTGCCGGCGTCCGGCGCTGGGAATTTGACACCTCGGGGCGTGTGTGGGCGGGTCGCGCCGGCGGGCGGCGATGACGGCATCTCGGCGGCACGGCTGCAGGCGGCGCGCCCAGGCGCAGCAGCAGGCGCGCGGGCCGCGCGCGGCGAAGGGACGCAGATGCAGCATCAGCGCGGCGCAGGCACAGAGTGCGGCACACCGCCGCCGCGTTGCCCCGCCGCGAAGTTGGGCAAGATGCGCTTTGTGGTGCTCAGGTCATGCTGGCAAGTCGTTGTCGCTGCGAGAGGGAGTGTCACGGCTCCTTCCGCACACGACGACCAGCTGCCGGGCGTGTCCTGCCACCACATCCCTGCTCGCCCTCCCCCACTCGCGCATCGCCAGCGGCCACCCGTTCTCGGCGCTGCTACAGATTGGGACCTGCGTCTCACGCCGGCTATTTCGAGCCCCTGTGCGGCATCACCCTGCGGGCACTCTCACACAGCCCGTGCGAGAGAAGCAGCGGCGGCGGAAGCCACTCTACTCGGCTAGCGTGCTCGCACCGCTCTCGCCAGCATGCCGAGCCTGCGCTCCATGGCCTCGTCGGGCTCTCTGAAGCTCAAGCAGGCAGCCACTGACGTCCGCCACCGCACCTCCTCCATCTCCTCGCTCCACAACCCTTTCGCCTCGTCCGACGCTCCGCCCGTCCCGCCGCTGCCGCCGTCTATGACGCCCTCGACGTCCGCCTCGACGTTGCGCACGCGCTCGACGTCTGCGCCGCAAAATGGCTCCACACCCAACCTGGCCATGACTGCTTCGGACGCTCCTGCTCCTGCTGCTGCTTCGTCGTCGCGCATCTCTCGCGTGTCCTCGACGACGCGCTCTCCCTCTACGCCGCCACAACATCGGATTGACGACCCGACCCACGCGTCGTTCTCGCACGCCGTGGACCCGCACGCCACTGTCCGCCCGACGCGCCGCACGTCTGCGCGTGCCGTGTCTGAAGTGAACGAGACGGTCTACTCGTTCCGCCTGCTCGAGGCGCTGCGCAAGGGTGAGTGGTGCTGTGATGACGTGTGCCGGTCAGGGCTGAGACCTTCATCTTGCAGGCGACCGGAGCGAGCTGCATCCCTTCCTGACGAAGAGTGCCGCCCGCACGGGTCCGACCAAGGAGCTTACGAGCCCGCTGCACCTCGCCGTGCGATGCGCTGAATGTGAGCAGAGCCGCGGCGCTGCCTGTCTGCATGCTCTGACCCTGCGCAGACCCTACGATCGAGTATTGTCTCGAGTACAAGAGCGCCTCGCTCAATGCCGCCGACACGCTGAACGGCAACACGCCGCTGCACCTGGCCTCGAGCCTGGGCCGCGCCGACGTTGTGCGGCTCTTCCTGCAGCAGGAGGACGTTGATGACACTGTGCGCAACTCGGAGGGCAAGGAGGCGATCGACGTGGCCAAGACGATGGAGGTGGCGCAGATCTTCCAGGGTGAGTGGCTTGTGCTGGACGAGCAGGGCGCGGAGAGCCAGCTGGTGTAGTTGGCCGGGGCGCTCATGAGCGCGCTTGATTCAGTCTCTCGGGCCGAGCTCAACCTGCAGTACCTCGAGGCGCTCGAGCGCTGGGAGAAGGGCCTCGCCGGCTCAGAGGCCGTCGAGCAGTTCCTGAACCGCCCACGCGTGCGGGCCATCGACCTCAATGCGCAGACGCGCGGCAGCGGCACTACGATTCTGCACGAGGCGGTGCGCCGCAAGGACGCTCGCGTGGTGGAGATCTCGGTGCGCAAGGGCGCAGACGTCTTCTGCCGCAACCGCAAGGGCCGGCGCGCGCTCGAGAGCACAAAGGACGAGAAGATCAAGGCGCTTCTGCAGCAGCTGTCCAACGCCGACGCCGCGCGCGCCGTGCAGTCGACTGCTGCTGGCCTGCCGCCGATCTTCCGCGGCTACCTCGCCAAGTGGACGAACATCGCAGGCGGCTACAAGGTGAGTGCTGCAGCCTGCGCCTTGCACCGCACGTGCTGACAGACCGCTTGCAGACGCGATGGTTTGTGCTCGAGAACGGCATCCTCTCGTACTATCATACGCAGGAGGAGGAGGGCAAGCAGTCGCGCGGCTCGACTAACCTGCGCTTCGCCAAAATCCACGCCGATGGCAACGACAAGCACCGCTTCGAGGTCATCTCGGACGCCAGCAAGGGCTCCGCCTCGAAGCTGTACCTGCGCGGCTCGCACCCCGTCGAGCGCGCCCGCTGGGTGCAGGTGCTGCAGCAGACCGTCGACTTCTTCGACATTGACCGCGCCCCCAGCCGCGCTGAGAGCATCGTGAGCACGCGTGCGCCGAGCCGTGGCAGCCTGCTCGACGCCACGTCGACGTCACACGTGCCCGCTGGCACGCAGGCCGTCGGTGCGCCGTCGTCGATTCCCTCGCGCACCGGCACGCCCTTCCGCGGCATGGCTGGCCTCGGCGCGACGCCATCGATCCCCGAGACCTCTGCTGCGCCGACACTCGTGGCACCGGTCCCGACGCGCGCCTCTGCGCTCCTCGACTCCGGCTCGCAGAGAGCGTCGTCGATGAACAGCGAGTCGCGGCCGTTCCCGCTGGGGCGCACGCCCAGCTTTGGCAGCCAGAACTCGCGCCTGCCCTCGGACGACGGCGTGTTCGAGGACGACGAGTCGGGCGATGCCGCAGAAAACCCGAGAGGGCTGCCGTACCAGACCGAGGTCACCACCATCGCGAACAGCCTGCGCACGCAGGTCGACATGGCGCAGCAGCTGGCTCAGAGCCTTACGAGCGGTGCCGATGCCGCGTCCGCCTCGCCAAAGCTGCCGAGCACCGCCAACGTCGCCGGCAACCGCGCGAGCATCTCGAGCGTGCGCCTCAACTACCAGAGCGGCCCGGAGGGCGTGCGAGATGCGCTCAACGATGCGCTCAGCAACAGTGCGACTCTGCTGGCGCGCTACCAGGAGATCGTCTCGCAGCGCGAGGCCTACCTGCTGCGCCGCTACGAGCAGGAGATCCAGGCCAAGCACCTCTGGGAGGAGAATATGAAGGTGCTTGGCGCCCAGCACGCCGAGATGGAGGCGCAGCTGCGCCAGGCGGCCGAGGAGAACGCTCGCAAGCGGCGCGCTCTCAAGGAAGTGCGCGACACGATTGCCTCGTCGCCGTCGGGCACGCTCGCCAGCCCGCACGCGGGCCGCGACGCCGCCTCGCCGCTGCCATCCGGCTTCTTCAGCCCAGGCGACTCCATCGCTGCGCGCCGTGCGTCGGGCCAGACTGGCGCGGCGCAGCCGCACTTTGACGAGGCACTTCCGAGTGCGATCGGCGGCATCCAGGGCACCGTCGCTGCGATCGCCGGCGCCGAGCTGCTGGCGAGCGAGCAGGACAACGCCGACGACATGGACGACGAGTTCTTCGATGCCATCGACAACAACAACTTGCCGGGCCTCAAGGTCGAGGCACCGCTGGCGGAGGAGAAGAAGATCGGCGAAAAGCCGGCGTGGCCGCAGGACTTCGACAAGGAGCGCATCGACGAGGAGAGCTACGAGCCTTACAAGCGCATGCGCACGAAGCTGCCCATCGGCGCCGATGAGCGGCCGAGTGTCTCGTGAGTGTCTCGTGCGGCCCGCTGAGGGCTACTGGCTGACACCTGCGTTGCAGGCTCTGGGCCGTGCTGAAGAACAACATCGGCAAGGACCTGACGAAGATCTCCTTCCCGGTGGCATTCAACGAGCCCACGTCGATGCTGCAGCGCATGGCTGAGGACCTCGAGTTCCCCGAGTGCCTCGAGGCTGCAGCGACGTCGCCCGACTCGATGAAGCGCATCGCCTTTGTGGCTGCATTTGCCGCCTCGAACTACTCGAGCACCATCGGCCGCATCGCCAAGCCCTTCAACCCGATCCTCGGCGAGACATACGAGTACTGCTCGCTCGGCAAGCAGCCGTACCGCTACGTCAGCGAGCAGGTGTCGCATCACCCGCCCAAGTCGGCCTGTCTCGCGCAGGCGCCGCTGTGGGAGTACATGGGCTCCGTCGACGCCAAGAGCAAGTTCACGGGCCGCAGCTTCGAGATCCAGCCGACGGGCATTGCGCACGTCAACCTCAAGGTGCCGCGCGACTTTGTCAAGAACGCCAAGAAGGAGCTGCAGCCGGCCGCCGGTGTCAAGAGCGACCGTGTGCTCGAGCACTACAGCTGGAGCAAGGTCACGACAGTCGTCTCCGGCTTCCTCACGGGCTCCGTGTCGATCGACCACGTCGGCACGCTCGCCGTGCAGAACCACGCGACAAAGGAGCGCTGCGAGCTGACGTTCCGGCCGCGCGGCTGGCGCGGCGCCAACGCGTGCGAGATCAAGGGCTCCGTCTTCGACGCCAAGGGCAACGTAACGTGGGACATTGCCGGTCGCTGGAGCTCGCAGCTCGTCGCGCGCCGCCGCGGCGCCGGCCACGGCGACCTCAACCCGGATGAGGACGTTAGCGCCAGCACCGCAGAGTACATCCTACTCTGGCGCAACAACCCCAAGCCGCCCGCCGCCTTCAACCTGACCAAGTTCGCCGCGACGCTCAACTCGCTGCCCACGGGTCTCGAGCTGTGGCTGCCGCCTACGGACTGCCGTCTGCGGCCCGATCTGTCTGCAGTGAGTAGTGCTCAATCCTGTGCCCGCATGCCCTGCTGACCTCTGCCTCCTCAGTTCGAGAGCGGCCGCTTCAGCGAGGCCGACGTGCTCAAGGGCCAGCTGGAGGAGGTGCAGCGCGCCACGCGGCGCAAGCGCGAGGCCGGCGAGCTGCCGGCGCACAAGGCGCGCTGGTTCCGCGAGGTCACGGACCCGGACACCAACGAGCCGATGTGGGAGGCGCTGCGTGTGCCCGACGCCGCGACGGGCGAGGCCGAGCCCGAGTACTGGGCCACCCGGGCGCAAGTCGGAAAGGAGCACAAGGCGGGCAACACGAAGGTCGAGTGGCCCGGCACCTCTCATATCTTTGGCGGGCTTGAGAGCTCGAGAGCTCGTCCTTGAGGCCTGCTCGCCCGGCTGGTGCTGCTCGATACCCCGCGCTCCCATCTAATCCGACTCGCTCCTCATACCTCGACTCGGCGCCCTACACTACCTCGCTACGTCTGCCCGTCTCTCTGCTCTCCGCCTCCGCACTTCCGCTGTACATACACACTTCCTGCTCGAGAAGCAAAGACTGATACACATCCACGAGCCTGAGCCCAGCATCTTCTTCACGCCAGACGAGAGCAGCTGGGAAGATGAATGCAGTGTTGGGCGCGGCGGACACATTAGCGCGGGTAAGAGGAATGAGCGGCATGCGGCGCGGAGCGGTGTGAGCGCAGCGCAGCCAGGCCATGTCGAGGTGCGGGTGTGTCGCGAGCAAGACGCTTGGAGAGAAGACGAAGGCGGAGAATGAAGCATGACGGCCGTGAGAGGAGCCGACTTGCACTTCCCGCTCAGGCGACGCAGGCCAGGCCGGCGACGACGAGCGCCACGGCGCCCGAAGCGTACATGTTGGCACGGGAGGCGGGCGCCGCGTCGGTGCGGGCGCTCGTGGCGCGCGGCGCGCCCGACGTCGTCGACGACGAGGCGCCGTTGCTGCCGCTCGAGCTCGAGGGCTGGTTGTTGAAGGCGCCCGTGTTGGGCGTCACCTGCTCCAGCTCCGTCTCGTTGCCGCGCAGCTGGAACGACGCGCTGCGGTAGTACACCTCGGGGTTGTCCAGCGCGTAGTTCGAGGCGTTGACGAAGAGGAGGTCGTAGCTGCCCTCGGGGATGCAGTTGGGGCGCAGCTGGGCCGTGCCGTTGGCCGTGCTCAGCGAGTTGCCGATGAGGTATGAGCCACGCAGGCTCGTCTGAGAGACGGAGTGTCAGCGGGCTGCAGACGAGTCACGACAAGGCTGCATGCTGCCTCTTGGATGCGCCTCGCTGCTGCAGAGCCTGTTGGCTGTCTCTCAGGTGCTTCTCGCTGCAGCGCTGCGCGCTGCCTCTCAGCTGCCTTTCGCTGCAGAGCTAGATACTGCCTGCCAGCTGCCTCTCCCTGCCAGTGTCTCTGCTCCACATCGCTGCCGCACCGCCTGGCCCCTCGCACGCACCTGGTTCGAGTTGATGAGCGCGACGGAGAAGATGCTCGGGTCGGAGCTGTTGGCCGACCAGTTGACCGTGTTCTAGAGAGACTGGATGAGTACGGCAGGCGATCTGCCTGCTCAGCTCTTCCTCACCTCCTTGCAGGCCACCCAGTAGGAGGTGGAGTTGGGGAACGAGATCTCGAACGCTGCGGCCGAGCTGGCGGCGGCGGCGAGGAGGAGCGAGACGGCGGCGGCGGCACGCATGGTGGAGGACTGGTGGAGGTGAGGAGAAGAAAGGAGTGTGGGACGGAGCGCGAGGGAGAAGGCGACGACGAGACGGAGGAGATGGAGAGGAGGCAAGGGCGAGGCGAGCGCGGCAGAGGCGAGAAGCGCGGCCGCAGCGAGCAGACTGCGAGATCGAGCGGCATCGCGCCGGCGCGCGGCGTGGAAGCCACACGAGCGGCGCGCCCGCCGCCAAGCAACACACCCGAGGTGCCGTCGCCGCGCTAGCGTACCCGCCCCTCGGGCGCCTGCCGCTCTGCCGCTGCACGGATCGTCGGGCGGCCTTGGCCTCGCTTCCCACCGAACGGGCCCCTCCTCACCGCTCGATCCGCTCTCATTCGCACGCTGCTCCAGATGCACACAGCATGCAGAGCGGCAGAGCTCTCAGCTCGGACCCCTCTCGCAGCGCATCCTCGTTTCATGCTGCCCCTCTCCTGCGCTCTGAGCGCTTTCTTCTGCCGCAGTTCGCACGACGGCGCTGCCCCTGATGTGCCGCATCGGCTTGGCACGCACCTCGTCCGGCGGCCTGCTCTTTCGAGGGCAGCCTGCTGCGGGGCGCATCGAGGGGCGCTGCGAGGTGACATTTCGCATGGGCCGCGGCGGCGCTCGAAGCTGCGCAGCAAGGCCCCACCTCGATTCAGCGGCCGGCCAGGGTGCAGGCGCCTCGCTGCGAGAGTTGGGCGTCCGCCCAGCCGCTGAGCATCTCGTGTTCTAGCGCAGAACGGGCAGCGCAGGCTGTGATGGCGCGAGCCAGTCACGTGCTCTTGGCCAGGCGCAGCCGCGGCGGCTCTCAGCGGCGGCGCGCTTCAAGGGCGCGGCGCAGCTTATACGGCGCAGCTTCAAGCGCCGCGCCCGCCGACTTGCGTTTCGCCCCATCCTCCCGCCGCCGTGCTAGTCCTCCGTGTATTCGCACTTCATTCGCGAGTAGCAACCGCCCGCACCTGCAGCCCTCCACCTGCACAGACCAGCACCCGCGTCCAACACCTGCCGCGCAGCCCCCCTCCGACTTCGCCGTCGCCGCCGTCCGCACCGCAGCCCAGCAGCGCTCGTCGTCGCCACCGCCAGCACCGCGCTCAGCACTCGTCCGTCCGGACCGCATCGCTCGCCGTCGCTTCTTCCCGCGCACCAACATGAACTCCGGCATGCAGCAGTACGAGTGGCCTGTGAGTGTGCTCTGGACCGAGCGACGGATGAGCGGGCTGCTTGCTCGCCGTCGTCGTTGGGCCCGCGTCGTCACCCGTTGACGAGCTTGCGCTGACTCTCGTCCCCTCAGCTTGGCGTGAGGCACCTTCTTCCCAGACGCGACGCGTAGCGCTCATGCCCCCGTTTCACCCTCGTGCAGCAGCCGGCCCAGCAGCCGGCGCAGCAGTCCGCCCAGCAGGTGAGTGCGGCGTCGTGTTGTCCTCGTCGTCGTCGGAGCGAGTCGTTTGGCGTTGGGCATCCCTGGCGGGCACGCGTCGCGTCTTGGCTGTGTATGCGCGTCGGGCGCGCGCCGCGGACCGCACCCTGAGCCGCCGCCCATACGACGCCCGCCGGCGGCCATGTATGCTGACGCTGGTGGCCTGCAGTTCAACGTCGGCACCACCGACAGCGGCGAAATTACGCTCGCGCGTAGCCAGGTGAGCATCCCGCATCCACACCCCTCGCGACCTCCAGACGCTCACGCAGCCATGGACTACCAGATGCTCGAGAGCATCTCGCACCTCTCGTCGTCGCTGCGCAATGCCGCGGCGCAGTGCGACAACTTCGCCAAGATCGTCGCGCGCAGCCACCCCGTCGCCGCTGCGTCGGCCTTCCACGGTATCGGCGCCGACTTCCTCGCGCTTGCCAACGGCACGTCGACGATTGGCGCTGCCGCGCTGGGCCAGGCGCTGCCGGCCGCCGTGCCCGCCGTGTCGCCGGGCCACCCGGGCCGCAAGTCGATGAGCAAGGAGGAGAAGTCGGCCAAGAAGAAGGAGCGCAAGCTCAACCGCGACCCCAACGAGCCCAAGCGCCCGCCCAGCGCCTACCTGCTCTTCCAGAACGAGGTGCGCGAGGACATGCGCGCCCGCCACCCCGACCTCGTCTACGCCGACGTGCTGGGCAAGGTCAGCGAGGCGTGGAAGTCGCTCAGCGACGAGCAGCGCAAGGTGAGTCGGCTGATGCTGCCGCTGCTGCAGACCACGCACTCACCCCTCACACCACAGGTCTACCAGGACAAGACGATCGAGTCGATGGCGCAGTGGAACGCCAACAAGAAGGCCTACAGCGAGGGCACGTTCAACGGCATCACCGACTACAGCAACGCCGGCGCCGCGCCCGCCGAGGAGGAGGACGACGACGACGACGCAGGCGCCGCGGCCGCCGTCGCTGCCGCCGTCAGCATGGGCTTCCCGGACCAGTCGCGCCAGGACGCCGACACGACGCAGCAGGGCGTCGACCCCACGCGCAAGCGCTCCAGCAAGGACAAGGGCGAGAAGAAGGAGAAGAAGGTGCGTCGGTGCGTGTGCGCCATCTCGTGCTGATGCTGACTGCTTCCTCTCTGCAGCGCAAGGCTTAGCTCCATTCCTGCTTGTCTGCTCTGATACCTCTTCTTGTACTCTGTGCCCCGTCACTGTCCTTCGTGGCGCCCTGCCTGCGCTCGCCAAGCTGCTCGTCCGTGTGTACTGCCCCTGGTGCGCGAGCCGCATCGGCACCCTTGTAGCATCGTCACCTTCGCGCTCGCCTTTTCTTCCCAATGCAACCGCTGCCCTTCTCACTCAGCCTGTGTCGTGCCAGCATCGATGCACTCGAGGCGCACGTCGGTAGCTCTCCATCGGCGACACCTTCGGCTACGCTCGCTGCAGGATCGGCGTGACTGTGATATTCTCGAGAAGAGCCGCTGCGGTGGAGAGAGAGGGGAACAGGATGGGCGGAGTGTGGTGTACATAGCGACTGAGACCTGAACGAGCGGGCCGGCGAGAGAGGGAGTGGAGTGGGAGGGAGACCGGGTGTAGATGGGACGTCGAGCGAGGCGTGAGAAGGACCAGCGACTCGAGACACAGCGAGCGACGGCGTTTGGGTTCCGTGTGCTGAGCTGGACACGAGCGAGGACCGACGGAGTGGGAGTGAAGAGCGCCAGCGCGCAAGCGTCATGCTAGGATTAGGATGCTCGCGAGCGTAGCAGACGGCGTGCAGGTGGGCGTGCTGCACCACCTTACATGGCCAGCTCGGCCTGCAGCGCACGCAGCTCCGCGTCGTCGTCGTCCTCGACGACGGCCTGCTTCCGGCTCGGCTCCACGCGGCTCGGCCCGGCAGACGACATGTGTGCCGGCGTGTGCACGGGCACGTGGTCGGCGCCAATGAGACGCTGGTTGAGCTCCTCCTGCTCCAGCTCCTCGAGCTCGTTCTTGAGCTCGTCCTGTGCGAGAGACCGCCGTCAGCAGGACGCTTGAAACTGCAAGCCCGCGCACTGGCACTCACCTCGTCGATATCGTTGCCCATGCCCACCGGGTTCGAGATCGCATCGCTGATCTCGTTTGTGAGGTCCATCTGCTCGCGAATCGAGTCCATCGTCGAGTCGACCTTGTCGATGTTGCTGGCAGGAGAAGAGAAGCGTCAGCGACCACGCCGCACGACGAGGCACACCCTGCGACGTACAGGCTGCCGTGGATGTTGCGCAGAGCATCGGCACCCTTGCGCATCGCCGTCATCGTCTCGAGGTTCATGTTGGCGCTCTCGATGGCATTGACTTGTGTCTCGAGCGTCATGCGCGTGCCAGCGATCCGGTCCAGCTCGTTCTCATATGCCTTCTTCTGGCGCAGCGCCGCCGCGGCCGCTGGAGGATGATGCAGGTCAGCGGTCAGTCCTGCGAGGACGTGGAGATCTGCCGGCCGGTCCAAAGCCTGGCACGCCTGATGAAGAGATCGGAGCAGCGAGCGCGCGCTGGCGACATCTCAGACATCCCCTCGGCTTGGCACCTAGAAGCGCACAGACGCCGAGGCCTGACGAATGCCCTGTCCAGGCCTTATGCTCCTTCGCTCGGCAAGCACGACGGCAGGTCTCTTCTTTTATCTCTGCCACAGTCAGCATACCCAGCTTGAGAGGTGCCACCCTCGAGAGGCCTACTAAGCATCCGCGCATCCCTGCCAGCCCCTCATCCATCTTGCCGGCGTCGCCGCGCCTTATCGCCTCGCTCCACGCTCTACAGCCCAGCAGCGCGACTCACCCCGCTTGTTCGTCGCCACAAGCGCCTTTGCCTTGCGCGTCTCTGCGTCGATCTTGTTGTTGAGGTGCTCCTCCTTCTTCTCGAGCATCAGCAGCTGCGAGCGCAGGCCGACGATGGCCTCGCGCGCCGCATTCGGGTTCTCCCGCTTGCCGACGAGCCACGAGGTCCAGCTCGACATGGCGGGCAGAGTGTGTGTCTAGTGAAGCGAGAGGGAGACGGTGGCCGCGACGGGAGTGCGCTGAGCGAGAGCCGGGCTGGGCCGGAGCGGCAGCGGCGCGCGTTGAGTGATGGTCTCTGACTGTGGAGGCAGAGGGCGGCGCGCGAGCAGCAGGCGGCGCACAGGCGGCGGCAGGCCGGGCTGATGCGGTGCAGCAGTGGAGAAAGGAGTGCAAGGCTGCACACGGAGAGAGAGAGAGAGAGAGAGAGAGCGGGCGCAGGTGCGAGAGGCGAGGCGGGTGGAGGGTGGTGGCTGGGAGGCAGGCCTCGGCGGGGCCCTGCAGCGGCGGGGCGCGCAGTCGGCTGGGCTCGCTGGGCGCGCGCGCAGCGATGCGTCATGCATGCGGGCGCGCCGCCTGCGCCCGCCGCTGCCGGCCTGCCCGCGTCTCGCGCACCTCCGCTTTGGGTGCGCCGCGCGCGGGAGTCGCAGACGCGCCCGCGAGCTCGTCGTCGGCGACACTCGCTGCTGCTTCTCACCTACACCTTCAAGCGGCGTCGATGCCAGACCAGGAAGGGGACGCAGCACAGCGCAGCACCGGTGGCGGCGCTGCCCAGGAGCGCGCGGCACCGCGCAGCGAGCGCCTCTTCAAGTGCGGCCGTGATCCCGTCGTCGTGCTGCCCTGGACCGGCCGCCTCGCCGCTCGTGCTCCTCGTCACGGCGTGCAGCCGGCGTTCTTTGGCCTGCCACACCTCGACTACAGCCTCGGTCTCAGCGGCGTTGATCCAGTGATAGACCTGCGGCTACCTGCAACAAAGGAGTGGCGCGAGAGCCTGCGCAACCTGCGCGCCGTGCAGGAGCGGGTACCATGGGCTCCGAAGCCGTCGACAAAGCGCGGCGGATACACAGCGAAGCCATGGACGGCAGAAGAGGACGAAGCCATCCGGCTTGCACACGCAGAACTGGAGCGGCGCATAGGCTACACTCAACACCTGTATGCTCGCTTTCTGCAGCATCTCGGCGACGCAGGCAAGGCAACCCGCACGCCCGGCGGCGTTGCCGCACGCTGCAAGATCCTGCACGGCAAGAGGCGGCGGCGCAACTCTGACGAAGCAGTGTATCGATGACGAGTGTGATGGTGGATGCTAGAATACAATGCTGGGTAATGACGGGAGCAGCGTGTGGGGAGCGGAGCGAGAGCGATGGATGAGCAGACGGAGCGAGACGGGCGCGGCTACCGGTTGATGTTGAGCGCGGGCAGCTTCTCGAAGTGCTCGCGCGCGCTCTGCACGTTGAGCTTGATCGCCGCGAGCTCTGCGAGATGAGGCGTCAGCAGCGGGACGCGGTAAAGTGCAGCGCAGCACTCACCGATGCGCGGGTCGGCGACGACGACCATGATGAACGTGTTGGCCGTGAGCGCGTCGAGATAGGCCGAGAAGGACGGCGTGCGCAGCTCGATGGCCTGGAACGTCGACTGCAGCTTGCTGTAGAGGACATACAGTCAGCTCCCGCTGTCGCAGCGCCGCGCCAGCCACACTCACGAGCACGAGAGCTTGAAGCTCTTGATGAGCTCCGAGATCTTCTCGAAGCGCTCAGGATTCAGGCGCCCCTTGTCGTCGCCCTTGCGCTCCTCCGGGAAGCCCTCCATGTCGTCGTCGTCCTCGCTCGGCAGGCCTGTCGGCCGTGCGAAGCCCGAGGCGCCGACCGGCAGCGTGCTGCCGCCCTGCGTCGTCCGACTGATCACAAGGAAGGTGCTTCGCTCGAAGACGACGACCTCGGTCGCGCTGTTGGCCTGCGCGAACTGCGACAGGTGGCTCTCCAGCACGCCGACTTGCGGGATGAGCGTGTGCACGATGCTCGACCATGCCTGCTCCAGGCGTCAGCGCGCTACCCTGCAGCTCGAGTCCTGCCACACTCACCCTGTAGAGCGTCTCGTCCCAGATCGACGTCGCGAACGGCGTGATCGCCTTGCCCTCACTTTTCCGCCTCAGCTCAGCGACGCGTGAAGCATACACGCTGCGCCGCCGCGAGGAGTCGACGAGGTCCATCTTGTGCAGCAGGCAGAAGACACGCGCGTCTGGGCTATGCACACGCAGCGCAGCCAGGCAGTCCCTGGCGAGCGGCGATAGTCAGCGGCGGCTCCTGTCATCTGGGCGGACGGCGTGTGGAGCCTCGCAAAGCGAACGGAGCGCTGCAGCCTCCAGTCTGGAGCACAGAAGCCTCCAGCGGCACAGTAGCCTTCAGCCTCAGTACGGCAACCTCCACAGACTTGGATGCAGCAGGCAACAGCCCACATCTTTCGCGCATTCGCGAGGCTCAGCGCTGCCCGTCGTTGGCAACTGCCTCGCATCGCTCTTGCCAGATCCGACGCAAGCTGCTCTTCCTGCCTTGGCCAGCGCCAGCATTTCCCTCACAGCATCATCACTCGCATGCCCCGCTAGCAGCCACTCACTTGTAGTAGCGCACGTCCTTCTCCCACTCCTCGCCCGCGCCGTCCTCGCCGACGAGGTCAAAGACGTAGATGAGCACGCCGACGGCGGAGAAGACCTGGTGGCGCTGCGAGTCGAGGTACGAGTCCATGTAGGCCTGCTGTCCGCCGCAGTCCCACAGGTTGAGCACGAGGTTGCCGAGGAAGCGCACGTGCGAGTGCTCGACGTCGAGCGTGCTGCCCAGGCGCCGCGTGTCGCTCGGCCGGTACGACGAGCTGCTGGAGTGTGAGCGCAAAGTGCAGAAGCACCAAGACTGCTCCGCATCGGCACTCACAAGACGAGCGAGCGCATCGACGTCTTGCCCGAGCCGGAGCGGCCCATGAGAAGAATCTGGCGGCTGAGGATCAGCGCAAGATCGCCGGCAGCGCTCAGCCGGCTGCAGACGCACCTTCTTCTTCATGCTGAGCAGTCCGCCCGGAGGCGCGGAGAAGACGGACGGGCGTGCAGGGGTGCCGCGTGCAGAGCAGCGACGGACAGACGGTGGGTGATGCTGGAGGTGGTGGTGGTGACGAAGCAAAGCCGCAGCGGCCAGCACGCAGCACCTCACCCAGAAGATGAGCGGGCCGGCGAGGAGCCATCGTCGTCTGGGGCAGCGGGCCGCCCAGAGACGCAGGCACGCCGCCTGTGTGACCGCATGATGCACGCGGCGCGCTGTCGGCGCGGCGGCATGCGGCGCGGCGCGGCGCCGTGCCGTGCTGCCGGCGTGCCTTCGCCGCGTGACTCGCGCCTGCGCTGAGAGTCCGCCCGCCGCCGCCCTCCGCCTATCTGCGCCTGCGCCATCTCATGCCCTCTCACACAGCAAGCGCCGGCTCGCAAGGCACGCGGCGCTGAAGATAAGCGGAAAGACGGCCGCGAGGCAGCGAAGAGCAGAGAACAAAGTTGCCGCAGCCGCCGCACAACGAGAAGCGCTGCGGCGGAGCTCGCTGGGAGCAGCAGAGCGTGCAGCCAAGATCTGCGGACCTGCGAGGAGGAGCAGGCCGGACCTCACGCGCGGCCGCGCCAAGCAGAGGGCGTCCCATGAACCCTGAGCCTCCCCGCTCTTTTTCCAGGCTGCAGCCAAGCGAGGGCCAGCTGCAGGCGGAGAACGAGGGGGTTTGCACATTCTGGTGGCTGGCTGCGCCACGGCCGCGGCGAGAGCAGCCGAGGCGAGGCGAGGCGTTCTCTGCGTCGCTGCGCTGCGCGCTCAGCGCTCTGCGCGATGATCTGCAGCGTCGACGGCGCTGAGCTTGCGCGCTGCATGCGCGTGATCGGTGCCGTGCATGTGCATCATGCTGCAGCCTCCGCGCCGCCGAGCCCGAATGCCGTGGGACTGGGCCGCGGGCGCCCTCTGCGCAGGGCGCTCCTCTCTCTCTCTCGCATCTCACGCAGAGCTCACGTCTCACCGGGCACGGCAGATGTACGAGCAGTGGGAATTGTGCAGCGAGCGAGCAGTGTTACAGGGGTGTGGCACAGTGAGGCGCGGAGGCACGCGCAGAGCAGCAAGGGGAATCAAGAGAGCCGGACAGTCGAGGAAGAGGAGAGCAGCGAGACGGAGGCAGCATCACGCTTCGCCTACACCTCCTTGTTGGCGCCCGGCGGCTGGTAGCTCGGCGGTGGGGCGTTGGGCGCGGCGTACTGGCCGCTGCTCGGCGGCGGGCCCTCGGGCGCCTTGTAGTTGGCGTCGTTGGGCGGCGGGTACGAGAAGGCGCCGCCGTTGGGCGTGCCCTGGTACGGCGCGCCGCCCTGCGGGCCGTAGTTGCCCTGCCCGAAGCCCTGCTGCGGGTAGGCCTGGTTGCCGTAGAACTGGCCCTGCTGCGGCGCGCCGCCGGCGTACATGTTGCCCTGGCCGCCGGGCGCGAAGCCGGGCGCCGGGCCCGTCGTCGTCGTGTTCGGCCGGAAGACGTAGCCCTGCGAGCGGCGGCGGCGGCGGGCGCAGCACGCGAGCATCAGGATGAGGAAGATGACGAAGACGGCGATGGCAACACCTGCAGGCAGAGCGTCAGCAGGGAGCGAGCGGGGAGGCGGGTGAGAGGCGGAGCATCGCAGGTCTGCAAGAGGCTGCAGCGCCGAGAGCGCGCTGTCCAGCCCTTTGCGCTCGTGCTCGTGCTGTTCATGCGCAAGCGCACACTACAGCTCGCCACACATGCTGGCCAAAGCGCCGCCAGAGCATCACAAGTCGCGCCTTCCCTCGCCTCCGCACTTCCCGTCTCGCCACGCGCTTCGTCGCTGGACTCACCGACACCGGCACGTCCACCCGTTCCGAGGCCGCGGTTGCAGCGGTAGATTCTGCCGAATGCATCGCGGCAGTAGCCTGACTGTCTCTTCTCCAGCATGTGCATCTCGGATGCGGTGGCGAGCGCCGGCATGTCGAGGAGAGTAGGGGAGGGACTTGGCGGTGTTGAGTGGTGGCTCAGACGGGGTAGAGCGTTGGTTGAGGATGGAGCGCGGAGCGTCGCTTGAGGTGTCGCTAGTACGTAGGTTGATGGATGGATGTGGTCGTGAAGCAAAGATGAAGCGGCGGCTGGAGGATGGTTTGAGGGATGCCCGTCAGCCGCTGCGTCCAACGTCAGAGCGCAGCGCGGGCAGCTTTTGGGAGCCCGCTGGGCGAATGCCCATGACCGCATCGAGAGTAATGACGCGCGGCGCGGCGCTAAGCGCGACTACAAATTGCGAATACAAATGCCGCGCCTTGGCAGTCGAGATCTTGCACCGCCTCAACTCCGCGCCGCTGTGCCTGCGCGTGGACGTGCGGCCGCGGCGGCTCTGCTGCGCGTCCACGACGACCTCCTTCGCCCGGCCCTACGGCGCCTCCACAGCCACGCCCCGGGGCCCAGCGCTTGGCGCTCCGCGAGACCCCGGCTGCGCAGCAAAGGCACAAAGTGCGCTGATTCCACGTCAGTGACGCGCTGCAACGTCCACGTGGCCTCCTGCAGCTGCTGCTCCTCCATCCCCGCGATGCCGGTGCTCCCAGGGGCCCTGCGGCGCGTCAGGCGACGCCCAGGCCTGCTCGGCGCTCTCCTCGCGCTGCTGGCGCTGGCGTGGCTCGCGCTGACGGTCAGCCGTGGCCTCGAGAAGCCGTGAGCCGTCTGCGTGGCTGCACCCTGCATTCGCTGACTGGTGCCGCGCAGTGCCGACGTGAGCAGCACGCGAGCGTGGAGGACGTGCAACCACTGACTGCTCCTCAGTGGCACCGTGTGCTGCTCTTGACCGCTCATCCGGACGACGAGGTGATGTTCTTCGCGCCAGTCGTCCATGCGCTCTCGTCTCGCACCGAGGTCTTTGGGCTCTGCCTGAGCGAGGGTGCGTCTGCATGAGTCCTGAGATGACCGCTGCTGACCGACAGCTCAGGCAACGCCGACGGCCTTGGCGCTGTGCGGCGAGAGGAGCTGAAGCAGGCGTACAGCGTGCTCGGCGTGGACGAGAAGCGTGTCTGGAGCACAGATGACCCGTGAGCCTCTCGCAGCGCTGATCAAGGACAGAGGCTCACCGCTCGCTCACAGACATCTGCAAGACGGCATGAAGGTGCAGTGGGACCCGCTCTACATCGCAAATATCGTCGAGCAGCACATTCAGAGGATAGGCGGCAAGCTCGATGCAGTGAGTAGCAGATCAGCAAGCATGCATCCCTGCGCTGACCCTTGACAGATCATCACCTTCGATGCCCGAGGCGTCTCCGGCCACGCCAATCATGTGGCGCTGCATGCCGCTGCGCCGCACCTCTCTGCGCCGGTCTATGCGCTGCGCACACTGCCGCTGGCGCTTAAGTACCTCGGCCTGCCAAGCGCGCTGCTGCGGCATCTCTCGAGCACCCTGGCTCAAGACGGCGCCCGACGCTTCCTCTCGTCGCCACTCGAGTACGTGCGCACGCTGCTGGCGATGCGCAAGCACGCCTCGCAGCTGGTCTGGTTCCGCTACCTCTACGTGCTCGCCTCGGCGCACATGTGGTCCGCTGTGCTGGACCTCGTCGCGAGGCCGATGCCGCAATAGCATGAGGGAGAGTCACCGCCAAGCATGACCAGTGTGGGGAAGGGCGGCACGCTCACGCCACTTGGATGCGCTCCCACGTCCCATTCTTGGCTCTGCTCCCAGCGCATTGCGGGACCTCGAGCCAAACAAAGCGCCGAGGAGGTGGCTTGTCCCCGGCGGCTCATAAGGAGCTCACACGGCGCCTTGAGGTGCCGCTGCGCCGGCGCCGAAGCACACATCCGCAGCAGCAGCGGACAGCTGCCCATGCTGCATCGCTGCTGCCCTGCGGCTGCGCGCTGCGCCGCTGACTCCGACCAGCCGTATGCTTGGCGCAGGGCTCAGCCGGACCGTTTTGCCGACAGCAGCGGCTCCAGGGCAGCCCGCCCCTGCGCTGTGCGCCGTGCGTCTTGCGAGCCGTGCTGGCTGGCGTTGATGACGCAGGCACGCAGAGCAGAGGAGGCGGGCCGGCCGCCGAGGCGGCGCCGCAGCCACACCGCGCAAAGTGTCCTGCTGGGAGCTGCGAGGGGTGCGCCGCTGCGGCACGGCCGCTGTGTCCTCTTTGACAGCCGCAGGCCAAGGCGGCGCCCGCGCATCATCTTCCCGCGGCGCGGCGGCGCTCTTTTTGGCCCTGCTCCACTTCGAGCGAGATGCGCCGCCGGCGTCTTGTGCGGCTGCGGTGCCTTGTTGGGCGGTGCAGGCGCCGTGCCGCTGCAAGATGCCGCACCGCCGCGCGCGGCGAACGCTGCTCGCCCAGCAGCAGCGCTCCGCCCGGCAGCCGCGATCCGTTGCACGGGTGCGGCGCGAGGGCGAACTTGCTCTTCAGCACGTCGATCCCACCTTGGCCCGCCGCTCCGTTCCCCTCGCCGTCCACCACCGCGCCGTCCAGCAAGCCTCTCTGCGAGCGTCGCCTCTCCAGGCAGAGCCAAAGGCCCGCCGCGCCGTCCTTGCGCCCTTTCCGCGCGCTCCATCTCGCCTCCTCTCGCGCGCGCCGTGCTCCTCCACACCAGCAGAGTCGCCAGCATGCAGCTCTCCAACGTCTTTGCCTCGTCGTCGCGCTCGGCGATGGAGGGCCCAGCAGCGCGGCGACCTGCGCGCTCGGGGCGGAAGCGCTCGTTGCTCAGCGCTCTGGCCGTCGGTGCGCTGGCTCTCGCGGCGGCACTGCCGGGCGCTGAGGCCAAGGGCATCGGTGGGACTCGCGAGATCAGTGAGTTGTGCCCACGAGTGAGACATGAGAAACTTCAAAGGCAAGGCAAAGCCCGCTTCGCTCCAGCGCGCTGGCGCTGAGCTCCACGATGGGGCATGCTTTCCGGCCGGCGCCCTTGACGAGGTTGGCCATCACTGACCACGATGACGCAGGGACCTCCTCGGTCGCCTACTGTTCGACGCCCATCGCAATTCTGGTGACGGACCTGCAGCTCAATCTCTTTCCGGACAACCAGACGCTCGAGTTCAGCATCTCGGCGGCCTCGACGCAGGACAATTTGGACGTCAGCGTCTCCATCAACCTCGACGTGTACGGCGGCCTGGCCGAGATCACCGCAGGCATCAACCTGTGTGACGTGGCAGCCGGCTTCCTCTGCCCTTTGCCACAGTATGACTTCAGCGGTGAGGAAGAGCACTCTTGTGGCTGCGACAGGGTCTCTGCTGATGCGCTGTGTACTCTGCAGCATCTGGCATCTTCCCGGTCCCCGCTGCGCTCTTCGATCGCATTCCCGAGATCGCCTACCGCGTGCCCGACCTCGAGGCAGTCGCGACAGTGCAGCTGACCGACACGAACACCAACACCGTCGTGGGCTGCGTGCAGGCGACGCTCTCCAACGGCCACACCGCGCGGCAGTCCGGCGCAAAGTGGGCCACGGTCGGCCTGGCGCTCTTTGCGCTCTTCGCCTCGCTGCTGCACTCGTTCATCGCGCAAAGCGTCGGCGCAGCGCAGTGGCGCGTCGTTGATGTGATGCTCGCTATCCAGCACCCGGCCGTCGTCTCGCTGCTGAGCCTCAACTACCCGATCGTCTACATCCAGTATGCTTTGAACTTTGCCTGGTCACTGGGCCTGGTCAACATCGCGCCGCTGCAGCGCTCGATCACGGCGACGCGCGCGCGCGCCGGCGATCTTTCGGGCGGCATCTTCGGAGAGGAGCTCATCGCGCAGGTCGGGCGCCAGACCACCGTCTTTGGCACCGACGGAGGAAGCACGAGCGGCGTGGGCGTCAGCGGCGGCGGCCTGCTCAGCGGCCTGAGCGCGCGCAGCCTCGCCGAGCGCGCCATCACGTATCTCAAGCCGCTGTCCTCGCACGCCGAGCTTGTCGGCAGCCGTCTGGCGCGCCGGCAACAGTACGCGCCGAACACCGGGCCCGGAGGTGCCATGGCCACGTCCGACGATACGACGGCGCTGCCCATCATCACGGGCGAGAGCGACCACACGTCGGACATCGGCACGTTTGCCCAGTACCGGAACATTGCGCCCGGCAACGTCTTCCTCACCGTGCTGACCTCGATCGGCATCCTTCTGGGCATCGTGCTTGCCGCGCTGCTGCTCGCCTTCCTCATCGCCCTCGCCGTGCGCTTCTTTACGCGCAAGAACAGCACGACTCGCGCCGGCCACTGGTCGCGCCGTGTCACTCGGCCGCGCGAGTTCCTCGGCGTGCTCCTGCCGGCGTTCCTCAGCCGCTTCTGGCTCGTCACATTCCCGGTCCTCACGCTCTTCGCCTTCTACCAGTGGTACTTTGGCGCCGCGTGGCCGGCGCATCTCGTCGCCGGCCTCTCGTTCGGCCTCTTCCTGCTCGTCGGCGCGGCCTTCCTTGTCCCGATGCTCCTCCACAGCCGCCGCGCCGGCTCCGACTCGCTCTACTACGGCAAGGGCAATTCGCCTGAGCTCGGCAGCACGGCCGCCAAGCGCTGGGGCCATATGGCACACCCCTACCGCCCGACGTTCTTCTACTTCGCCTTCATCTTCGTGCTCTGGTCGATCATCCGCGCCTGCTGGATCGTGTTCGCGCAGGGCCACGGCTTCCGCCAGGCCGTCGGGCTGCTCGTCTTCGAGTTCGTGTTCTTCGTGCTCCTTCTCGTCTTCCGCCCGGGCCGCGACAAGAAGTCGGACTGGGTGTATGTTGTCCTTACCTTCTGCCGCATGGCCAGCTTTGGCGTCGCCGTCGCCTTCACCGAGCAGGCCGGCCTCGACCCGCTGCCGCGTGTCATCGTCGGCTTCGTGATGCTCGTGGTCACCGCGCTGCCGATCATCTTCACGTTCTTCATGGGTGCGTCGAGTGCTGGCGCGCTGCAGTGCTCACTGGCTGACCCTCCGTCCAGTCCTGTGGGACCTCATCTCTGCGCTCCTGCCGTCGAAGCGCCGGCCCGCACCGCTCGAAAGCGAGAAGGGCGAGTACCAGTACGGCCAGGCGGCGGCGGCAAACCGCGACTCGCACATCTCAGACCCCGCCGCGGCGTCGTCTGCCAGCTCGCTCGACGCAGAGCGGCCGGGACGCGCGCTCTGACGACTTCCACACCCCTGCCTGCTACATACCTGCCCGCCTCTCTACATGATCACCTGCTGCTGCCCTCGTAATTACACTCTGCAATGGTCGCGGACTGATTATGATTGGGAATACGTCGCACAAAGGTCTAGGATGGAGGGTACAAGAGTCACGGCTCGTGGAAGACGTCGTCGTCGTCGAGGTCCATGGCACCCGCGTCGGCCGTGCTGCCGATGGAGAAGCAGTCGTGCTGCTTGCGCAGCGGCGAGGCGGCGAATGAGGTGTGCGGCGGCTCGGCGCCGGCGCCATGGCCCGGCGAGCAGGTGAAGTGGATGGCAAAGGGAGAGTTCGCGTCGATGCCGAGGCCGACGCCTCCCGAGAAGGTCGAGCTGCCGGCGTGCACCTTGATCGGCGTCATGTCCACAGCCGCAATGTCGAAGGCCCACGGGCTCGGCTCCTCGCGGCAGCGCTCGCGCGCGTCGGGGTCGGGATCGGCCGACAGCACGTGGAGCAGGAAGTCCTCGGGCTCCTGGATGAGGGCGCCGCGGACGTCGAGCACGCGCGACTCGTCGCCGCTGCTGTAGGCCGATGACGACGAGGATGCTGAGCCCGAGCGCGCCATGTCTTCGCTGCTCGGTCCCGCGCCGGTGCCGGCCATGTCGGCGTCGCCCTCGTCGTCGACGTCTGGCACGACCGAGCAGCTCAGATCAGCGGCGGCGAGGTCGAACTCCGGCAGCTGGTCGAGCTCGGAGGCCATGAGGCCCTCGGCCATGCGTGCCTGCACGGCCTTGACGACCGGGTGCGCGAGGATGGACTGGATTGAGGGCCGCCGGTGCGGCTCCTTGCTCATCATGGTCTTGATGAGGCGCACGAGTGAGACGCTGAAGTTCGAGAGGTCGACGTCGGACAGGTCGTCGTTGCGCAGCTTCTGCCACGCCTCGCCGTTGTCGGGCAGGACGACGTTGCCGGCGGCCTCGAGCATGATCAGGCCGAGGCTGTGTGGGTGCAGGGTGAGCTGAGAGTCTCGCCTGGAAGATGGGAGACGACTCACCTGAAGATATCGGCAGCCTGGCTGTAGTGTGCCTCGAACATGATCTCCGGCGCCAGGTACTCGCGGTCGCCTTCGCGCTCCACGTTGGGACCCTTGCTGCCACGCCGCGCCCGCTGTCCGAGGCTGGTCGGCTTGATGAAGTCGGGCGCGCTCGCTGCGTCGGTCGAGTCGATGGCGGCGCCCTTAAGGATGACCGAAGGCTCGACGGGCGGCCAGCGCGTCGCCAGGCCGAAGTCGCCGATCTTGAGCGTGCCGATCTCGGTGATGAAGACATTGGCCGGCTTGAGGTCGAGGTGCAGGATGCCGTGGCTGTGGATGTGGCCGAGGCCCAGCGACAGCTCCGTGAGCACCTTCCAGAGCCGCGGCTCGTCGAGCTGGCCGACGAGATTGCCGTAGCCCTCGAGGAAGAAGCTCAGCGTGCCCAACGGGCACAGCTCGGTCTGGACGAAGAGGTGGCCGCCCTCCTCCCAGGCATCCACGAGCGAGATGACGTTCGAATGCCCAGTGACGCCGGCCGATGTCTCGACAGACGACAGATGCCGCAGGATGTCGACTTCCTCGAGACGACGCAGGCGGTCGCGCGGGCCCGTGAAGGCACGCTTCATGCGCTTGATCGCGTACACGCAGCCAGTCGAGCGGTCCTCAACCTTGACCGCCTCGCTGAACTCGCCGCGGCCAAGGACGGACTGGACAGTGAAGCGGGTCTCGAACGGACTGACGACCGGCGACTTCGGAGCCTGCGGCAGGAAGAGCGAGCCGCGCGTCTTGCTCGGCGCGTCCTTGGAGAGTGCGTCGACCGAGATCGGCCCGTGGCTCAGGCGGCTGCCCTTGGCGAGCCGGCCGCTGATGCTGCCACGCTTTGCCGCGTGCGCCTCTGCAGTGCGACGGCGCGACGACGGAGACGGCGTCGTGACGAGCTGTGCGGCTGAGAGGATGCAGAGCGTGAGCGCTTGCACGGAATGAGACTCGTCCTGCACTTACCCTCGTACCACTTGATCGGCCCACCGTTACGCGTGGGCGTCGTAGGGATCGGGCCGGGCCCGAACGTCGGACTCGCCAGCGATCGCAGCGTGGCTTGGTCGGTCGTCGAGGAGAACGAGTTTGCGCGTCCAGGAAGAATCAGAGCTGGACGGCTGCCGGTCTTGCTGCGCAGCAGGGGCGGCCGGGCGAAAGGGTTGTGCGGGCCGAGGCTGTTCGCAGCAAAGGCGCTGCCGGAGCTTGGCAGCCCGGGCGAGCGAGAGCGCGCCTCCTCCAGGTGCGTTGCCTGACCTGACGGAGACGGCGCGGCAGAAGAGGACGACGCAGCACTGCCCGGTGCCAGAAAGGTGGTGTTGCGAGCTCGCGCTGCCCTTGCGGGAATCCGAGCACTGCTGAGCTGCGCCTGCATGCTCGGGCTCACCGGCCCGTCGCTGAGAGGCGAGCCGCCGCATGTATCGAGGCTGCTCCCGAAGCTCGGCGCACGCTCGAGCGGAGCGTCTGAGCGAAGACCGTGAGGCGGCGAAACGGTGCGCGGAAGAGGCACAAAGGCCTGACCGAGCTGCGAGTTGCTGCCGACGTGGCGCGAGCGGCGCGCGCGGATAGAGTCATCGACGAAGCCGGGCCAGCCTGTCTCTGCCGCTGCTGCAGCCGCGAGGTCACCGCCCGAGTTGCTGACAGACACCAAGTTGAGCGTCGGACTGTCGCAGGCATCGAAGAGCAGCGGCGACTCGCCGCCGCACGCGCTCGCGCCGCTGCTGCTGGAGGCAGAGTCGAGGGCAGGCGAGTATCGCATCCTGGCTGCCGGCTGCGCACTCTGCTGAGGCGCGCCGAGAAGGTGGACCGGAGGCGCACGGACGACCGACGGCGGCGGCTGCAGCGTGGCCTTGACGTGGCTCGCCTCGACCGGCATCTTCTTGACGGGCGTGTCAGGCATCAGTGCTGTGCCTGGCGCGGCCGCTGCGGCCTTTGCGTTTGCCGCAGCGACGATCTCGCGCAGCGCCGTGCCGCTCGCAGACGCGCTGACGCCCGTGACATTCCCGACAGATGCAGCGCCGAGGGCAGCAAAGTTGGGCGGCAGCGGCGGCACGATGTCGCCTTGCGCACGTCCGCGCTGCTTCGACACGAGGCCGGTCGAGAGGAACGCGGTGGCCAGCGGCTTGGCGTTCTTGAAGTTCTGTGGCGTGAGGTAAGGCAGGGCGTGGTCGTCGGGCAGAGGGAAGTTGCCGACGGAGAGAGCGTCGCGAGGCGGCAGGCCGTCGGGAATGTGCCGAGCAGGGCTACCGAGGCCCTCCGGCACGCTCAAGTTGCGCGCGCCGAGCCGCGACGGCGCTGGCGAGCTGGCCGCTGAGCTGCTGCTGTCACTGAGCCGCGCCTCGTTGGCCAAGCTTGATCGCTCGCGGACGCTGAACGGGTGACTGCCTGCCGGCACGCCTTGCAAGCCAGCCTCTCGGCGCGCTGCAGCTGCCTTCGCCGGGCTCGCCTCGTACTCTGACGACTCCAGGCCGCCGAAGCGCGGTGCCTTGGCACTGGAGCCCTGACGTGCCGAGCCAAGTCCAAGCTGCCGACCCAGCGGCCCAAGCCCGAGCATGACGGGAGCCTTACCCGCCGGCGTGTTGAAGCCCACGCCGCTGTCGTCAAACTCATTGGACGCAGCGCCGCCAGCAGGCGAGTCGCAGTTGCTCCACGAGATGGAAGAGACGGAAGCTCGTCGCGAGTTGGGCATGTCGTGCACTGGCGGCATGCTCGACCGCGCCGAGCGCGATGCTGGTGTTGAAGACGATGGGCCGTCGGCTCGCTCAGCGCCGGAGCCAAAGAGACGGGACGTCAGGGTAAGCGGAGGCTGCATGGATCCTGTGGAGCGACGCTTGGAGTCCCGGTCCAGCGATCGCGTCTCGCTAGCGGAGTGCGGAGGCGCAGCCATGTTGCCGGCAAAGCCGAAGAGAGACTGGCTTGCAGAGACACTGCCGCCGTTCGAGGCGCGACGGCTGCCGACTGGCACGCTGTCGGCATCGTACGAGCCCGACGAGCCGGAAGACGACGAGCGTGCGCGGTCAATGTGGACCGGCGTCGCATCGCCGCCGGCGCGCCGCTTGAAGGGTGTCTTGTACGGCGAGGAGGCGCTCGCCTCGAGTGCTGCGCTGCTGGTGGAGCTCGCGATGGTGGTTGTGCTCGCGCTGCCCGATGACTTAAAGCTGCTCGCAGTGGAGGAGCGCGACGGGCCAGGCAGGTTGGTCATGCCAAAGGCCAGCGTCAGGCCGAGGCCCTGCGGCACCGACTGCTGGCCAACGCTCATGCTGCGACTGCCCTGCAACCGCCGCGAGCCAGAGCTGCTGGGCCGGAACCCAGGCTGCAGCACGCCGCCGTCCTCGTCCTCGCTGGATCCAGCGCGGAGTGTGCCCGGAAAGGCGAGGTCGCCCATCGGGCTGGGACTCGGTGGCGGCGCCTCGTCGGCGTCCGTGTCCGAGTCCAGCTCCATGGCCCGATGAGAGACGGGCTCGCGCAGAGGCGCTAAGAAGGAAGGTGCACGCCGTCGCCGAGCTGCGACGCTGCTGCCCGCAGAGTCCGTCTCAGTCTGGGCGCGCACATGGCTCGAGTGGGCAGGCGGCGACGGCGGAGCAGCTCGGAGTGCTGTCTGCGTGCCGGCGTCGCTCCGCCTGGGCGCCTGGTGTGCCGCACTGATGGCTATCCGCGAGCCAAGTGCAGAGGTAGCGGGCAATGGGCAGGTCCGACGCATGCCGCCCTCCCAGCTGCGACCCCGGCCCATCTCGCTGGAGCTGGCGGGCGTGGCGCCGAGCGGGACGAGCGACTCGCACGCATGCGACCGCGGCATGCCTGACTGCCGCGCCTCGCCAAAGCGCAGGGTCGACGGCGGCTTGCGCAGGCCGGTGGCGGGCTGCGCGGCGAGCGTGGCATGCGCATCGAACGGCGACTCGTCGACGCGCGTGCCGAAGCGAGCTGGCGGCGTCATGCTGACCTGCGTCGAGAAGCGCCGCTCAAGCACACCGTCGTTCATCGCCGCGAGCGAGGCGCGCGTGGCGATGCGGCGCGACTGGCGCACGTCGGATGCGGAGCGCTCGCCCGCCGTCGCCTGGCTGAAGGCCGAGCTGGCGTTGAGCGCGTCCTCTGTGAGCGGCACGGCCGCGCGGCTGATCATGGCCTGGTCGGGCGACACATCGCCGGCAGGCTCGCCGATCTCCGAGCTGCTGTCGTCGTCCGAGGCGCTGCCCGCCGTGACGCCGCGGGCGCGAGGCGTCCAGTGGCTGGCGGCGGATGCCAGCGCGCGAGCGTTGGCAGACGCCTGGCGCCGGCGCGGCGCGCGGCCGACGGTGCGCGGCGAGGCAGTGCGTCCGCTGGGCAGCGGCGAGGCCAGTGGTGCTGCGCGCGGCAGCGTCGCCGGGCCGCCAGCAGCCATGCGCGCCTGTCCTGACGGGCGCGAGGGCGTGGCGGCGCCGGACATGAGGCTCGACTCGGCCGCGAGCAGCGCGGCGACGGTCACGACGGTGTGGGCAGCGCCGGGCGACGGCGTGCCGCGGGCCGAGATGTAGCCCGACTGGCGCTGGCGCGGCGTCGAGAGCTTGCGCGGCGACGCGAGGCCGCAGGTGGGCGAGGTGCGCGACGAGGGCGAGAGCGAGCACGAGGTGGAGCGGGAGAGCGAGACGGACATCGGCCACGGCCTGCCGCTCGGGGCACGCGCGCGCGGGGTGCGGATGCGCTCAGCGGGCGCGGAGGGTGAAGGAGGGTGGGGCGCCTAGGATGTCGAGCGGCCGCAGAGGAGGTGTGGAGACGGATGCAGAGGTTGTGGTGGTGGTGGGACGGCGGGACGGATGAAGAGTGGCGCGACACGGGACTACGACGATGAGAACACGGCTGAAGGGGCGAGCGAGCGGATGAAGAGCGGACGGGAGCTGGAAGGGATGCTGGCGGTGCGGACGCTGGGACGACGAGGACGGTGGAGTGACAGGCGGGCGCACTTGCGATGCCTCGGCGAGCTGAGCCTATGCGTAAATGAACGGGGGCGCCGCGAGAGGAGCAGCAGAGAGCGCGCGGCGCGCCTCTGCCGCGGCGCGACGGCCTGCTGCAGCAGAGCGAGGCGCGTCGCGCGCCCAAGCGACACGCGCGCCGGGGCGGCAGCGAATGCAGCAGGAGGCCGGGCAGGAAAGCAGCATCCGGCAGGGCGCCGCGCTGCTGCTGTTCCCAGCGCAGCAAGCAGCAGCAGCAGTCGGCAGGGCGCCCGAGGAGGCAGGCCGGCACAGCACCAGGGCAGCCGCTGCGACGCGTCCCGGCACAACACGCACATCATGCGCAGCGCTGCGGCCGCTGATGCTCCGCCGCGGCGCGGCGCGCGCCGTGGCTCTCGTCTGGCGCGCAGGCACGCCATCTGTGTGTGCGGCACCGCTGCTGCGTCCGGCATGGCCTCTCGCGGCCCCCCTCCGCACCCGCCAGCACCGCCAGGCCTCGCCCAGGCGGCCGCCGCACCTGCCCCTCTCGGCGCCGTGCGCAAGATCTGACGCCGCGATCAGTGCGGCTTCCATCGTCTGGCTTCGGCGGCGCCGGACCCTGCAGCAGATGCTCGCTGCGCCGACGGCAGGGCAGGAGGCTGAGCGCCAGATGGCTTGAGATGCTCGTGCTGCGGCGCACCGCACTGGCTGCGGCCTCTCCTCGGCGACGCGGAGAAGCAGGCGCTCCAGGCAGGGGCCACAGAAGCCGCGCAAACGCAGCCTGCGCTCCCCGGACGTCGTCTCCTCGCACACGGCCGTACCCCCATTCGCACCCCGAGGGCGAGCGCGTGCGGTACGTGGCTCGACGTACCGCAGCGCGTTGTCGTCCATCTCGGCCGCCCCTGCGCGCCGCCGTCGCTGCATCCCGCCTTGGCTCTGCAGCAGCGCAGCCGGCCTCTTACACTTTGCTAGTGTCAGCGGCAGGCACGGCCTAAAGGTGCCGCATGCCTAATGCTGCGCGCACGGCACCTGTCGCCATCGGGCCCCCAACAGCATGGGTGCGGTCGTAGGGCCGCGCCGGCGCTAGCCCGTGCCATCCCCATCCCGACGCTGGCTCTGCATGACGCCCAAACGCTGCCAGCGGCGAGATGCGCCCTCTCGGTTCTGCCTCGGCATTCTGCGTTTCTGGGGCCGCCTCGCAGCTGCCTCCCGTCTCCCACGTCCCCCTGGCATTTCTGACATGCTGCGGCGCGCCAGCTCGAAGCGCAGAGCCGGACTCCGGCTGCGAGCCGCGCGAGCATCAGCTCCGTCGCTTTCGCCGCGCCTCAATGCCGCCGACGCAGCGAGCGCAAGGTGCCGAGAAGCGCACGCCCCTATCACACCATCTCCGTCTCGCCTCAGCATGCATGGAGCACGCAGCAACTTGCTCGGGCCGCGCCGGCCAAGAGGCGGCCGGCGCCGGCGCGCGCTGCAGCGGTGGGAGCGCCGCAGCAAGCGGGACGGACGACCGCACGTTGCGCTGCGATGGGAGGCCGGCGCCGCCGCAGCAAGTTGAGCGCACGACCGCGCCGTCGGCATGCGCACTGAGGTGGCGCTACGCCTAGCCTCGAGGCGCGCTCGCGTCTGCGCTGTCACGATAGCTGCGATGGACGATGCCGCCCGATGGGCCTCGCGTTGCCTCGCGGCGTGCGGCGTGCGCTCGTCGGCGCGCAAGCTCGGGCGAGCGGCGACCCTTGCATGGCGGGCACGGCCGCGGCTCCCACGCTTGCTGTCCGGCGCCGCAGCCACTCGACTGCCCTCGCTCTGCCCGCTGCGCTTGCTCACTCAGCGCCGCAGCGTCACTCCGCCCGCCGTCGAGGATCAGCCGCGTGCTCGCCAGCCAGGGGCGCGTGGCGCCTCAACGGCTGATCATGCGCGCCAGGGCGCACCTCCCGGCAGACGCAGCGTCGCGCCAGCATGAAACGAGGCAAGGCGCGTCGCCAAGAGCCGGCGCGTCGGGTCACGTGGCAGGACCGCTGCGACATGCTGGCGGAGCCGACGTCCACGGCCTGCCTCCGCCCCCTGAGCACCGCCGTCGATCGCAAGCCATCATCCGCCCAACGGCCGTGCCTGCAAGTGCTGAGCGGGCCAGGGTCCGAGGCAGCGCCCGCAAGTCATGTCCGACCTGATGGCAGCCCAAGCCCTGCGCGGCAAGCTGCGCCAACCGCCGCCACGAGGCGGCCTTGGCTTGCGCCAGCGAGCCGTGCGGCGCTCTGCCCGATCGACGATGACCTCGTCATCGTCAGCAATGCAGGCTCGCAGACTGCGCTGCGGTCCACGGGTGCTTGCTGCTCTGCCGTGCGAGAACGTCGGGCTCATCATCAGCCGAGAGTCACGAGACCCCGTCGATGGCTCCATCGTCCTGCCCTCGCACGAGCCCCTCCTCATTTACACAAGCGCGCCGTTCTGACGACTCGCATGAAGACAGCTCGGTGCATCACGAGGGATCGGCCTGCTTCTGGTCCGCCGCGAGAGCGCCTCGCCACCATGCGCCGCGGCGCGCTCGAGCCCCCTGATGAGGTCGCGAGGGCAGGCCCAAGCGTCCGTCTCTGGAGCGAAGAGGCGCGAAGGCGGCGGCAGCGGCCATCTCTTCCTCCACGTCTAGGAGCGAAGCCGTCGCGCAGCCCCTCTTCCGCACTGCCGCCGTGCTACACGGCTCGCGTGCCTGCCGTGCGCCCCTCAAACGACGCCTAATGGGACAGCATGGAACAGGCGAACCACCTGAACTCGTTCGCTGGCGGCTTCTGCTGTCCAGTCGCCGGGCCGCGTGGCAAATGAAGGCCTAGCACACGCCCTCACCGCCCTCGCTCCTCGCTGCCCCCGCGGCCCCCGCGCTGCCCTGCGTCTGCACCCGACGGCTGCTCCTCCTCCGCGTCTGTCTCATCAGCCGCTCAGGTCCTGATGGGCCCTCTCCGATCTGGCCGCCAGCTGCAGCCGGCGCCCTACAGCGATGGCGGAGGGCGCCGGCGCCGCACGCCGGGTCCGCCATCACGCTCGAGCCTCTCCGCTGTCGGCGGCGCTCCCGCCTCTCATCCCTCCCCCGTTCATGCGCCGGCCGCACCCGCCGCCATGTACTTCCACTCTGCCCTCCGCGCTCCCGCCTCGTCGCCGTTGCGCGAGGCGTTTCCGCCACCGGGCCTGCGCGCAAGCCAGCCCGACGCCGCGGTGTCGTGGGCCTCCTCAAGTACCGGCCGGCCTCGGCAGCTCGACTTCGCTCCGAACCAGCTCAATCCACCCTCTCACCGTCCCTACCCCTCGCCTCTAATCTCTCCCATACGCCAGGCCGTCGCCGCCGAAGACCAGGCCATGTCGTCGTCTCTCTGCAGCAATCCGTCTGAGTCATCGTCGTCCATCGTACCGCACAGCACGCCGCCCACCAGCGCGGCAGACACGACATCGCCGAGCAGCCGGCGTCTCGAGCTTGGAGCGGTGGCGCCCGCCAGCGGGCCGCCATCGCCGGCCAAGCTCACGTCTGCAAAGGCAGCAGTCGATCCGAAGCGCGCACCGCAGCCTGCAGCGCTGGACCGGCTGAACCTGCCGATCCCACCGACGTCTCTCGCATTCGTGCTGCCTGGCGAGAGCGGCGCCGAGGCGCCCACCATGCAGCGCTACACGCGCAAGGGCTCGCCGTTTGATGCTCGAGCGGCGACCATTGGAACTGGCGCCTTTGGATGCGCGCTTCGCTATGAGGTGAGCCGAGAATGGCCCTGACGTCCGACGTGCTGCTGATCCGCATCTCCCACAGCGCGGCGACGTCTTCGTCGCATCAATGCCAAACGGGTCGCCGGACACGCCCGTCGCGGCGGCGCACGCCGACGCACAGGCCGCCTCTGCGCATGACGCCTCGGTGCCCAGCGGCACAAGCTCCGCCATGGAGCGCGAGCCCGTCGAAAACCTGGCCGAAGCCTCGCAAGAGGAGGCCGCGCAGCTGCTCAAGCGCAAGACGAGCTCCAAGAGCCTCAGCACGGCCGTCGCGAGACGTGCTCTGCAAGAGGCTGTGGAGCACGACGCCGTAGCCAGTGTTGCGCGCGCGCGCTCCGTCAACTCATCGCCGGCCGGCAACTCAGTGCCGCTCCCGAACACTGCCGCTGCGCGCAGCCGTCTGCCGGCCGTCATCGTCGTCAAGGTCTGCCGCACGCCAACGTCTGGCTCCTACGATGAGTTCCCGCGTTGCGGACCCGGCCGTGCCGAGGCCAAGGCTGCCGACGTGCTTCTGTCGAGCGGCCGCTACATCGACCCCGACCAGAAGCACACGCGCATCGTGCGCGGCGAGCTGCGCATGTTCAAGTTCCTGCAGGCCGCCGCGGCCGCCGAGGGCCTCAGTCAGCGACACACGCACCTCGTGCGCCTCATCGCCGACGTGTCCATGACGCAGAGCTGCGAGCTGGCCAAGCTGTGCGGCGACATCGACAGCGCAGAGGCAACCATGGCAGCGACGCCGCAGCCGATGGCTGGCGGCCCGCCGCTGCCGCGCCTGCTCGTCTTCGAGCGCCTCGTTGACCTCGATGTGATGCTCACACCGCGCGGCTGGGTCAAGAACCGTGGGCTGTGGACCGTCGAGCAGGTCGAGGGCGTGGCGCGCGAAGTCGCAGCCGGTCTGAAGGTGGGTCGCTGTGGCCGTGCAAGCCATCGTGCGCAACTGACACCGTTTCGCAGTTCTTGCACGCTCACTGCCTGGTGCACGGTGACCTCAAGCCGGCGAATCTCATGCGCTGCGCCAAGACCGGCGTCGTCAAGCTCATCGACCTTGGTGCTACGCGGCGATGGATCCGCCTGCCCGTCACGGCGAAGGAGTCTTCCACCATCGTCGAGGAGGTCGACGCGCTGATCAAGGACGGCCGTCTGTCGCTCAGCGACTATACGTCCGACCTCGTCTGCGAAGGACTCGGCTCGCTCACCGGCTCGCCTCACTTCATGGTGCGTGCAGCGAGGCCTTGCTACCCTAGACGACGCTGACATGTCCATCGCGCAGGCGCCCGAGGTCCTGCTGCAGGGTGAGCTCAAGAATTGCCCAGCCTGATAACGAGTCACTGACACATACCGTCCAGCCGGCCGCTACCTCTCCGCCGACGGCTACGCGCGATCGGTGCTCGACGACTACGTCTCGAACAGCACTTGGGTGCCAGATGTGCCGTCTGCCCGCTGGATCGCTCAGTGCCACGAAGACTTCAAGCGTGGCTGGGGCATCAAGTCCGACGTCTGGTCCTGGGGCTGCTGCGTGTAAGTCGCACACGACCCTGACCTTGCAGCTCGCTTGCTGATCACTTGGAGATGCAGCCTAGCTCTCCTGCTCCGCACGCTTCCCGCGCCGCAGAGACCGAGCTCGAGCACCGTCTGCCCGTTCAACTTCTCCTTCGACGAGAGTATGGACGACGCGCTTGAGCCTCTCTGGCCTCTCGATCCGTCGGAGGAGACGCTGCCGCGCTTCCACCTCTGGGCACGCCTGTTCCCACTCCGCATCATGGATACGCTCAAGGAGGGCGTCGAGCTGCCGATTTGGGCCGACGAGCTCTCGGCGCCGGTCGCCGAGATGGTCAGTGCAGCCATGCGCCACCAAGACGAGCGTCCGAGTGCCGCCGCGATCTTCAAGGCCCTCAATCGGCCGCCGCCTCTGGACCAGCTGAGCGTCCGCGACAACGCGTCGATCTTCTCGAGCAACCTGCCTTCGCCGGCTGGCTCGACGTTCTCTACGGCCAATTCAAGCCAGGTCGATCTCACGTCTCACGCGAGTGCGGCAAGCTCGATGTTCGTCAAGCGTCTGGTCACCCTTCGCGGGCCCGAGGCCCCGCCGCTTCCCTCTGTGCCGCCAGAGGTGGCGCAGGACAAGCGCGTCAGCGAGCCAGTCGAGATCAAGGCTCCGGCGGTCAAGTCGCGTTCCGACACGCTCACGCACCGCAACACCGAGGTACCGATCGACGCATTCAAGGCCGGCGCTCTCGACGAGGAGCGCAACATGTCTGCCTACGAAGCGCTCTTCCCCAACGCCAGCGACGGCCGTGCAAGCCCTGCGCCGCCTCTCGCAGCGATCATCGATGAAGCTTCGAACAACGAGGCAGCTGCCAAGGCCGCGCGCAATGCTCGGCGCGTGAGCAGCAGCCAGGCGCTCTTCGACAAGATCGTGCCCGACAACATCAAAGGCTTCCTCCATAACAAGCGTTCTCAGCACGCGCTCGCCGACGACGACGCGGCGAGCTCCTCTCGCAACGGCAGCAAGCACCGCACGCGCAGCAACACCGCCTTCCGACGCAGGCCTGCAGGCGGCGCAGCACCCGTTCGGAGCACCACACCGACGGGCAGCTCGGCCCCGAACGGCAGCCTGCAGGACTCGCGAGTCTCTCAGGACGACATGGCCGTCGACATGCGCTCGTCGTCCGAGTCCGTCGGTGTGGCGCACAGCCCTCACGCGCCGCCCATGCCGCGAAGCAACACACAGCCGCAGGGCGCTTACGCCTCGTCGAGCGGCGTCACCCAGATGTCCACCGACTCCAAGGACAACGTCCGCGCACAGCGCGCCCTCAGCTTCACCGTGCCCGCCTTCCTCAAGAACGACCCCGTCGAGCCGCCGGCCGCCGAGGAGAGCAAGAAGCGCGGCAACTGGCGCCGCCGCCTCACCGTGACGAAGCGCAAGAACCCCGATGCCTGAAGCGCCTCTTCGCGCACTCTCGCCTCTCGCGCTCCGATAATCCGTTCCACTAACCCCGTCACCGTCTAATTTCCGTTGCGCATGTCTCGTCGCATCCAACCATGTCGTCACACACCCACACATACTCTCGTTTGTATCTATTCCTGCTCCTCTTCTGCGGCCTCCGCCTCGTCCGGGCCGAAGAAATCTACGCCTGTGCCGATCTCTTCCTCCTGGCGTGGCTCTGCGCCGGCTCGCCCGACGTACTCGGCCGGGTCTCGCCGCCGCCTTCGCCGTTCTGCGCGCTCCGCAGACTGTGCCCGTGCCTCCTCGCCCTCGATCGACCAGAACAGCTCCTCGGCCTGCTGCGTGGCGGCGTCGAGAGCAGTCGCGAGAGAGGCGGCGTGAGAGCTGCTGGACGGCGGGAACGGCACGGCCAGCAGATGCTCCGCAGCGCCCGAGGAGAGGCGAGAGTGTGTCGCGCGTTGCCGGTGGAAGAGCTGCAGCAGGGGTCGTGGCGCCTGTGCCGGCTCTGTAACCTCAGCCGGCCTGGCGGATGGCTCGGCTGCGCCCTCTGCACGCCACTCGGGCGCCACCTGCGCAGCCAGGCGCAGAAGAGCGTCGACCACCGGCCCGAGCGCCTGCTCTGCGGTCGTGCTGCCCTCTGCACCCGCCGGCGTACTCAGGTAGTAGACGTCTGGGGCTCGACGTCAGCATGTGGGGACGCGCGAGCACTGGACAGCAGCACTCACACTGGCCCTTGGGACAGCTGAAGGTGCCCTCGCCCATGATGAGCACGCTGACGGCTTGCGCTGGCACAGCCCCGTCACTGCCGGAGGACAGGACGCCCGGCGGGAAGACGACGAGAGCAGTGTCTGGTGGAGTTACAGGCTGTCCCTCAGCCGGTACTGCCGCTGCTGTAAGCGGCAGCGAGCGATCCAGCACCAGCAAGCAGCGCAGGACATCCTGTGCGGCCGATGGCTGCTCTGCTTGTGGTGCCTCGTGCAGTGCTTGCTGCATCAGTTCGGACGAGCCGACGACCCAGTCTGCGCTGATCTCCTCTTCGATGTCTGCGATGCGCAGCTTCCACCGTCCAGTAGAAGGTGCCTCCTGAGCCGCCTCAGCAGACCTTGATCCCGGGTTCTCCTCTGAGAGCTTCAGTGACTCGACTGGGCGTCCGAGGATGTACGTTGCGCCGTGGACTGCCGCCACTCTGAGCAAGACGTCAGCAGTGACGAGGAGCGCGGCGCGTCAGACGTACCTGCAGTAGCTCTGCGCTAGCTCGCCAGCGCCGCCGTACTGGCCGACGAGGTACGCGGAGTTGCCGTACTTTCCCGTGCCCTTGAGGTGCGCCGCAGCGCGCTCGAGCGCCATGCCAGTCGCGTCTACTCGACAGGCGGGTCAGATTAGCGTCTCAGCAAGCAGCTCAGCTGGCGCACCCTCAGGAGACGAGCAGAGTGAGACGCCGAAAGCGAGCGCCCGAGCGATTGGCGCAGAGATGCCGTGCTTGGACTGGAGGTACGCCAAGAACGGCTCGTCTGGATCGTGCCCTGATACGTGCATCGAGGTCAGAGCTGCTCTGGCGAGCGATGCGCTCTTCCTCGCCTCACCATCGTTTTCTGCCGCAGCCACACCCATCAGCAGCTTCATCACTCTCCGCTTGTCTGCCAGAGGCAGCGAGCGGTCGCGGAAGATGTCCTCTTTGGAGCACGGCACGCTGCGGAACGTCGGCGGTGCATCCTGGCCCGCCGGCGCCTCGAAGATGAGCGTGCGCTCCAGCAGGCGGAAGGTGGCGTACGAGGCGACGCGCGAGCGCACGAGAATGTCGAGCGCCGCGCCGGCTGCGGGCAGCAGGGCGGGCGTGAGGGAGAGGGCGTAGTGTCTGTCGAGCTTGGCCAGCGCCGCCGGCACGTCTGATGTCTCGCCCCCATCGGCTTCGCTGAACGCAGGAAAGGCGAGCTGCGTGTCCGGCGCCGTCTGAGCCCATGTCGCGAGCTCGCGCAGCGACAGCGAGGCCCAGCGGTCGCCGTAGAAGGGCGCCGGGTCGGCGTGCAGCACCGAGTGGCCCGCCTTGCTGAGCGCCGCCGCGAGGATCGCCTCGGTGAGGCCCGTGCCCAGCAGCACGACGGAGTAGTGCGTCTGCTCCAGCGACATGCTTGCGTCGGTATCGCCCGCCTCGAGGTCTGACCGGAGCGCTGGAGGCGTCGTGGTGCTCCGGAACGAGCGCAGGCACCGCCCGTGCGCAGACAGCGCGGCGCGCCGTGTGAAGCACGGCCTAATGCGAGAGCGTGGGAGCAGCTCCATCCTCTCCCTGCCCTCCTCGCCCTCGCCGCTGACTTGTGCTGGCCGGCGGCGAGCATCAAGCCTGATCGACGCAGGTACAGTAGCGCTCAATATTCTCTACAAGGTATGCTGTATCTCTCTATGTGTCCCTTTGGCGTCCTCTACGCGGACTCTGAGGTCGAAAGCTCACGAGCCCAAGGAGAGCGTCAGATGTGCGACTCAAGCGCTTCGTGCGTCTTTCTCCGTCTGCCAGCCTCTGAGTCGATCATGGGCCACACGACGCTCGCTTTGACGTAGCAACAGATGAGCGACGCAAGATGCACTCTGTTCACCTTGCGCTTTGTGCTGAGGAGCTGCTCGCCCGGAGCCTCGGATCGGGCACGGCGCGCCACGCTACGCCGCAGCCGATGCAACGGCACGCTTGGCGCATCTCATCTCATCTCGCGCTGACGACGGCGTCGACGCCACACCTTCTCGCAGATGCAGGCTCGATCTCTTGCTGCCTGTCGCCTGACAGCTGCTTGCTGCGTGCTGGCTCCTTCTGCCGCGAGATGCGAGATGCTGAGCCTGCCAAGCAGCGAAGAGGAGGACCTCGATGCGCCCGTGCCTTCTTGAAGCTCGCGCTGCGCTGCACGCATCTCCTTCTCGCGGCGGGAGCTTCCTCGTGCGCTCGTGCCGCGTGCCGCTGGCTGCGTGCCTGGCCGGCCATCTGGCGGGCGGAGATGCGATGCGGCGGTGCGAGCGCGGGCGGCGGCGGCAGACGGCGTGCCGAGCGGTGTTGTTTGCGGATGGCTGCTCGTGTGCCGCCGGCCGCCGCGGCGCGCATGAGAGCGCCAGAAGGCGCCGGACATGCGTGCTGCCTCGCCTGCACCGCACATTCGCTGCTCTGCGCTGCGAGGCGCTGCCGCTCTGGGTGCTGTGCCTGCCACCTGGCGCTGCACCCTCTTGGGGCAGCACACGGCGCATCGGACCTGCCCCGAACGGCAGCTTCCCGCGCTCGCGGCGGTGCGGTGCGCTCCGCATGGCGCAGGCGGGCAGCGGCGGCACTCCGGCGTCTGCGGCTGCGGGCAGCGTGCAGGTACAGAGCTGCAGGCGCGGCAGAGCAACACGGCAGGCGGCCTGCGGGCGCTGCCGCTCTGCTGCCGCTTGCGCCCCTCTCTCTCGTGTCCCTTTCCGCAGCAGCAGCGTTGCGACTCGGGCATCGCAGCACTCTCCGCGGCTCGTACTCGCAGCTGCCTCCTGTCTCCGCGTCGCCGCACGTCCTCTTCTTCCCACCACATCTCGCTCGCCTCGCTCTCCCACTCCTGCTCCACCCACACTCCTTTGACCTCCTCTTCAACCCCCTCTCGTGGCGCTCAGTCTCGCTCCTGCCGCTCTCGCACATCCGCTCTTGCACGCTTGCCTACAGTGCGTCGTGCGCAGTGTCTCCTCGGTCTGCGCCTTGGCTCATTGCGCCTCTTGCAGCGCCCTCACCAACATGCGTTTCGCCCTCTCCTCGCTCGCCGTGCTGCTCGTCGGCGCCGGCGCCGCCTCGGCCGTGTCGCCGCGCGACGTGCACCATGCCATGGTCGCGCGCCAGAGCAGCAGCAGCGGCAGCGGCAGCAGCAGCAGCAGCCAGCCGGCCGAGCCGACGGCGCCCAGCAGCAGCGACGTCTTCCGCGCCGGCTCGCAGTGCACGATGCAGTGGACTGCCGGCTCGGGCAACAAGTGGAAGCACATGACCATCAGCCGTGAGTAGTGCGGACGGGCGCAGGAGGCGATGGTGCAGCGCGAGAGCGCTATTGTGTGCGAGTCAGCGGCAGGCGGAGCAGTCCCGGCGACTTGACGAGGCGGTGCACAGCTGCAGTGTAGACCTCGATGCGGCGGCACATGCTGACCCTTTGTCCCTGCCTTGCAGTCATGACGGGCACCAACCTGCACATGACCAAGCTGACGGACATTGCGACGAACGTCGACGGCACGAGCGAGACGTCGTACTCGTGGACGTGCCCGGAGGTGTCGCCCTACAGCGGTGAGTCGGGCCTAGCTTCTCCAAAGGCGCAATGCTGACGCTGTGCCCCGCAGCGATCTACTTCTACCAGTTCACGGACGCCGACGGCGCCAACCCGCAGTGGACGACGCGCTGGACGATCGCCTCTGCCGACGGCGAGACGGTGCCGCCGCCGGAGGCCAACCAGCCGGAGAACCCGTCGCCGGCGGTGCCGTGGGGCGAGGGCAAGCTGCTCTCGGCCAGCAGCACGTCGAACTCCGGCTCGAGCAACAGCAGCAGCAGCGGCGCCACGTCGGAGTCGGACTCGAGCTCCAGCTCGTCGACGGCCATGCCCACCGAGTCCTCGACGCGCAGCTCCTCCAGCTCGTCGTCGAGCTCCTCGACTGCCAGCGTCGTCGCCGGCGCTGGCCGGGCCGCCGCCACGACGACGCCCAACAGCGCCGCCGCCTCGCTCTTCCGGCCCACGGCCGCAGCCCTGGTGGCTGTCGCCGCCGTCGCTGCTCTCCTCTAGACTGCATCGCACGTCGCTTCTCCACCCGCTTCTCACTCGCCTCTATCTCTTTCCGGGCGCACTTCGGCCTCTCATCAGCACTTCTTCTCGCCGCCGTCCTCGGCCGCACAGCATTCCCGTTACCTCCTCACGCTCCTTTGCCGCGGCCCGCTCTCCTACCAGCTCTCGACATAATATATGCTCGACCGGCGCAGACCATGCCTGCGTGACAGCACAGCACGCACGAAGAGCGAGAGAGATGAGATCTGAATGGAGAAGCGAGTACATGAGAGGGTCCGGGTGCACGGCGAGCGGATGGCGACAGCTCAGAGAGCCTCGCTCTGTGCCAGTCGCCGCACACGCTGCTTGAGGCCAGGCCAGTCGCGGCTTTGCAGCTCGTTAAAGACGCCATTTGCCGCCTCTGCGAGGTTGCGGCGCTGCTCTGAGCGGCGCGCGGCCCGCGAGGCTTCGTCGCCGTCGAGCTCGAGCCTGAGCTCGCGCACCGCCAGGTCGGCCAGCTCGTGTGCGCGCGCACTGAGCTGTCGCCGCTTGCTCGTGAGCCCGCTGACCAGGTTGCCGAGGTTGCCGGTGGCGCTGACGATTTGCTGTGGGGATGCTGTCAGTTGCTGCGGGCGAGGGGCTGGAAATGCGCTGCTTACAGCAATGGCGTCGGGACACGGGAAGCTGAGCGGCCGGCTGACAGTGAAGGGAATGCCGACGCTGACGATCGAGAGCTTGACGTCGACCTTGAGCGTGAACTGCGAGGGAATGCCGGTCAGCTGGGAGCCCGCTTGGCTGACGGGCATGCGGTCTCACGTCGAGATTCTGCCCAAAGCTGGAGCACTTCGAGGCGATGTCCTGTGGGCCGCACAGGTCAGCATGGCCCTCGGCTGTGAGCATTCGAGCTGCGCACCTTCAGGATGGCGCGGTTCGTGTCCTTGGCCGGGTCGTAGACGATCTGGAACGGGAACACAATCGTCGTGTTGTCGTTGGCCTTGATCTGCTTGTCGGTGATGGTGCCGCGCCCGATGTCCACGTTCGAGTTTGCGTCGTTGTCATAGACCTGCATGCCACACCCGTCAGCCACAGCTCTGCGCACCTGCGACGCGGCGGCCTCACGTGCGCCTCAAGCTTGCTGATCGTCGCGGTGAAGGAGTTGGGGTTCGAGATGGCGAAGCTGACCGAGCCGTTGAGCGTGAAACCGTCCGACGTGAGGGAGACGTCGGACGCGGACGGCACCGTCACGCCAGAGATGCCGATGTTTGGCGGCCGTGCGAACTGCGGTGCCAGGCTCAGCACAGCCTCATCAGGGACACAAAGATAGACTCACGGTGACGAAGAGGCAAATGACGCAGATGATGATAAGAGCGGCCCAGATCACCACGCACGCGATGGACCTGAGACGGGAGGTCAGCTTGCCAATCCTCCTTGCCAGCCCGAGTGACCACTGTCCCTGCACGGCATCCTACAGCAGACAGCCACGGAGGGCTGAAGGTGCCGGGCCGCTGCGTACCACAGCTTGTGCAGCCGGCTTCTGCTGCCGCCATGTCCAGACTCTGCCGTCTCAACCACCCGCACGTCCCACCTCACAAGTCCTTGCCAGCAAGGCTCGGCCCAGCGTTCCAGTCACGCTCCAGCAGCACTGGTCTCCCGCATGCTCACCTGCAGATCTTTACGCCCACGTTCCTGCGCGTAAAGGCACGCTTGTCGTCGGGCGACCAGATGCCCTTCTGGTACAGCGGCGCCGCATGTCGGTCGTCGTCTGCGTCTGCGTACGTGGCGTGCGTGCGGCCGCGTGCGCCGTCGTCGAACTTTTCCGCCTCGGAGGCGTGCGAGTCCTGCCGCATGTGCGCCGGCGCAGTGCCGTCGTCGCGCCCGTACGAGGCGTAGCCTTGCTGCGGCGAGGCTTGGGCGTAGGAGGAGGAGAAGGGGTAGCTCATGCTGGGCGCAGTGGCGCGGCGGCCGGTTGCGAGGAAGTGCGCGCGGAGAGAGGGCGCAAGGCGAGGCTGCGGACGTGAGAGCGCCTAGAGAGCGACGAGTGGTGGTGAAGTCGAGTTGTGGACTGGAGCTGAGATGGCCAAGGGCGAGGTCGAGGTGAGGACCGACGGCCCGTGAGGCGCTGCAGGGCCCAGCACACAGGCGTGAGGCGGTGCCGTGCCGCGCCGCATGACCGGCGCCGCCGCCGAGGTGGAGCTCGCCCCTCTGAGCGGCTGCTGCTGCGATGCGCGGGGCTGTGCCGCCGCGCTGCCAAAGTCGCCGCCTGCACCGCCAAAAGGCGCATGACGCGGCTGAGATGCGGCGGGCGCCACGCTGCTGCGGCTGCCTGCGCCCGCTCGCCAACGCCTGCGCTAAGGCGTTGCAAGATGTTCAATCGCGGCACCGACGATCTCGCAACGGTGCGCGCTCAAGACGAGGGGCGCTTCAAGCTCGCCGACGAGGAGCAAGCGTGAAGCTCGAGGCTGGGCCTCGCCGTCGAGCTCGGCGGACAGGCAGGCCTGCGGTCTCGCAAGGGCCGACGGACGCGGGCATGCGCGTCTGGTGCTGGCACAGCCGCACCTCGCCCTCTTGTTCCCCCGCTCTTCAGGGGCCATGCCTTGCATCGGGCGAGCGGCGCGAAGCAGCTCACTTTCCAAGGCACTCTCCTGGCGGGAGCTTGGCTGCCTGCCTGCTGTGATGCTGCGAGGGCGAAATTGGCCTCGCTCCTCTACCGGCCTGCGCTGACTGGGCGCCCAGGAGTGGAGAAAGAGGAGACTCGCGGTCAGAGTGCTCGAGAAGCCATGAGCGCTCTTCCCAGCTGGGCCCTCCGCAAGCTGCCCACCAGCAGGAGCAGCGAGACAGCATGCCGCCCGGCACCGAGGCCGAAGCCACAGCTGCTTGCTGGCCCGAGAACCATCGGCGACCTGGAGGCGTCGCGCTGCGTTGTACGAAGCGCTTGCTGCGTAGGCCTCGTGCTGTGGCGGCACTCGGGAAAGGCGGCAGGCGCGGACCGTGCGACCTTCATGCCCATGCTGACGCAGCCGGGCGCGCGTGGGGGCAGCGCCGTGCCGGCCATCTTCCTGCGCCGGCCGCTGCGCGCTGCTTGGACGAGCGAGAGGAGCATCGCGTCAGCACGGCCGCCGCAGCGAGCGTCGTGGTGAGCTCTGCTCGGTGGGCTGAGCTCGCGACGGCTGCGCAGCGACGAGGCGGACAAAAGCCGCGGCTCAGCGACGCCTCTCACACGCGCGTGGCGACGTGTCGCAGCGCAGGCTCGCAGCAAGGCGCAGACGGCCGGCAGATCCACAGGCGGGCGGACGGGCGGCGGGCGGCGTGCTGCTTCCGCCTCTAAGGCGCTTTGTGCCTGTCGTGGTCTGGCCGACGGAGCGCGAGCCGGCCTCGCTCTCTCTCACACACACTCACCCCGCATCGCACTCTCGCAGCTGCCTTGCTCCCGTCACCCACAGCGCAGCATCGCCGCCTGCGTCTGCACCACACGCACCCCCACCGCATCCACGAGGCGCACCTCTTCGGCTTGCACACGCACACGCACCCGTACCTGCGCCCCCCCGCGCCTCTACCGGCTACAGGCGCTTCTGCGCCCTTCTTGCCATCATGCCGTCGACCACCGACCTGGCTATCCTTGGTGCGTCGGCCTGCGTCCACTCATGCTCTCTGACAGCTCATCGCTGACCTGCCTGCAGCCGCCGTGGCGATCGCGGCGGCGCTCTACCTCTTCCGCGACTCGTTCGGCAAGTCGTCGTCCGACACGGCCCACAAGCTCGGCAGCGGCCTGGCCGCGGACGCCGAGGAGGGCGGCTCAGACTTTGTCTCGAAGCTCAAGGAACAGGTGCGTGCTCGGTGCAGGATGATGAGCGTGGGCAACAGGTGGATGGCGCGTGCATTATCAGATGTGCCCGATGCCGGAACATCTGCTGCTGCAGCCTCTCTATGTGGACGACACTCTGGACTTGCTGCTGACCGCTCATTTCTCACAGAAAAAGCGCATTGTCATCTTTTGTGAGCATGCAGCAACGTCCCTCTGCGACCTCACCAGCTCACGCCTTCTCCAGACGGCTCGCAGACCGGCACAGCCGAGGAGTACGCAGTCAAGATCGCCAAGGAGGCCAAGGCCCGCTTCGGCACGTCGTCGCTGGTGTGCGACCCGGAGGAGTATGAGTTTGAGAAGCTCGACGCGCTGCCGGAGGACGCCGTGGCCGTCTTCGTGATGGCCACGTACGGCGAGGGCGAGCCGACGGACAACGCCGTCGGGCTTATGGAGCACATCTCGGATGAGGGCGTCGCCTTCTCCAACGGCGACAACCTCGAGAACCTCAAGTACGTCATCTTCGGCCTCGGCAACCGCACCTACGAGCACTTCAACAAGATTGCGCGCGACCTCGACGAGCGCCTGCAGAAGCTCGGCGCGCACCGCATCGGCGAGCGCGGCGAGGGCGACGACGACAAGAGCATGGAGGAGGACTACCTGGCGTGGAAGGACGGCATGTTCGAGGCGCTTGCCCGCGAGGGCGGCTTCGAGGAGGGCAGTGGCGGCGAGGTGGAGGACTTCCGCGTCGAGGAGATTGGCGAGTACGAGCAGGACAAGGTGTACCAGGGCGAGCTGTCGGCGCGTGCGCTGCTCGGCACCAAGGGCATCCACGACGCCAAGAACCCGTACCTGGCGCCCGTCGGCAAGGCCAAGGAGCTCTTCAGCGTCGGCGGCGAGCGCTCGTGCGTGCACATGGAGTTTGACATTGAGGGCTCCGGCATCTCGTACCAGCACGGCGACCACGTGGCCGTGTGGGCGCACAACCCCGAGAGCGAGGTCGAGCGCATGCTCAACGTGCTCGGCCTCTCGGAGAAGCGCAACACGGTCATCGACGTCGAGTCGCTCGACCCTACGCTCGCTAAGGTGCCCTTCCCCACGCCCACCACGTACGAGGCCATCTTCCGCCACTACCTTGACGTCACGGCTGTCGCATCGCGCCAGGCGCTGAATGCTTTCGCCAAGTACGCGCCGACGGACGCCGCGCGCGAGGAGCTCTCGAAGATCGGCAGCAACAAGCAGTACTTCACCGAGAAGGTCGGCTCGCGCGGCCTGCGTCTCGCACAGGTGCTGCAGCTCGTGTGCGGCGACGACGTGCGCGACCCCAGCAAGGCAACGGCCTGGAACATCCCCTTCGACCGCGTCATCTCGGGCATCCCGCGCGTCGGCCCGCGCTTCTACTCCATCTCGAGCAGCCCCAAGCTGCACCCCAAGGCCGTGCACGTCACCGCCGTCGTGCTGCGCTACAAGCCCGAGGGCGGCGATGATTACATCCACGGCCTCGCGACGAACTTCATCAGCAGCCTGAAGGTGCGTCGCGCGTGCCTGGGACCGAGCTGGCGATTGCTGACCACCTGACCTTTCAGGCAAGCGTGAACGGTGAGGAGCCGGACTCGCGCTTCAACGCGCCCAAGTACACGATCGACGGCCCGCGCGGCAGCTATGTGAAGGAGGGCAAGTTCCGCAGCCCGATCCGTGAGTCGTGCGTGCGTTTGCTGGCCGCCCAGCATGCTCACGCCCAGCGCAGACATCCGCCGCTCGACCTTCCGCCTGCCCACCTCGCCCAAGATTCCCGTCATCATGATCGGCCCCGGCACTGGCGTCGCGCCATTCCGCGGCTTCGTGCAGGAGCGCGTCGCTGCCTCGCAGAAGGCAAAGGAGAAGAACGGCGCCGATGCCCTCAAGGACTGGGGCAAGATCCGTCTCTTCTACGTGCGTATCTGCCTGCACCTCTCTCAACTGCTTGTGCTGACATGGCTCCATCTGCAGGGCTGCCGCAAGGTGCGCGCTTGCTGACCTTCGCTGCTCCGGCGCTGTCGCTGACTCTGCCCCGCAGGCCGACGAGGACTTCCTGTACCGCGACGAGTGGGAGGAGCACAAGGCGGCGCTCGGCGACGTCTTTGAGATGAGCACGGCGCTGTCGCGCGAGAAGTTCAAGCCCGACGGCAGCAAGATGTACGTGCAGGACCTCATCTGGGAGCAGCGCGAGGCCATCGCCAAGGACATCCTCGAGAACAAGGCGTACATCTACAGTGCGTGCTGCCGGTCCGCTTGCGTGCTCGCTTCGGCTGATCTAGATCCCCCACAGTCTGCGGCGAGGCTGCCGGCATGGCCAAGGATGTGGAGAACGTGCTGCTGCGCATCCTCGGCGAGGCAAAGGGCTCGGCAGAGGAGGGCAAGAAGGAGTACCAGCTGCTCAAGACGCGCTCGCGCCTGCTGCTCGACGTCTGGTCATAGATGCCTCGTGGCTGCGGACGCGCGTCCGGAGCCGCCTGCTCAGACGGCGAGCCGCTGCCCGACAGCGCCGCTGCCGTGCCTACGCGATAATCTGCTGCGTCAGATCACCTAGACGTCTGCTGGTCTAATGGAATCAGTAGCTGGGCCGGGTCGCACACTGGCAGAGCTTGTTGGCTGAAAGGCTCGAAGGTGCGCGGGCGAGGCTCACACGCGCGTGAAGGGCCAGAGCATGGGCATTGCAGACGGGCCACGGTTGCACAGGGCCCTGAAACGCGAGCTTCCGGATGAGGGACTTGGGCTGCGGCAGGCTGCCCTGTGGAGCGCCAAGAGCATCTTGCTGCTCCACAGTGCGGTCTCGCGCACCCCAAATACCACACCCGAAGTTCGCGGTCTCAGGGCTTGCGCACTGCCCATCACCATGCTGTGCTCCGCGCGTCACTGCAGCGGGAAGCCGCACCGCTAGTAGCGACGCAGCATGCCCTCCGCGCCAGCGCCGAGCACTCTCCCCTTGCCGTCGAGGCGCACAGCCTCGACGCTCTCGGCCTCCCAGCCGCAGAGCTCCGTCGTGACGCGCGGTGCGCTGCCGTCGCCCGAGAGGAGCGCCTCGACGTCGGCGCGATACGGCAGGCCGTCGGCCGAGGCGACGAGCAGCTCGCGCGGCGCGCCTGATGTTGGCGGTACGAAGAGATCTGTGACTGCTGCGCCGTTGCGGCGCCAGGAGCAGAGCAAACTGGCTGGTGCGGCTGATGCGTCGTTCGAGTTGCTCTCCGAGGCCATGCGCAGGTCGTGCGCTGCGACGATGCCGTTGAGCGAGCCGGAGAAGAGCATGTGCTCGGTGGCCCATGCCACCGAGGCAATGCCGCCAGCCCGATCTTGCGTCCAGCTGTCTGTCGCTGCCGGAGCGGCGCCGAGCGGGAAGAGGAAAGTCGGCAGCAGCGCAGTGCGCTGTTTTGATCGCAAGTCGTGCAGCTCGACTTGGCCGCTTGAGAGACCGGTGACGAGCAGGCCGTGCAGACTCTCCTCAGCAGCACCGTTCTGTGCTGCGGCGCTTGATGTCGGCGCCAGCGCCATGGCGTTGACGCTGCTAAAGCGCTCGGCGCCCAGCATCCCGATCTGCTTGCCCGTGCTGACGTCGTATATCCGCGATGTGCCGTCTGCCGAGCCGGTAATGACTTGCCGCCCGCGGCCAATCGCTGCCGAGCAGAGCACGGCGCGAGAGTGTCCAGTGAGCGTTCGTGGCGACGATCCGTCGAGGGCGCTGAAGATGCGTGACGTGTGGTCGCTCGAAGTGGAGAGAATTACTGCGACTGCGAGTCAGCGAGCTGTCCAACGCAAGGCCTCATGATGCACACACCTTCGCCGCTTGGGAAGAAACGCACAGAGCGAATATCGCCGACGTGTCCTTTGCAGTGCACGACCTGATCCCGCGCGATGTCGCGCAGCTTCTGCTGCATCCGCTGCTGCGCCAATGCCTCGATGCGGCTCTCCGGGTCCGCGTCTGCAGACAGCTCTTGGCTCGCAGCAGCCTCCTCTGCCGGCAGGTCGAGTACGCCGACGCGCAGATCGCCGTCGGCGCCACCAGCCACGTACCGCTCGATGCCAGACGAGCAGGTCGCCACATCGAAGGCAGAGACGCCAGCGTGCCCTCGCACGAGTGGGCCGAGCGTCTTGCGCGGCTGGCGCAGCAGCGTCGGCGGCACCACCACGCTTGGCTGCGGCACGCGAGCTGACGTCGAGCCGGTGTACGATGAGCTGGCCGTGTTCGACACTGAGAAGTCGAGCTACAGCACGGAGCAGCGTCAGCAAGAGCACATACGGCGACTGATACCGCGCGACACTGGCTACAGATGAGGCGCGCTCTCCTCGCCATCGCTTGGACGAGCCACTGCGCAACGCCGCTCAGTCGAGACCAGTCCTGCACTCACCATGCTGTCGGACATGCGCTGCACCTTCAGCCCATTGCCGTTGAGCACCTCAGCGACGCACACACCGCCGGCGGTCTCCGCCGCGCGCTCGCCCGTGAGCGGCTTGCACGGCTCAAGGACGAGCTTAGCGTGCAGCGAGTGTGCCTGAGCGTTGTGCGCGTACGCCGAGAGCCAGACACGCTCGGCGGGCACGAGCTGAGCGGCCACGTCGTCGAAGACGCGCGCATACGTCGGCTGCAGCGTAGTGTAGGGCAGGATGAATGAGGACATGGCGATGTGCGCCGAGGTGGAGGCTGCGAAGGACGCCGTGTGTGGAAGCAGGCCAGGCCGCTCGCCGCACAGAAGTGGGCAGGACAGTACACCGGCAGATTGTGCCGTCTACGGCGCTGGCAGAGGGGACGAAGAAGGGTGGTGGTGGTGCGAAGGAACGCTGCTCGTCCAGGCACGCGCAAGCTCTTCAGGCGTTGCGGCGCTTCCCTTCCGCGGCCGCCTTGATTTCACTTTAGCGCGCTCGACGCATCAGCGTGCACGGGCCCGCAACATAGACAGCCCATGCGGCAAGCATACACCGCGCGAGCGCGGGCCGAAGAGACCGGCACGTCCAGCTTCAGGCTCGGGCAAGTACAAGCGAGCACCGTCCTCGCCTCTGCGTCAGCGCTTGCAGCTCACCTCCGGCGGCGGCGCCAAGAGGCCGCGTCAGCGCGACGCGCAAGCGCTCGCCTCGCGTGCGACGGCACGTCGGAGCTTTGACCCAGCTCGCACCCACACTAACACTGCTAGGGGCTCTTAGCCGCAACGTGCGCCCACACAGGCGGCAAGCAGATGAAGCAGGCTCTCTGATTGAAGGGTACTCGATGCGGAGACATTGTGGGCGGCCAAGAGCAGGTCGAGGCGTGGGCCGCAACTAGCTGGGACAGCACGGTATTGAGATGGAGAGAGAGGCGCAGAGGATGCGCGGCAGCGTGAAGGAGCGTTCGGAGTCAGCAGAGACGAGGGGTGCAGACTGGCTCTCAAGTGAGATCCGGCCCGGTCTTGCCGGTCTGCGAGTGAAGCGTGAGCAAATGGTGGCAGCACCGCTCGACGCGCCGCACTCACCTGCTCATCCTCCCGATCGTGTGCATTGCCGCAGCCGCACAGCCAGTCCGTCCACCACGGCTTGCGCGTGAGCTCCTCGTCCGCAGCCTGCTGCTGGGCCATCTCGCGGCGAGCCTGATCGGCAGCCGACCAGCCGTCGCTCTCGTCGTCGAGGCCGACCTCGTTGAAGCGCGAGCTGCTCGTGCTCTTGCGTGCGGGCGCCTGCCGCCCAATGCCCTCGTCGATCGTCTCGTCCGACTCTTCTGCCTCCTCTTCCGCGCCCTCTTCGCCCTCCTCAATCGTACGCGTGCGCATGCCTGGCCGCCGGCGCCCGTACTTGGCGCCCTTGCGCATCGCGTAGCGGTCGCCGGCGTCGGGCGGCCCAGCATTGCTGTCTGTGAACGGATTCGAGGCATCCACGTCCGTCGCCACGATCTCCGGCGCGTCTCTGCCGCTCTGCCGCGCGCGGTGCTTGATCGTCGGCGCTCGGCCAGGCGTCACGATCGGATGGCGCGGAGTCGCCTTGCCCGATTGCCCGTACGTCTGCAGTGTCGCTGCTGACGAGCCAGAGCCGCTGCGCGAATGCAGGCGCTCCTGCGAACCGTTGGACAGGTCATCGCGGAAGGGATCTTGCCCCACGGATGCCGCATGCTGGTCCGCAGCCGCACGCCTCTGCTCGGCGGCGGAGAGCGGCCTTGACCAGTCGGCATCGTCTCGTGCGCGCTGCTTGCCCTTGGCGCGGCGCGCAGCTGCGGCTGCCTGGTCGGCAGCATCGCCCTCTGATGCCTCTTCGATGATGGCGGGATCAAGCGCGCGGCCGCTGTGCAGCGAGCGCCCGCTGCTTGCGTCGCCCAGCGTGCTGGCGCCGCTGCGTCTGCTTTCCTCCGACTCACGGCTGCCCGACTCTGCGCTGCTGAAGCTCTCTGGGTTGGAGCCGCGGCGGAGCAGGCCGTTGGAGTGCGATGCCGCGGGCGGCAATGCAGACGGCGCGCCGCCGGTGCCGGACGCCTTGCGCCCCAGCGAGGAGAGGCGGCGCGCGAGCGAGCTGGCAGGAGAGGCTGCTGCGGTACCGTTGGCTGCCGCAAACGAGCCAGACGGCACGCGTGCTTGCGAAGAGCGTGCCGCTCGCCGTCGTTGCCGCTCCTCGGCAGCCCATCGCTCAAGGTTCTGTGACAGCACGCAACATCAGCATGAGATCGAGCGCGGCTGGGATGGGTTGCGGCTGCTCAAGACCAAGCGCATGTGGCGACAGCGACAGAGAGCTACGAGATGGCAGGTTTTCACGGCCGTAGTTCCGTCATTCACCACGACACACAGCTTCGGAGCGCCCTGCATCGCTTCCACCCAGGCACTGCACTTACCTGCTCGACGGCCTCTGCCTCCTGCTCCTCCTCGTTCTTCTGGCGGTACGGGTAGCCGATCTTGCGCGAGCCGCCGTTCCACGAGTCGAGCTGCGGCGATGCTGCGCCACCGAGCGTGTCTGAGCTCTCATTGGGCCCCTGCAGCGGCAGCCAGCCGTGGTGCGTGGCATTGCCGAGAGCAGGCGACGCGCCGCCATCGGCGCCGCCGCGCACGAGCTGTGGCGAGACGGACGAGGCGGCCTCGGAGTCGGGCGAGCGTGCGGATGCGGCGCCCTTGGCCCCTGAGACGGAGCGCGGCGTAGGCGTGGTGCGGCCGCCGGCGGCCTCGGGTGCGGCTGCGGCACCCAGAGGGTCCTGCTCGGCGGCAGCGGCAAGCGGATGCGTGGCGCCGACGGCGGACGGCGCCGGCGCGGCACTGGCGGTGCTGGCGGTCGCCATCGCGAGACGCGGACGCGGCAGGTGTGCTGGCCGCGATGCCGAGGGGGCTGCGAGAGGGTGGGTGGTGAGGAGAGGGGGGGCGGTGCAGCAGCGTCTCCACGCCGAGACGTCGCCTCGCGGCTGCGACAGCTCGGCGGCGAGCCGGCGCGGCGCCGTCGACGCGCTCAGGCACAGCATCGGCTGGATGCTGCAGCACAGCTGCTGGCGGGGCAGGCAGGCCGCCTGCGACGACGGCAGCGCTGCGGAGCGGAGGCGCGCCCAAAGCGGCAGCGGCATCGCGGCACCTCGTCTGCGGCTGCAGCATATCGCCGCGCGCCCTATGCGCCGCGTCCGCGTCATCGGCACCGCTGCCGCCGAGCCCGCTCGCTGTCTCGCGGGCTTGCCAGCGCTCCGCCCGCTCGTCCACGCAGAGCTGGAGGATCAAGAGCCGACCGCAGAGGGATGCGAGAGCAGCACACACAGACGCAGGTGGCTGCATGCTCGGAGCGCCACGACAAGCAGGAGGCAAAGACGGCGGCGCTGCACGCTCGCTCCGGGGTACCTGTCATGCGCGCTTTCGGCTCCACGCCTGCACCCTCGGGCACCGCTGCGCGCTGCGGGTGGAGGAGCAAGGGCGGCGATCCTTCGGCAGTTGCGGCGCGGCGGCTGCTCCGGCTCGTCGTCGCTGCTCGAGCGCTGCGTCGACAGAGGCAGATCCAGTTGCAGTGTGCAGTGTGCGGGTCTCCATCACAGCCGCTTGACAGCTGGAAGAGGGGCTAATGGGATGCGGAGAAGGAGCGCCGTCTGAGAGGGCGCGCCGCGGTGCGGCAAGGCGCGGGTGCGAGACGGCCGCGCGGCGGCGCGCTCAAGCTGTGGTACGCGGCCTCTTCACACTCGACCATCACCGCAAGGCCATCAAGCACAGACGCAGAGACGTGGATGAGGCCATCGAACACGCTGCGGTCGGGCGTGGGAGCTCTGCTGCTCGTGTGCAGCGCAGCGAGCGGGCACCAGCATGGCCAGCGCCCACATCAGTGGCCGCTGGGCGCGCCGATGAGCGTCGGCCACGCATCCCGGCAAGGCAACAGCCGCTTCGTCGATCCTCTCATCGGCACAGCAGGTCCCAATCCGGACGAGTACGTGCCCGACGCCTACGCCGGCCTCTCGCCCACGCCGGCGCCGCCGTTCGCTGCGATCCGTGCCACGCCCATGACACGCCGCAACTTTGTCTCGAGTGAAGGCTACTACTTTCACGACAAGACGCATCAGGGCGTGCTTCTCACGCGGCAGCCTGCGGTATGGATGGGCGACCTCGCACCGCTCGAGCTGGCCGCTGGCTTCGGCGCCGTGCGCGTCACGCCGAAGGAGCGAAGTCTGCCCTTCTCGCACGCCGATGAGGACGCTCGTGTCGAGCGCTACTCGCTGCGTGTCGACGCCGGCTCACAGCTCGACGGTGCGGCTTTCAACCTCACACTGGCTGGCGCAGAGCACTCCGCTGTGCTCGAGTACGCCTTTGAGCAGACCGGTCCGCACGCCGAGTCGCGGTTCGTCGTGGTGCAAGCCACGCGGCCGCACTGGCGCGGCGCAGTGTACATCGATCCGGCACGGCAGGAGATATCCGGCTGGAGCCCCGAGCGCATGGACTACAAGCTTGGCCCGCACCAGGCGCCAAACTTCAAGGGCTTCTTCGTGGCGCAGTTCGACAAGAAGGGAGCTTGTGCGGCTGAGTGGCAAGGCTTCGGGACCGCCGTGACGAATGCCACGGGCACGGAGCTGCATGTCGGGGAGCTGGGGCGCTGGAATGAGGAGGATCTCGCAGCTGTAAGCTCGACACGAGCCCGCTCTGAACGTGCGCTGATCATGGCCTCAGTACGTCACGTTTCCTTCGAACACTGCCTGTGTGCGCATCCGAGTCGGGATGTCGCTGATCTGTGAGCAAGAGTCTGCCTCGGTGCCGGTTCTCTCGCTGATTCTGTCGAAGCCGTCGAACAAGCGCGCCTGAATCTGAAGCACGAGATCGCACAAGCCGACGATGCAGCCGCCGTCGCGCGTGCCACTGCGCACAAGTGGGACCGACTGCTCGACGTGGTCCAGCTGCGCAATGCCAGCGCCACGCAGGAGCGCATCGTGTACACGGCACTCTTTCACGCGCTGCAGTTCCCGTCACTGCACTCAGAGGAGACCGCCGACGGGCCAGCGTACTACTCGCTCTACACTGATCGCGTGGAGAAGGGCACCGCGTACCAGTCCTGGTCCATCTGGGACACGTGGCGTGCTGGCTGGGCTGCTACCATCCTGTTCGCGAACGACCGCGTCGCCACTATGGTGCGCTCGCTCCTGGACATCTATCTGCAGTCTGGTCCTCGCAGCGGCGAGCCTGGCTATCTGCCGATGTGGGCCAACGGCGCCGAGACGAAGTGAGTCAGCAGTGATGGCCTGCACCAGCAGCAATCTGACGCAACCCAGCATCATGATCTCTACCTGGAGCGACTCGCTCATCGCCGAGGCGCTCGTCAAGGGCGTCGAGGGCTTCAACAAGACGCTTGCGTGGGAGGCCGTGCAGAAGAACGCCGACGTGCCGCCCGAGCGCGACACTGAGCTGCAGTACGCCGACCGCGAGGAGTACACGCCCATCGAGGCGCGTGCTGGCCTCACGTACTACAAGAAGACGGGCTACGTGCCGCACGACCGCACGGCGGAGTCCGTCTCGCGCACTCTTGGTGAGCTTGCCCTTGGCTCTCTCTGCACGTGCCTGTGCTCACGCGCCCGTCAGACTACGCATCGTGCGACTGGTGCGTGTCGCAGGTCGCCACGCAGCTCGGCCACGTCGACGCAGCGCGCTTCTACGCTGAGCGAGCGGGCAACTATCGGCATGTGTACAACGAGGAAACAGGCTTCTTTGCGCCGCGCTTTTCCAATGGTTCCTTCCTTAACGAGCCGCTTGAGGCTCCCAAGGCGCGCGATGACGGCTTCACCGAAGGTGAGTAGAATGCCAGCAAGTCACTTGGCACGTACTGATGCAACTTGAGCAGGCAATCGCTGGACGTATCTGTGAGAAGCGAGGAATGGCGCCGCCGATGCAGGAGCTGACGAATGATCTGCAGATTCGATGTAGTACACGACCTGCCGGGCCTCGCAAAGCTACACGGCGGCACCGAGAAGCTGCTCTCCAAGCTCGACGAGTACTTTGCCGGCGGGTACAAGTGAGCGCAACTGCGGGTCGCCGGGAGGCGCCGACTGACGCTTCACTAGTGATCACTCGAACGAGCCCAGCCACCACGTGCCTGCGCTCTACGCCGCGCTCGGTCGTGCCTGGCGCTCGCAAGAGCTGGTGCGCGAGATTGCAGAGCAAGAATATAGCGACCGGCCTGATGGCCTGGGCGGCAATGAGGATCTCGGACAGGTGAGTCGACAGAAGGCAACCATGAGGGCGACGCTGACGGCGCACGACAGATGTCGGCGTGGTACATCTGGGTCGCCGTGTTTGGCCTGTACCCCATCAACCCTGCGTCTGGGAGCTATGTCGTCGTCGGGTGAGTCTGTGCTCGCGCATCGAACCCCTTCGCAGGCATCTGACCGCCCCGCCCCCAGCGCGCCCTTCTTCGACGAGGTCACCGTCAGCCTGCCGCACATTCCCGGGCACCGCCTCGTCATCTCTGCGTCCGGCTCGAGCAGTGGACGCAAGTACGTGCGCTCCTTCCGCATCAACGGCGAGGCGCTGCACGAGCCCAGCATCACACACCGCCAGCTGGAGCAGGGCGGGCACTGGGAGATCGAGCTGGCGGACAGCCCGCAGGAATGGGGCTCACGGCGAGCGGAAGGTGCTCGAATCTGATCCAGTTCCGCACCTGTGTCTCGAGCTCCTGCCGCCGCGATGAGACTTGTGCTGTCGCGCACACCCACGAGCTTGACCGTGATGGAGAAGCATGCGAAGGAGCGGGGCCGTGGGGTCACGCGCCCTCGTCCAAGAGGCGCGAGCGCAGCGGTGCTGACGTGAGCACAAGGCGCTGTGCCGCCTGCTGTGGACGCGCCACTCACTCCACCTTGCATTCCCACCACCAGCGTCTCGCTCTGTTCACCCCACACACCTCACAAGCATGAGTGCCCCACCCTCTCTCGGCCGCGCGCTCATCAGCGGCGGCGCCGTCATCGCCCTTGGCTACGGCATCATGAAGGGTGCGTGAGCGCCGCCACGAGCCCGTGCCTGCTCTGCAGATGCAGCTCGCAGCAAGACGCCAGCGGCTGACCGCCCCGCCCTCCTCGCGCGCAGTGACGACGCCGTCGGACGAGCAGTTCTACAACAAGCTCTCGCCCGAGCTCAAGAAGAAGGTCGATGCGCAGCGCGATGCCACGCGCCGCAAGGCCGCCTACGCCGAGCAGATTGCGGTGAGTGGCGGGCGAGGTGGAGCACGGGCCGGGCAGCCAGAGGTTGGCGGCGCAGCAGCCCCGGTCAAAGTCTCCGGTGACCGGGCGGCGGCGTGTCGAGAGGTCCTCAACAGGGCCCCAGTAGGGCATCAGTGGGGCAAGGTAGTCCTTGCGATCCGCACCCTGTACTCACGCCTCTTTGCTCCAGCGCGCACGGACGCAGGACGACTCGCAGGCGGTGTGGTCAGAAGGCCTGCGCGCCAAGGATTCGGCGCCGCCGCCGGCGATGAACACGCCGGCCGGCTCGCGGTAGGGGCCACGACGGAATGCAACGTCTTCGCGCGAGTCACACGAGATGCCAGACGAAGAGCCACGCTCAGACCCAGGTCATCGACTGGCACTTCTCAGGCAGGAGCGTGTCAGACTGCATGCATGCATTCTGTACAGGTGATGGCCGCTCAGGCGGCTGCGGAGGGCTCGGCAGCGAGCGCCTGCCGCATCTGGTCGAGCAGCGACTGCAGGACCGGGCGCGCAACGTCGTCTGCGCAGTCGCACAGCACCGCGCGGCCGAGGTTGATGGCGGCCAGCGGGTCGCGAGCGGCGGGCGCCTCGCCGGCTGTGGCGGCGGGCGCAGAGGGCTGCGGCGCGGTGACGAGGCGCACGACGCGGCCGGCGATGTCGCCGAAGCGTGGTATAGGGTTGAAGATCTGCGGCAGCGCAGCGAAGTCCTCCTTGGTGGCCTGGTCTAGGTTAGATGAACGCGGTGCCCGCGGCGGTTGAGAGAGGTCGGCCTTCGGCGCAGCAGCAGCCGCGGCATCCTCCTCCTTCTTTGCGAGCGGCTGTTGGGCGTCCGGCGGAGCGCACACGGCCAGCGGGAGTGCCCCGTCAGAAAACAGGACTTTTGAGTTGCGCAGGAAGCGGATGTCGAGTACGAAGCTGGCGCGCGGCAGGCTGGGTCAGCGGCAGCCGAGAAGCTCGGGCGCGGCACACTCACTGGCCGAAGAAGTGCAGGCGGATCCAGGTGGCACTGCGGAACTCGGGCTCGGGGCAGTCTGCGTCGGTCAGACAGGTGTCTGCGAGAGGTGCCAGCACGCGCAGCACGGGCAGCGTGTCGTGCAACAGCTAGGAAGGCCGGTCAGCAGCTGGCCGGAAGGCGCGGCTCGAGGTCGCACTCACTTGGATGAAAGATGGCCAGAAGCTCGATGAGCCGTCATGCATGCCGTTAAGCATGCGCTGCAGCGACGCAGCGACAAGGCGGTGCGGGTTTGGCTGTGTCTCGTCGTCGCTAGACAGCTCGAGCGCATAGAAGCTGTTGCCCATCTGCGCCAGCGAGGGCTGCCAGCGGATGACAGCCGTGAGGCCGTGGTCATAGGCAAAGACAACGCGCTCGGGGTCGAAGCTGCGCAGCTCGAGGCGGCCCTTGCCCTTGCCCGAGCGGCCGGCGCGCGCCACGTCGCGAGCGAGCATCGTCACGCGCGCAATGCGGTTCCACTCGGCGAAGAAGCGCGAGAGGCAGTCGCTGATGATGCGCGTCGAGAAGGTCAGGACGAGCGTCTCGCGACTGAACTCGAGCGAGTCACCCGTCGCCTCGTCGACGGTGATGCGCCGGCTGGCCATGCCGAGCGCCTTGCGCAGGCGCACAGAGATCTCGACGCGGCAGCGCATGCGGTCCGACCAGTCGACGAGGCGCAGCGAGACGTTGCGCTTCACCAGCGCGCGCGTCGGGCCCAGAAGCGACTCTGCGCGCAAGCACAGACTCGGCACAGCGGCGTCGGCTGAGGGCTTGCTCGGTCCTGCTGCTGCGGACGGGCGCGCCATCGGCGGCGAGGACGTCGATGTGGCCGCACCGACGTGCACGAAGGGCAGGCCGCGGGCGCGCAGCTGCTGCTCGACCTGGTGGTAGCAGACCAGAGCAACACTGTAGCGGTGCATCATGGAGAGCTCCTCGATGCTCAGATCCAGTCTGCGCAGGCGTGGTCAGTCGCGGAATGTCGGCACTGCGACAGCTCTACTCACGCAGCTTGCATTCCGGCAGTAGCCATGTCGCGCTTCCGCTTGCCGAGGGCGCCCGCGCGTCCGAGCCGCTCGCGGTCCAGCCACTCGACGGAGTGCACGGCCATGACGGTCATGGCACCCTCGATGAACGTGCCGGCGCACATGAGGCCGGCTCTGATCGAAGCCTCGCCGATGTTGAGCACCAGGTAGTAGCTCGGGCACTGCACCAGCGGCACGTAGAGCAGCGACACCTGAGCGCCGAGCTTGGCGTACTCGGTAGGGCGCAGCGGCATGCGGCGTGTGCACGGCAGGCCAAGATACGTCGCCTTCTGCTCGAGGTCGTCGAGGATCGCGAGGATGCGCTGGCGCATCAGCACCTCCACGAGGAGCTTCGGATCGTCGTTGACGAGGACGGAGGCCTCCTGCAGGCGCTTCGTGGCGCTGTCGCGCGCGAGCGTCTCGGCAGACAGCGCTACCGGCCCATCTGCCTCTGCGCTCTCCTTGCTGCGCTCCAGCGAGAGCCGTCCGGAGATCGCATCGAGCCGCAAGAGCAATCGCAGACGATCATGCAGCGGGAGCTGCAGCACGTGTGACGGCCGTCCGTGCTGCGTTTGTGCCTCGGAGACACAGCGCACCTCGGTGAGGATCCGCCTCAAGGGACTCTTCAACACGCGGCTGCGCAGCTCGGAGATGGCGGCAGCAGCATGCCGCGAGACCGCAGCCAGCAGCACCGTCTCAATGTCCAGGTGCTGCGCATCGATCGTCAGGCAGCCGACATCGAGCTGCTGCTCCAGCTCGGCGGCCACCTTCCACTCGACGTTGAGCTCCTGCTCCTTGAGCTCCTGTCCCGGTGTGGCCTCTACTGCCGCGACGTCGCGGCACAGCAGGCGAGACAGGAGCGCGCTCTTGCCCGCGGTAGTCGCGCGCGTGCGGTCGCGCACGCGGATGCTGATGCTGCCGCCGGCCAGCGGGTTCCACAGCACCTTCTGGCCCAGCTTGGGCGGCGGCGCCGTGCTGGGGCCGGCGCGGTTGCGCCAGTACGCCAGCGACAGCGTGCGCGGGTCGCCTTGCCGCAGGATCGGCTCGAAGCCGGCCGTCAGCGTGGGCGCCCAGGAGACGCGCGAGAGCTGCACGGCCTGGTAGTTCAGGATGTCGAGCTGGTACTCGAGCGCCTGGCTCTGCAGGAAGTTGAAGGCGCGGATCAGAGGTGCGTCTCTGCGCCGGAAGTCGCCAGCTTCCGACGCCGCATCGCCCTCCTGCCGCTCGGCGGCGGATCCTTCTGGCTCATTCGCGCCCTCCAGCGCCGCCGCGGGCGAGCGCGGCGTGAGCTCAGCGTCTGTCTGAGCGAGCAGCGTGGCGCGCGCGTGCTTCTTCGGCCGCCGAGGGAAGATGTCTGCGCCTGCACCAGTGATGCGGAAGTCGAACAGCACGTCGAGCAGATACCAGCGGTCTGTCTCGTCGGCGCCAGACAGCGTCAGCCTCGCCTCGAAGAGCTTCGAGACGAAGAACGACGCGCGGCCGTCCGCTATTGAGTAGTCGGACATCTGCAGGGGCACCACCTCGACTGTGGCGAGCCGCAAGCAGAGCGCAGTGTCGAGCTCGCGCACGATGGCCAGCGCCTCTGTATCCGAGAAGGGCGCCGGCTGCACGTACGCATCCTTGAGCGCCGAAGGGAGCCGTGGGTACTCGCCAGAGCCCTGCACGTCGATGGCCGACGCCAAGTCGGCTGTGCGTATCCGAGCCGCGGGCAGCGAGTTGCGCACCTCGATGAGCGCATCTGCGGCATCCTGCGCCTGTCCGAACTGCCCGCAGATGAGCGCGATGAGGTTGCGCGCAACCATCAGCTCCGGCGCCGACTTGCTCCACTGCACCAGCACGAGCAGCTTGACGAGCTGCTTGCGCACGTCGAGCGCCGCGGCGAAGATCTTGGCGCGGCGCTCGGCGGAGGAGAGCGTAGGCAGCGTCTCCGAGAGGTTTGTGAAGGTCTCGAAGCCGTAGTTGGCAAGCCGTGCGACGACGGCGCCCAGCGGCACCAGGCCCTCCGTCTCGGGGATGAGCTCGCGCTCGAGCTCCTCGCGGCTGATACCCTCGGCCTGGCGCAGACGAGCCTTCTTGCGCGCCCGCTCAGTGCGCAGCAGCAGCGCAGCGGCCTCGCTGGCTGCGCCGGCGCCTGGCTTTTGCAGCGACGAGGGCCCTGCCTCGGGCCAGGTGTGTGCACCATTGGCCGCTGCGGCCGGCGCCAGCATGCTGGCAGGCGGCGGCATGCCGAGCGCCGGCAGGTCGCCGTTGCCATTGGCAGCCGGAGCGCCCATCTTGCCGACGTAGCCGCCATTGACGCTGCCGGGAGCGGTCATGTCGGCGCCTGCGAGCGGCGACGAGGCATGTGCGCGGCGCGGCGAGTGCATCGGCTACGATGCGGCACGCAGCCAGGCGAGAGCAAGCGCTCGAGGCAGCGTGCGGCGCTCAGCAGCTCGATACTCGCAGGCGCGGTGCTGAAGTGGCAGGCAGAGCGATGCGTCTGGCGCTGCTTCGCAGCCTGGCTGCGCTGTGCGCGAAGGAGTGGACGACGCTCTGGCCGTGCGCCGCGCTGGCCGCTGCCCACAGGATCGCTCGGCGCAGCAGCAGTGCAGCGGGCGGGTAAGGATAGGCGGAGGGCGAGAGAGGGTGCGCACGGCGGCGAAGCGGGTGCTGTGCGTGTGTGAGGATGGAGGTGGGGTGGAGTGCTGCGACACGCGTGCGCGGCCAGCGCCAGGTGTTGCGCGGCTGCTGCTGGTGACGCAAGGTGCGCCGGCGACGCTCCGGCATCGGCAGCGCCTCGGCGCGCCCTGCGGCGGTGAGGCCCCTCGTTCTCAGCGCCTGCTCGGCCCTGTGCAGCACCGACCGTCGGGGACCTCGATGCAGCTCCATCTCTTCCGTCTCGCGCTGCGAAGAGTACGAATGCGGCCCTTGTGCACAACGGCACTCTGACTTTGGCGGTCAGGGGCAAGCCGGCTGGAAGCTCGTCGGAGCGCGAGGCGGCCGTGCGAGGCAAGCCGCGTGCCGCAGGCGTTGCCTCATCTCCTCAACATCCGCAACGCGCAGCACCACAGCGTCTCGCTTTGGCTCAAGCCAGGCTCACATCAAATCGGCACCATGCCGCCGGTCCGGCATGGCTCCTTGGGCCTGAGTCCGCAAGAGCTCTTTGGGCAGTCAGACACGGGACGGCGCAGCAGCCGCAGCGCCGAGGCCGGGCCCTCGACGGCACGCACGCCGCTCGATGCCGCAGTCGCGCAGCGCATCTCGCTGGCGAGCCTGCGTGCAGAGACGCAGCAGCTGGCCAGCGATGAGATGCTTGCACGCGGCGTGCGCCACCGCTGGCTCACCTGGGCGCGCGAGGAGAAGGGCGCCAAGCCGCTGCAGGCCGTGCCGGACGAGGCCCTCGCGAAGGTCGACGAGCTCTACAAGCGTGTGCCGCCGGCCTTTCGGTGCGTACTGTGCGAATGGGTATGAGCTTGCTAAGGCTGAAGCCATGCGCAGCTTCCAGGAGCACCCTCTCGAGATCAACCTCTTCACTGCACGCGATCCACGGCACTTGGGCAACGTGCTGGCCAAGAGCGTGAGCGATCTGGATCTGTCACTGCGGGCGCTGCTCACACCGTCTGTCCTTGCAGACGGCCTCACATATGCTACGCACCGATGCGCGACCGCCATCACCTCGCCTGTCGCGAGACGTGGCAATCCTCAGCATCGTCGTCTACTCGCGCGAGGTGCTGACGCGCGGCGACATCGCGACCGAGCCGCCCCTGGCCAAGCACGTCTTTCATCCGGGCTTCTACCGCGCGCAGGTGATCGACATCCGCGCAGACCAGACGCTGCAGCATCTCTGGGACGCCATCATCTGCCGCTCGCGCGAGCTGCCCGAGCGCAATGCCGATGGCTCCTTCAGTGGGCGCAAGCAGCGCTGCGACGTGGCGTTCGCAGTCGAGGGCGTGCTGTACGGCGAGGGCAGGACGCCGGGCGAGGACTATGCGGCGTGAGCACGCACGAAGCAGCGCTCGCCTGACGCATGCTGATACACTCTTCTGCAGTCTTCTCGCCGAGGCCTTCAGTCCTGCCGCGCATGAGGCAGACACGACGCAGCCGAGCTTGACCCTGGGCGAGGGCAAGCTCGCCGACGTGCGGCTTGATGCGCTTCCGCTCAAGCCCGACAGTCTGCACCACATCATCCATCACGGCAATTGCGAGCATGCTTGGCGGATCGAAGGCATTCGGTGAGCAGCGCGAGGACGATAGACACTGGCACTCCTCTGACTCCGGCCCAGTGCGCCTCGCGACTCGGACTTCCCCATCACGACAGAAGGCGGCGCCGGCGACATCGACGTGGCGATGCCCATGACGACATTCTTGGCGATGGAGACGATGCATCGGCCCGTCGTGCGCTACGAGCGAGCCACGGCGCCGCCCGAGGCGTACTGCACAAGCAAGTGCGGCATCTGCACTCGCCGGCCCAGCACGCTGCTGCTCAACACTGGGCAACCGAGGCGCAAGGAGCCGCTGCCGGCTGCAAGCGCCGAAGCCTCACAAGCGCCACAGCGCTCACTCGGCAAGCTGCGCATCAGCAGCCTGCCACAGGTCGTGACGCCGCTCTGCCATCAGTGCTGGAAGCTCATCTGCCCGCTGGGTGCCGACGAAGAGGTGCCCGAGCCAGACCCGCTCGAGCGCGGGCCGCCGCTGCACGATCACAGTGCCGAGCGCTGGGCCGGCGCACACGGCGATGGCTGGGTCGTAGTTCCGGTGCTCGACTGAGCGCGCAAGTCAATCATATACCCCGTGCCGCGTGACTGAGGGAGGGCAAGGGAGAAGGGGGGGTAACGGAGCGGCTGGTATCTAGTGCATGCTGGGACGCCGGAGCAGCTCAGAACACGTCGTTCATCGTGCAATCTTCGAGGCGGTGGCCACTGAGGGAGAGAAGGGGGTGAGCATTGGTTCTGTGCGCTGACACTGTGCGCAGGACTCACTACTCCTCGCAGTCTGTAGCAGCCAATATATGGTGAGCCAGGGCATGAGAGAAGCTTGACGGCAGACTCACCATCGCAGAAAGGCCGGTCATCGGTGGCCGCGGGCGCTGCCGTGGGTGCAGCCTCGGCTGCGGGCGCGACAGCAGGTGCAGCGGCCTTTGTAGGCGACGACGAGCCAAAGACGTCCTCGGCGGCCGTCGAGGATGCTTCGGACGCCTTCGACTCCTGCTCTGCGGGCAACGGCGGCACCGTTGCGGCCATCGCACGGTCGAGCTTGCGCTGCAGGCTCGACACCTTACGCTCGAGCTCCTCGCGCAGCGCCTCTTGCTCATCGCGCCGATACACGCTCGACTCGCACAGGGCCTCGAGATCTGCAAGGGCCACAGAAGCGTGAGCGAGGCAGTGGCGTTGCGCTCCGCTGCGTCTGCTCACCTGCAATCTCGCGCTGCAGCGACTGCTCCTCCTTCTGGTGCACCCGCTTCGCCTCGTCCAGGCGCCGCGCACTCTCGGCAGTCGCTTGCTCGGCGGCAGCCACGCGCCGCTCAAGCGCTGAAGTCTGCTCCACGAGTGCCTTGCGCGCCTCGACGAGCGCCGCACCAGAGTCAGAGGCGCCCCCCACGTCGGCGCTGAGGCTGTCGACGGTGGCTTGCAGCTGATCACGCTGCTCCTGCGCCGTCTTGAGCTCTTGCCGTGCCTCCTCCAGCTCGGCGGCCGCTTCGCGCAGCTGCATCTTCAGCGCACTCGTCTCTTCCGTGAGCGAGCCGACGATGATGCGCAAGCCAGTCGTCTCGTCCTGTGCCAGACCAGCGCCGCTGGTCGAGGTGCGCGTGCGCCGGCTCGCCGTGCTGGCGCCGGAGATGCGCCGCGAGGAGCGATGTGAGGGCGTCGTGGCACCCGTGTCGGCACCAAACGAGCCGTCCGTCGGGCTGGAGATGTACGGCGAGCTGCCAGAGGTGGAGGGACGAGACGACGACTTCGGCCGTTGCGACTTCTGCGCTCGGAGATCCTGCGTGATGGGTGAGACCGTGGGGTCACAGCAGCAGAATTGCGTGCGACTTACCTGACTGGAATCGAGCGACTGCTGTTCGGCAAGCGCCTGCTTGAGCTCTTCGCGCTCCGCGATCAGAGCCTCGGCACGCTGCAGGGCGTCTCGCTTGGCCGAGCGCGCGCCCTCGAGCAGCGAGGTGAGGCGCATGACCTCGCTCTCCAGGCGCACCTTCTCCGTGACGGAGCGCTCCTCGGGCATGCTTGGGCCGGCGCCAATGCCGTGTGCCTCAGCGCGCAGAGCTTCGAGCTGCGATTCAGGGTCAGCGCAGCACCGCCGTGGGTAGTATGTGGTGAGCTCACCTCGGAGCGCTCGGTCTCGAGCGCGGCCTGATTCGCCGCTAGCTCGTCGTTCAGCTCCTCAAGTCGCTCGCTGGCACGCATCTTCTCCTGCGTCAAGGTGGCGACCTCTGCTCTGGTCTTGCGCAGCTCCTCCTTGAGACGCTGCTCGGCGTCGGCGAACTTGTCGCGGCGGCGCTGCGTCGTCTCGCGCTCCGTCTCGAGTGCCTGCAGCGTCTCCTGGTACTGATCCTCGAGCGTGCCGTAGCGCTGCTTCTCGTGCGCCAGCTGCTCGTTGGCCGTCTGCAGATCGATGGCGGCCGCCGATCCGCTGGCCGGGCCTGCCTTGCTGGCAGCGACGCGTGCTGCTTCGACTGCCTCGTCGCGCTGTGCCTCCACGGCAGCAATGGCCTCCTGCGCACGATCCGACAGCGCGCGCAGCTTTGCCTCCGCTTCATCTTCCTTGAGGCGCATCGTGTCCTCGTAGAGGCTGCAACGAGTCTGTCAGTTGGTGGGATCGCATTGGTGACATGCAGCACTCACGAGCTCATCTCCTGGCCGCTCTGGGTCAGATCATTGATCTCGGCCTGCAGCGTCTCGCGCTCGCTGGCCAGGCTCGCTTCGACGCGCGCCAGCCTCTCCTTCAGGCGCACAATCTCCGCATCTTTGACGAGCGCCGCGCTCTTCTCCTTCTCCTCGCCGCCCAGCGCGCGCTTGAGGTCGGCAAGCGTCTCCTCGCCCTCGCCCAGCTTGCTCTGCAGCTCCTCGACGCGGCGCGCATGCTCGGCGTTGATGCGCTCCACAGCCTCGCGGTGGGTAGCCTGCAGCTTCTCGCGCGCGGCCGCCTCGCGCTCCTCGGTCTCTCGACGCCGTCGCAGCTGGTCGGCGCGCTCCACCTCGCGCTCCTCGTCAAGCTCGCGCCGCACAGCCTCTGTGGCTGCTGCGCGTGCCCGCTCGCGCTCCTGCGCCTCGGCCTTCTTCGCTGCGGCCGCCTCTCGCGAGAGCGTTGCTAGTTGCTCTTTGAGCATCTCAATGTCTGCCTGCGCCTCTTCCAGCATGCTGACCGGCACCACAGGCTCCACAACGCTGCTGCCGTGGTCGCTGGCGACGCTGTCCGCGCGCGACGGACTGCCGTTCTCCTGGCGCTCGTCGATTCCATCGCTGGAGAAGAGGATGCCAGGTCGCCGCGGCGTCAGGTCCATCTCCTCGAGCAGGGCATGCACGCTCGAGCGCTGCCGCGTCTTGCGCACTGTGCCCTCGGATTCGTGCCCGTTGCTCTCGCCCTTGCCCGGCGTGCGCGGCGACGAGTCGTTGGCGCCGTGTGACGAGAGCGCACTGGCAGGCCGCGCACCCGTCGACTTGCGCAGCTCCTCGCTGCCTTCCGTGCGCGACGGAGACGCCGGCGGACCCATTGCCTCGGCGGCCTGCAGACGCGGCGCGGCGAAGGGAGCTGGCACACCGCTGGTGCGCGCTTTGGCCATGCGAGGCGCCGCGACGCCGCCCAGCGGTGTGACCGGCGGCCCTGCAGCGCGCGGAGGGCGCAGTCCTGCGCCAGCTGCCGATGGCGTGCCCATGCTCGTCCGCCCTCGGGCCAGCAGGCTGTCCTTCAGCGGACTGGCCGGACGCGCTGCCGACGCCGACGCAGCTGGCTCTGGTTCGCGGCGCGTCGCGACGAGGTCTGCGGCCTTTGCGTTGATGAAGCGTGCCGCTCGGCTGCCGACGTGAATGCGCGCTTCGGCTTCTGCGGCCGCCTCTGCGCTCGTCTTTGCGCGGCGCCGGCCGGCCTCGTCAAGCGCAAGGTCGGCATGCGACTTGCGCGGGCCTAGCCGCGAGGCAGGGCGCGAGGTGCTGGAGGAGTGAGACAGGACGGAAGAGGGACGCCCGCGCGTTGACATGCTCGAGCTGGGCCGCGAGTGCGGCGTCACGGATGGCGGCCGCACGCCGTTGCTGCGCGAGGCTGCGGGCGTGACCATGGCCATGCTGGAGCGCGGACGCATGCCCGACTCGGGCGTCGCGGCGCGGCGGAAGCCAGTGGCCGACGTGCGCCCCGACTCGCTGCCCAGCGCCGACGTGCGCCCGGAGCGCTGCGACATGGCCGACTGCGGGCGCGCTGTCGCGTCGAGCGAAGAGGCAGCAACAACGCTCAGCTGGTGCGGCTTGCAGAAGATGCCGCACAGCGGCTCGCACGCAAAGTACTGCTCGCTGTGGGCGCCGCAGCGTGAGCAGGCCGGCACAGCACACTTTGTGCACCCCACGTCGCTCCGCCTGAGACTCACCCTGCAACGGTGCCATCATTCTTGCCGAGGCCGGCACTGGCGCCGAACAGCTCCAGTCCCGCAAAGTCGCCCTTCTTGCCCGCAATAGCGCCCAGAAAGCGCACGACGCCCGTCAGGCGCCGCCCTTCAGAGACAAAGACGGCCGTGTCGCCGAGCTCGGGCGCTGCGCCGGTGCCGCGCGCCGCCGATGCCAGCGTGGAGCCCTCGTACGGCTTGGGCAGCGGTGGAGCGGCGGCAGCGCTGCTGCTGCCACTGGCTGCGGCAAAGCTGGTCCGTGGTGCCAAAGAGCGGCGCGGCGTGCGTGGAGCGAGCGCAGAGGCGGTGGTGCCTGCCGATGCCGGCGCCAACGAGGAGCGTCCCGCTGGCCGCCGCAGCTCGGAGCCGGGGCCCGCCTTGCTGGGGCTCGTCATGGCTGATCTTGCAGCATCGGGCGCGACAAGACGCGAAGCCGGCGGTGTGCTAGGCGAGCCTGCGGCCGTGGGCAGGCCGGAGCGCGGCGGCGAGATGGGCCCGGTGGCCGAGGGCGTGCCGTAGCTGGGCGTGCGGCCGCGCGGCGACGCGCCCGAGCTCGACGGCGACGGCAGCAGCGAGGGCCGCCGTGTGGGCAGGCCAGACATGCTGCGGCGGTGAGAGTGGGAAGAGTGAGTGGCGCGAGTGCGCTCAGCGGACGATAAAGAGAGGACTGGTCTTGAGGAGGGGTGAGGGAAGCCGGCAGAGACGCGAGATCGGGCGTCACGGCGCGCGCGTCCGTGCGGCGAGACCCCAACGCGACCAAGACTGCCCTTTCCCACCGCTGCCCGCCAGTCTTGGTACTGCATCGCAAGCCACGTCTGTCACAGCAACAAGCTCAAGACCTTGTGCACAGCACATCGAGGCTTTGCTCGAGCCCGTGGCGTGCAGCAGAAGAGGCAGCGGCACGTCGGGACCGGGAGCGCTGGCCCACGACTGGCGTCACGTGCAAGACGCGCGCTCGGTGTTGGTCTTGTCCCCCGCGGCTGTTCCCACGCCGCCAACCTCAACATCCACCGAGAAGCGCGCGGCGGCCGGACTCCACCTGCCTCGAGGTTGCCAACGGCCACTGCCGCTCACCTCCATCGACCTGCACACGCTCACCTCCTTCGCGCCGCGCCTCAAGCCGTCGCTCCGCCTCAAGCACCTCCCCCACACAGCGCAGACCATTGCGCACCGCTCCGCGATATCGCAGCACAGCCACGCCCGGACTGTCTGGCGTGCCTCTTGAGCCCTGACCGCAGGCTCGGCCACCTCTCCTCTCTCCCCGCGCCACTGGCGCCGCCGCTTGCAGCATGGCTTCGCGCAAGTCGCAGCAGAACAGCGCCGCGTCGGTGATTGACGGCTGTGAGTGCCTGCAGCACGAAGGGAGCGGCTTGTATGCCGTGCTCATGCCATGCCGGCCCAGATGAGCCGCTGGATGTCATCGGGCGCGGCACCTTCGGCCTCATCCGCAAGGTGCGGCGGCACGCCGATGGGCGCATCTTCGCGCGCAAGGAGCTCGAGTTTGCACGCATGAGCGAGCGCGACCGCCGCCAGATCGTCGCCGAGGTCAACATCCTGCGCAACCTGGCGCACGACAACATTGTCGCGTACGTCGAGCGCTTTGTGGATGCTGACGCTGGGTGAGTAGACTGTGGAGTAGGGGTAATACGCGAGGGCTGACAGGTGCTGCAGCACGCTGTTCATCATCATGGAGTACTGCGAGGGCGGCGACCTGGGCAGCGTCATCAAGCGCTGCCGCAAGACCAAGTGAGTGCCTCGGACTCCTCTCTGTGCCGTCATGCTCAGACTACTGGCAACAGCACCCTGCTGCCCGAGGAGACTGTCTGGTCGTACCTCTCGCAGATGACGCTGGCGCTCGAGGCGTGTCACTACAAGGACACGCCCGCGTCCGCCGGCGCCAGCGACTCGCCGCTGCACCCGATTCTGCATCGCGACCTGAAGCCCGAGAACGTGTTCCTCGACGCCGAGAGCAACATCAAGCTCGGCGACTTTGGCCTCTCCAAGCAGGTCGCTGCGCAGGCGTTTGCGAGCACGTACGTGGGCACGCCGTACTACATGAGCCCGCAGGTGGCCAGCGGTGTGCCGTACGACTGCAAGAGCGATGTCTGGGCGCTCGGCTGCATCGCTTATGAGCTGTGCGCTCTTGCGTGAGTGTTGCACATACAATGCGCTGTGGTCACGCTTGTCTGACCTTGCTTCATAGTCCGCCCTTCGACGCTGCCAACCAGGCAGAGCTGACGCGCAAGATCAAGCTCGGCCACGTGCCGCAGCTGCCCAAGGGCTACTCCGAAGAGCTTGGCGATCTCATCCGCGAGCTGCTCAGCCTCAGCGTGAGTGTAGCTCTGGCCTCGTTCTCCGTGCGTCCACTGACGGCATCTTTGTAGCCCAAGGGTCGGCCGACCACGCGCAAGCTGCTCACGCACCCGCGCGTCAAGTTTGCCGTGCGCACGCACGAGCTCGCCACGCTCTCGCGCACTCTCACCGCTGAGCGTCAGCGTCTTCGCACGCTCGCTACCGAGCTCGAGGAGCGCAGCGCTGAGGTGCAGGCGCGCGAAGCAGCACATGGCCAGGGCAACGGCCTCGACGCGGCATCATCGTCCCGGCTAGGCGAGCTGGATGCGCGCGAGGCCGACGTGCAGCGCCGCGAGGAGGCGTGCGGTCAGCGCGAGGCGGAGCTCGAGGAGACGCGGCGCGACATGAGCGAGCGCTACGAGGCGTGGTGTGCGGAGCGCGCTCGCATCGAGGAGGAGTGGCGGCGCATGACGGAGGCGCACATGCGCTCCGCCGCCGCTGCCGGCCCGTCGCGGACCGACGCCGAGGAGCGGGCTCTCCGACGCGCCGACACTTCAGCTGCTCGGGTGGTGGCTTTGCCGGTCGTGCGGCCCAGCATGCGTCGCATCTCCTCTGGCGGCCGTACAGCAGCAGCCGCAGTGGCAACGACGGCCGTGGGCGAGCTAAGCGTGGAGCACATCCGTGCTGGCACGACTGGTCTCGGCACGCCGCGTGCCACGCGCGAGCGGCAGCTACGCCAACGCCAGCGGGAAGAGGCTCGCCGCGCCACTTCCTCCTCTAGCGGCATCAACGAGCACGGTCGCTCACGCTCGCGCACGGAGAGCGAAGGCAGCGAGGAATGGGTCGAGGAGGCAGAGACAGCGCGAGCTACGGCTGCAGCCGCTGCGGCCGCCGAAGCAACTGCCGCTGCGACGACGGCAAGGCGGCCGCCTGTCACGGCACGCCGCTCAGCCGGCATCCTACCTTCGTCGTCTTCGTCGTCTACCTCGCTGGCACAGCTCGCAGCTGCCCGGCAGTCGCGCCGCTCCGTCGTGGCAGCTGCGACAGCAGCCGCACGCGTGGCAGGTGCCGCACCACGGACATGGCGCAGTGCCGACGACTCGGACATCTCCATGCGCTCCGCCGGACAGCTCTCGCAGCTGCCCCTGCCTGGTTCTGCGCCGGGCAGCTCGGACGATGACGAGGACAAGGAGAATGGCGCGCCGTTGCTGCCTCCGTCTGCTTCGGGCCTCAAGAGCAAGACCGCCGCCTCCGACACGGACCTCACGCGCGCCACCTCGCACATGGCCCTGGCGCCTCGCCCGGCGCTCACGACGCGCGTCACGCTTGCCGGCATCACTGGCGAGGCGGCGTCGGCGTCGCAGCTGCCCGTGGCCACGTACGATACACAGGCCGACGACGACCCGGACCTGCCGTCGCCGTTCGTGCGCAAGGTGACGCGCGTGCCCGAGGCGCGCCTCAGGCCATCCGGCAGCGCTGGCGGCAGCAACCTGCTTGCCCGTGCGGCACACAACTACGCCGCCGTGCGTTCCGCTGCCGCTGCGGCTGCCGCGGCCTCGGAAGCGAAGACGGACGCTGCCGCCGCACCGGCGCCTGCTGCTCCGCGTCCGCGTCCCTCGGCACGACGCCAGTCGACGCTGCCGTGTGTCGTCGCGAGTGCTCTGCCCGCCAGCGGCACTGCGCTCTCGGGCGCGCCAGCAAGCCGCATCGGCAGCTCCGGCGTGCGCGCCACCACCAGCCTCGTCCCCGGCGCCGCAGCACCACGGCGCAGCTTCATCCCTGCACAGCGATGAGCTCTGCGCACCCTCTCTCTCTCCTCGCCCCTTCGTTCCGCTTCGCATCCCCTGACCTTACCCTACTACACGCACATATCTGCCCCAGCGGCCCCTCACATTCACTACTGCTGTCGTCGACTCATCTTCTTGCCCCCTTGCAGCGCACTGATGGAATAGTCATTCCTTCATTACAGTGAGCTTGCTGTTCATCGATTAGCCAGAGAAGGAGCCAGAGGCGTGCACCCTCAGTTGCTCGTCTTGCTCAGGCCCGTGAGCACCGACGGCAGCTCGGCGCTGCCCTCGGCCATGAGGTAGTAGACGGAGCCGAGCGTGACGAGCTGCGAGAGGAGCAAAGAGGTCAGCGTCGGCGGCGTTCAGGCACGCGGCTCCTGCTGTCAGCATCACTCACGAGCAGCACAACCACCGTCGAGGCAATGAGCACGAACGGACCGCTGACGTCGACCTTCTGGCAAGCCTCTCCTGCCTGCAAGCAAGCGTCAGTAGCTGCCTCGTCACAAGCCATAGTGCCGTCGGCACTCACCCAGTACGTGGTGCGGCCCTTGTGCTTGCTCGCCTTGCACTGGCACGTGTAGCACTTGCGCGCGCCATGGTTGGTCTGCACGGCCTTGCCATGGCCGCTGCACTCGGCCGTGGCCTTCTCGAGGTCCTTGGCCGACTTGAAGCACTTGCCAATGTAGTCGCTCTCCTTGGGACGCTTCGCCAGCAGCGGGTCGGCCTCGACGTCGGACACGGCACGCGAGGCACGCGGCGCCGTGGAGAAGACGTCGAGACTATCGCGCGCCTCGAGACCGGAAGAGGCCTCGCGACGCGGCAGGACCACGACCGCGAGGTTCGGCGCGTGGGCCTTGGCGCCAGCGACGAGGCTCTGAGAACGCAAGCAGCATCAGCACATCGGTCCTGAGCGAGTGCAGGGAGCTCCAGGCCTCACCTCAAGAGCGGCCGAGACGCTGGCCTTGGCCTCAGCAAAGGCGCTGCTGTCGGCGCCGTAGCTGGCGCGCAGCTCGTCGAGGTGCGCGTCGAAGCGCAGCGGCTCGACACTCGGCTCGTGCGCCGAGGTGTCCTCGCCGTGCAGCAGCGCGATGAGCGAGTCGATGCCTTGCGAAGCACTCTGCGATCGCGGCGAGGTCAGGCTAGGATGAGGCGAGGAATGAAAGGAGGCACGTACCACACTGAAAGACTCGAGCCCGCTGCGGTACGACTCGAAGAGAGCGTCAAAGGCGTGGGCAGACGGCGCACTGGGAAGCGTGTGGGTCTGGCGCAGCGCGGCCGGGACGACGTCTGCGCGAAGTGGCGTCAGCTGGTGCGGCATCGGCTGCCGGGCGTACGAAGCGCAGATCGTTGCTGTGTGCTGCGATAGACGAGCCGCTGCGCGCCTTGCGGCATCGCAGAAGCAGCCCCAGCGCACTCGCGTGACGTCCGTGCGCCAGACGTAAGTCTCCCTTGCACAAGACCAGAGCAATGCTCTCCCTTGAAGCAGCGCAGCTTTTGTGCGACGCAGCTGATAGGTGCACGACGGCTGGCAGCGGAGACGCAGATACTGTGGCGGGCGGTTCGTCCGTGCACTGGCCTCTACGGGCGCTGAGCGCGTGGCTGCCTCGCCGAGCATGTCTCATCTTGGCACAGATCTGGCTCCCCAGGCTCGTCCATGTGCAACAGCTTCAACATCTCCAAAGGCTCGACTCACCAGCGTCCTCGTGCGCCAGCACGACAAGCTTTGCCTCTTTCCGGCCGCCGAAGAGCTCCTTTGCATCGCCGACGCGCGCCTGTGCCCACTTCCACGCCTGCGGCGCCGCACGTGCGCCGTAGCCGAGGTGCTCCTCGCCGGGGAGGTGCAGGTGGTAGGCCAGCAGCTGGCGCAGCTGCGCCGGCGAGATGGACGCTGCGTCCGAGGAGCCAGAGGTGGAGGGGTGCAGGAAGAGAGAGGCGTCTGCGGGCGCCGAGGCGGCAGCGAGGGCGCTGTTGCTGCTGGCGAGCAGAGGCAGCAGGAAGCTGCTGAAGTGCAGCGTAGTGAGACGCATGGTGAGGGATGTGAGTGGCGCCAGGGATGGAGGAGGGCGTGGAAGAGAGGGAGGCACGAGCGGCGGCACGGCCGAGCAGCAGCAGCAGCGACAGCCGCGCCGGCCGGCCGCCAGCAGCGCTGCCAGCCAAAGCCAGCGCCAGCCACGGCGAGCACGTGCCGCGGCGTGGCCAGCCGTCGCGGCGCGCACGCATCATCGGCCGCGGCACAGATAGCAGCTCCTCCGTCCCCGGCCACGCCGCGCCGAATGTTCCTGAGCACAAACAGATCTGCACCTTGTGCTGCACCGCAGATCTCCCTCTGCGTGGCCTGACTTGATCCAGCTGATGCGGCGACGGCGACCGGAGGCGGGGTGCCAAGTGGGCGTGCCGTAGCGTGTCGCATGCGGCGAGGACGGACGCGGGGCGGCGGCGCGCGTCGCTGGCGGCGCCGCGCCTGCAGGGGCTGCCGTGCGCACGGCCGGCGGCTGCTGAGCTGGCGCGGGCAGGCCGCCTGTGTCGCGGCGCGCGCTGTTGGAGTGCGCCTCAACGCCCGCGCGCGTGCGCGCCTGTCAGAGCTTCGCTTCGCAGCTGCCGTCGATCCCTCTCTCTCTCTCTCTCTCTCTCCACCACACCACCCCCGCTGCCCGTCATGTCGCTCCCGCACGACTACGCCAGCATCCTCAACGACCTCAACCGCGACGTCATCCGCTTCCGCCCCCTCGATGCGCTGCAGTTCTGCGCCAACTGGTTCGCGCGCCGCCTCGAGGACGAGCGCAAGGCGGCGCTCGCCCAGAGCGCCGCCGCCGCCGCCGAGAGCGACAGCGCTCCGGCGGCAGCTCCGTCGCCCTTCGCTGCGGCGTCGCCCTTCGCCAGCGGCAGCAGCAGCAGCGCAGCCGCGTCCGGCACGCCGTTCGGCAACGCCAACCCCTTCGGCAGCGCACCCGGCGCCGCGCCCGCCTTCTCCTTCGACCCGCCGTCTCGCTCCGCGTCCATCGCCTCGTCCGCCGGCGCACCGGCTGCCGCGCACGACGGCGACGACGACGATGCGCTGCACCCCGGCCTGGCGCCGTCGCCCGGCTACAACCTCGGGCGGCGCACGAGTGTCTCTGCCGAGTCGCTGGCGCCCTCTGCGCCCTCGGACGGCGTCGCGGCGCCGAAGCTCGTCATTCCCAAGAGTGACTCGCAGATGGCGCGCATCCGCGCCTCGATTGCCAGCAACGTGCTCTTCCGCAACCTCGACGCCGAGCAGGAGGCCGACGTGCTCAACGCCATGAAGGAGGTGCACGTGGCGCCCGGCGAGGCCGTCATCCGCCAGGGCGACCAGGGCGACTACTTCTACGTCGTCGAGAGCGGCAGCTTTGACATCTACGTGCGCAGCACCAGTGCGCCGTCGACGAGCAGTGCTGGCACCTCGGACGACGACGCGCGCGTGGCCGGCGGCGATGCCGCCAGCCTCGGCGACAAGAAGGCCGTGGCCGGCCCGAGCAGCTCGTTCGGCGAGCTGGCACTGCTGTACGCGCAGCCGCGCGCCGCCAGTGTGCTGGCGACGCAGGCCAGCGTGCTCTGGGCGCTGGACCGCATCACGTTCCGCAGCATCCTCATCGGCACCAACAGCCGCAAGCGCTCGCTCTTCGAGGCACACCTGCGCAACGTCTCGCTCTTCGACAGCCTCAGCGACGCCGAGCGCGCCAAGATTGCCGATGCGCTCGAGCAGCGCGCCGTCGAGCAGGGCGCGCGGGTCATTGAGCAGGGCGAGCGTGGAAGCGAGTTCTTCATCGTCATCGACGGCAGCGCAGAGGTGCGCAAGCGCCGCGAGGCCGACGGCGTCGAGGAGAGCGTGGGCCGTCTGGGCGCCGGCGACTACTTCGGCGGTGAGTGCAAGTGCTATGGCGCTCGTCTGAGCGTCCGCTGACAGGCCCTCCTTCTCACAGAGCTGGCGCTGCTGAACAACGCGCCGCGCGCCGCCTCCATCGTGGCCTTGAGTCCGACGCTGCGTCTCGCCGCGCTCTCCGAGTCGGCGTTCAAGCGTCTCGTCGGCCCGCTGGCACACATCATGTCGCGGCACGCCGCCGAGGCATACGGCGGCGCGCCGCTGCCGTCCGCAGGGCTGAGCGGCTCGGGCCCCTCGAGCGCCAGCGTGCCGCGCGCCGGCGAGGACGCTACGATGGGTGTCGCGCCGGGAGTGGCGCCGCACGATACGACGAGCGGCGCGCCGGGCGCTGGCATGTGGGTGGGCGGACTGGGCTCGTCGCCGTTTGGCGAGGCTCCGCGTAGCTAAGCAATGGAAGGAGAAGGCCCTGTGCAGCTAGCCTCTTCTCAGCGTCAAGTCCGTGTACATCGTCTCCTGGCCTCCACTCTCCCCTAGTCTACTCTCTCCCGGTCACATCTCCCTGCTGTCCGTCTCTAGTCCGTCGCAAACCGATACATTGCAGCTAGAGCGACTGGCGAAGACGCTCGATTGAGCGACAGACGAGACACGACACAGCTAGAGTACATGGGGCGCAAGCAAAAGCAGAGCAGACAGAAGGAGCACAGGAGCGGTGACGACGGAGGAGGGCAGTTTATGCAGCAGCGGCCGCCGGCGTTGGTGCCGCGGCCTGCGTGTGCTCGCTCCGTTCGCGTCTCGCAGGAGCCGGCGTAGCGGAGCCTGCCGGTGAGGGACGGGCGTCGTAGCCGAGACGAGTTGCCAGACCGCGGATCGTCAGGTTGCCGTGCTTTGCCAGCGCCGGCACGATGCGCGTCTGCGTGCGCTGCTCGTACGCTCGTGCGTGCTCGTCTACGCGCGCCAAGATCGACGGCACAGTCTGAGCACGCGCCGCTGGCACGGCTGGCGCACTAGAGGCTGCCGAGCGGGAGGAGAGCGGCTACAGAGAGGGAAGTACGTGGTCAGCGGATGCGCGGAGGAAGCGGTCGAGAGGACTCACTGCTCGCAAGTCATGCCGCGCCAGCTCGCCCGTGAGGTGGCTGGCGAGGTCGTCGCTGGCGGCCGCAAAGGCGAGCATGCTCTCGAAGTTGCTGCGCACCTCGTGTGCCAGCGTGTCCTGCAGCGCGTGTGTCAGTGCCGCTGTCCATTCGTCACCGCTCACGCAGACTCACCACGCTCCGCTTGGCGCCGCGCAGCAGTGCCTTGCTGACGAGGGCGTCGAGGTACTCGCGGTGCGACTTGATCAGGTCGTCCAGGTCGCCCTGGCGCTTGGCGAAGAAGCTCTGCAGGTCGTGCCACGAGTAGTCGATGACCTCGAGCTGGCAGAAGCCCTGCATCTGCCGCACAAAGTGGATCATCTCGCCGAGCAGCACGAGCGTGCGGTGCGCGTGCTTGTACAGCGCTGCGGGGGCAACATCAGCGCCGGCGCCAAGCCTCACGACCCATGCGGCGACGACTCACCCTTGAGCTCGGGCTCGGCTTTCTTGCTGCGCCGCAGCATGTTCGCTGCCGTGACGAGGTGGCCCCAGCTGAGCGACAGCGTGAGCTCGACGCGCTTGATGCGCCACAGGTGGCTGAAGATCGTCTGGTAGCTGAGCATCGCCTGCGCGTCGAGCACGGTGTTGATGGGCGACTCGACCTTGTACTCGAGCACAAACGTGTCCCAGCCCGTGTCGCCGGCGCTGAACTCGAGGATGCGCGCGTCGAGCCGGCGCAGCACGTCGGCGTCGTCGTGCTGTGCGTTGGAGCCGCGAATGGCCGTCTCGAGCGATGCCGTGAGATTGTGGCGCAGAAGCGACGCGGCTGGCCGGGCCAGGCTGGGTCTGCAACGACAGAGTCAGCACGGCACAGAAGGTCGCCAATCCGGCTCACGCACCCCAGGGCTTCCATAAGCCGGTCGATGAAGTCGCCGCGGTTCAGCATGAGGTAGTCCTTAAGCGCACGCAGGTGCTCCATCAGCTTGAACTTGTCGAGGAAGATGTCGAGCAGGCGCGTGCTAGCGATGCTGTAGGCCGAGTCGATGGTCTGCTCCAGGCCCGCCAGGTCGGTGTAGCGCAGATCTGCAGCCGAGATTGTCAGCAGGGCGTGCAGTCAGTGCGGCGGAATACGCACCTGTGCCCGAGTTGCTCAGCTTGTTGCGCGTCGAGATCCAGTCGCTGTCGCCGCAGCTGTAGCGGATGAAGTTGAGACTCTTGCCGGTGGAGAAGATCTGCAAAGCGCGTCAGCCGGTGAGCATATCGCCTGCTCCACACCCGACGCACCTTGCGGCCAAAGCTCTCGCTCAAGAAGCTCGGCAGCATCTCCTGCCGGAACTTGAACTTGCTCTGCCACAGCGAGACGGCATCGACGTCCTCGAAGCTCGGCAGGCTGTTGTTGGCGTTCGCCGAGGCGCGCGCCTCCGCCGAGAGCTCGACGAAGAACTCGCAGAACGGGTCCTGCAGCTCGCCCTCGTAAATCCAGCGCGAGAGCGAGTGGAAGAAGGGCTTCGAGACCTGCGGCAAGACATGTGTCAGCAGCAGCTCGATCACGCGAACCATCACACGCCTCACCTCCTCGAGCAGCTGCGCGGTGAACTTCCGGATGAATGGGTCGCCGTTGAAGGTGTAGGAGTGAATGAGGGAGACGAGTGCGCCGCCGTGCGCATCCTGGCAGCTCTCGATGATGGTGCTGAGCAAACGCAGGCGCAGCGCCACGTCCTGCGTCCACACTGCCACGCGCTTCAGCGTCAGACCCTCGGCTGCCGGGTTGCCTTCGATTCGCCCAGGCTCGTCGCTGCCATCAACTGGCTTCGCACTGCCGCCGACAGCCTGCAGCGTGCGGTTGAGATGCGCCTCCAGCACCGCGATGAGGCGGTAGTAGTCCGTCAGCTCCGAGGAGATGAAGTGGCACAGACTCTGCAGCAGGGGTCAGCGCTGGTCCCAAGCGCGCTGCCACGACATCTCGCCTCACCTGCTTGATCAAACCCGTCTCTTCGGTCTGCTGCTGCTGTGCAAACTCGGAGATGCGGCGGTAGAGGCGGCCCAGCTCGGCGATGCGGTGCACGAGATGCCGCGTCGACGGCGAAATGACCCGCTCGCCCTCTTCGAAGCGGATACGCAGCAGTCGCTCGGCGCTCTGGTCCACGCCCACCTCGGTCGATGGCAGCTTCTGCACCACCTCAAAGCCGACGTGCTTGCCGTTGATGCCCTGCAGCAGGTAGATGACGTCGCGCAGCAGCTCCGTTTCGGGCACCTCTGCTCGGCCTATGAAAGGCCTCAGCCGCTGCATGTGTGCTGCTACATCCATCTGCGACTCACCCTTGCGCTCTCGCCATCTCCGCACCACCTCAGCCTTTGCAATCGGCAGCCCAGTCGACACGTCGGCCTCCTCGACGCGAGCCGGCCGCACAGGTGCGCGAGCGGGCACGCCGGCATCGCTGCGCGTCACTGGCCGGCTCTCTAGCTCGGGAGCGGGCGGCGGCACCGGTGCGCTCGAGCGCGCTGCTGGCACCATGCTGGGCACGTCCAGCGCAAACGCTGCTGGGGCTGGCGGTGCTGCTGACCTGCGAGGCGCAGAGGACGACTCGGCCGTGTCGCCCGCCTGCGCTGAGAAGGACAGATGCTGGAGCAACTCGAGAACCGCATTGAGGTTGCGTGGCCGACTCGGCTGGCTCTTCAGCTTAGAGAGCAGCGTCTCGAAGCGCACGCCCGTGCCGTGTCCGCCGTCGACGGCATAGCGCGTCAGCTTGCGCCGGATCGCATCTGTGACCTCGTGCTCCTCGGCGGCTGGCGACGAGCTGAGCTCGCTATGGAAGATGTCGTGTACGAGATCGAGCAAATCGGCTCGCAGCGCACGACGCTCGCGTACTGCGGCATCGGACTCGCCGCGACGCCGGCGTGTTGACGGCACAAGGCTGTGGACCAGCTCAGCGAGCTGGTCCGACGAGGGGCCGGACATGGCCCGGACGCGGCGGGGACACGCCGAGCGTGCCGCTGCAGCGGATAAGAAGAAGAGAGCGGCGATATGCGCGTGCCCGAGACCAGCGCAGGTGGTCCTGAGCAACCGAAGCGATGGAGTGGAGTGCGTGAGGTGGAGTCGGTGGAGAGGAGGCAGAACGTCAGGTCAGACGCGTCGCGTCTGCAGCGCCGCCTCGGCCGCCGTGCAGCCGCGCGCACCGCCGCCGCGAGAGCTCGGCCGCGGCGAGAGCAACACACGCGCGCCGACGTGCCGTCAAACAGGCTCCGAACTCTCAGTCGGCTCTTCACAATCGCGCCACGGCCATGAGTGCTGCGTCACAATCCAGTAAGCTTCGCAATGAATACATTGTCGGCAAGGCTGCTTGCTCGATTCTTGTCGTTCCCTCTCGTACCCGCCTCAGCACACCCAGAGCTTGCCGTTCGACCACGTGTGCATCAGCTCCAGCGCGCTCGCCCATGTGCCGGCGCCCATGATGAACAGGCCGACGAGCACGACGGCGCCGTGGAAGAGCGCATTCCACAGGTTGGAGCCGACGTACCAGGGCCGCTCGTCCTTGAGCAGCTTGAACCAGATCTGGTGAGTGGAAGTCAGTGGGGCGCTCCGCAGACCGTGACGCAAAGCCACTGACCAGGGCCGGCGCCGTGAACGAGAAGAAGGAGATCGTAAGAGCGGCGACTGGGTAGTCCGCAGCCGTCAGCAGAGAACTGCAGTCACGAAGCCGCTTTGACTCACTGAGGCCGAGCATGCCACTGAAGGAGGGCACCGAAACAGCCGTAACCCACGCTATGAGCTGTCCGCGGCGGGGTGAGCCGTAGGTCGCCGAGAGGCCCGGCATATGGCCTGCTTACACTGAGTCCGACAACGAGAGACACCCAGATGACATAGCACATGCGTGACCGCTCGGCCTTGTCCAGCCGATTGTCGCCGTCGCCCTGAGGTCAGATCGTCAGCCAAGTGCTGCACTTTGCTCGGGCAAGCTGTGCTCACACAAATCTTGTCGTGCAGAAACTGGGAAGCACATGTCGCTGCGGACAAGAGTCAGGACAGCGCCATGGACAGGTCAAAGCATGACGCACTGTTGATGGCTCCACTGATGAAGATCACGGCTGTCGAGGACGTCAAGTGTCAATGGCGGACGCACATCATGTCAACAGCAAGCTGACTCACGCAGTGCAAGGCCAAAGGAGATCTTCGACACGAGCGGCGAGTTGGAGAGCAGTGCCGGGCTGCGCACGCCCTCGCCGATGAAGTAGTACGTCACGGCGCCGATGAAGGTGTACAGCACGAGCATGAAGGTGCCTGCCGCTCGCTAGTCAGCGTCGCGGAAAGGTAGGCGGAATGAGCTGCTCACCAAGCGTGATGACAGCCTGAATAAAGAGCGAGACAGTCAGCTTGACACCTCGAGATCGCTTGAGGCCACGCACCTTCTTGTACTCCCTCGGCTTCGAGAGCTGTGCCATCATCGTCGGAATGCACTGTTGCAGGACAGCTGTCAGCACGCGGCGAACCTTGTGGACGACGTACTCACCTGAGCGGCGCCGAAGCAATAGCAGATGTTCGATACGCTGCCAAAGACAGGCGATCAGCGCAACGTCGCGGCATCAGTCTCCAACACTCACGCCAGCATAGCCTCAGCAAGCGATGGCGGGTTCTCGGTGCGGAATGCAACCCAGGTACCGGCGGAGAAGCCTCCGGGCCGAGCTGCTGCATCGTGGCCGGCCGCAGCGATTGTGAGGATGACAGCGCTCATCTGCCGGGTTCAAGCCAGGTCAGAAGCGAGCTTTTGGCAAAGTTGAGGTGACGCACGATGGAAACGCAGTCCACGTAGCCGAGGAAGGCGATGTCGCTGAAGGAGGTTGGCAGTGCCTGGCAGGGTCCCACCGCATCAGCGCTGCACATGGTCAGGTTTGAGAGAGAGGAGACTGACGAGAAGCGTGCACACCACTGCCCGAGGGGCACAATGTCAGCTGAATGCCATCGACCGCGAAATGCCGGCACTCACGCAGGGAAACAAGGCCATATATGATCTTGCAGCTCTTTCCTCCGCTGATCTCCTCGAGCGCGAGCACGCCGGTCAGCATCTTGCCGCTCGTGCCGAAGCCGAGATCGAGGATGAGCCAGAGACCTGTGATGACGGCACCTGCCTTGCCAGCGACTAAGAAGCCGAGGCGTGCAAAGTCTCGGACGCCAGGATGCAGCAGCGACGCTTCGCCGACGAGCACTAAGCAAGGACGTCAGTCAAGGCAACATTCGAGGATCCGAGGCAGACTAACCGCCGCACCACATCGACAAGATGCCCAGAAATGCTGTGACAAGGAGTGCGGGCACCATCCCAAGCGTAGCATACGCAGCAGGCAGGCCAAGACATCCCAAGCCCACCGCCTCCACGGCAAGGCACATCGTGAGACGCGGCCAGCTGAGCGAGTGCAGACGGGCACGGACGTCGTCACCCTCCTCCTCATTGCTGTAGATCGACGGCGAGTCTGGCCTTGAGCGGCGCGAGTAGACGGCCGAGACGTAGTCGAGAGTTGAGACCCCGTCCTCATCTTGCCCTTGCTCGCCCTTGCCCGACTTGCCGCCCTTCTCGCCGCTCTTCTCGCTGTGTCCAGCGTCCGGGTGAAGACCGCTTCGCACGCGTCGAGGCCGACGGGTGCTGATCGACAGACGAGTCTCGGCATCAATCGGCGAGTGTACACTGATCTGGTTGGAGGAGCGACGCAGCTCGTTGAACGAGTTGCGCACCGACGTGCTCACGCGTCCGAGGACGGAGAAGGTGCGCTCGCGCAGCACCTCTGTCCGCTCGCGCACCGAGAGTGTTCGCACGATGCTGATGTGGTCGGCCATGCTGGCGCGCGGGGAGCGGGGGTGGAGGAACGAAGATGGCGAACTTTCATGGCGTGCTTGCGGAGTCGGCGCCTTTTGAGCCCAGACGCCAGTAATGGCTTGCAAAGACGCAAAAGGCGCAGCAGTAACCAGACCTCTCTGGACGAGGGGCAAGGACCGAGGAAGACCCGGCTGTAGGCAGGAGGGCAGCGCCTGTGTCAGACGAAGGCGTCAGGAGAGCCGCTCCGGGGGCTGTCCCCATGGCATGACCCATGGACGAAGCTCAGGGGTCAGTCTTGGCTGGCGGCCTGCTGGCTGCGCGGCAGACACGCAACTCTGGACTCTGACTGCGCCGGACGGCGCGGATCGCCCCTTTGTCCACGACGAGGAAAAGGCGGGTGCGGGTGCGGACGCCGCGTCGCGGAAGGTAGCGCGGCATGCTGTGGACTGACCGCCCTCGGCGCACGTTCGATCGGCGAGGATGAGGGCGAAAGGCGGGGGCTGCGAGATGCGCAAGGGGCCCCCTGAGGAGCACTTTACGCGCCGGCGCTCCGGCGCCGTGATCTGCGCTGAACGGGGCCGCCGGCAGCGGCACTCTGGAGCGCTCCGTGCCCTGATCATGTACCTGCCGCTGCGGCGGCACAGGGAAGCCGCTGATTATGAGCACCTTGAGTGCTCGTTTAGACGGGGCCTAGAACCACGGTCCGCACTCATCGTTCGGCGTCGCCGTGCGGGCCGCACCTGCCGCCGCAGCAGGCGCCGAGAGGGCGGAGCTTTCATCGTTCTGACGGCGGCAAAGGACCGAGCTGGGCCCGCGTCGTGAGACTAGATACTCGTGCGGTGGGCACTCACACAGCCTCAGGGCGCATCAGGAACTCGCGCCCACCACACTCCAGAGCCGGGTAAGATGCTCCGAGGCCGCGAAGATCGGCCATTCAGGTGCAGCGCGCAGGTGCTTGCAAGGTGTTAGGCGTCGTGATGGATGACGGCACCGTCGACATTCAAGCAACACGTGCACGTGCCCTCCCTTTCACCTCCCTGTCAACTCAGTTCGCACCGCACAACACGAGGGCTCACACGTGCGGAGACTCGTCGGCGGCGGCTCGGTCGAGAACACGGCGGCGGCGGAGTGCCCCCGCACTCTCGAGAGAAGTAGGCGCTCGAGGGGTCATCTCCTGCAAAGTATACCACGCGTGCGCGGCGGCACAGGTGTCGAGAGGTATCAAGGGAGCATTCCGCGACATCAGCCCGGATACTTGAGCGGCTGCGTCGATCGAGGCAGGTTTTTGGGGTTGCCGGCCACGAGGCCCCGAGCTCGTGCGGCCCTCAGCTTGGCGGGGCCAGCGACTCCTGGATGCGCAGCAGCTCGCGGCCCCACCACGTGCTGCTCTGGGCACGGCCGATGGCCTGCAGGGCATTGGCGATGGCGCCGTGGCAGACGCGGTAGTACGCAGCGATGGCCGGGTTGTCTGGCCGGAGGATGCGCGCGAGCTTGGCGATCCACGGCACGCACTGCTCCGGCAGCGGAGCGGTGGGCGTGCCTAGCGACGTCGCAAGGCGGTGCAGCAGCGCAAGCACGACGGGCTGCGAACACGTCTCGGTGCCACCGGGCCCGTACAGCACGCGGTCGGCACTGCCGAGCCGCGAGAGCGCCCGCGAGACGGGCGACATGTCCGTCTCGATGCTTGGCGAGGAGAGCGCGGCAATGAGAATGTCCTCGACCTCGTGCGGCGCGGGCGTTGAGCCGCGCGCTTGCGTGCGCTGCTCCGACGCAGGCGCTGCAGACGTGTAGCTCACCGACGGGCGGCTCTCGTACGAAGACTGCTGCGGCGGCTGCATCGGCTGGGAAGGCTGGTGCATCGGCGTGCTGGCGTAGTGCGGTGGAAGCTGCTGCTGCTGCGGTGGCGCGGTGGCGTACTGATGCACCGGCGGCGGCTGGTAGTACTGCTGGTGCTGCGGCTGCGGCTGCTGTTGTTGCTGCGGCGGCGGCTGCGACTGCTGCGGCTGGTGCTGCGAGGCCAAGTGCGCAGCCGCAACCTCCATGCGCTGCACCTTGAGCTCGGCGATGACGTGCTGCAGGCGCTCGTTGTCCTGCGACAGCTTCTCGAGGTGCGCCTGCATCGCCTCCATGCGCTGCGCCATCTCGCGCAGGCTGTCCTCGGCCTGCAGCAGCGCCTCAGACTGCTGCGCCACGACCTCCTTGCGCACGCCCGTCATCTCCGACGCCAGCGCACTCTCAAGGCCCGTGGCCAGGCGCACCGTCAGCTGCTCGAGCTGCGGCGCAAGTGCGCGCGTGACGGTGTCGATGCCGAGTCGCTGCAGACCTGGGAACAAGGCTTGGCCGAGACTCGTCGCGAGCTGTGCTGATACCGTCGGAGATGCAAGCTGGCGTTGCAGCTCGGCGGGAAGCGACTGCGTCACGACGGTCATGTGCTGCCGCACGCTCTCGTTGATCGCCGGCCCGAGCTGCGGCAAAAGTGCTGCCACAATCTCGCGAGAGGTCGGAACGGTCTGTGCCGGCGCCGGTGCTGGTTGCGCCTGCGACATGCGCGACATCAGGCGCTGTTCCATGCTCTCGAACAGAGGCTTGAGCTCGGCGGCAGTGAGGCCTGGCACGGCGGTGCTGGTCGCGGCAATCTGCGCATCCATCTCGAGCATCGAGCGCTTCAGTCCGCCGTCCGACGCCTCAGCTGCGGCCTCCTTGTTGCTGGTGTTTTTGCTGCGGCGCGTGCGCTTGTGCGGCGTCGGGCTCGCGGGCGCAGACGAGGTGGTGCTGCCGTTGCCCTTCTTTAGCTCTTGAACAGCAGCGACGACTGGCTCCGCAGCTGATGCGGGCTGGGGCTCGGCGATCGACGACGATGACTTTGCGAGATCCTCGCTGCTCGGCGCATCGTCGGAGCCTTGAGGCGCCACCGGCTCCTTCGGTGCCTCGGCGGCCTGCGACTTTGTCGGCTCTACTTGCTGCTCGCGCGAAGCTTGCCTGTTCGTACGCGCGCTGACCGCCTCCGCGGCCTTCTGGACCGTCTTCTGCGCAGCTTGCTCGGGCGCAGCAGGGGTGGAGTCTGGCTGCTCAGCCGGCGGCTGAGCGACAGAGCTGGACGGCGCCTCGGGCTCTGCCTCAACTGCAGCGGGCTTCGCCTCAGCTGCCGCGGGCTCCGCGACTGCCTGAGTCTGCTGCGAGCTAAGCGCAGGCTTGACGACCTCCTCCGAATTCTCCAACGCCTCGAGCGGCGCCTCAGCGGGCGGCAGCGCCGGCATGTGGACGAAGTGAATGCCGCCGGGGTGAGCAGCAGCCATGAGCTCGCCACCGCCCGCAGGCGCGATGTGGAAGGCGGTGCATGGCTCGGGCAGGGCGTACTCCAGAGCACTGCCGAGCTCCACGGTCGTCGAGGAGCCCGCGCCAGCAGGCGTTGCGAACAAGCGCGTACCTGCTGTGCCGCTCTGGTGGCTTCCGGACGTAGCGACGAAGCGGAAGGGAAGCACGAGCAGGGATGCGCGATGCGCAGACGCAAGCAGTAGGACGTCGGGACGTGCATGATGCACGCGTGGGAGCGTCCAAGGGCTGACGCTCTTCTCTGCGGCGAGCGACACGCGTGCGCAGAGCTTGCCGGTTGCTGCGTCGTACAGTGCAAAGGCCGTGCCGTCGTCGAATCCGAGCACGATGACTCGGACGTCTTCGACCGAAGGGCCAAGCAGCCCGGCGAACGTCGGCGCTGGTCTTTGGACACCGCTGGGCGGCGAGAGCGACAAGGCGCGCTGCTCGACGAGGCCGGCGTCCCCGAGAGAAGACAGCGTCGCTGTGACGCCGCCCTTCGCCTCGACGACCACACAGAGCAACGAGCCGTCGGCGCTGAGAGCAAATGCAGATGGCTGAAGAACGGCAGGTCAGCAGGAGATTGAGCTGGCGTTTTCGTAGGAACGCACCCTGGTAGCAGCCGCCTCGAAGCGCACTGGCTTCACTTCGGCGTTTGCAGGCTCGAACAGCACGGCATGGCCGTCCGCCTCAAGCGCAAGCGCCCTTCGGCCCTCCCGATCAGCCCAAAGGGAAACCAGAAGCTTCGAGTGAAGTGCCACCTCGAAGCTGCGCAGCGCACGTGCGTCGCTGCCGTCCTCGAGGCCGAAGGACGCCGGCACTTCCCATGCGCTGATGACGTCCTCCGCGCCAGAGGATCCGAGGCCCAGAATGCGCCATGAGCCGTCACCGCCTGCGCGAGCGACTTCCAAGCTGCGCAGGCCGTCGGCGCGCAGCACCTGCCGCACGCCCGTCTTGCTGTGCAGCAGGCGTGCGCGGCCCTTGGACATGACGTACAGCGCACTCTGGCCCAGCGCCGCCACGCGACCCACGGGCGTGGCGTCCGCCGAGGAGGGCGAGACGAATGCGGAGGGCAGCAGTGCGAGAGGCGAGACTTCGAGCTTGGCCGGGTGCAAGCTATTCGCGCCCAGAGGCTGCGGCGCGTCCAGGTCGAGAGTGAGATGCACGGCATCGCCCGAGGAGGAAGAGGCGAGCCCAGACGACATCTCGTCGCTGAAGCCGGAGCTGGCGTGCAGCCCGGCGAGGTGCCGCGTGGCGTGCAGCGACTTGTTGATGTGCGCTGCGGGCGCCGCCGTCTGCGCCAGAGACGCCACTGGCGAAGCGGACGGCGTGGGATCGACGGGAAGGCTCGCCTTTGCCTGCGCTCCGTTCGACGCGGCAGGAGCAGGTGCTGCTGCCTGGCTCTTCGAGGCCGGCGTCACTGGCGAGTGGAAGACCGCAGACGTGGGCGTCGTGCGTGGCCCAGCATTGAGCTTGGCGAGCAGCGCCGCAAGACCCTCCTGCGCGGCTTCGATCTGCGAGGTGCCAGAGGAGCCTGCGGTGGCCTCACGGGGCTGCGGCGAGGCAGACGGCGGCGAGCCGATGGGCGGCTGTCGCGTTGACGGCACCGCGCGAGAGGCAGCAGGCCGCGACTCGAGCACGTCGAAGGGCGAGACGAAGTCAAAGGGACTCGGCGTGCCGAGGTTCGAGACTGGGGTGGCAGATGGCGCCGCACGGCTCGCAAACGCAGCAGCAGCAGGCGTGTGCGGCGCAGAGGGCGGCAGCGGCGTGCTCGCTGCCTGCGACGGCGCAGGCGAAGCGGCCGGGGCGGTGGGCCTGCTCAGCAGCGCCATCAGGCTCGCAGCGCCCTCGTTCGGGGCGCTGGAGCCGCGTGACGGCGACGGTGCGCCTGGTGCAGCAGCCGCTGCTGACGGCGTGCCCGCGCCGCCGCTCGGTGCAGCAGCAGGCGTGCGAGGCGCAAGCAGCGAGGCGAGCAGCGTGTTGGCATTCTCGGCGCTCACGCCAGGTGGCGGGCGCGGCGAGGCGCTGGACGGCGACGGCGCAGTGGCGGCAGACTGCTGCTGCTGCGGCTGCTGCTGCGGCGTGGCAGGCGCCGGCGAGGGCCGCCCGGAATTGAGGAGCGAGAGCAGGCTCGCTCCGGACATGATGAGAGGAGAGGGGAGATGGCAGGAAGGAACGAAGCACCCTGCAGCGCGGCGGCGCCGTGATGACGCACCTGCGGCTGTCTGCGCTGCTGCCGCCTTCTCGCGCTTACGGCCGCTTCGCTGCAGCGGCGAGAAGAGATCGCCGCCTCAGCGCTTCTGCGTGCCATCCAGCCACAGCAGCACCTCACAGACGTAGAACTGAACGCAGAAGAATGCATTGTGAGGATGACGCTGTGCCTAGTGACTCGATACTGTACACGATGAGGGAGATGGAGGAGTGGAAGACGAATAAATAGAGCGCACACGCAGTCACAGGCCGTCGAAGAGCGAGGCGCGCGGCCGGCGCGGCTTCTTCTTGGCCGCGCTGCTGGCGAGCCGGCGAGCCGGCACCGAGCTGGTCGCAGCAGCAGAGGAGGCCTCGGCGTCAGAGTCCGAGTCCGAGTCGGACGACGAGTCGTCGTCGCCGGACGATGCCTCGCTGTCCGCACCACTGACCGACGAGGTCTCCCGCGCCGCCTGGCCCGTTGCGACGCGGCCCGACTGCGTGCCGTTGGAAGTGACGGACGTGCTGGGCGAGACGGGCTGCGACACCGAGCCACGCAGCTTGGACACTTGCAGCTCGGAGAGACGCTTGGGTCCGGCAGGGCGCGAGACGGCCAGCGGCTTGCTGCCGCCCGCAGGCTGCGTGGCCGCAGCGCCGCCGCTGCTGAAGCGCGAGCGCAGGTTGCTGAGATGCAGGAAAGGGTTGAACGGCGCAGGCGCCGAGGCCGTCTGCGGCGTGCTGCTGATCTCGTCGTCTTCCTCCTCCTCCGCAGCCGGCGCCGGAGCGTCAGGCTCGTTGACGATCGAGTCCGGCGCGTCCGACTCGGCATCGTCGTCGGACGAGTCTGTCGAGCTGCTGGGCTCTTGGACCTCGTCGTCGTCGCGCTCGGAGCCCGAGGCGCCGTCGACGCTGTCGTCGTCTGCGTCGTCGTGGCCGTTTGCTTGCGCCCGGCTCTGCTCGGCCTGGGCCGTCTGCTCGCCGTCGTCCTGCTCCACCTCCTCCTCGCCGCTGCCCTCCGCCTCGCTCTCCTGCGCCGCCTCGTTGCCCGTCGCATCGTCGTCCGAGTCGTCCGACGTGTCTGAGCTGGCGCGCGACGCTGCGCTAGAGCGGCGCGGACGGCGCAGTTGCGACTCGGGCAGGTTAGGCCCGGACTGCTGCCGCTCGTGCTGTGCCGCTTGCGAGGGCTGCGTTTGCGAGTCTTGCGTCTGCGAGGGCTGCGTCTGCGAGGCCAGCGTTTGCGAGCCGAGCTGTGTCTGCAGGAAGAGGCCGGCATCGGCGCGCTCGCGAGCACTCGCCGCCGGTGGAGAGGGCGGCACAGATGGGCTGCCGCTGGGCCCGGCCTGCGAGCCGGCGGTAGCCCGCGGAGGCGGCAGGGAGGCTGCCGGCGAGACTTCGTGCTCCGAGCGCGAGTCTTCCGTCGTCACGGCCTGCAGTTGCGGGCTGGTGCCCACCTCGTCCTCCGAGCGCGTGGGCGACGTAAGGCCCGGCAGCGGCGAACGGACGCGCTCGACAGCAGGTGCCTGGCTGGGTACCTGGCTGGGTGCCTGACTGCCCTTTTGCGGCGAAGCAGCCTTCTTGCGTGGCGATGCCGACTTGCGCTTGTCCTTCGACGGCGATGCGGGCGCTTCGTCGCTGTTCGGCTGAGGCTGCGGCGCTTGCGAGGCAGCCAGTCGAGCCGCCGGTGTCTCCTGACCCGCCTGCGAGGCGAGCTCGTCGAACTCACTGCCAGGCGAGATCGGGCGCGAGACATTCGCCAGCAGGCTCTGCGTAGAGTGAGGCGCAGAAGACGACGGCGCTGAGCTGTCAGTTGCTGCCTTCGAGCCGTTCCGCGCAGCATTCGCGCGCCGGCTTGCGGCGGCCGGAGCAGGCGACGAGGCGGCGGCAGAAGAAGAGCCAGCGACTGCGTTGGGGGGCGAGGCGTCGGCGCGGCGTCGCTGACCGACCGGCTGCGCTGAGGGCGGTGTTGCGCTGCGGCCCTGCGTGCGCGTGGGTGTGGTCGGCCGGGTATCGTCATCATCATCGGCGGCCGACGAAGTGGCCATACGCATGCCATCGATCAGAGCCTTCTCTCTGCGCTCCTTCGCTTTTGAGACTGCCTTCTCGGCCCGCTTGGCAGCCGCCTCAGCCTTCTGTCGCTGCGCAGAAGTAAGGCCGGCGACGCCGGCACCCTTTTCGCGCGCCTGCTGCTCGCGGATCTGCGCCACCTTCTGGCGAGCGGTCTGCACCTCTCTGTCCAGACGCTGCTGCGTCTCCGTGGCCTTCTCGGCCCGCACGCGGTCGCGCTCCTGCGCAATCTCGGCCTGCGTGCGCTTCTTGCGGCGCGACGGCGCAGCAGCGGTCTCCTCGTCGTCGTCCACAACGATCGGCTCGGCGTCGCGCGTATCCGATGATGCGGTCGCGCCCGCGCCCTCGTGGGCTGCGCCGTTGACGCCGGCAGGCTCCGCCTCTGATGCTTCGCTCTCCGCAACGCCATTCGCTGCGCCGCTCGACGAGGCGGCCGGCGCTGGATGGCCATTGGCCGACGCCGAGGTCTCGACTACTTGCGTGCCTTGTCTGTTCGATGCCGGAGCAGTCGCCGAGCCCGAGATTGAGGCATCAGCATTGGCGCTTGTCCCGCGGCCCAATGCGGGGCCTTCAGCTGCCTCGGTCGACTCGCCTGATGCTTGAGCGGCGGCGGCAGAGGCACGGACCTTCTTCGTCGCTGACGGCTCCTTGGCGGGTTTGTTCTCGTCGAGCCATGCTTGCAGCGCCTTCTGAGCGACGCGCTCGAATTGCTTCTTCGACTGCTTCTTCTCCTTCAGCTCGCCCATGCGCTTCTCGATGGCGGCGCGTCCCTTGAGTACCAGAGGGCATGCCTCCGGCTCATGTTGGGTCTTGCTGCTGCAGATGCCGCAGGGGTCGTCAGGCTTGACCTGCCGCGGCGCTCTCTTCTGCTTCTCTTTGACGAGAGCCTCGGCCGGCGGAGCCTCGTCGTCAGCCGCACCGCTCTGAGCACCGCTCGGCGAGGCCTCAGCACGAGTAGGCGGAGCTGGCGCCTCTGCAGTGGGCTGAGCTTGCGGCGCGGGCGCGGCGCCACTGGTCCCAGCATCATCTTGGCTGCGCGATCCAGCCCTGCGCGCGGCCTTGCCACCACGGCGCTTCTTCTTCGCCATTGGCCGAGTGTCCGTCGATTCGCCATTTCCCTCGCCCTCCGAGTACTCGGATCCGCTCTCTGCACCGCGCTTGCGCTTGCCGTTGACAGCCTTGGCTGGCGCCGGGACGATGGGCTGCAGGCGCGAAGGGCCGGCAGGCGCAGTCGCGGTCGGCGGCGGCGGCTGGCGCAGCGAGGGCGGAATGTACGGCGAGAGCTCTCGAGGCGGCGGCGGCGCAGCAGCTGCAGGTGCTGCGGCTTGCCGGTCGCGCAGCGGCAAGTCAGAGTCGACCGACGGCGAGTCCTCTTCGCTCGTCGAGGGTACGAGAGGATTCGACGCGCGAGAGCCAGCAGCCCGGTTGAGTCCGTGCTGCAGAGGCTCGGACTCTGAGGTCGAGATGGCTAGGTCGAGCTGAGGCAGAGCTGCACTTCTGCTTGCAGGGATCGTGGGCGTCGGAGCCGGCACGTCAGCTGCAGCCACGCTTTGCTCGCGGCTTGAGCCGGACGATGATGACGAGGACGACGACGACGATGCAGATGACGCAGACGTCGAGCGGACGGCTGAGGGCTGCACTGCTGCTGCGACAGGCGGTTGCACTGGAGCAGCAGGTGCAGCAGCGGCGGCCGGCGCGGGTGCCTTCTGCACCGGAGCTTTGCCCTTGCGAGGCGCAGCGGTCTGAGGAGCAGCGGGCTGCGGCGGCCCTTGCACAGCGGCTGCAGGTCGCGAGGGACCAGGTGCGCTCTGCGCCGGTGGCCTGGCCGCGACTGGGACGCTCTTCTGCACTGACTGTCTGCCTTTCTTGGCAGGTGCGGGCGCAGGAGCAGGCGCGGGCGCAGCAGGGTTCGGCACTTGCACCACGACCGCAGAGTTGGCGCGGCGGCGGACGTAGATGGCAATCGCGCCCTTGGCAGCGGCTGTGAGTCTCAAGGCGCGGAAGTCCTCGTCTGCGAATAGCGCATGAGCGCCGACCTTGCGCTGCCTGGATGCTCGCACACTCACCGTCCTCGAGCTCGACGCGATGGCCCGTCTCGCCGTCGTACGCCAGCGCCACGAGGCCGCCGACCTTGCTCGCAGCAAAGTCGAGCGCCGCGTTGAAATACATCTTGTCTGCACTCGACACCGTCAGTGGCTGCCCGGGGCGCAGGCCAGACGCTCTACTCACTGTCGAGGATGCGCTGGAAGTTGCGCTGATCGGGCAGGATGAACGTTGCGAGCGGATAGTCGAGCAGCGGCGCTACGCTTCTGCTGCGAGCGCGGCTGGAGGCATAGCGCCGTCGCTTGGAGGAGCGGCCGCGGTCCTCGCTGCTCTCGCTCTCCGTCTCCTCACTGGAGCCTTCGTCTGAGTCTGAGCCCGAGTCCGAGGGGGAGCTCGGCGACGAGTGGCGGCGGCGCCTGCTGCTAGATCGGGCACGCGAGCGCGAGTGTGACGGCGCACGAGCCCGGCTGCGGCTGCGCTCGCGATGGGAGCGCTTGCTGCGCGAGTCGTGGTCGCCGTTGCTGCTCCTCGATGTCGCGTGGCTCACTTGCTCCAGCGGCTCCGGAGCAGCACGCGACTCAGACTTGCGCTGCCGTCGCTTGCTGAAGGCGCGACGCTTCTTGGAAGGAGATGCTGCGGGCGTGGAAGTGGACGGCCCCGGCAGCGGCGCCAGCGGTGCAGCCGGGAAGGAGGCATCGGCGATGCCGGAGAAGGAGGCGCGAGGCATCTTGGCTGGAGTGTCGGCCCGCGCACTGACGGCTGCTGGAGCTAGCCGTCGCTTGAGGTGCGACGGATGCGGGCGTCTCGGGTGCCACGACGTGTACGAGCCGAGGAAGGAGAGTGATGGAGGTGAGAAGGATCGGGCGAGCTCAGAGTGTGCGCCATCCACGAGAGAGCGCGAAGAAGCACTTTCTGGGTCAAAGTGCATCGACTTGTATTCGAGCAGGCGGCTCTCATTGAAGCGAATAGAAGCCCGTATCTCTAATGCACGGCTGCTCCCACGATGCATCGATGTGCTGCTGCCGCATGACGCACGACGGCGACGCTCGCTGACAGACGCTTCCTCCACCGAGCGCATGCCTCGCTCCTGCCCACCACCATCCCGCACTCACGCAGCAGCCATGTCACGCCACCGTGCGATCCGCAATCTTGATCTCGACGAGGAGATGGCCGACGACTACGACGAGGAGCCATGGGGTGAGTCCCGCGTGCGGGCCGTCTGAGCTACGCTGCTTACACCTGCACGACCCCACAGCGCAAGCCACAGACACGGAGCTCGAGCAGCTCGAGTCCGCCCTCACCTCCGTCAAGGCCGTCGTGGGCGCCCAGGCTGCCACGGACGATGAGATCCGCACGCTGCTCTGGGAGAGCTACTTCGACGTCGAGGGCTCCGTGCAGGCGGTGCTGGAGGAGGCAGAACGCAGAGGCGCTCGCGAGCGCAAAAAGGCAGGTGAGTCGACGCTTGCTCGCTTCTGTGCTGCGGTGTGGAGGGCTTGAGTACATAGCAGAGAGCAGAGATTCGTCTCGGGGCGTCGACGAGCGGGCGCGCGCCAGTCGGGTGGTTGCCGCGCCCGCAGGCGCGTGCAGCACCTCACTGACGCCCGCCCTGCCTCTTCCGCGCAGACGACGGAGACGAGCCGATGGAGGAGGAGCTGTCGGCCATGCAGCGTCTCTCGCTGTCGCATCGGCAAGCGGACGCACATCCCTCTGGCGCGCAGCGGGCGCGCGGCGTCAGTGGGCTCGGCATGCGTGGCCGGGCTGGCCTGGCAAAGCGCAACCTGGCAGGGCTTGCTCCAGACGGGCTGCCGGGAGCTGGTCGAGGTGCAGGCAGCCGAGTGGGCAAGGACGGCGCAGTCACGACGACTCTGGCTACCGCATCCTCGCCGCCGCCGCCCGCTGCTGGCGGCAAGCTGGCCCAGCTCGCTGCCGCGCGGCGAGCGAACAAGCGTCCGGCAGAGGCAGAGGCGAGCAGCTCGCTACCGCAGGGAGCGTCTGCTAGCTCTGCGGCTGCAAGCAGCTCCGCTGCGGCAGACACTGCTTCACGGCCAAGCAAGCTTGCTGCGCTGGCTGCTGCTCGTGCCCGGCCGGCTGCGTCTGCTGCACCGAGCGCAGGAGCTTCTACGCCTCCTGCACCAGCCGCCGCGAGCAAGCCACTCTCGAAGCTGCAGCAGCGCGCACAGGACAACCTGGCGGCTCGGCAAGCTGCGCAGAGCCGGAGTGCTGCCGCGGCAGGGCCATCAGAGGCGCCAGTGCGGCCGCCGACGCCCGAGGAGGGCCTGGAAATCCTGCCGGGAGGGCTCGAGTCACGCGCTCTGTTCCCCACGAGCCGCGCTCAGCCAGCCAAGCAGGCGCCAGACGATGAGTTGCATTCGCGCTTCGCCAGTGTCCTGTCGCGGAGCATGTTCGGCGGCGAAGGGAAGGTAGCACCTGGCCGCTCGCCATTCGCTCCGGTTGCGGGATCAGCGGCAGAGACGCTGAAGGATGTGTTTGCGGCGCCGAGCCCGGACGATGTGGTGCTGAAGGCGCGCGAGGGAACGAGCTTGGCGCGGTGAAACGATGCGTCATCCATGCTTGCGCGTGTGCTCCCGCCTGCTGGGTCTCGTAGCGAGCAAAGCTGACTTCGACCGCCGCGTACTCAGAGAAACAGGCGCAAGCGGCTGCAGCTCGCTCCTCCAGCGCCTCGAAGCCCGCGTCAGGGGCCAGCACACCGGCGCGAGGTACGAGCAAGACACGCGCCGCTGGGGGTGCTGCATCGTCTGGCGGAGCCGCGCTCGACCTGCGGAAAGCAGCGGCCGGCGGCGCGGCGGACGCTGCGAGCATGCAGCGACTCGGCAGCGATGTGGGCAGCATGAGTCTGTCGGGCCCACCAAGCGTGGCAGGCAGCGATGCTGGCAGCGCCAAGGGAGGCAGCACACCTGGCACACCCATGACGGTCTCGCACGAGCGCGTGATCGAGGAGTGGCGCAAGCGGGAAGAGAGCGGGCGGCGCGGCATCAGCCTTGTCGTCGTGGGTGAGTGCGGCTGCAAGGCCTAGCCCGAGTGAGCACATGCTAATGCTGCGCAGGCCACGTCGATGCCGGCAAGTCCACGCTCATGGGCCGCTTGCTGCATGAGCTGGGCACGCTCTCCGACAAGGAGCACACGAGCAACGAGCGCGCGAGCGCGAAGATCGGCAAGGGCAGCTTCGCCTATGCGTGGGCGCTCGACTCGAGCGAAGAGGAGCGGGAACGGTGAGACGCCCCGTGCCTGAGCCCCTCGACCTGGCTCACACATGTCGCTCCAGCGGCGTGACGATCGACGTTGCGCAAGACACATTCTTGACGCCGAACCGGCGCTTCACGCTCCTCGACGCGCCCGGTCACCGCGACTTCATTCCCAACATGATCTCGGGCGCCGCACAGGCCGACGCAGCCGTGCTCGTCGTCGATGCGTCAAAGGGAGGCTTCGAGTCGGGCTTCGGCGAGCGCGGCCAGACGCGCGAGCATGCCATTCTGGTGCGCAGCCTGGGCGTGCAGCAGCTTGTTGTCGCGGTGAACAAGATGGATGCGGTGCGTAGGAGCATGCCTGCAGCAAGCTTCAGCAATGCTGACGCCGGCTTCAGGTCGACTATGATGAAGAGCGCTTCAAGTTCATCGTCGATGCCGTCAAGCCCTTCCTGGCGCAGAGCGGCTTCGACGCAACCAAGGTCACCTACGTGCCTGTCGGCGCTGCGGTCGGCGAGAACCTGGTCGAGCGGACAGCAGACGGCCCACTGGCCTCGTGGTACACTGGTCCGTCCCTGGTTGCCGTGCTCGGTGAGTCGCAGTGTTCGTCGGGCTTCGATGCCAAGCTGACAGGCTCGCTTTGCAGATGAGCTGGCACCGCCGAGCCGCCAGATCGACGCACCACTGCGTATGCCAGTGACGAATGTCTTCCGCGGCCAGACGGCCATCTCAGCGGGCGTCGGCGCCTCGGGCCGCGTCGTCGGCGGCCTACTGTCTGTCGGTGATCGCGTGCGCATCGTGCCTGGCGATGAGTCTGCTGTGATTCGCGGTAAGTACTGCTGCTTGGCGTGGTGTATCCGCGAAGCTGACGAGCACATCGTCCGCAGCACTGGAGCAGGACGGCGAGACGGTGCCGTGGGCCGTCGCAGGCTCGGCCATCACGGCCTACCTGTCGGGCATCGAGATGAACATCGTCAAGTGAGTGGCCCACGCACAGGTGCAGCTCTCTTTGGCTAACCTCGCCTACTCAGCATCGGCTCGGTGCTGTGCCCGCCAAGCGCGCCCGTGCAGCTCGCGACAAGCCTGCTCGTACGCGTGCTCGTCTTCGAGCCTTCGCTGCCGCTCATGGTCGGCACGCCGATCGAGCTCTTCCACCACTCGTCGAATCTCTCAGCCGTGCTCACAGAGCTCGTCTCGACGATCGACCCCAAGACTGGCGAGGTGCTGAAGCGCAAGCCGCGCGTGCTTAGCCGTGGCGTCACGGCTACAGTGCGCATCACGCTGCAGGCGCCTGGCCCGATCGAGCCGGCATCAGTGAACAAGGACATGGGCCGCGTGATCTTGAGGTGAGCAGAGCGCGAAGCAGGCAGTCGCCAGCCCTCAGCTGACCCCACTACCCCTCAGAATGCGAGGCGAGAGCGTGGCCGCGGGCGTCGTGCTCGAATGCAACTGAGGGCAAAGCGAATAGAAATGCCGTTCAATGCAAAGCCGCCGGTAACATGTTGCCCCTTCCGCCACGTCCGAGTGCTGCGCACTATGCCTTGGCCTCGTCGTAGTCCTCGCGCGGATCGCGGTACTTCTGTCGACGGCGTGCGAAGGGTGAGCAACGGCGAGCACAGAAGGGCCGCTGCTCGACGTACCCGCAGCGGATCGAGAGGCAGGTCGGCCAGACACGGCGCCACGAGCAAGTGGCCAGTGATGAAGCCGCGAGCGGTCGGGATGCTGTGCAGAAGCGAGGCTCAGCGAGGCGGCGTGGACATCACTTCCGACGCCACTCACGCAACGGAGAAGTAAATGACGCCGTAAGCGCCGCAGAGGATCGTGAAGATGATGCGCAGCGTGAGCGAGTCGCTGCAAGGAGGTGTGGAGTCAGTAACCTAGGCTTGTCAGGCTCGGAGCGCTCGCCGCTCACAGGACCATTGCGCAGCGCCCGATGCCGATCAGCAGACTGGCGAGAGGCTGTGTGTCGCTCGACGTCAGCCGCGCGTCGTCTGGCTGATGCCCGAGCGGCACTCACGAAGGTTGCAGCCCACCAGCCGAGCGAGAAGGGCAGCTTGCCCTGGCTCTGCTCGCGAATGACGATGGCCACCGCCAGGAACATGCTGCACGGAGGTGAAGATGAGCGCATGTGTCGCACCGTGCCAGAGTGCAACGCACAACCAGCAGCCAAGGCCGACGAGGTGCAGAGCTCCGATGAGGCCAGCGCCGTACAGCGCCTGACCAACACTGCGGCGAGCAGTCAGTATTGACCGTTCTGACGCTGCAGCGCTGCACCCACGGGAAAGACAGCTGCGGCACGCCCGAACCCGGCAGTGTGGAGATCGTGGGGAAGAGATAGAGGCTGGCCTGGCCCAGATGCAGCAGTGCCTCGGCACCTTGTCCGCACGGACCTGTAGAGGCAGTGTGAGCCGCTGGCAGGCTTGCCAAGCGCGCTGGACGCACCGAGCGGCAGAAACACCGAGATGATAACCTCGCGCGCCGGCTGGCTAGTGAGCGGCAGCGAGTCAGCCACGCGCACACGTAGAGCACAGCGAGACGGTCTCACTGGAAGAGCAGCAGGCGCTGAAAGTAGAGCACCAGAATCTGTCGCAGCCGCTCGTCAGTGCTCCGCGCGAAGCGAAGTCTGAAAGCTGCTCACCATCAGAGCGAGCATCAGGCCGACACCGTTGCACTACGTAAGAGGGGTGTATCAGCAGGCTACCCCGACCCACGTCCTCCTGGCAACGCACGATGTAGCTAATCGTCAGGACCGTAAAGGCAAGGGACGGGTGCGACCTAGTGAGAATCTCGACGAGGCCTGCGCCAGTAGCCGCTGCCGTGATGGGCGGCACGACTGGCAGAAGCAAACTTGCAGTCGTTCCCTCGAGCAAGTGGCGCTGATGGATCATCATCATGTAGGGGATGACGACTGCGCATGCGAGCGACAGCACGACGGCGAGGAACCAGAGTGACACGGCCAGCAGGGTAGGCCAGAGTCCGAGGTCGAAAGCACGAGTGCCGATTTGGGAGACCGTAGAGACAATGGTGAGGAGTGCCATGGGCAGCGTGCCGATGAAGACCGACTTTTGTGGGCTGGCAGAGGGTGAGCGAGGCGCGTGAGTCGACAGCGGCGTGACCACTCACTGCTTGAGCGTGAGAGGCAGCACCTGCAAGATGCACGGAGTCAGCGGCGATCGGCGATATGACCAACGATCTGCCAGACCCACCGCTGGAAACATGATGTAGCGCGAGGTGAATGCAGCAATGAAGCTGGAACGAGTTGAGCGTCAGCCGTGCTCCCAGCCAGTGCCCTTTCGTCCAGGCTTACGTAGTGAAGATGCAGATGTTGACAAGCAGCACCGGCAGTGCGAACCATCGCAGTATCCTCGTCGGCAGCGTGAGGGCAGCAGTGTTCGAGGCATGCGGACTCGTGGTGTAGTCGCTCGAGTACGGCGCCCAGACGTCGCCGAGCAGCAGCAGCAGGATGTGCACGCCGCCCGTGCCCATGCTGACGCTGAACCAGGAGGGCGTGAAGTCTGATGTCCGGCTCATCAGTTTTCTGAGTCATAGGCGTGGCAGCGGGATCACTCACTCAAGATACGCTCCCTCACGCCTCGGCTTCGCTTCGGCGGCTGGCTATTCCCCCTCTCCGCAGCAGCCGGCGGCTTCGAGACGTCGTCTTCGGGCGATGCAGCTGCGGACATGCTAGCGGGTCCCTTCTTCTCCTCCTGCCGCGGTCCAGTGCGTCTCTGACTAGTCTGCGACGACGCCGCCGACGTCTCTGCGTGCGGTCCACTGCCGCTGCTGCTGCTCCCGTGTGCGCCGGCTGCTGCGGCACCGGGAGGAGAGACGCTGGCAACGAGCGAGAGGCGCGCACTAGGGTCCAGATAGCCGCGCTCGCCGAGCGCGCCCGACGAGGCGATGCGCTCGAGCTCGAGCGACGGCGAGGGCGCCTCGTGTGGCGCCGTCGACATGTGGGCGAGAGGGATGAGGAGGTGGTGGTGGTGGTGGTCAAGAGAGCAGGAGCCCGATGAGATAATCCGACGCAGCGGGACAGGGCGGCTTACAGTTAGCGTGCTCCACCTCCGACGCGCGCGTTGGACCCGCTCGCTCCGGCCAGCGCGGCCGGCGGCCAACTTTTTCGGGCCGATTTCTCCGCTCTGACTCGCTCCCTCACCCGCTCCAAAGCCGCATCGCCCACACACATGCACGCACACGGCACAAGCGGACGAAAAAGACAGAATCTGGAATTGCCCTCGCCGCACTCGGAGGCGGCAAGCGGCGACAGTGGTAGGTTGCGCGCGGGCGAAAGAACACAAAAGACAAGAGAGAGAGGGTTTGGTGTGTTGGTCTGTGAGCGGACGGCGAGGGGAGACTACTACGCAGTGAGCGTGTCGGTGTGAGAGGACGGTCCGCCGTGGCTGAGTGTGGCAGCTACACGTGCGGACGTCGAGGGGCTGTATCGAGAGCGGGTCGAGGGGATACACGGTCGAGAGAGTCGGACAGAGGCGAGGTCACAGCTTGAGATGCAGAGCCTGTGCTTCAGGCAGCCTGCACGGGCATCGTGAAGCTGCGGGCAGCGCTGAACGTGCTGGCACGCGGGCTGGCGCAGAGACGGCTCATGGCCTCCTTGCGCGTGCGTGCCGAGATGCGGCTGGCGAAGTTGACGTCGCGGAACTCGGTCGGCGGGCCCTTGGGCTGGCGCATCGGCTGGTTGGGTAGGCCGAGGCCGACGCCGGGCGCCACGGTGCCGTTGGTCGTGGGAGCGGTAATCTTGCCCTCGGTGGCGCTGCGGCCACGAGGAGGCTGAGCGAGCGCCGTGATGCGCGACGCCGGAGCAGCGATGGGCGCCGCAGAAGGCTTAGACGCCGTACCGTCCGAAACGGCACCGTAGCGCGCCGTCATGACAGCGGCGGCGTTGGCGGCAGCCGTCTTGCGCGCCGACACCGAGTTGAAGCGATCCGCGCCGATCTGCACGTTCTCCTCGCTCGTGTCGGGCGTGCCGGACTCCGAGGCGAAGCTCTTCTCGGACGCGGAGTCGTCGACGATGATCGACGGCGTCGAGGTTGCACTGCCAGTGCTAGCCGCGGGCGCACGGGTGCGCCACGAGGCGGCCGTGTCGGCGTGGCTGACGGTGCGCTCGCGCTGCTGCTGCGCCTTGGCGTTGGGCGGCGTGCCGACGCGACCAAGCTGCTGCTCGAGCGAGTACATGTGCTGCTGTTGCTGCTGCTGCATGGCCGCCATGGCGACGGCCTGCTGCTGCAGCTGCTGCTGCTGAGCGACCTGCATCTGGATGTACTGCAGGCGCTGCATGAGCTGCGCCTGCTCGTCGTGGGCCTGCTGGGCCTGCTGCTGCTCGACGAGCTGCGCGTAGGCCGCCTGCTGCTGCTGCTGGCTCTGGCGCTGGCGCAGCGAGGCCTGGATGCTGGCCTGCGCCGCCTGGCGCTGCTCGGCGGCGCTGTTGGTCTGGGCGCCGTATTGCTCGGTGCGGGCGGCGACCTGAGCCTGCCGCTCGTACTCGGCCTGGATCTGCGCGAGGAGCATGCGCTGCTGCGTCGCCACCTGCGTCTGCTGCTGCAGCTGCTGCGCGGCGATGCTCTGAGCACGGATGGCCTCGAGCTGCGGCACGGATGGTGAGCGACGGCTGTGATGGTGTGGATGAGAACGACTCACCTGCTGCTGAGTGCGGCGAGCGTCGGTCTGCTGCTGCTGCTGGCGCAGGAGCTGCTCGTAGTGCAGCTGTTGCTGCTGCTGCGGCTGGCCCTGCGTGGCGCCGTACATGGCGGCGAGGCCTTGGTTCTGCGAGGCGACGAGCTGCTGGATGCGCATGGCCGAGAGCTGCGCCTCGAGGGCCGCCTGCTGCTCCTGCTGCATCTGCTGCTCGCGCGTCGGCGAGAAGCGCTGGTGCGGCGAGGGCGACTGCTGCTGCGCCTGCTGCAGCTCACCGCCGCCCATGGGCGGCGTGCCGAAGCGCGACGTCGGCGTGAAGACGGCGGCGTTGGCCTTGAGCGCGTTGGGCGACGCCGGCTTGCCGCCGTGCATGGTCGGCGACGCGGGCGTCTGGTAGCCCGAGGAAGGGAAGCTGCCCGAGTCGACGCCGGGCGAGCTGGAGCGGGGGCCGCCGGTGCGCAGGCCGGCGAGAAGGTTGGCGCGAGAGACCATCGTAGTGGTGCTTGTGAGAGAGGTGAGAGTGACGGTGATGGATGGGCGACGAAGATGACCTTTCAAAGGTCAGACGACGTGGCGCGGGTACTGGGTGTGCGATATGCTGCGGGTGGTTGCTGTGAGGAGGCGGGGATTTGCGCGCGCGCGTGAAGCGGATGCAGCAGCAGAGTCGATGCCGGGATTAGACGAGCTGTGAGAGGGGCGGAGCGAGATGCTCGAACGCGAGAGGGTGGCTGGGTGCGAGTGTGGTATGGGGGGAGGATGAAGGGGACTGGCGACGCAGTCGAGATTGCTGTTGTTGCGGTGCACAGCACCGGTGAGAGCGAGAGGGGTACGGCGCGAGGGCCGAGAGGGCCGAAGAGAGAGCGAAGAGGGCAGGCTGAGTGCTGCAGGGAGGCCCTGGCTGGCGCGCGTGCGCGAGGTGTGCGAGGTGGGCTGGGACGCGGCGGTGGTCGACGGGGCAGAGAAGCGAAAGGTGAGACGGAGGGAGATGGGGACGAGGCAAGCGGAGCGGAGACGGGAGCGGCGAGAGAGAGAGACGAGACGGGAGAGAGGGACAGGAGAATGGTCGACCCAGCGAGGTCAGGGAAGGTGGTGGAGCGAAGGCAAGCGCGACGACAAGGCTGGCCCAACAACAGCGAGCGAGCGAGCGTGGCCGCGCGTGGCAGCGCAGCAGAGAGAGCCGCGAGCCATCTCGCAGCGCGCAGACGCAGGCCGCCTGCCCTGCGGCGTGGCGCAGAACACGCGTGCAGCACGGAGGCGGCGCAGCACGCCAGCGCTGCAGCCAGCCGGTGGGGCAGCACAGCAGAGGCAAGAGGGGCTGGCCCGCCGCCCGCCGCGTGCGGCCGCGGCGGCTCGCTTCGCCCGCCTGCCCGCCATCACGCGCGACGCTGCGCGCCAGGAACACACCGCTCAGGTGCAGGTGCAGCTGCCGCGTGGCTGTTCACCCGACCGCGCCACCGGCTGGCGCGCTGCAGAGCGGCAGCAGCGCAGCATCGAGCACCTCCTCTTCTCGGCCATCGCGCAGCGCCCAAGTGGGGCACACTTTGTGCTGCGGCTGCGGCTGCCGCACCCCGGTTTGGGGCAGCTCGCTGGCAGTGCCCGCTTATAGCCATCCTGAGGACAAGGCGCCTTGAGCGCTGTCGTCGCCGGCGAGCGGCGTGGCAGGCACGCCGCGCGGCTACGCGTCTGAGCGGCTGTGAACTGCGCAGCTGCGACGCTGGCAACAGCACAGCAAGGCGCTCTCTCGACCGTGCCGGCTGCGGATGCTCGCCGTCGAAGCTCGAGAGCGGTCAGCTGCGCTGCTTCTGCTTCTGCTCCTGCTTTTGCTGCGCTGGCTGCCCATCGAGGGCCCCTTTGTGCGGCCAACTGCGCAAAGTGCTGACCCTGAGTCAGAACTTAGGCGCCCGCCGCTCTCAAGGTTGCTCTCCTCTGCACGCTCCGCGGATCGCCGGACGCCGACGAGGTCATCGTTGCTCCTCGGACGAGGACAAGGGCGAGAGAGGGGAGAAGGAAAGGAGGGCACCATCGCACCGCGGCCGGCCATCAGCGCAGCGTTCAGCGCGAACGAAAGGCGAGAAGAGGCAGCGCGGCCGGCCGGTGTTGGGCTCGCCTGCCCCGCTGCAAGGGCGTCTTAGCGAGCGGACGCGCCCCTGAGGAGACGTTGGGTGCTGAGCGCGCCAGCGCGCAGAAAGAGGCCTGGACCTCACCCCACACGAGATGCCCGACAAGAGGCCGAGAGGGGGGCTGACATGGCGATGCTGCGCGAGTGAGCATGCTGCTGGTCGTCGTCGTCGCTGTCTTCAAGCGACAGGCTCTGGTGCTGGTGGTGAGCGGCCGCTCTCTGGATCCGGCTGCTGCTTGACTCGGCGCTGCACCTGTTCCCACGCGTCCGTGCCACGTGGCTATGTGCGGCGCTCTGCTGGCGCGCGCTGGCCTCTGACCGCGTTTCGCGCACGGGCGTCCTTTCCCGTTTCTTCCCAACACAACGCCCGCTGAAGCCATGGCCTCTTCCGCAGCAGGCACAACGCTCGTCTCGGCGCCCGGCAAGGTCCTCGTAGCAGGCGGCTACTTGGTGCTAGACCCTGCGTACCCTGGCCTGGTGATCGCGACCGACTCGCGCTTCTACACGCACGTCACGCCCGCCCAAGATGCGCAAGAAGGGAGACAGCTCGTTCGTGTGCGCTCGCCGCAGTTCATCGGCGCTCGATGGGACTATGTGGTCGCTGTGAAGCAAGACACGTGCTCGCTGCAGCAGACAAGGTGTGCTGCCGAAGCGCTGAAACAGCACTTGAGCATCACTGACTCTCAGCCTGGCAGCGAGACGCACGCGGCCGCCAACGCCGGCCCGAACCCGTTCATCTCGCTCGCGGTGCTCTATGCTCTGCGTCTGGCCGTCGAGGTGCGCGGCTCGGAGCACGTCGCTTCTGTGCTGGCGCCGCATGGGCTCGACATTGCCGTGCTGGCCGACAATGACTTCTACTCGCAGCGGCAAGGGGTCAGTCGTGTGGACTGCGACGCTGCAGCTGCTATGCTGACGCTGTTACACAGGCCAAGGCACCATCACGCGACCAGCTGGCGGCCTTGCCGACGTTCCACGCGCAAGAGTGTGCCATTCGCGACGTGCACAAGACGGGGCTCGGCAGCAGTGCAGCCATGACTACCTCTCTCGTCGGTGCGCTCCTGCTTCACCTCGGCGCAGTCGGCGGCAGTAGCAGCAGCAGCAGCGAGCGGCAACTATCGCAGGCCGACCTGGCGCTGGTGCACAACACGGCGCAGCTGGCGCACTGTGCTGCACAGGGCAAAGTCGGCAGCGGCTTTGATGTCAGCTCGGCGGTGTGGGGAAGTCACCTGTATCGACGCTTTGACCCGCTGGCGCTGCAGCCGCTGCTTGATGCGGGAGAGAAGGTGGGCGTTGAGGGTGGCGAGACTGTGAGTGATTCGCGAGAGTGCAATGCGGCATGCGCTGATGCAAGTGACAGTCCTCGAGCGCACCACCAGCGCTGCTGCCACATCTCTCGCCCTCCAACGCGCTGTGGCATCCGAGTCCGCTGAGCTCCGAGGCGGGCGCAGAAGGCAGCACGAACCCGACGGCCGTCGAGGGCTTGCACAGCGCCGATCCGCAGGGCAGCAGTGACGGAGGCCTAGGCGTTGCGCGCCCGGCGCCGCTCGAGCTGCCGCCGCGGCTCGAGATGGTGCTGGCCGACGTCGACACGGGCAGCAACACACCAAGTCTTGTCGGCAAGGTCATGGCGTGGCGCAAGGCCAAGCCCGAGTGGGGTGAGTGCATCGTGCCCTGCGGCAATCTCTGCCCCATCTGACTCTGCTCGCTTGACTAGCCGCACAGCTGTACGCCGTCATTGCTGCGTCTAACAGCTCGCTGGCAGACGCCCTGCTTGCGTTGCGATTGGCCCATGCGCAAGATCCACAGGCGTACGATGAGGCTGTGGAGAATGCTGCCAAGCATAAAGTCACCGAGGTGCGTCTGCTCTGAGCTGCCTGCCGCGCTTCGTCTCTGACACAAGCTATTGCAGTGGGATTCCATGCAGCGCGGCTCGTCGCCAAGCACCACCCTCGTGCTACTCATCGAGGTGCGCAACGCTCTGCGCTCTATCCGCGCCGGCATGCGCGAGCTCGGCCAGCGCGCCGGCGCGCCCGTCGAGCCAGACGAGATGGGCCGAGTGATCCGCGCCAGCGTCGACGGCGCTCCGGGAGTGCTTGGCGGAGGCGTGCCTGGAGGTGAGCCTTTCTCGCATGCGGATTGCGCCACGTACAGATCTCGGGCTGACGACTAACGCCTTGCAGCCGGTGGCTTTGATGCGCTCTACCTCCTCTACCTGCGTCCGGCATCGGTGCCCGACTCGCAGCCGGCGCCCGCTCGCGTGGCCGTCGAGGCAGTCTGGGCCGACTGGACAGAGCTGTCCATCGGTCCGCTGCTGAGCACAGCGGGCGGCTCAGCCGGCGTGGCTTCGAGCGCCGAGCAGCTCGACAGCGCCGCAGCACCCGCACAGCAGCACCCTGACCTGCCGCGATTGCCGAGCAGCTCAACTCGCGACGGTGGCCTGCGCGTGGAGTCCGTGCAGGACGTCAAGGGTCTGCAAGCCGCTCTTGATCGTCCGCAGCGCTGAAGCTCCGCGGCTTTTGACGGCCCTCGCCGCCGGGGACGAGGCCCTTGACGGGCGCCGCCAGAATCTGTGCGGAAATCGGCAGCACAGCACTTCTCGAAGAGGGCAGTGGAAATAGATCATGCGGAATCTCTGAGCGTGAATCTGCGGCGGCGTAGATTAACATGCGGCGAGATCCAGGCGGCGAAGGCAGGGGCGGGGGCGCGTTGAGCGAGGATCTACGAGTTGCACGGCAGCGCTCTCATCGCTGGCCGCTCGGGCGCACGCAGCTCCAGCGGAATCTGGCCTGCACATGGACGACGCAAGCGGTGTGGAGATTCTGAGCTTGAACGTGCGACTGCAGCCTGCGCAAGTGACAGAGCTGGGAGCTGAAGTGAAGGGAGAGGGAGAGCAGCAGCGAGGGGCGCACGAGGGCGCCGCCTGCCGCGGCGAAGCGGGGGAACCGCCGGGTGTGGCGGGCCTCGGCGCGTCGCGATGTCGCCTTCGCCGCATGCGGCAAGATCCACCGCGCTGCGCCTCGGAGGCAGTGCAGCAGCTGTGCAGCACAGGCAGCAGCAGCGTCAAGCCTACCAAAGCTAGCAAGTTACGCCCGGACTCATGAGCGAGAGCTGTGCCTGAGCGTGCGCTCTGCGCTGCATGCTGCTTGCTGCATCTCGCCCGTGCGTGGCGGAGCAAGGCCGCGCAGGAGGCCGCAAGCGGCGAGCCGCTGTCCGGTGAGACAGCACGCCGCAGCACACCGCATGGTGGGCCTCCGAGCGCCGCGCCTGCGCTCCGCCCCTCCGCCCTTCTGCCCTCCTTTGTCGCTTCAAGCGGCGCCGGCCCGGCATCGCCTGGCTGTGATGTCCGCATCGAGCACCGCCAGCTGATCGGGTTCCATTGCTGCAGCCGCTGCACGGCCCTACGGAGTCCGCCGCTGACGCTAGAGCCAGTCATTGCGCTGAGTCGAGCGGTTTGGAGCAGCGTGCGTCCTCGGCCTGTGCCTTCTCGCTGCGACCGCACCTTATTTCCGCTGAGCACACCCTCCTCCCACGCTTCGCTGGGGCTGGAGCCCGAGTGGCGAAGTCGAATCGCGCGGAATCGCAGCTTCATCTCCAGCCACGAGATGCCCACTCCGGCGTCGATGAAGGGCCCGGGCGCTGACTGGCTGGCCCGACCGACGACGCCGAGGCAGGCAGCGCTGGTGGGGCCTCCGCCCTACAAAGACTGCCGACCCTGGCCGCATTGAACCTACCTTCCTCTCCATTCCATCCCACATCTTGCTATCCTCTCTCTCCGTTGCGTCCGCCAATTCGAGCTTCTCTCGGCCTGACGCCTCTCGCAGGAGCTGCGCTTCTGCTCGTACATATACCACGCCCTCCTCGCTCCCCTTACCACAAGCTACCCTCATCTCCTTCTCGGCGCGTTCCAGTGCGCCACCCCTCGCCTTCGCCTAAGCCGATCTCGAGTCCTCCAAGCCAGCCAGCCATGCGCTCCTCGCTTATCCTCGCGGCGCTCCTCGCCGCTGGCGGCGTGTCGGCGTCGCCGCTGCTCGGTGGTATCGTCGGTGGCCTGACCTGTCTCCTCGGCCAGATCCTCGTGAACGGCAAGGTGAGTCCCGGGACTGCTGCGCCCTTTGCTCTTCGTCTCTGACACATGAGGACAGTGCGTCACGGCGCCTGCTTCCACGACCACCACCCCGGCCGCCGCTGCGACAACACCAGCAGCTGGTGCGGGCACCACCACCGCCACCACCAGCACCTCGGCCGCCGCCGCCGGTGTGCCGGCGCAGACGCCCATCATCACGGGCGGCTCCTTCACACAAACATACGGCGGCATCATCGGCGGCAATGCCACCACCATCGACAACCCCTCCTACATCACCTACCTGCTCGCCAACTCCGTCGAGGACTGCCTCGCGCTCGCCAGCACCAACGTCACGACGGCCAAGTTCGTCGCCACGTACTACGACACCAACGCTGCTGGGCCGAAGGGCCAGTCGATGGTGAGTGGTACCGCAGTATACAGCCCGTGACAGATGCTGACGTGCATCGTCACAGACGTGCTCGTACTTCACCCGCTGCCTCGACACCAGCTACAACACCAACTTTGGCGGCCAGAACCAGGCCGGTCTCTACCAGACGACCATCGTCGCCGCCAAGGGCTGGTGCAAGAACTGAGGCTGCGTCGCCCGACGCTTCCCGGCTCTCACTCGTTGCGCTCGCCGCCTCTGCAAGCCTTCGAACAATCGCCACACGCGAGTTGACCCCTTCCGCAGGCCTACTCCACTGCGCGCCGTGTTCCTCCCCTTCCTACCCCTCTCCCGTCACATTGTTCCGCATTCCCTCTGCGCACGCCACTACTGGCCCGCGCACTCTGCCTCTGGTCGACGCCGTGTCCCAGCTGGCCCTCCTTCCTGGTCGACGCACGCGTCCCAGATGTCCTCGCCTGGTCGGCCATAGCCCACCTGCGCATCCGTGGTCGACTGCCTCAGTCCCACCTTGCTCCCGTCTCGGTCGAGCCTGCACTTCTTGTGCCTTCGCAATACATCCAGTGTCACCCTTCCTTGCCTTTGTCTGATGCGTGAGAGAGGGGAAGACGGAGCCGAGAGGCCAGGTGGAGGCACGCGAGCAGCAAGCGCGTAAATTGACGCGTCGAGCGAAGCGCGTGGCTGACGACGCGGGCGAGGGTCATGCGAAGGACACGCAGCGCCAGTCCAACACTCCCGACCTCGACACCCCTTCCTTCACTCGCTCGCGCACCCGCTCCCATGTCCGCCGACGCCGGCGCCAACGGCGGCGACGACTTCTTCGCCGCCTCGCAGTCACCGCCGCCGCGCAGCGCTGCAGCCAGTAGCGGCGCCCCGCGCCCCAAGCTCTTCCTGCAGGACGACGAGGACGAGGAGCTGCTAGCTGACGATGATGAGCCGATGGAGTTGATCCGAGCTGCCGAAGATGCAGAAGGCGTCTCGAAGAAGCGCAAGGCGGACGACGAAGCTGGCCCGAGCCGCGTGGGCAGCTCTAGCGCACCGCAGGCAGAGGCTGGGCCCAGCCGCGGCCGGAGCACCAGCTCGCCTGTGGCGTCAGCAGCGCCCACGTGGACGAGGCGCTACATTGGCAGCTTCATCATCTCCGCCTGGTCGCTTTCCAAGGGCACCAGCTACATCCAGCAGGGCGATGCAGTGGCCATCACGCGCCAGAAGCCCAAGGCCGCAGCGCCGCCGGCGCCGGCGAAGGGCACGGCGGCCAAGGCGGGCAAGGGCGCAAAGGGAGGCAAGCAGACGAAGCTGAGCTTTGGAAAGGCGGCTCCGGCACCGCCGCCTAAGGCGCCGAAGAAGATGAAGGAGGACTACATCGTGCGCTTCAACAATATGCGTGGTGAGTGCTGCGAAGCGGCGGGTGGCTGGACAGGCCGGGTCATGGCGGCGCCCTTGTCTGGATGACGGCCAGTGTAGGCTGAGAACGCCCGGTGGTGTCTCGTCATGCTCGGCCTTCGAGTAGCACTGCTGACAGCCCTGCCAGGCTTCGAGGTCGGCCGCGTCACGTCGGACATCGGCATGTGGATGTCGACGCTGCTCGACCACGACATGGCCACTTTCGACGGCACCGTCGTCGATTGCCCGCCCAGCTTGACCGGTGAGTACAGTCGCCCAAGCAGCCTGACTATATGCTGAGCCACTTCCTCTCAGTCGGCTGCGACGTGCTTCTGGAGATCAAGGTGCGCTCAGCGGCCCATCCCTGCCCAGCAGAGGCTCACTGTCCGTCCACGACAGGCCTACCTGTGCGTCTCGGCCTTTCCGGTCATCAACACCTTCACGGCCAGCGTGGCGGAGGACCCCGGCTTTAGCCCGTGGGGCAAGGAGACTGCAGAGACGCAGGCGGAGCGCACGCTGCGCGCCCGCAAGGTGGCGCTCATCAAGCTCTTCCGCGCGTGCACTCTGTCGCCGAGCCTCGTGAGTGCTGGTACGACAGGATCAGCAGCGCATTCAGCTCACGCTCGCCTCAGACCAACCGTCTGATGAAGCGCGTCGATGCTAGCGATGCGCTTGAGGAAGATGCGGAGCCGGCAGCAGCTGGGCCTGCCAACGGCAGCGCGGCCGCGAAGACCAGCGTCGCTACGCAGCAGAAGGCGGCCTCAGGCTCGAAGCCCGCCGGCAGCCAGAAGGTAGATGCCATCATCGTGTCGGACGACGATGTCGGCGCCAAGCCGACAGGTAGTGCTGCAGACGCCAGAAAGCGCAGTGTGTCGCCGAGCAAGTCCGACTCTGGCCTCTCGACGGCCGAAGAGGTCAATGACGGAACGGAGCTGGAGGAGGACCAGCTGGGCGCGGTGTACAAGGCCGCGCAGCGCGCGGACCACGACCTGCCCGAGGTCGAGCCGTCTGAGACGTTCGCGCTGGAGCTCAAGCCTGTGAGTTCAGACGCAGGTCCGCTTGCGCAGCTGTCGCTAAACCTCAGCTCCGCCGGCGCAGTACCAGAAGAAGGCGCTCGGCTGGCTCATCTCGATGGAGGCCAAGCAGTCCGGCGGCGCACGCGAGCTGAGCCTGCATCCGCTGTGGGAGGAGTACACGTTCCCCATCGACGAGAGCGATGCGATGGCCGCCTCCGAGCTCGTCGAGGCAGGAGAGGCATTCAGCAAATTTTACTTCAACCCGTACACGGGCCACCTGTCGCTCACGTTCCAGCGCGCCAGCCGCGGCGCTCGTGGTGAGTGTCGCGCAGCTGGCAATCGTAGCGCAGCTGACAGCTTCTCAGGCGGCATCCTCGCCGACGAGATGGGCCTCGGCAAGACAATTCAGATGGCCGCGCTCATTGCCTCGAACACCGGCGAGGAAGACAGCGAGTCGGAGCCTGAAGAGATCGAGGAGGACGAGGACGACGAGCCCGTGCGCAAGCGTGCCTTCCGGCAGATCTCGCTGGCACAGTCGTTCGCCGCCACGCGCAACCCCTCGTCGCCCGACTCGGAGCGCCAGCGGCTCAAGACTGCACTGCGTGCGGCCGTCAAGCACCACAAGGTGACGCTCGTCATCGTGCCCATGAGTCTGCTCGGCCAGTGGCGCGATGAGCTGTTGCGCGCGATTCCTGGAGCCGAGGTGATGCTCTACTACGCCGAGACGAAGGGAGACCTGATGGCGCGTCTGGAGGGCGGCAGCGTCGACGTCGTCATCACGTCGTTTGGCACGCTCACGACGGAGCACAAGCGCTACACAGACGCTGGCGGTGCAGCCGCCCAGCGCAACTTGACGAATTCCGCGCCGCTCTTGTGAGTTACGCTCGTCGCCTCTGCAGACAGGCCGCTCACCACCACACACAGCTCGGTGATGTGGGCGCGCGTCATCGTCGATGAGGCGCACACGATTCGCAACCGCGTGACGCGCGCTTCCAAGGCATGCACTGAGCTGCTGGCGGCCCGTCGCTGGGCGCTCACGGGCACGCCGATCGTCAATCGGCTGAGCGACCTCTACTCGCTGCTGCGCTTCCTGCGCGTCGAGCCGTGGGGCGACTACAGCTTCTTCAAGTGAGCAGCATGCGTGAGCTGATCTATGCGGCGGCCTGCTGATCGCTCTGCCACAGCACCTTCATCAGCAAGCCCTTTGCCAACGGCTCTCCGAAGGGCATGCAGGTCGTGCAGGTCGTGCTCGAGAGCCTGCTGCTGCGCCGCACGAAGAGCATGAAGGACAACGACGGCAAGGCTATCGTCGAGCTGCCCGAGAAGGACGTGAGTCGACCGCAGTGTAGCTCGTGGGCTCTCGCTGACCCTTCCGCTCGCAGACGATCGTCAAGGTGCGCCTCGCGCTATCTGCGTCGACACACCAGCTGACACACCTCCGCAGCGCCTCACCTTCAGCCCGCTCGAGCGCGAGATCTACCGCCTCACGTACGAGCGTGCGCACCTGCAGTACGCCAAGCTGCGCGCCAACGGCACGATCGGCAAGAACTTCAGCTTCATCTTCGCGGTGCTGATGCGTCTGCGCCAGGCCGTGTGCCACCCGCTACTGGTACTCAAGAAGCCGAACAAGAAGGACGTGCAGGAAGATGTCGAGGAGGAAGCGGTGGAGCTCGACGAGGAGGGCGAGGTGGAGTCGGAGCTCAAGCGCCTCGTCAGCGAGTACCAGCGCGGCCTGGACCTCGAGGACGGCGACGACGGCGTGGAAGCGGCCGACGTCGACGAGCTCACCGACCTGCTGGAGAAGCAGCACGACTCGTTCGAAGAGTGCCCCTTTTGCCTCGAGGAGAAGACGGAGGTGTGCTTCATGCCGTGCCGCCACGCCGGCTGCCGCACCTGCATCATGGCGCACATGGAGCTCTGCGAGGGCAAGGACGAACGCCCGCGCTGCCCTACGTGCTCGCAGACCTTTGCCATGAAGGACCTCGTCAGTGCCGTGCGCACGCGGCCGCGCCAGAACCGCCTGGTCGAAGATGGCGAGGATGACGAGGCGCCGGCCGAGGACGCACACTCGCAGCCGTCCCTCATCTTCCGCAAGACGGACTTCCGCAGCAGCACCAAGCTGGAGGCTGTGAGTGCCATCGGCGTGCCGCGCAGCCTGACGCTGACGTCTCTACAGCTCATTGACGACCTCAACGAGCTGCGCTTCGCCGAGCCTGGCTTCAAGGTGAGAAGTGTCATCGCCCATCCGCTGCGCCTCGACTAACTTGAATCTTCACAGGGCGTCATCTTCTCTCAGGTTTGTCGCTCACGCACAGTACATCGATGGCCACGCTGACCCTCGCTTCGCAGTTCACGGCCTTTCTGGACCTGCTCGAGGCGGTATTGCGCCGCAACCACTATGCATACGTGCGTCTGGATGGCACGACGAGCCAGAAGGACCGCGAGCGGTGAGCGACATGCAAAGATGCTCTTCCGCCTCTCGCGCGTCGCTGACTTCAGGCTCTGCAGCGTGGTCAAGGAGTTCACAAAGGCGCCCAAGTCGATGCTCATCCTCGTCTCACTCGTGAGTGCACGGTTTCTGCCCCGTCGCCGCACGGACGCTGACGCGAATGGCCTCTCCTCAGCGCGCCGGAGGTGTCGGCCTCAACCGTGAGTGCGCCTCGTCGTCTGTCAGCGCTCGCGCTCATGCCCAACCTCTCCCTAGTCACGGCCGCGCACCACGTCTGGCTGCTCGACTACTGGTGGGCCGCGGCGCCCGAGTCGCAGGCCATCGACCGGTGAGCCTCATCTCGTGCCCTTGATGCTGCAGAGGCTGACATCCACTCCAGCATCCATCGTCTGGGCCAGGAGCGTCGCGTGACGGTGCATCGCTACATCATCGACAACACAATTGAAGACCGGTGCGTCTGGCACAGGCTCAGCTTGCGTGAGCCAGAAAGGCTGATGAGCGTGATCACAACAGCATCCTCGCCATCCAGGCGCGCAAGACCGCCATGATCGGCGCCGCACTTGCCGGCACAGGCTCGGGCGACAAGTCTGAGGCGCTGCAGGTGCGTAGACGCTCTGTGCTCTTGTCCACATGCCCAGCGCTGACCCGGACCACACAGAACCTCGAGCTCCTCTTTGGCAGCTCCTAGGCTTCGTGTCAGGCCTCCTCGTTACCCGCATCGTCCCGCACACATTTGTACAACAGCACACACTGCACTTCTCATTGCTACTGCATTGCCCACCCATGAGGCATGGGCTGTCTCTACTCGGACGAGCTGCTGCATGGCAGAGGTGTCACCCAACGAGATGTGTCTCGCGGCCGCTCAATATCCGCTCGGAGCGCCGCGAGATGCCGCAGATCCCTGCAGCAGCACGACGCAGGCAGCTGTCACCGCTCCGCCTGCGCCGGAAGTGATCCGACTTTCTTCTCGAGACTGCTGCGGCTTGCACCTCTTTGCACCTCTGCTCTTGCGGCCTCGCCGCCTCTCTGACCTTCCTGTGGCTGCGGCTGCACCTCGCTGCATCTGACTTTCTCGCGCATGCTTCCGCGCGGCCGTCCCGCCGGCGGGCCGTTGGAGCGCGAGCGCGTCGCGTCGGAGGGGCGGAGGCGCCGCAGCCGCCGGCCATGCGCAGAGGCGGAGCGGGGCTTGCCTGAAGAGGCAGCTGCATGCTTCTCCATATGGCAGCTCGACGGTCAGGGCTCGCCCGACGACGGCAATTGCCGGGCGGGCGCGGAGCGGAGAGCCGCGCAGATGCAGGTGCAGGTGGATGGTGCTCGGTGCCGACGGCAGCGATGGACGAAGCACCGTTGCTGCTGGGCGGGGCTGGGCGCTGGCTCAGAGCCTCCGCACTCTTACGCTTACTCGTGGCTGCTTGCTCGCGTGCCCAGCGCATCCTGTGCATGATGCTGGCTGATGAGGCCCTGAAGCGCGTCCGTGCGGCAAAGGTGCGCGATGCAGATGGCATCCCCTTGTGTGCGCATGACAGGGTTCGTGAGCGCCAGGACAGGAGAGGGCCCAAGGCACGAAGCGGGCGCGCGTCATCCGCAGGGCAGAACGGCCTCGACGTGGAGGAGCACGAGGGCGGCGGAGAGGAGGACCGCTCGGCGTCAGCGCCGAAGCCGTGCTGCCGCCGCCTGCACCGCTGCAGCGCCGCCGCTCGGCTGTGCTTGCCTTGCCCGCTCCGCCGCCTCGGGCATCTTGCCCGTGCTGCAGGCTGCTGCAGGCTCCCGCATAATCTCGCTCGCATCTGCGCGGCTGCGTGGCTGCCGAGGTGCGCCAGAGGGGCGCGGGAGGACGAGCGGCAGAACACGCTGAAGCGTGCACGAGCTGCTCCCGCGTCGGCGTGCCGCTCCCGCGCCTCTTGCGCTCGCCGCGTGCCGGCCCCGCGCCGCCGGCGCGCACAGGCGCCAGCAGCACGGCAGCGAGATGCGACGTCAGCGGCACGAGGGCAGCACGGCGTCAGCAGCAGCAGCACCCGGCAGCGCAGCCATGCAGGCGTGCAGCCGCCGTGCAGCGGTGCCGCCGTGCGCGTGCGCTCGCAGGACCGGGACGCATCCCGCACCCGGGGCAAGAGAGGCTCAGCTCGGCAATATCTCAGCCTGGGGCGCCCGAGTCAGAGCCTCGCTGCCATCGTCCTCGCCCTCTCTCTGCCTCCTGACCTCTTCCATCCATATCCAGCAAGCACCGACTTCCAAGGCCACTCGCAGTCCAATCGCTGCGTCACGCGCTCCACCTCCGCACCTCGGTCTTCCGCGTCGATCTGGCGCTCGCGCTCAAAGTGCGGCCCAGCTCCTAGTCCGGCGCCCACACGTGCGCTGCGCCGTTCTTTCTCCTTCGGCGTCTTGGAGCCCCGCACTTGCACCTCATCACCACCACCTCCGCATCACACTCCCGCTCGCCCGCGCCTCCGTCCCATGCTCGCCGGCTCGCGCGAAGGCGGCGCTGCCGTTGCGTCTGCCTCTCGCGCGCCGTGCGAGGCACCGCGTCGCATGCCCGTCTCCGGCTGGGGCCTCTGGCCTCTGCAGACCGGCAGCAGCAGCAGCGCATCCTCCTCGCGCCCATCCACGCCGTCGCCGCCGTCGCCGTACGATGCCTCGGCAGCTGCGGCACTCGCGTCGCCGCCAAGCACGCCGCCGGACTCGTCGCTCTTCCGTGCGGCCAAGCTGGCTGGCACTGCGCACGCCATTGGTGTCACTCCGCCATCGCAGCCGATGCAGCAGCAAGGCAGTGCCGGAGGCCGCTCGCGCAACGACATCTTCAGTGCTGCCTCTCCGTCGCTGACGCCGGCGCCGCGGCCGGCCGCGGCCGCTGCTGCCAACTCCTCGCCGGCCAGCGTGACGAGCAAGAACAGCCTCTTCTTTGGCTCCTCGCCTGTCGCTCCCGCACCTCGCGCTAGTCTGCTCTCGCCAACCGCCTCTCCCTCTCCCGCCCCTGCGCCAGGGGCCTCGCGCTCGCCGCCGCGCCGTGTGTCAGAGCTAGGCGCAGCCGGGCCCTCGTCGCTCGCTAGTGCCGAGCGTCCCTCGTACGGACGCAGCAGCACCGAAGAGCGTGAGCGCGAGCGCGACCGCATCCGCAAGAGCAAGGACATGGACTTCCGTCTGTGCCCTACGCGCGACTATCTGCTCGGTGAGGGCCGGCACTGCAATGTCTTCCTCGGCTCGTATCGCCTCAAGCGGCGGCGAAGAGAGCGCAGAGGCGCAGCGAGAGGCGCAGCATCAGAGAGCGATGTGAGCGAGGTGCAGACGGAGGAAGAGCTGGCGGAGGAGAGCTACTGGCAGCTGTGCGCCGTCAAGCGTCTGCACGCCGATCGGCAGAGCCAGCTGCTAGGGCTCGACGAAGCCTTCGCGCTACGTCGTCTAGGTCCGCATCCCAACATCGTCTCGCTTATCGACATTCGCGACGAGGTCGAGCTGCCTACGCCCGTCTCTCTGCCTGGCGCATCAGGCAACACATGGGCCAGTATGCCGCACGATGCGCCGCAGCCTGCTGCTTCGCCATTGGCGCTCGGCAAAGGCTTGCCCTCGCGCAACGGCTCCATCTCAACCATTGGCGGCTCAGCGCACGCACGATCCTCTTCGACGGCTCACTCTCGCGCCGACCTCGGGCTGCGCGAGCCAACAGCGGCACCGGCATCGCACGCCTCGGATGCAGCGCACGCTATCGCCTTGCATCGTCGACTGGCCTCCCAGCCTTCCGGTCCTTCGCAGCTCTTGCCCGAGGTGCGAGTGGCTGGGCCAGACGAAGACGGCGTCGGTCCACTAGCGCATCGCAGTCCGTCGCCAGCGCAAAGCATCGCCGACCCTACCACGCCGAGCCCCACTCCCGGCACGCCCTCGGATCCTCCGCGCCTGCTCATACTCCTCGAACTGCTCCCGCATTCGCTGCGCTCCTTTGCGCGCCGCAACCCGGAGCGCATCGGCTGGCTGCGCTGGAAGACGTGGGCCCTGCAGCTGGCAGGCACCGTCGAGTGGATGCACGCGCGCGGCTGTGTGCACGTCGACATCAAGCCGGAGAACATCTTGGTGAGCAGCAGCAGAGCTGGCGGCTCAGAGACCTTGTGACTGATATGGCCCCGCACAGCTCACCGACTCGCTGGACATGAAGCTCTGCGACTTCAACTCTGCGCTCTTTCCCTCTCCCAGCTCTCCGCTTCTCGACGGCGCCGGACTCGGTACGCCAGCGTACGGTGCTCCCGAGCTCACGCGCGGTGCCGCGCCCGCCGGCGCTGCGGGCTTCTCGTATCCAGTCGACGTGTGGAGCATGGGTGCCGTGCTCTACAGCCTCGCGACTGGCGTCGAGCCCTTCGCGCGCTCTCGAAGCATGATCGATATGCTCTATCGCAAGCGCGTCTTCTTCGAGAGCGAGGAGAATGACCGTGTGGCGCGCCTTAGCGTTGCTGAAGGCTGGGCCGGCGGCTCCAATGGCGGTAGCGCAAGTGCCAGTCGCAATGGCAGTCTCCGAGGCCGGCGCATCAAGCCTGCATCCGAGGCGACACGGCCGACTGTTCGTCGCGAAGGCAGCACCGACTCAATTGAGAGCGTCGCCAGCAGCATTCTCGTCGACAACGGCCGTACGGGCGCTTCGGTCCGCAGCATCGCTATGCTGCTCGACGACGCGCCATTCAAGGGTCTTCTCAGCTCGCCGGCTGGGCAGCCCACGGGCTTGCTCGATGCTGAGAGAAACGGCACTGCTGCGTCGGGCCATCAGCGACGAGCCTCGATGGGCAAGACGCCGCAGAAGCTCGGCCGCGCTGCGTACCTCAATGCGCCGCGACGGCCCGTCGGCACGCTAAGACGCACGACCTCGTACGGCGACCAATCGAGCAGCGATGCTTCGCCTCAGGCCGACGACAACGGTGGCAATGACGGCGACGCTGGTCGCACAGACGGCGCCGGTGCAGGCAGTGGTGTCACTCGCAGCGCAGACAGCAAGCTAGCACCAAGCGCTCTCTCTCCGCCTCACTCGCCGCCTTCTGCAGCGCAAGGCATGTACAACACTCCCTCCGGCCTGCGTCTCGCCGTCACGGCCGCCTTCGCGCAGGCATCCCGTCGCGCGGCGGTGCAACAACAGGAGCAACAGTCGGCGGGCCTGCCCTCTTCAGCCGCACTGCTCGACGAAATGCAAGCCGAAGAAGAGGAGGACCTGCGACCGTATCGCGATGGCTCGCCCGCGCTCATCCTCCCGGGCGGCGGGCGACTGCCAGATGCGGCCAGAGCGCTGCTCGAGCGCATGCTGAGCACCGATCCGAGCCTGCGCCCGACGGCCAAGCAGGTCGTCGCTGCGCTCTCTGCGCTCTGAGCGCCACATATCCCTGCTTACCCTTCCTGCCCTTCTCTTCTTTCTACGACTTTTCTTTGACGCCCGTCTCCCTTACGCCGCCTTCCACGATCAACTCTACATACCTCCTCCCTACTCTGCCTCGTCGGTTGCTCATTATGCCCCGCGTTCCTTTCCTGCTTCTTGCCGCCACCCTGCAACGCCATGTACAAACACACCTCGTCGCCGTGCGAACAATACCTCGAATGCTATCCTACAATTTGCCACCCTCGTCCGCGCCTATTCGTCGCCGCCTGCCGCCCATCTCCCATCGCCGATCGTGCGTGGGTCGTCTCAAAGCGCGAGGAAGTCGGCGCACTGCAGGCTGCAGGATGAGACGATGCGTCAGCTTGATGTCAGCAGCAGCCGACGCGGAAGCGTGCAGAGAATGAGCGCAGCAGCACCCTTCCCGCCTCGCTGCACCATCGCTTCTCCTACTCACAGTTCCAGCGAGATCTCCGGCTCAATGCCCTTGGCAAAGTCAGGCACGTTGGTGCCGTTCTTGGCGTCCTTGTACGTGTAGTGCCACTCGAGATACTCGACGACCTTCTTGAGCACGGCACTGCGGATCTCTGCAAAGTGCATCTCGTGGTTCTGTGCCTCGGCAAAGCCCTCCTCGGCCATGCCGGCGCGGATCGTCTCGGACTGCTGCGCGGCGGCCCAGGAGACGCGGAAGCGCTCGCCCTCCTGCAGAGGTAGAGGAGGTGGGCGTGAAGGAAAAGGAAGGAGAAGTGGCACCACTCACGGCGGACACGAGAGAGATATGCTCGGGCATCTCGCGCGGCGGCGTCGCCTGACGGGCGACGACGGGCGGCGGCGAGCCTTCATCGTCGGTCTGCGAGCGCACCGCCTGCGTCAGTACAGCAGCAAGGCAGCAAGTGCGAGCTGTGGGGAGCGACGCACGGCGGGCATGCTGCAGTCTGGATGCGCCTGCGCGCGCGAGACTTGCCGTTGGGATGGTGGAGAGGAAGCAAGCAGCAGCGAGGTGGAGGCGGCCGCGCATCTTGCCGCGGCCCAACGTCCGGCGTCGCCGCCGCTTGCGGTTGCTGCTCGACCCCGCCGGCAGGGCAACGCGCGCGTATCTCTGCAGCCGCGAGCAGCCCGCTCCTTCTCTCTCCACCACATCCGCCCGCCCACCATGCCCGCCAAACGCATCTCCCACGAGGAAGTGCCAGACGACAATCACGGCGAAGGCTGCTCGCGCGACGTCCTCTCCGCGTCGCCAGCCGCGCCCTCTGCGCTGCCGCCGGCGTATGGCGGCGACATGTTTGAGAAGAGCGAGAAGGTCGAGGACAGCAGTGGCATGACGGGCAAGACTGGCAGCGGCAAGCAGCCCGAAGCTCGGCTGAGCAGCGAGAAGGAGAAGGAAAAGGCTGTCGTCGTGCCTCGAGTGGCTGATAGCGGCGCCGTGGCAAGTGCGCAGCCTCAACTCTACGGCTCCTCCGCCCTCGCTTCCTCCTCTTCGCGTCCGCCACCTTCCGCTGCGCAAGAGAAGCAGCAGCAGATTCCTCAGACGCAGCGCAGCGCAGCGACGCTCCCCGCGCCTCGGCCGCGCGATCCCTACAAGCCCGACGGGCCACCCAGCGTCAAAGAGGCCGTGTACGTGCTCGGCGAAGGCGACGAGGAGCAGTACGCTACCCCGCGTGCTTCCTTCCATAGCAGAAGGCACCATGGCAAGCAGACAGATGCAGATGGGAAGCGCAAGGGATGGGCAGGCCGTCTGCTGGAGCGCATCGGGCGACTGTTTGGGAAGAAGAAGGGGAAGGGAAGAGCTCGATGAGCGAGGTGCTGGCGCCCTGGAGCAGCTACCTGGAGCAATGCATGAGATGACGCGGGACGAGAGAGAAGGAGTGCATGGCGCCGAAAGTCGAGGCTGCGCTCACACGAGGAGCGAGTCAGCGGCTGTCTCTCAGGCAGAGATAACAGGGCCTCGCGACCAGGCGCCGGCGCGGAGCCAGCCGCCCCACTGCGCCATGCTCCTACGTGTCTGTCGAAAGCCAGCTGTCCCGCTCATTGCCTCGCCACGTGATTGGTGCTCGACTCGTAATAGCATTGCCCGTTCCCTTCTCCCTTCTCTTCCAGTCCCTTCCATGCCAGGCATCATCGACGCGCCGTCTGGGCCTAAACAAAGTCCCGCGTGATTTCCTCGCCCGCAAACTCGAGCATGTTCTTGACCCACGCGCCCACCTTGGCGTGGTGCGTGTGCCAAATGTCGCGCGTGATGGCGCGGCCGGCAGTGCGAGAGAAGACTGTGCGTGCGGACAGTCAGCCGGCCGGAAGAGACGTACAAGCGGAAGCATGGACTTACCGTACCAGCCGAACACGACGAACTGGGTGTGAGAGGGACGAGAATGAGCCCCTTTCGCTCTCGCGCTTGGCAAGTGTCATGGCCGTCCGTCACTCACATCGGCATGGCTCGGCTTCTCTCCGCCCTCGAGGAACTTCGCCGGCGCAACCACACCAAGCGCAGCTTCGAGCGGCGCGAGTGCGGAGGCAGTCGCTGCCGCTTTTGCCTCGCGCTCGGCGGACGTGTAGGCTCGCATGGCGGCCAGACGGGAGGAGCCGACCTGCACGTGTTGCTCATCAGCCTCTCGTCTGCCTACATAATGCGCCGCAGCACATCACACTCACCTTCTTGTGCTCGAAGTACTCCTTCGAGTCCTCGTCGAGCAGCTCCCACACTGCAGGCCGCGTCAGAGGCCCGATCAGCGGACCGAGGACGGTCTGCGTCCATGTGTTGAGGAAGGAGGCGTAGGAACGAGAGGAGGAAGATGGGAAGAGCAGCGCGCCTTGAGGATGCTTGGATGAGAGATACTGCGTGCAGGGCACGGTTCAGCGGAGATGGAGATGGAGAAAGGACAGAGACGCACCTCGGCGATGGCCCAGCTATCGGTCAAGTGCGAGCCGTCGGAGAGCTCGAGCGTCGGGACAGTGATCTGTTGCGGGGAGAGACGAGTCAGTCAGGCGCGACAGCAGCGCAGCGACACCAAAGACTGGCTACTACTGATCTCCGAGTCCCAGCCCGCCTCGGCCTTTACGGGCGGCTCTTGGCTGCACAGCAAACTCACATTCTCTCCAAGCCTCTCCGCCAGCTCTCCTCGGATCTGCGTGAACGTCATGCGCTTGCGCTCATACCCAATGCCCAGCAGCTTGAGATCCAGAATCGTCTTGAGCGTATGCGGACTGAATGCCTTCTGCGGCGTGCCGGACGAGGTGCGGTGCGTGGTGAGGTCGTACAGCACCAGGCCGTCGGTCTGCGACGAGAGCGCCGAGGACTCGGCTTCGCGCAGCGTCGGCGCCACTTCCGTGTCGACGGAGAGCGAAGGCGGCGCAGACTCGTGCGTCTCGCTTGCGGGCGCATGCTCGGATGCGGGAGTGAGGGCGGGCGTGTCGGCGCCTGCGACGCCGATCGGTCCCGAGGGCGCAGAGGAAGCAGCGGGCTCGACGCCCACCTCGAGCGTGGAGGCGTCGCCGGGCACCTTGATGTCGGTGCCTGCGTCCGAGGCTGCGGCTGAGGGCGTGTCCGTCATGAAGGGCGAGTGCGAGCGAGGTGGTGGAAGGGACGAGAAGGGCAAGGCACATCGCAGCCGCATCGAGGTGGAGGACGCCCACGACGCACGGACCTCGAAGCAGGGTGCGGGGCGAGGGCCAACGTCACGTGCGCCAGGGGCTTGGGCTTCCCCGCATCCGCTCCCACGCGCCGGCCCAGGCGCAGCCGGAGCCGGGCGAGCCGAAGCGAGGCCAAGCGCTGCTGATGGCTGGTCATCCGTCCAGCGTGGCGGCTTGTTGGCTGAGGAGCCGGCTGCGGATGCGGCGGAGAAGCGGTTGCGGAAGTAGCATGCAGCGAGCTCGAGGGTGCACGCCGCTCAATCGCGCTCGGGCCGGGTCGAGCTTCGCCTCGGCCATGCTCAGCCGGTGCGCGCGACGTGCCGCCTGATGGGATCGGGCGCGCAGCGGCTTGGCTTGGCTTCGCACCACCACCTCCTCCCGACACACCTCACACAATGTCGTCCTCCTCCAACGCCTCGCTCCTCACGCGCCCGACTGTGCCTTTCGCCGAGGCGTGCGTCTCTACTCCTGCATGCCACACACGCTCCGCTGACTTGCAGTCCCCGCACACAGCGCATGGCACGCCGGCCTGCCCAACCCGTACTACACCAAGCGCTCGCACTACGAGCTGCGCGAGTGGCTGCTCAAGTGGGTCGCCGACAACCTGATGGACATTGCCGACGAGTGGGAGGACAGTGAGTGGCGATGGCGCAGAGGGAGTAGAGATGGACAGGGAACAACAGCGAGGAGAGGAGAAGGGAGAAGTCCCAGAGGCGGGAGGCGGAGTGCAAGCAAGTCGCGAACGGGCAGACTTGGCTGCGGGAGGCGCAACACAGCAGCAGCCACATCAGAGCAGGCAGCCAGGAGCGTGCTTTCCAGCTCAGCCGACTCTTCTGGCTGTCGCGGCGGGTGGGGAGAAGTTCTGGCGGATCCGCCATGGCTGACACCTGCATCACCACCAGGCTCGGATGAGGAGCAGCGCAAGGCCCTCTTCCAAAAGTTTGTCGATGCAGGCTTCATGCTGCCGTTTGCTGTGAGTCAGAATCGCCAACGCTCCTTGCTTCGTTGATACCGACACGAGGCTGCGCTCTCCTTAGCTCGGCGTCAAGATCCCAGAGCGCTTCTACAAGATGGCGGGAGGGCTGAAGCTGCCCGGCAACGTCGAGCCTAGCGAGTGAGTGGCTTATGCTGCCCTCGGACGCTGTTCCTGTTCCACTGACACGCTTGCCTTTGACGTGCAGCTGGGACAATGTGCATGACCAGTGCGTACTGCATTGCGCCGAGCAAGCTGCTCGGGACTGACATGAGACGTGGCACAGCATCATGCTCGACGAGCTCAACCGCTGTGCCTCCAACGGCCTCGTGATGGGCAACTACGGCGGCACCGCGTACGGCGCCGGTCCTATCGTGCACTTTGCCTCTCCGGAGCTGCAGGAGCGCATCTTGCCCGACATCCTTACGGGCAAGAAGCGCATCTGTCTCGCCATCACTGAGCCGAACGCGGGCTCGGATGTGGCTAACGTCAGCACGACGGCGAAGCTCAGCGCCGACGGAAAGTACTACGTGGTGAATGGCCTGAAGAAGTGGATCACGTAAGTCGTGGCGGGAGAGAGAGAGAGAGCAGGGAGGCTGATGGGGCTGTCGACAGGAACGGCATCTGGTCCGACTACTTCACGACGGCGGTACGTGTCCGCCTCTGACTTGCCTCCCTCACTCGTGCTCACCTTACTCCTCAAGGTCCGCACCTCCGGCAAGCCGGGCGAGCACAAGGGCATCTCCTTCCTCGTCATTCCGCGCACCAAGGGCGTGAGCACCAAGGCGATGAAGATGCAGAGCGCCGGCAGCGGCACTACCATCTTCGAGATGGACGACGTGCACGTGCCTGTGGAGAACCTGGTCGGCAAGGAGGGCGAGGGCTTCAAGTACATCGTGAGTGCTGCTGCAGCAAAGGGAAAGGAGAGAAAGCTGACGCAGGTGGGATGCGCAGATGTACAACTTCAAGTGAGGCTGCATCGTCGATCTGCTGCGACGAGTGCCTGCTGACGTATTTTGGCGTCTTTCCTCGCTGCTGCGTGCTTCAGCCACGAGCGCATGACGATGTGAGAATCTTGCGCGGGACGAGAAGGGGGCAAGAAGGCGAGTTGCTGACACTTTGACACCTATTCTCAGCGTCTACGTTGCCCTGCGCTTCGCTCGCGGTGAGTCTGTCGCGCCACGTTGCCTTTCGCTCGTGACTGACGCTGTTCTCTCAGTCTGGTGCGTCGCTCTGCAAGCTTCTGCCAGGGCGCATGCTCTCGCTCCTGACTGACAGCCTTGACACCGCACGCAGCATCGAAGACGCCACAAACCACGCCAACCGGCGCGTCGTGTTCGGCAAGAAGCTCATTGAGCAGCCAGTCGTGCGCCACCAGCTGGCGCATATGGCGCGTGAGGTCGAGGCACTGCAGGCCTGTGCGTTGCGGTGCAAGCTACTCTCTGCTCCCGGTCTGCAGCTGACACCCAGTGCGCTCTGAAAAGGGACCGAGTCGCTTGTCTTCCAGCAGAGCAAGATGACCATCGAGCAGTCCAACGTCGTGCGTTTTGCACTTGCGCAACCTGCCCTGCCCTCGCTAACACTACTTTGCAGCTCACTGGCGGTTCCGCCGCCTTGCTCAAGGGTTCGTCGTTCCCACCGCATCACGCCTTTTGCGCTCCACATCGCTGACGCCACTCGTGCAGCGCACTCGACGATCGTCCTCGCCAACGTCGTGCGCGAGGCCGGCCTGCTGCTGGGCGGCATGGGCCTGACCAAGGGCGGAGCTGGCGCTCGCATCGAGCGCATCTACCGAGAGGTCAATGCATTGATGACGCCTGGGTGAGCCGCAGAAGCAAGAGGTGGACGGGAGAGACCACATGCTGACATTTCTGCTTCGCAGCGGCGCGAGAGACGTCATGCTCGACGCTGGTATCAAGCAGGCGATCAAGACGATCCGCATCGACCCGAGCAAGCTCTGAGCGTGAGCGCACTGTGCTTCTGCTCCGTCTCCGTCGTCTTCATCACCGTTTCCATCTCAATGATCTCCGCGAGCGCGAAGCGCTCAGCAATATAACTCGTCATCTGCGCGACGCCCTGGAGAGGCCTGTGCCCCCGTCTGAGCGCAGCGGCCGGCCACAAGTCAGGAGCTGCAAAGGCGTGCAAAGCGCTCGCGTGACAAGGATGTGGTCATTAGAGGGCTAGAGAGTGCCACAGAGCTGAGGAGCGCTGGCGACGACGCCAGGCAGGACCGGCCTGCAGTGAAGGCCGTCGCGGCAGCGACAGAGGTGGGCTAGGGGTATGAGAGAGTCAAGTGATGCTCAGAGCTTCGCATCGCGCATCTTCTGCACCGGCTCGAGGCCCTCGCCCGTCTTTGACGGTGCGTTGCTCTTCGAAGCGCCGCCATACGTCTCGGCAGCGTGCACGATGAGCTGCTCGACGACATCGACGTAGCGCGCAATGTAGGCGCGCTCGTAGTGCGCCGAGTGGTTCGTGTTGAGATGGATGCGGCCGCCGAAGAGCCAGGTGTGCAGACCCATCTGGGGACGAGTGAGGCGGCTCTGTGTAGAAGGTGGTGGTGTGAGCTCGCTGCGGGTGCAGGAGGGCAGGAGGGACGCACCGTGTTGAACCAGTCGAGAATCTGCACCACGGGTGCGCCGTTCGCACCGCCATCCGCAGCGTAGTTGGTGCGCAGGCGCGACTCGAGCTTGCCGAGCGACGTGTATGCGTCTCCGGGGTTGATCATCTCGAACGGCGGCCAGCTGTTGTGAGGGAGATAGCAGTCAGCGATGCTGTGCACCGTGCTGAAAGAGGCACGACTCACTCCTCGTTGTTGACGCCCAGCATGTCCGTCACCGGACCCATGCCCTCTGTGAACGCGAATTGAGTCAGCGTGCAGTTGGGTGCAGCATCACCAGCGCAGATTACTGTCTCTCACGCACTGATGATGTCGCGATCATTCGCCACGGCATTGTACTGTTTCGCCAGCTCCGGCCCCACGTCCTTCCATGCGCGCAGCAGCCAGGCCTTCTCTCCCATCGTCTCGCCGTCCTTCGGCGCGATGAGCTGCAGATCGACTTCGGTCGTGAAGCCGGCGGTGCCGGTGCAGATGTAAGGCTTGCCAAGGTACTCGCTCTTGAAGTAGCGGCGGAAGTCGATGGGCAGCATGAAGTTGATGATGTGCGTCTCTTCGAGCTCTTCTCCTGCCGCGGCTGCATCCTGCGAGCGCAACGCCCAGACGGCAATGTGGCGCGCCGCATCGAGTCCATGGCCACTCGTGAATCCGAGAGCGCGGCAGGCGCGGTTGAAGCTGGCCGAAATCTCTGGCGAGAGGATGCGGCGCGAGTGGAAGGCGTGGCCGAGCTCGCCGCTCGGCTCGAGATGCTGAGGCGGAAGTCCGAGCGAGGGTCCGTGGCCGGCGAGCTCGGGGCCGATGATCTTCTGCGCTTGCTCGTCGTCGTGGCAGTCGTCGAAGGGCAGGCCGATGCTCTCTGGCAGCGCACGCGGCAGGCGGGCCACCTCCTCGCCCCACTTGAGACTGCGCACTTCGCGCCAGCCGCCCTCGACGTCGTGTGCCCAGCGTGCCCAGAATGACAGCTCCAGCTCGATGAGCGAGAGATTGCTCTGGCCATCGAAAATGTAGTGCGTGCCGTGCTGCAGCATCGTGTGCTCTCCGTCATTGCCGACTACGAAGTGCACTGTGAGCGGACACTCGGACGTAGCGGCGTCGAGAGTACGCTCGACGCGCACTTCCTCGACACGCTCGGCGAGCGTCTGAGAGGGCGACACCGTGTAGAAGAAGATGCTGCGACGCGCCCACTCCTCGGCCAGCTTGGAGTCGGACGAGGAGCGGTATACCCACGCTCCGAGCCAGGGCTCGAGGCCGGGCAGCACGCCGCACTGTCGAGCATTGAGATCAGTATGCATCAAACGCGCCGTCGTGAGGTCCACGCACCTCGACAGTGGCGCCAATCAGCGGTGCTTGGAAGCGCGCCCAGACGTGAGCAGCGACGACGAGCTCGCGCAGCTGGTCGTGCGAGACGTTGGGCACCGAGGCGGTCATGATGCCGATGGCGTCTGCGTGGCTGTTGCGAGTGTCAGCGCGGAGGACAGCAGGACAGCGAGTGTAGGAGCGGTGGAATACGGCTGCTCGAAGAGTGCTGCTGCCTCGACGGGCATCGCCCGAATGCTTCAGCGCGCAACATGTGCCAGCCAGTGCCGCCCGCCTCGCCAGTACCCCACGGCTTGCGTCGCGTCGCTCTGTGCTCAGACGCACCCCTTGGTCCAGCGCGAGTACTGGTGGAAGAAACGCTCGCCGCCCCAGCAGCTGCGTGCGAATGTCTGCGGCGCATCGGGCAGCGGCTGCCAGCGATAGACGGCGAACTCGTCATCCGAGGAGGTGGAGGTGCTGGACGAGGCGGAGGGGTCACTCATGATGAGAGCGGGCTGGGTGGTGGTGGAGGAGACGCAAGTTGAGCAAGCCGGCACCTTGAGCCTCGTTAGCAGGAGGCCTGCTGGGCGGGGCGAGGCAGGCAGCGAGTCGGCACGACAGCAAAGCATGAGCGACAGCGGCGCAGGCTCGTGTTGACGGCCCATGCTTATGCGTCTGCACCCTGGAGCTGAGTGACGCTCGGCTCGCCTAGGCTTCCTGCACTGCTCGCCTGCCTGCTCAGATAGCTGCTCGCCGCCACGGCCCGGCACGAGACCGGAGGCGGATCACCTTCCCGTCTGCTCCTTCTGGCGTCCCGAGAAGGCAGGCCCTGAGCACGGCGTCCTCGCCTGCCGCATCCGCTTCCGCTGCACCCGCGCTGTGCTCGTGGAGCTAAAAGCAGCACGTCCGGAGTAACACGCACGCGCTGCAGCCTGCAGGGCACCCGCGGATCTCCAGAGGTGCGACCTGCTGACTAAGCAGGAGATGCGCACGGGGCGCCAGATGCGCCAGCACGGCGGCCTCGCTTCGGGGCTTCTCTCCACCACCCTCGCCTCTCTCTCTCACACACTGAGCGCAGCTGGAGCCACCTTCAATCTTCGTACTTTGAACACGAGCCACACCTTCTCTACACATCAGCCAGCCAGCAGCTCTCCGCAGGCACGGCCCGCATCTGCTCCAACATGGCCTCGGCAGCCAGCATGACGCCCTCCGCGGCGATCGAGTTCCTGGCTCAGCAGCGTCGGTGCGTCCTCTCTCCATCTGCTCTCCTCATCTGCCCCCATCTGACCCTCTATGCTCCTTCAGTCGGCCAGAGCGGCTCTCCCTGCAGACAGTGCAGGCAGCAGAGACGCTCCTGCGCGCCGCACAGCTCGAGACGATGGGCGACGAGATGTGGCCCTTCCTCGAGCAGGTCGCCATTGCGGCGCTCGACTGTGGACGGCGGGAGCTGGCTGAGGTGAGTCATGTAACGAGAGTGCTATCTGAGAGGGAGAGGTTGGGCCACTGGGAGGAAGCTGCGCGGATGGGACACTCGCTTGAACTGCTGTGACGCCTCGGGCCAAGAATAGGCTGGCGTGCGTCGGATCTTCTCATGGCCTGCTCCCATGCTCCGTCTTCTCTCGCCGCAATCACGCATCCCAACGCCTCTCGCCTTGACCGCTGACACGCATCCCTGCTTCGCACAGCTCTGCACTTCCCGTCTGAACACGCGTTTCCCAGACTCCGCACGCGTCGCTTCGCTGCAGGGGATGCTCCTCGAAGCATCTCAAGAGTACGAGAAGGCGCTTGCATTCTACGATGCCGAGCTGAAGAAGGACGAGGGCAACTTGGTGAGTGCGGCGGGGAGATGTATTGCTGTGATCTCGCCGGTCAGAGCTGCCGCTCACACATTCCCTCCGCGATGCCAGATCATCGTGAAGCGCCGCATCGCAGTGCTGAAGAGCATGGAGGGCACGACTGCGCGTGGAGGAGGCATCCAGGAGGCGATCAAGGCATTGACGGCCTACGTCGACACGTACTATGCCGATGCCGAGGCGTGGGCGGAGCTGGCGGCGCTCTACAGCGAGGTGCACATGTGAGTCTCTACTGCTCGTCGAGCTCGTCTCCTCTGCTGTGACCCGTCTCATCACCCACCTTGCCCTCTTCTGCGCCCAGGTATCCGCAGGCGATCTTTGCGCTCGAAGAGCAGATTCTGCTCCAGCCGCAGTCCGGCTTCGCGGTGCTGCAGCTGGCAGAGACGCAGTACACGGCGGCGCGGTATGAGGAGGCGTGCACGAGCTATCTGCGCGTGCTCGAGATGGCGCATGTGGAGGAGGGAGTGAGGAAGACGGGCCCTTGGATGCGGGCTGTTTGGGGCCTGAAGATGGTGAGTCTTGCTTGCACGAGGCAGATGGATGAAAGCTGGAGGACACGACGAGACAAGTACTGTGGAGGAGAGGCAAGCCAGGCTGTACTCAATAGGCCGCAAGATGCCGTCGCTCAGCAACGCCGCACGCTTGCCTCGCTCTCGCACCCCGATTGACGTCTCCTTCCCTCCTCAGACAACGTCCAAGCTCCTGTCCTCGGGCGTGGTGCGCGACGCAGCAACCACACAGCGTCTCGACGCCCTCGCTACCGAGCTGCTCTCGAGCCGCGTGTACGGCGGCGCCGGTGCGCCTGCCCACACGCGCAAGGCGGCGCTCGCCGTGCTTAGCGCGGCACGGTGAGGCGGCAGGAGGCGATATGCAATAGAACAGGGCTTCATCTCGTGTACAGGGCGCGGGGGGTCGCGAGTGCTGTCCAGGCGTGTGCAGTGTCTCTGCTGCTGCTGTGACACTCGTGCGCTCTCTGGCTCAAGCACTTCTACTCTTGTGTCCAGCCTAGGGCAAGAGTCGAGCGAGCAAGCTCGAAGTGAAGAGCTCGTCCCCGCTAGGAGGCAGGCAACGCTGGGAACGCGAGGAGCACGGCAGAGCATGCAGGCTCTGCGAGACCGGGCCGAGCGTGTCGGCTGTTTTTCCGCGGCGCTCGCCGCCGCGCGCGCGTCGTTTCTTCTTGCCTCACCTCCACACCTTCTTCCCCGCCCAGCATCAGCCCATGGCCGCTTCGCTTGCACCCCTACGGGGCGTAGCCTCACGAGCGTTGCATGCACATGTGCGCCGAGCCTGTGCACAGCCTGAGTGGCGCTCAAGCTGGCGCTCGGAGCTCTCGGCGCCCGGCGCCGCGCCTACCGGTGCGCGTGGCCGAGCGCTGGGTGCGGCCCGTGCCAGCTCCAGCAGCGCCGTCGCCGTTCCGACTGCCGGTGGCACCGCCACACCCGCCACTGCTGTCGATGCGACACATCCGCTAGCACGGCTCGAGGCGCGCAACCTGCTCAAGGCCGTCACCTCGCGCGCCGTCTGGGCGCATCTCGACTCCTCCTCTTCGCGACGCACCATCTACTCCGGCGTGGACCCAAGCGCTTCCAGCTTGCACCTCGGCAATTTGCTGCCGCTGCTGGCGCTGTATCATCTTCGGGAAGCCGGGCTGAACGTCATCGTGCTGGTGAGTCGCCTGGCTCGAGGCAGGGCAGCAGGGAGCTTCTTTGTTCTGACGAAGGCGTCTAACAGGTCGGCGGTGCCACGGGCTCAATAGGCGATCCGTCAGGACGTTCGACGGAGCGCAATGCATTGGAGCCGCATGAGCTGCAGCACAACGTTGAGCGCATCACGGCGCAGATTCATGCCTTCTACGCTCGGCTAGACGAGTGGAGTGCTGCTGCAAAGAGCGAGCGGTCTGCCGCAGATGGTGGAGCGGCAAGGCGAGGAGAGCTGCATGTGTGCAACAATCAGGAGTGGTACGCCGGAGTGGGCGTGCTTGACTTCTTGCGCGACACGGGAAAGTACATGCGGCTGGGCAACATGCTGGCCAAGGAGAGGTGAGGCTTGTCCGCTGGAGCGGCAGAGACGAGGCAGCTGAGCGCACATCGCTGAATCGTCCGCTCCACAGCGTCAGGTCTCGCATGCAGCCGACAGCCGAAGGCGGCGAAGCGGCAGGGCTCTCCTTCACCGAGTTCAGCTACCAGCTGTTGCAAGCCTACGACTTTCTAGTCCTGCATCGCGACCGTCATTGCACGCTCCAGCTCGGCGGCTCCGACCAGCTCGGCAACATCGTCGCCGGCATCGAGCTGATCCTGCGCCTGCGAAGCACCAGCTCCTCAAATGGCGAGAGCGGCACAAGGGAGACGGAGCAGCAGCAGCCAGCGTATGGTCTCACGCTGCCGCTCCTCACGACCGCCTCGGGGCAGAAGTTCGGCAAGAGTGCCGGCAATGCCGTCTGGCTCGATGCCGACATGACGTCCGACTTTGATCTCTATCAGCATCTCCTGCGTTCTGCAGATGCAGACGTCGCGACGTATCTCCGCTCCTTGACGCTCCTGCCGCTCGAGAAGGTCGAGGAGGTGCTGCAGCGCCATGCCGCCGAGCCGGGCAAGAGGACGGCGCAAAAGACACTTGCGGATGAAATGGTGGGCATGCTTCGAGGTGCGCCGGCTCTGCGGCGGGCACAGACCATGTCTGCGCTACTCTTTGAGCGGCATGAAGCGCCGCTGCCTGCAAGTGATGTCTTCGAGGCGTTTCATTACGACGCAAGACTCGTCCGCCTTGATGCAGAGGCACTCGGCGCGCCATTGGCGAGACTGGCGGCTGATATTGGAGCGGCAGCTTCTCGCGGTACGTGCTCGCTATTTCTCCTCTGGGCTCGACATCGCTGATGCATCTGCCGTGTGCCCATCACATGCAGGCGAGGCAAGGCGACTGCAAAAGAGCGGAGGACTCTACCTCAATGGCGTGGCGATGACAGACGCGAGCCGCGTACTGGAGTCCAGCGACTTCAGCGGCGAAGCTGATGGTCACGGAGCATACGCACTGCTGCGCGTCGGCAAGACAGAACATCGTGTGCTCTGGCTCGCTTCGTCGTCTTCATCGTCGTCTCCCTAGCTCCGGACTGCTCGTTACAGCCCGCCAATACCATATCTCTACTCCTCGTTATATCGTCGCATGAGAACAGCCTCGGCGTCAGCCTCGGCCGACGGATCGATCTTGGTGTCGGCGTCCTTCCATCGAGACGAGGGCATCCCGCCGGAAGAGGCGCCTAGCGTCGTCGCGCCGCCTCGTTCCTGGGGTATACCTGCCCGAATCGGGTGCCTTTCTGATGCACCGGCATCATCATCATCTACTCTCTCCCACGCTGCTGCGAGCACGGCGACGATGAGGCGCACCCGATGGTGGTGCTGATGAGGTACGCGCACGCGCATGATGCTTCAGTAGCGCAGGATAGTGCAGAATGGCAGGCTTGGTGGCTTCCATCCAGCCTGCCGATAATGGCGCGATGCTGGAGCTCACCACCGCCGCAGCTGGGACATGAGAGATTGTCACTGGTTGCTCGAGGTGCTGAGGCAAGCACACGCCTCGGCTTCGGCGCGGCGAGCCGGCGGAGGCGGAGGGCGGAGGGGGGTGCCTTGCCGCCGCGCCGGCAACGGCACGACCGCGACCACATCCAACGGCCCCTCCCTTCGCCTTCACACGACCCTCGGGTCGTGTGCCGGGCTATCCGCGCCGTGGGAAGTACCCTGGGGCAGCATTTGGCCGCTCAGCATCTCTGTCCTGCGGGCCTGAGAGCAATACGCCCCGCTCAGCGGCAGGCGATGACATGTCAGCGCTGACGGGCCATCAACGCGTTCTCGGGCCGCGCCTCCGCACCACAGCGACCCCGGCCGGCAGCGGTATATCGGGCGTGCAGACGCCACAGCATTCAGGCGACGAGCAGCCGGCTCCCTCCGGACCGTCGCCGCCGAGGCTGCCTGCTTGCTGAGTTGCACGTCCCCGAGACAGGCGAAATTGACGTCGTGACTCAGCCGGGCGTCTGCCATTCGCGCAGCGTCCTGCCATGCGGCAGCTGTGCTCCGACGCCGACGAGGTCGAGCGTCGCATCCCGCGGTACCGCGTCGCCGTGCAGCATCAGGAGATGCTCTTGTGCGACGTTGATGCGGCGTGCGAAGGGCAGCATCTCGCCCTCGCGAGGGCGCGCTGACGCTGTGTGCGGTGCGGCGGCGCCGAGCGGTGTGGCGCGCGCTACGCATAGGCGCGCTGCCGCTGCCTGCTGCCCCTGCGCGGCTGCCGTCAGCCAGGGTACCGCTGCGGCTGCACGCGAGAGGAAGCCTCTCATCACCGCGCCTGTTGTGCTGCAGCCCAGACGCTGCCGCTGCTGCGGCGTGCTGCTGCAGGCACTCTAACGGCATCAGGCTGGTCTAGCGCCCTCTCCGCAAAGCGTCGTCCTCGGCTGTAGGCGGAGAGAGGGGCACCGCGCGGCGCATGATGTGCTCGGATGCGGTGCACCGCGGCGCGCCGGCTGTGCTGCGCCGCGCCGCGCGGCGCGTCGAGCTGCTTGGTGCTTTGATGCCGCCGCACAAGCGCCCGGCCCCCTCTGCCTTACTTTTGCTACTCCTCTCCCATCACCCTTCTGTCCACCTCGCAACGACGCCCTCGCCCTCGCTTGCCTTTGCCTTGCAGCTCTCCCTCTCACACATCACACGCCTCGCATCGGCCAGCACCTCCGTCGTGTCGCATCGCACCCTCGCCTCCGCCCGCTCTCCTTGGCAAACGATACGCAGCGTGCGGCTACGCGCGGCCCCTGTCTCTTTGCAGGCGCCGCAAGCGCGCTCAGGCCTCTTTCTCTCAGCCTGCGACTCAACGCAAGTACCGTCTCTTGCTCGTCTCGTCCTCGCCTCTTGATAGATGGCACTCGTGTCGCCGCCGCCCAGCGGCAGCGGCAGTGGCAGTGGCAGCAGCGCCAGTCGGCATCACTCGCGCGCCTCTCTCTCGGCAGCAGCGATCACCTCTCCTCTCCTGACACCTGCGTCGGCATCCGGCGAAGCGCTGGGCGTCCCCTCAGGCTCCAGTCGAGCCAGCACGACTCCCGCCTCCGCACACGCGCCCTCGCCAGCTGTTGCCGCTGCGCAGGGCAGTCGGGCGCCCGCTGCGGATGCGCGCAGCACACTGATCGCAGCTAGTATTGCTGGGCCGAGCTCGCCGCCGAGGACACGAAGCAGCGGCGATGCTAGCTCTGCAGCAGCCGCGTCCGCCGCATCAGCGCTCTTTCTCTCGCGCGGCTCTATCTCCAACGGCAGCGGCGTTGGAGCGAGCAGCGCCTCATCGTCGCGACCGGCACCATCGCCACAGAGCGGCATCTCTCCTTCGCGCTCTGCATTCGCACTGGCGCTCGCTGCTTCGCCGGAAGAGCCCGACCGCGGAGCTGCAGCTGCCGCAGCGCTGCGGCGCAGTCATACCACGGCTGCTATCTCGCGCGCACAGCAGCAGCAGCAGCGGCTGGAGGAGCGAGGCGAGATGGCGCAGACGACGCTGGTCAGGAGTCCGACACTGGGCCCGGCGGACGCCGCGCCCACTGCCACGAGGAGACGGCCACAACCGGCGCGTGTGGGCGGAGGCGTGGATCTGAAAGTCGTCATCCTTGGCGCTCAAGGTGAGTCGCTCAGCCCGTGCCAGCCAAGCACGGCGACAGAGCTGATGCGCCCTCGTGCGACGTCAGGCGTGGGCAAGACATCCCTCGTGCATCGCTACACGACGGGCCAGTTCTCAGCCTCGAGCATCCCGAGCACGATTGGCGCCAGCTTCCTGACGCAGAAGCTCGTGGTGGACGGCACCAAGGTGCGCCTGCAGCTGTGGGACACTGCGGGACAGGAGCGCTTCAGGAGCATGGTGAGTCCGTGCTCGGCAGCAGCAGCGCACGCCGCAGAGAGGAGCGGGCTGACAAGCGAGGGACGCAGGCGCCGATGTACTATCGTGGTAGCAACGCGGCAGTGATCGTGTACGACATCACCAACGAGGCCAGCTTCGCAGACGTCAAGACGTGGATCGAGGGTGAGCCAGGCCCTGATCTGCCGCGATCCTGCCCGTCGCTGACCCATTCCGGCCGACAGAGCTGCGCAAGAACGTCTCGAATGATCTCGTCATTCACGTCGTTGGCTCGAAGCTGGATCTGGCGCCGTCGCATCGACAAGTCTTGTGAGCAGCACCCTGCGCCGCATGAACACTGAAGCTTCGCGTACTGACCGTCACTTTGTGCCTCTAGCCTGGACGAGGCGCGCGAAGCGATCGCGCAATGGACGCAGCCGCCAGCCGCAGCTTCCAGTCTGCCACGGCGCGGCTCTCAAGAGACAACTCCACCAAGTGGCGCACTGGCACGCTCCTCATCTCGCCTCGGGCTCGCCAGCCTGACACTGGGCGCCGGCTCGCGCCTCGGCTTCCCGCGCAACGTCTCGCAGCAGTCCGCTTCTACTCAGCGGGTGCCTGCATCCGGCGCATCAGCAGGCAGTGGCGGTTCGGGCTCGTCCGACGGCTCTCCTACGCCTTACCCCGGCGGCGGCGCTTCCGCCTCACCGCCAGGCTGGGAGTTCGTGGACGTCTCGGAAGTCAGCGCCAAGGCGGGAGAGGGCATCGAAGACGTCTTTGTCTCGATCGCCTCACGCTTGGTGGAGCGCAAGGCCGAGATTGAAGAGGAGAGGAGAAGACGAGAGAGAGACTCGGTTCTGCTGCAGAATGCTCCGACGCTTGGCGCAGACGAGGAAGCGGCGCAGGCTAGAGCCAATGGCTGGACCTGCTGCTAGGCCGCTGGCCGGCCTAGCAGGCTTGCTCACTTGCCGCTGCCTCTCGTTCCTCGTCCTCTCACGGAATACCCACCACTTCCATCCGTCACGCTTCTGTCTCTCAACTCTTCGTCTTCTACTCGCGAGCTTTTAACGACACCCGAACGGCCGTGCCCTCGCAACAGGGCCGGTCGGCGACGACCTGATCCGCGCGCCCTTCATCCTCCGTCCCTCTCTCACACACGCCTTGTACCCGAGCTCGCGTTGCGCTGCATACCTCTCCTGATACACAATCATCATTCCGTCATCGTTGCTCGTGGAGCACTCGCAGCAGCAGTTGTGGGTGAGGGCCACGGACGCGGAGGGGGAGAGAGGGGCCAGCGACCCTTGCTGACGTAAGCCACACGCGCCTCAAGATTTTTGGCCGGCGGCGCGGCGCGCGCGGCCGCGCGGCCGCCTCATGCGGCTCGGCACGGCAGCAGAGCAGCGTGGCAGCACCGCACGGCAGCGCCCCGCGCGACGCCGCCGACGGCGACGCTGCCTTCCCGTCCACCAGCCCCAGCCATCCACGCCCTCAGCACTCGCTCGCACGCCCCTCCGTTCCCGTCTCGCCCTTCTACGCATCTCTCGCACAGGCGCGCGCCTCTCGCAGACCCTTTCACCTCGCCGCGCAGCGCTCAGCTGCTGCCTGCCGCTGGCTCACCATGCCGCAGGTGCGTCGCCACTGCCCGACGCTGCCGTTGTGGGGCCTGACTGACGTGCCGTGCGCTGGCAGAACGACTACATTGAGGAGGCGCAGCGCCGCCATGGCAAGCGCATGGACCACGATGAGCGCATGTGAGTGGCCAGTTGAGCAACTGGGTCTGCGCATCATGCTGATGCTGCTGCTGCAGGCGCAAGCGGACAGCGCGTGCCTCGCACAAGGCCTCTGCCATCGCGCAGAAGACGACGGGTCTCAAGGCCAAGATGCTGAACCGCAAGAACCGCGCCGAGAAGATCCAGATGAAGAAGACGCTCAAGGCGCGCGAGGAGCGCGACGTCAAGCAGGCCTCGACGTCGGATGCGCCCGAGCAGGCCCTGCCGGCCTACCTGCTGGACCGTGAGGGCCAGAAGGACGCAAAGGCCCTCTCGGCGGCGGTCAAGGAGAGACGCAAGGACAAGGCGGCGAGATACGCTGTGCCGCTGCCGCAGGTGCGCGGCCTGGCGGAGGACGAGACGTTCAAGGTCGTCAAGACGGGCAAGCGTAAGAGCAAGGGGTGGAAGCGCATGGTGACGAAGGCGACGTTCGTGGGCGAGAGCTTCACGCGGAAACCGCCGAAGCTGGAGCGCTTCATTCGGCCCATGGGCCTGCGCTACCGCAAGGCGCACATTACGCATCGTGAGTACCGCATGGCGGTCAGGCGTGGCGAGGCGTACAGGAGTGTGCGCATGGAGATACTGCGGAGCGTGGACGAGGCTGCAAACCGAGGATGGTGCACTGTGGCGCTGCTCCGCTTGGAGGGCGCGATTGTGCTGCTCTCCTGTGAGAGCGCGATCATATGCCGAACGGGTCGGCCGCGCTGTTGCGCTCCTCAAGCGGCTGCTGCTGCTCGCTCCGCCATCAGTCTTCGCACTCGCTGACCTTTCTGCGCTATCAGCCGACCTGAAGGCGACCTTCCAGCTGCCGATCATCGGCGTGAAGAAGAACCCCCAATCGCCGATGTACACGCAGCTCGGCGTGCTGACCAAGGGCACCATCATCGAGGTCAACGTGTCCGAGCTCGGCATGGTCACGACGGGCGGCAAGGTCGTGTGGGGCAAGTATGCGCAGATCACGAACAACCCGGTGAGTTGCACATCGCACTAGCAGGGCCCGCGGGACCGAGGTCGCAGAGGGACCGTGCGCTGGCTCTGCTGCGGCAAGCATCAGGAACCAGAAGCGGAACCGAGACGCACGGCGCTGCGGGCTTTACGCTTCGACCTGCTGCTTACACCCTTGGCCCACCAGGAAAACGACGGCTGCGTCAACGGGTGAGTGTGCTCGTGCCCCATCTGTCTGCCGTCAGCTGCTCACACAGTGCTCTGTCGCAGTGTCCTCCTCCTCTCGACTTGATTGGCCTGGTCAGCGCACGTCCGTGTCGCACGTCTGCGGGCGGCCTCCTGGCCACGGCACGGCACCACGGCACGATGCGTGGCCGCTGCTCGAATGCCCTTTCTCGTTCCGGTCCTGGGTCTGTACGATATGTGATCGCGGCTCTCTCACAGCACTTCCGTCCATTCAAATCTCATCAGTTGCAGCTTTACCTCCACGCCGCGCGCCGCGCCGCGCCGCCGCCTCATCATCTCGTCAGCGTTGCGAGCGCGTGCTCATCATCTCGTCTCACCTCCCTCACCGCTTCTCCCTCGCCTTCCTGCAGCCACAGCCATGCCGAGTCTCGACGCACATTCATCTAGCAGCGGCCCCGTCTCCATCTTGCGTCGCGCCGACAGCAAGGGCCGCATACGCTTCAAGCACGTCGTGCGCTTCAGGCGTCCCGCGCAGGAAGTCGCGGCGCCAGCGCCAGTGCCAGCCGCTGCTGTGCAGCCTGAGCGGCCAGTCTCTCCTGCCCCGGCGCCCGAGGTACGCGAGCCTTCGCCGGAGATCCACGAGGTGCGATCCGAGTCTCCCGAGCTCGCTGCGCCTCAAGCCGGCGCCGTTGGCAGTCTAGTGGACGATCTTGCCGCGCTGGAGCTCTCACGCGCCGAGCGCCACACGTTGCGAGCCGAGCGGCTGAGGCAGCAGCAGCTGCTCAAGGCGCGCGAGCAAGCGCGTCGACTCGAGGAGCAGCAGCGGCGCGTGCTGGAGCGGCGTCGACGGCGCAGAGAGAGAGCGGCGCGTGATCGACAGCGCCTGCGCGAGGAAGTCATCGAGGTGCCACCGCCGCACGCCATCTGGATCGTCCCGGATGACGACGGCGAAGACGTCAAGCCGCACCTGCGCCAGCAACAGCAGCAGCAGCAGCCGCCTCGCGCGTACGACTCGCTCGAGCGCTGCTACGGCGTGTGCCGCTCGCGGCCCAAGGCCATCAATGACGGCGAGTGGGAGGTCGACGAGGTGGTGGACCACATGGTGCAGCACGGCCGGCTGTTCTTCGCCATCAAGTGGCAGGGCTATCCGCTGGGCCACTGCGGCGCCTTCGGTGAGTGCTCGCACAGTAGAGTCGAGTAGTCTCGTGCCACCACAGGCTGACCGCGCTGTGCTCCAGACCTGTGGAATCCGGCCGAGAACGTGCACTGCCCGCACCTCATCCAGCTCTACTTCCACAGCCGCGGCATCGCGCCGGACCGCATGCCGTATCAAGAGCAGTGGAACTTCTGACTCGCATCATCGGTGACTTGATCGATTGCCCGTCCGCGAGATACAGGTGCGTTGGCCCTTCAGCCTTCCTCCGCCAGATCCTCGTCGGGCGCCACGCTCATCGCCAGCGCCAGTGCCAGCTGTTCCTCCTCGCTCATCTGCATGAAGCTCTCCATCGCCTCTGCCTCGTCGTTGTCGTCGCCCGCGCCCAGCTCCGCCGCCGTCATGACGTCCTGTTGCTCTCGCGGCGGCGGTCGTGGTGGAGCGGGTGTGCCGTTCTTCTCCCGAGCTACCTCTCTCTGCCGCTCCGACACGCCCGTCGTCTCCGCTGCGGCAGCCTCTGCCGCGCTCGCCTCCAGTTCCGCCACCTCGTCAATGCCCATGCCGCGTTCTCCCATCTGCATGCCCCTCTCTCTGCCTAGCCGTGTCTCGCCCACGCGGAACGGCTGTGTGAATGCCTCCCGTAGTCGCTTGGCCTTGACGTCGCCGAAACCGGGACACATGCCGAGCTCTTCGTACGTCGCGTCGGACATGCGCTTGAGGGACTGCGCAATGGGCAGGTCAGTGTGGAGCGTCGCAATGAGCTGTCTCGCGCGTGCGAGCAAAGCGAGCAGTCCGCGAGCCACTCACGCCAAAGTTGGTCGCGAGCGTCACGACGTCCGTCTTGTTGACGCCGCGCACGCTCGTGAGCGTGTGCTGCAGATGCGCCATGTACTCGTCGTCGACGCGTCCGCGAATCAGATCGGGCGCACGCGTCTCTTGCGACTTGTACGTCTCGATGTAGCGGCCTGCCTCCTCGGCGCTGAGAGCGTGTCAGCGTGAAGAGCGGTCGTGAGCAGGAGCCGTAGAGGCAGCTCACCTCCAGGCCACGATGATGGTGTAGTGGTTCACCAGTGCCACCTTTGTCAGCTCGCGCATGGCTGCTTCGTGCGTGTCCTGGACAGCGAGATACGTGAGCCCTTGCTGCCTGAACATTGCCCTCCTCGCCTCGCTACGCCCCCTCCTCGCCTCGCTACGCCCCACTCACGACGTCGCACATGACAAGCAAGATGCGCAGGCTGAACTTGCCGCGCATCTTCTCGATGCGCGAGTGGATGTACTCGGGGTGCAGGCGATGGTAGCGCAGCCTGAGCGACGCCACGAGAAGCGATGCGGAGCGAAAGGAAAGAGCCGTCAGCACGGCGTTCTCCGCAGCGTGCGAGAACAGCGAGAGCAGACGTAACGCACGAGAGGAAGAGAGCGCCAGCTGCGACGCCGACTTGATAATCGGGGATGATCTCTGCGAACTCCCAGCCGAGCCGAATGTGCTGCAGAAGCGGGTTGCCTTTCTGCCGAGCGCAATGCCGTACGCCAAATGTCAGTCTCCGAGGCCTACCTATCTCTCTGCTGCCCTCGCCGTCGCAGCGACGCACCTGACACGCGTTCACGAGCACATTGTTGCCCGCACCCTGGCCCGTCACCACTCGCGGTCCCGTGCGCGGCACCGCACTCGTCGCGCCCGGCTGCTGTTGCTGTGGTGACGCTGCAGCCGACGCATTGACGATGCGGGGTCCCGCGCGTGGGACTGAGGGCCCTGCGGCTGCGTCGGCACCGGCCGGAGGAGCTGCGACTTTGTTTGTAGGACGCAGCTGCTGCACCTTTGGCCGCGGCGCATGGGCGGTGATGGGCGCACTGCCGTTGCCGCTGCCGCTGCCACTGCCGCCCGGCGTAGAGGCCATGCTGCCTGGCACAGAGACTGCGGGATGCTGAGGATGGTCGAGCTTCGAGGTGGTGGTGGTCGGGAGTGGAGGCGAGCGCGGCTATTCTGGGGTCCAGATGCTCACACGTGACGCGCGCGCACCGCACAGTGACATCAGCGCCTCCTGTCTTGCCGCGGGATATCGAGGCCGGCACCCTTCGCCTTCCTCGTGCTTGTGCTGCCTTCGAGCCCAGCCGAGGTGTGGGTCCGCCAGCCCCACTTGAAGATCAACCGAGCCGCTCCTCCTTCTTCCCGACCACCACCCACACATCACTCTCTTTCACCCAACCACCCCTCAAACTCTCAACCATGCAGACCACCTTCAACGAGACGGCCAAGCCCGAGGCGGCGCGCATCGCCGAGAACGAGAAGCGCGCCGCCGCTGGCGAGCCGCAGATCCCCGGCGCTGCTGGCCGCGAGAGCATCCCGGACAAGAGCGTCGAGCGTGAGTGGGCTGCGTCTTGATCATCTTGGAAAGGCAATGAGGAGGGAGAAGATGCACGGGCGCCAGGCGTTCAGCCCGCATCAATTGCCCGTGGTCGCGCTGCTTCACCATCAGCCGCTGTCGACCTTGTGCTGACTCTCTTTTCTTTCCTCAGAGCACGACGCCACGACCGGCGGCCCCGGCTCGGAGGGCCCCGCGCCGGTGCAGCAGCCGACCGTCTAAGGTCGTCGCTCACTCGCGTCCAACTCGGCGCGTCGGCATCGTCCAAAGCACGCGGCGCAGCACGAGCAGAATCAATGAGCACCTGCCACCTCACGTAGACGATAATACAAAGCATTGAATACCTCCCTGCCGCTTCTGTGCTGTGATCTGGCTGCCTTGCTGTCGCGTGTGTGAAGCTGCCTGCCTGCTGGGCGAGGCAGAGAAGGGCTCGTCCGCGTGACCCGAGCTCTCGAGGCGCAGGAAGGGTCGCAGCCCTCCACCTGTCACCCGCACCCGCTGCAGGGCAGGCGCGGAGCGTGAAGATCGCCGCTGAGCGCGTGGGAGCAGTTTGCATGCGTGGGCATCGCGCGCAGAGACAAGGCGCACACTCGCGACTGCACACCGCTCCTCTTCTGTTCGAAGCGCCATGTATCAGCTCGCTTCTCGGTGAGGAAGGCCAAGCGAAGCGGGCGTTCGGCCGTCATTGCGCGGCCGGCAGCCGGGAGGAAGAGGAGAACGAGGCGAGGAGCCGCGTGACCGCACCGCCGTGCGCCTGCCCCGCCGCGCGCGCGGCGATGTCTTAGTTTTTGACGCTCTGGGCACCCCGAGCGATAGCGTGCCAGGGCTGACTGCCTTGCAAATCACGCCGGTCAGCCCTCATCGAGCAACAGCTCAGCGTGGACCGCTCAAGAAGGCATCAGTCATCCCCTCGTGCGGCAGTCCGCCACTCCACGGCGGCCTGAGGCGGCTGCCGTCGCCGTCAGGGGCCTCCTGGACGCGTCGCGCGTCGGCCTCACGTGCGCCGGTGTTTGGCGCGCTGCTCGTCCAAATCAGGCACATCGCGGTCGCTTAGAGCAGCCGCGCAGCATGCAGCGCCACAGGGGCAAAGCCTTAGCAGCTCCTCCCTCGGCTGCGGCTGCAGTGCCTCGAGCCGCTGTGCTGCTGCGCCGCAACACCGAGTCGGGCAGGCGCACAGCGCGCGCTGACGGCGTCTTGGGCCTCGAGCACGCCCGCAGCAGCAGAGCAGCAAGCTGGCACACTCTTACTGGCGGCCTGCGTAGCGCGATGCTCGACGCTCTGCTGTGGCGAGCTGAGAGCGTAACAGCGCCAGCGAGCAGCTTATGAAGTCCCCCGGGCCCTCGCTCGCTCGCCTTGCCTCTCCACCACCACCCTCCACCGCACCTGCGTCCACTGCATCTCCTCGCGTCGGCCGCCCTCGCTCTCACATCCCGCCCAGCAATCCACCAGCTAAGCGTCATGCCCGAGCCCGGTCCCGTAAGTCCCGAGTCGCCCTGCTCCCGCCCTCTGTGACAGCGAGCTGACGCCAGTCACTCCTGCGCAGCGCGATTACCGCGAGGCCAAGGTCTTCAGCCTCTCTGTACGCGCCGAGTATCAGGAGAACAAGCTCGAGATCGACGCTGTGCAGACGCAGATCACCAAGCTTCAGGAAGAGCTGGCGTTCCTTGAGCGCAACGGCCGCACCCTCAAGAGCCTGTCGCGCCGCACCCTTGACGACATCGCCAACAAGATGGTCAACGACGCCGAGAACATGGCGGCTCAAATGCAGGAGATCCGCGACCGCGCCGGCTCGGACGACCCTGCGGCCCTGAAGGCAGCATTCAAGGCCATCTTCACTGAGCTTCCGGAGGAAGAGGACGACTACGAAAGCTTCTCGAGAGAGGCATCTGACGAGGAGACGTGTATGTTTTGCCTCACCGGCGCATACGTGCATTGCTTACACGAGCCCAGCCGCAGCCGAGGATGATTCGGACGAGGAGATGGAGCTGAGCGGAGACGGCAGCGCCGCCGAGCAGTCTGAGTCTCGCTCTGCGAGTGAGTCTCGTCAGCTTCTCCGTGTTCCAGCTGCTCGTCTGCGTGATTACTCTGACACTTCCGTCCAGGCCCTACTCTGTCCGGCATGGAGTACGACGCCCCGGCTGAGTCGGCCGACGAGCAGGCACGTGGCCGCCGCCCTCGCTCTCGCGCGCAGGCCTCGAGCACAGCCAACGCACCCCGCCTCTCGCCTAGTGAGGTGAGTCAGACGGGGGCGATGAGCATTTGCCAACTCTCAAACAACCCGCCGCACCAGACCGTCATGGTGCAGGCCGAGGCCGTCAGCCTTCGCGCGCGCGCCAAGTACGAGAGCGCGCTGATCGCCATCGAGGACATGCAGGAGGGCCTGGAGAAGCTGAAGGGAGGACTCCCCGAGCTCAAGCGTCAGGCGTCCCGCTCCGTCACTGACATCGCCAAGGAGCTCAAGCGTGGCTACCTTGAAGAAGCGTTCTTCCAGATCACCGGCCAGCGCCCTCCCACTAGAAAGGGCGACGACGATGGCGCTGCCGGTAGCAAGACGTCCGAGCGCGATGCGGGCGCCGAGAAGAGCGGTGGCACTCGCGGCCTCCAGGGTCCTGCCCTCGCGGCTGCCAGTGCGTCCAGCATCCCCAGTCCCTACCTGACACCCTGCGCTGAGCTGACCATCTGCGACCACAGAGCTGGGCGCCCCTGTGCGCAAGATCGCCGGCCGCGCGGCGCCCAAGCAGAAGCCTCGCGCCAGCAAGGCGGGCAACGCCTTCCTCGACCGTGCCGAGGCTGCGCAGCCCGAGGCCCATGCCGAGGGCAGCCGGTGAGTCATGGTGCTTCTGCGAGCGTGCACTTTCGCTGATGTGTTTCGTCTTCAGCAGCGCCCAGCGTCCTAGCGGCAGCAGCAACCGCGAGTACCAGCGCCGCGCCTGATGCGCTCTCCAGTGAGTGCCGACGGATGACGTGCTATGCGCTGCTGCTAACTTCCAGCGCCAGCAGTGATCGCAAGCTTCGAGCCCGCTATCCACTGGAGCTCGGCAGCGCATCCTTCTTCCCGCCACCACTGATCCGTACCATGTCCCGGCCCGCACTTGACTGATCCGTACCATGTCCCGCACTTGACCCTCTTTGCGTGTGAAGCGAGAAGTGACAGCGTCTATCATGTGAGAGGCATGATGAGAGGTCGGCCGAGCAGTGTCAGGAGAATGAGGGCAGAAGCAAAAAGCTGCGAGCTCAGCTGCGCGCGCACGACGCCTCGGCGTGCTCGCTTTTGACGCCGTTGAGCACGGCGGATGCATACGTTCAAGGGCCACCATCACCGAGACCAGCTCAAAGTCGTCTCTCAAGCATTGTCTGCTCTTCATACAATGGCGCAGAGATAGCCAGCGTCCCACTCGCTGGACCAAAGCCGCCGCTGTCGCAGTCAGGGGGCCTCTTGACGCGTCGCGCGTCGCTCATGCCTCACGTGCGCTGTGTTGTCGCGCGACGCTCGTCCAAATCAGGCACTATCGCGGCACTTAGAGCAGCCGCGGGCCGCCACAGGGGCGACGCCGTGCACTCTCGAGCCGCTGCCGCTCTGCGCTGCTGCCGCCGCGCCGAGTCGGGCAGGTGCACCGCGAGCGATGACGACGTCGCGAGGCTCGGCACGGCAGCAGCGGCAGAGCGTGGTGCTGCGACACAGGCGGCCGGCTGCTCTCGGCGAGCCCGGTGGGGGCTCGGCGTAGCAGAACGAGCCCGTGCCAGCGCAGCAGCGAGCGAGCAGCTTATGAAGGCCCCGCACCCGTGCCCGCCCTGCCTCTCCACCACCACTTCCCACCGCACTCCCGCTCGCTGCACACCTCGCTCGCGCCTTCTCTTCTCCCAGCAACTCTCACACCGCACATCACCGCCTTCGAGTCCCTCAAGATGCCTCGCTCTGCTGAGAAGGTGAGCTGCACCGTGCCGCTTAGCTTGCAGCAGCAGCTGAGCCGCGCCGTCTTCAGCGTCTCGAGAAGCAGGCCATGTACGTCAGCGGCCTTGCGCGCGACGAGTACGATGACTCGCTCTCCACGATCCGCGACCTCGAGGAGATCATCGCCGACCGCCAGGAGCGCGTCGACGTGGAGATGAGCTTCCTCAAGGAGGATAAGCGCATGCTCGAGGAAGAGAAGGGCATGCTCGACGAGCGCAAGCGTCTCGCCTTCCGCACCATCGCGCAGACGGCCAAGGAGCTCAAGCAGAAGGCGCTCGACGAGCTCTTCACCAAGGTCACCGGCCTCGACGAGCTGCCCAGCGATAGCGACGATGATGACGACGACGAGGAGAGCAGCCAGGACGGCGACTGCGGCCAGTGCCCCGCCTGCCTTGCCGACGAGGCGAAGAAGCAGCAGCTCGGTGAGTCGTCTCTGTTTGCATGCTGCCTGCGTGCATCGCTGAGTCGCCACGTTGTCATCAGCCAACGGCGCCGCCAGTGACGAGGACGATGACCAGGCGGCCGAGGACGAACTCCAGAAGCTCGGTGAGGAGATGGGCACCGAGGAGAACGAGTCGGACGGCGAGGAGCCCAAGGCGAAGGCGCTGGTCATGGTCGAGGCCTCCGCCGTCCAGAAGAAGCCTAAGGCTGCTCCCGGCGGCGCCGGTGAGTCCAGAGGGCGTGTATGCAAGCTTCGAGCGCATGCCACTCATTTCTCCTCCACCCAGGCTCTGGCGTCGGCCTCATCAAGAAGCGCGAGCGCGACCCCGCGCCCGCCGTCGAGGCGATGCCTGCCTCCTCTAGCCAGAGCGCGTTTGCCCGTTGTACGTCCAGCATGAGAACCGAGCCGCGTCACTCGGCCTCTGACGCTAGTGCAACAGCCCCCAGCCGCGACCCTGCGGCTGACAGCTCGAAGAAGCCGCGCGTCAGCACGGGCGAGGACAAGCAGAAGGGTCCCGCTGAGGCCAGCCGGTGAGCTGCTGTGGTGCTCACAGCATGCATCTGGACGACCGCTGACCTCTCCGACGTTCAGCGGCGTCAAGCGTCCCTACAGCGGCCGCAAGCCCGACTTCAAGAAGCGCGCCTGATGCGCGACTGGTGAGTGCCAACAGAGGCCGTGCGGTGCGCCGTTGCTGATGTGCACGTCCAGAAGGAGCCGCAAGCCTCGAGCCCTCTCGACTAGGAGCTCGCTAGCGCATCCTCGTCCGTCCTCACCTGTTCCGCCCGTCACACACATGTTCCGCATACTTGACCCTCACACTTGTCGCGCACCCGTGCCGGGCCGCAGACCATGTCCCAGCTCCGGCCAGACCCGTACCGAGCAACGCCGTTCCTTGAGCACATAACGGCGTGATGACTTCGCGACCCAGGGAGCGGGCACGTCTCAGCGTCGCGTGCTCGTTACTCGCGCCCTCTCTCTCTCTTCTACCTGCCTCTGCTCTTCTCGCTCTCTCTCATGCAAGCCAAGCGTTGCGATGCGAGCGGTACGTGTCGTCAATTGTCTTCACTGTCGTGCGGAAAGCGTACAAGAAAGGGAGGAGAGGGAAAGGATGACGCGCGGTCGTCGTGGTCTTTGCCGTCGCTAGGCCTCCGAGGCCACCTCGCGCTCGTTGCTCTTCTTGCCCGTGAGCTTCATGCTGAGCTTGCGCACCCTGTCGCGCATGCCCTGCTTGGCCCACGCGCCCGTGCGCACGGGCGCGTAGCCGTAGCTGCCGCGGTGGCGCGAGTGCAGTGCCTTGGTCTTGGCCTCGTTGATCGCCTTGCGCTCCTTGCGGTCGATGACGCCGTCGTCGTCGGCGTGCGCGTTCTTCTCTGCCGCCTCGGGCATGCCGACCAGGCGGTCAAAGACCTCGAACTCGTGGCGGCGCGTCTGGCCCTTGGCCAGCGCAGCATGGTCCGCGTCGAGGCCCGGGTCGACGCGCAGCTTGACGTGCAGCGTGCCGATCTCCTGGAACTCGTGCGTCTTGGCCGTCTCCTCGTCGATGTGGTTGCGCGCGAGCGTGCCGAGCTTCTTGCCGGCGAGCAGCGGCACCGAGAGATCGACAATCTCGCCGTCCGCGAGCTCGAGCAGCGACACGACGGCGACGGCCTCGACCTTGCCGCCGAGCAGGCCCTGGCCGCCGAAGCTGAAGCTCAGCGTCGACGAGTGGCGGTCGTAGACGGGCAGGCGCGTGAGGAAGCCATTGTCCTGCTCGTCGTCGCCGAGCTCGAGGCCCTCCTGCTTCGTCACCGCGCTCAGCTTCTGCGTCACGTCGCCCGTGGTAACGCTGATCTTCTCGTTGCGCAGGCTCTCGTGCTCGCCCTGCACGTCGAGCGTGATGGCGCTCAGCAGCTCGACGGTCGCCGTGTCGGCGCCGAGGAGCGACTTGGGAATGTCGTCCTGCAGCGTGATGGAGCGCCAGCAGACCGTCGCCTGCACCTTGCCGTAGCCGACGCCGTCCTGCAGCGCAAAGTAGCGCGTCACCGAGCTCGACTCGGTGAGAATGTCGGGCAGCGAAATGTCGCAGATGCCGAGCACCGGGTCGTTTTCGCGCACGCGGCTGTCGCGCACGACGATGCGCACGGGCGTCGAGCGCCAGTCGCGCACAAAGGCCTCGTGCTGCGCCTCCCACTGTGGACAGGGTCAGCACTGCCGCACAGCTAGGCCTGCACCAGCACTCACGATTGGGAAGTTGGAGAACATCTTGGCACGCGTGCGGTACACAATCGAGTCGCCGTACACGAGCTCGGCGTAGCCCGAGGGCAGGTTCTGCTCGAGGTCCTTCTCCTCGACGTCCTGGCCCGACGAGCCGCGCTCGCGCTCCTTGCCGCTGACGCCCTTCTCGACCTCGCGCGTCTCGAGGCCGATGCAGTGGTGCAGGGTCACCGAGAGGATGCCCGACGGGTAGCGCTCCTCGGGCGGGCAGTTGAGCGCCGAGATCTCCTCCTCGGTGCCCTGCTTCTTGGCCATCTCCTCGGCCTGCTCGGCGGTCTTGCGCTCGGCCTCCTCCATGGCGTCGCGACGCGCCTGCTTGGCCTTCTTGTACAGCTCCTTGTTGAACGCGGCCTTCTCGAAGAAGCCGCAGCGCCACTTGAGCGCGCCTGAGGGGAGGGTCAGCCACTGGCGCACGTGGCCGGCACACACCACGCACCCTGCATCTTGTCTGCGTCCTCAAAGCCCTTGAGCTCGTCGCGGTACTCGACCATCTTGTTGCGCGTCTCGCCCTTGGTCAGCTCGCCGACGTTGCGCGAGATGCGGCCGACAATGTCGTCGGCGGTGCGCTTGTCCGAGTCCCACAGCTGCACGGAGAGCACCTCGTCGTTGGCGAGGTCGTCCTTGGTGATCGGCACGAAGGCGTACTCGTTCCAGTTGGGGTTGAGGTCCTCGAAGATGATGCGGCTGCTGTACAGCGGCTTGCCGAACTTGGCCAGCGAAATGACGACGTACGGGTCGCTCGAGCCGCTGGCGTCCTGCGCGCTGAGGTCGATGCCGCGCTGGATGTGCACGACAAGCACGCCGATGGCGTTGACGTCCTTGCCCGGCGGCGCGCCCGAGATCATGTCGGCGACGTTGAGCGTCATGCTCTTCGGCGCCACGTACTCGTTGAGCGCCGCCGCGATCGAGCTCTTGACGAAGCCGGAGATGAGCGGCAGGTCGAGCACGTTGGGCAGCGCCCGTGCCATGGGCACGACGTTGACGTGCACGTCGGGCACGCCCATCATGGTGATCGTCACGTTGCGCACGTACGGCGCAGCCTCGACGAACCTGAGGAGGGTCAGCATCGCACGGAGGACCCAGGCGCGCAGTACCACTCACTGGACGCGCAGGCGCGCCGTGCCGCTGAGGCCCGTGATCTCGGCCCAGACGTTGAAAGGGAAGCGGAAGAGGTCGTACGCGCCCATGAAGAAGCTGATCATCAGCGACGCCGCCTTGGTCTTCTGACCGGGACGCTTCATGAGGACGAAGCCTAGAGAGGGAAGGTATCAGCTGCCTGCGGCCGGCAAGACCCTGCGCAGATGAAGACTCACCGACCTCAAGGTTGAGGAACGACTGCAGAGGAAGGAGAAAGGATGGGCAGCGTCAGTTCAAGCGGCGCGGAGCTGGATCGAGTAGAAGACTCACGCCGGACTCGTCCTCGTCGGCCACGCCATCGCCGTCAGCGTCGCCGGCCGACTTGCCGTCATCCTTCTTCGCCATCGCACCCGGCTTCTCCTCAGGCTTGAGCTCCGATCGCCTCCCTTGATCTATCCACTCCTCTTGAGGGTAGTTGGGGTCGCTCGGCTTGTCGGCGAGGCCGCGGAAGTGCGTGAGGCGCAGGGCCGAGTCGGGGTGGCCGTGCGTGAGGTCGCTGACCTTGACCGCCGAGATGAATCCAGGCAGGCTCACTGGAGAGGAGAGGACGTATTAGTGGCAGGACGATGTCTATTCAGTGAGAAACAACAAACTTTGCATCGTGTCCTCTATCATGTCCGCAGCCTGTCGGGTAGAGAGACTCAGAAGGGAGGTCTTTGGGAGAAGGGAGAGGACTGGGTGCTTCTGAAGGCCAAAACTCACCGCGAGGAACATGTCGGGCGAGATCTGCTTCCAGACGGTGGCGATGAGCGCATTCAGCCACTCGACACTGGTGAGGGAGGGACGGAGGCAGTGAGGCGGAGAACGGAGAGGAAAGGGAGAGAGAATGGGTGCAAGAGAGGGGTCAGCGGAGGTACCTCGACGCGTCGATGGCGAGAAGTGCAGCGCCGGTCATGCTCCGACGATGACGACGCCCGCGTACCCGCTGCTAAACTGAATCTTCTCGGCTGCACTCACCTCTCCGGCAGCGGCGTGTCGCTCAGCGAGTGAGCCTTGCCGCGCTGCTCGTGCATCTGCGCGCGCACCGCCTCGAGGTCCTTCTCGATCTTGCGCGCCGAGAGGCCCAGTGCCGAGGCACCGCCGATGCCCACGCCGACGAGGATGCCCGTGCGCAGCACGAAGCGGAAGTAGCCGGCGCCAAAGGCAGTGAAGAACCACACGACGGCGAGCGCGGCGGCCAGCGCGACGCCCAGGTTGCGGAAGTTGCCCTCCAGCCGTGCAAAGGCGTCGGTGTCGATGGGCGCCGGGAACGGCTGCAGCAGGATGTTGGTCGGCTCGGCGGGCGACGGGCCGGTGAAGAAGGCCTTGTAGTTCTCGGCGAGCTTGGGCGGCTTGGAGGAGAAGCCGCCGGGCTTCTTGCTCTCGAGCACGTCGACGGGAATGTCGCGCGGCACCTGGTCCTCGATCTCGACGTCGCCGCTCGTCGTGGGGTCGGTGACGCGGCGGCGGCCCTTGGCCTGGAAGTCCGTCGGCTTGCCCTCCTGCGGCTGCGCGGCCTTCTTCAGGCGCTCCTTCTCGGCCGCGCCGCCGCCGGCGGCCTGGCCGGCGGCCATGTCGCCGTCGTCCTTGGGCGGCACGCCCGGCGCGTCGCCGGCCCCGCGGCGCTGGCGCAGGCCCTCGCCCTGCTGTGTCGGGTCGGCGCCCTGCAGTGCCGGCGCCGCGCCTGCGCCGCCGACCTTCTCCTCGTCGGCGCTCTGCGCAATGCGCGAGTCATTCGCGGCGGCGGCACGCTCGCGCGCCTCCTCCTCCTGCCGGAACTTTTCGATGGTGGGCACCTGGTGGTGCGCGCTGTAGGGCGCCGACATTGCGGCTGCGGCAGAGGGGTGGATGGTGGTGAGAGGCGAGGGCGGATGCCACTCTGGCCCGCTGGCTAATCGGGCAGGAGGAATGTGCGGCAGCAAAGGCAGCGGGCCGGCCGCGCGCAGCCGCACGGACGCGCACACACTGGCCGCGTGCCCGCGAGGCAGAAGCGCACCTCCACAGCAGCAGCACCCAGGATGCAGGCTGTGCCTTCCTGCGCCGAGAGTGCTCGCTCTCCGCCGGCCCAGGCTTTCCTCTCCCTCTCCTGCTACTGCGGCGCACGTCGTCGGGCTCGGGCCGTGTGGCTGCGAGCTCTGCTGCGCCGTCTGCTGCAAACTTGCCGCTGCCGCCGCCGCCGGGCCGTTCTCTCTCTCCTCGCGGCCCATGCCGCAGGGTCCGCTCTACTTGGCACCGTCTGACCTCATTTCGCAGCCGCAGCCCTTGCGCAGCACAGCCGCACGCCGCAGCTCTCTGCAGAGAGCAAGGCGCAGCATCCTTGGCTCTATTCTCAGCTCAGCGCCAGCGGCAAGCCCAGACCGCGGAAGAGACGAACCCTTCGTGCCTCGCCGCGCGCGCGGCGCTTCATCTTCGCGCGGACGCGCAGCGGACGCAAGACGCCGGCCGTGCGCCGTGCGCAAGGTGTGGGAACATGCGCACGCAGGCGCGCTATGAAGTCATGGCGAGCTGCCTGCCATCGGCGCGCGCCAAGCCGTCGGCTCGGCTGATCATCCGCGCCCAAGCTCGCAGCGACCGCACCGACGTTGAGGTCTTTTCGCCCATCCTCACAGGTCCCAACGACGGATCTCACAACTGTGCTGTCGAGCATGGCAGGCCATGGAGAAAGCATAGATGAAGAGAGAGGAATGGAAGGAGAAGAGGCAGCTTGCCGGCGTGGTGCACAGACGCACTAAGTCGATCCAGCACTGCCCTTTCATCGTCCGCCAGAGCTCCCGCGCGCGGCGCGAGCTAAAAAGGATGATAAACGGAGAGGTGCGCGATCGACCGAATGTGAAGGGCATCGCCAGCTGGAGTGGCTGTGCGGCGTTGCGGACGACGAGCTGGTGCGGCATAGCGGACGGGCTGGCACACGCTGCGCGTGTGGTCTGCGAGAGAAGCGGTTCCGACGCAGGTGACGAGACGGGCGCCGTCTTGGCGCCTGCGTCGAAGCCGTTCGCTCGTCGGATCACACACCTGGCGTGCACATAGCTCGTCCGTGGGCGCACGTAGCTGACGATGCGGACCTGCTCGATGTCGAGATCGGCGGCAGTCTGGCATCTGAGAGGATGTCGAGATAGTGAGCCTCCGACGATGAGGGGAATGACGAGGTGACTCACGCGAGTCCGGACTACTGTCGCCTCGACGCGGATGGACGTCGAGTCGATGCTTCGTGCATGTCGCGACGCAGAAGACTCGAGCATGGCCAGAGCGGCAGCATCGCCGCCCTGAAGCATGTTCGTGTCTTCTCGCTCAGTAGACACGCCCAGCATCGACTCGTCGTCCTGCTGGACTTGCTCCGCCTGAGCGACCGCGGGATCCGGCCGTCGAGCAGCACATCCGAGCGGGCAGCGCGTCACGACACCACGCACGGTGATGACTGGCGCACTGCACACCGAGCACAATCATGGCCGGATCCTGCGATTGCATGAGGACGCGAACGAGGAGAGTGGCCGCAGCGAGATCGACCGTCGATGGCGTCGTGTGCGATGCCTGCAAGCGAGTAGAGCATCAGCGAGGCTGTCTTCCGCAATGCGCGTGGCCCGACTCACCAAGGTAATCGGCGGCGACCTCAGCAAGCTTTTCCCCCAGACATCCCAGAGACAGATGGCACGAAGGCCTGGCACGTCTCGTCGACCCGATTTCTGCGCGTCCAGTCACGCAGATCATCTGCATGGCTGGCCGTGCAAGAAGCCGCGCCGATCGAGACGCTCCAAGCATGCCTGCCATCTACCCGAGACCCCCTCGCGTGGTCGTTCTGCCCACCGGGCCATGCGCCGTGAGACCGAGCGGCCGACGATGACTACAGAGACAGAGACTACGTAAGCTTGTGATGGTGAACAACGACGGCGACGCACACTCACTGCCTGCACGGCTGCTACAGACCATCATCGACGTCGAGCTCGATGCCGAGGTCGCGCCTCTCGCTGCAGCAGACGGATAAGCTGGCGAGCACGTTGTCGAAGAACAGGCGCACTCACCGTTACCGCAGAAGCCGCCGTCCTCGATCGATGGACGTGCAGGCACCCAGCGGCGGCTTGAAGAGTCATACAAGCGCCGCTGGCATGCCTGCACGTAGCACGGACGAGGACAACGGCGTCTGCGGGTGCCGCGAGGGTGGCGACCGTGGCCGGCGAAGGTCTGAGAGGCATCGGATGAGCACAGCTAGCGCTCCATCGGAAGGCGAGAGGACTCACCGCCACATGCGCTGCGATCCTCATCGTACGCTGGAAGGCAAGCAGCGGCAGCCTGAACAGTCGCTCGCCTTCCTCTGCGTGCCTTCAAGCGTGCGATCCAGATCGCAGTACACGAGACGATCTTTGTCAGGGCAGTTGCCGCCACGAAGATCTTTGCGAGGCATGAATGAGCACAGCTATAGTATGGGCGACGACAAGACGGGCTCACCCGACCAGAGACATCGCGGCTGCTGCCCGCAAGCCGCCTCACAGGCGAGTAGCGACAGGTTGGACGGCTGTCCAAGCGGCGCTGCTCGCCTGCGTCGTGGCTACACGACAGCAGCGACGGAATCAAGCTGGGCGAGGCTACAGCAGCTGCGCCCCGATGAAGAGGACTGAGAGAGGCGTCAGTACAGGGCAGCGTGACATCGGACAAAGCGCCCTCTCACCGTCGTTGCTCGCGCCCAAGTCGCTCCAGTTCGGCGGTCTGCAGGACTGAGTGGCAGCTCGAACAGCCATTCGAACGCCACTCTGTGCCTGCAGCGTAAAGTAGAAGCGATCCAGGCATCAACAACGACGACCTCGGGCCGGCCGCCGTCGGCGAGGATCTGTGAGGGATGGGTGAGTCCAAGCAGCCTGACGTCGGGCACTAGGACACTCACCATCGCTCGCTTGCTCCGCGGTCGCTGTGTCAGGAGCATTTTAGGCAAGAGCGGCAGCTCGCACTTTGGTGCGAGCATCGCTGCGCGCCTGAAACGCTCGGACAGAGCGACGGCTGCGCAAGCGGTCGTCGCGTCGAGGCAGCCGCAGCCCGTGATGAGGTCTGCGAGGGGTCCATGAGCATGGGCAGCCGAGGTAGAGTGGCAATCCAACTGACCTTGCTCAACGCGGCGCTCCAGTCTGTTGCATCGAGACGGCTGCGACCCGGGAGAGCATCAGCAAAGAAATGGTGAGCATGCAGAGCGAGTGGTGCGAGCGAAGAGGAGGCAGACTCACCGCCACCATCTATGCCTGCCGTGGCCGCACGGAGCATCAATTCATGTATGCGTGCAGTCGAAGAGGGGTCTTCGAGCGCGCCGCTACAGACTCGATGCTCCATGTCGGCGACGACGGGGAAGGTGAAGCTTGACGTTGGGTTGCGATGTCGAACGAGGCTTGTCGAAAGCGTCGTCAGATGGAGCGACTGTGACGGGGAGTATCAGCTTGAAACTGCTTAGACCATGAGAAAAGTGCGGCGGCTCACCGACGGACGACGACGACGAGCTCGCGAACGGCGAGCACACGATGACCAGGTGCGCGCGCCGGTGGTGTCCGAGGAGAGCGTAGCGGGAGAGGGTGGCTCAGCCCCCGCCGAGGCGGAAGCCGAGGATCTGAGACAACGCAGGAGGAGGCTTCGACAGGAGGATGTGGTCTGGAGGGAAGGTGGTCGCTGGCGAGGCGAGCTTTTGTAGGCGTGCGGCGGGCGCAACGAGCGTCGCTCGTGGCCGAGGAACGAGACTCGCGGGCTGCCCGCTTCCCCTCGAGCTCTGCGCTGTGCCGCAGCAGCGCTTCAAGGCAGGCAGGAAGCGGCCGGCTTGCAGGCTGAAAGGGGAAACGGCGTCAGGCACTCTATTCCCAACCGGGCACGCGTCTCGACCGGACAACACGGCAAGCGCGGCTCACGAGGACGTCGTCGATCGCATGGCGTCTCAGCCATGTCGGGCGCGGGCGGGCGATACAACACTTTGCGATAGCAGTGTGCGGTATGCTGCTCTCCTCTTCACTGCTGCAATTGCTCGTCTCTGGACTGCTCACTCGCGAGGCGGTCGCAGAGGAAGCATGTTAGGGGCGTCGCGCGGCGCGCGGCCGTGCTCCTCTCCCGCGGGACTCGGGCATGCGCCGCCGCACCCTGGGCCTTTTTGGGCGTGCGCCTCTCCTTCTCTTCCCGCCTCCATCACCCTCGCTCCGCTGCTGCACAGCATGGCACCATGCCGTGCGCCCTTCATCCCACGTCTCCTCTTTCCCTTCCCTCGTACCATCCCGTCCTGGTACGCGGGGCACATGTATCGCGCCATGCGTTCGCTGCCCGCGCTGCTGGCGCGCCAGCCGCCGCCGCTCGTCGTCGAGGTGCGCGATGCGCGCCTGCCGCTCAGCAGCATCAACCCGGCGTTTGAGATGCTGCTGCGCCAGCGGGCGCGCGCCGAGGGCGACGAGGAGTGGCGCCATCGGCGCCTGGTCGTGTATGCCAAGCGCGACCTCGTCGATGCGGCCATCTGCGAGGTGAGTGTCACACGCGTGGCCATCTGCAGCGGCTGGCGCTGAGGCGCTCTGCACCAGCCTCTGCGCGAGGCATTCCGCAAGTACGGCGACGGGCAAGAGGTGCTCTTCGTCGACACGCGCCGCGACTCGGACGTGCGCAAGATCATGCAGTGGGTGCATGCGCGCGCCGCCGCGCTCAGCACGTCCGACGAGCTGCCGGCCTCGCCGCGCTCCCTGCCGCGCTCGGCGCGTGCACAGAACCTGACGGGCGCGTTCAAGCACACGCCCACGCCCGAGGTGGGCGCGCGACTCGTCATCGTGGGCAGCCCAAACGTGGGCAAGAGCAGCCTGCTGAATGCGCTGCGACGCGTGGGCACGGGCAAGGGTGAGTCACAGCGGGGGCAGGTTGTGGGCAAGGGCAGAGGCTGACTCTGCTGCGCAGGCAAGGCGGCCTCGACGGCGCCCGAGCCGGGCCACACGCGCAAGCTGACGGGCACGGTGCGCATCACCAAGGCCGGCCAGGCCTCCGTTCGTGCCGCATCCGCAGCAGCGCGTGAAGCCGATGGCGCAGAGGAGGCGTCTGGCTCTGACGACGCCTCGGCTGCGCTCTTCGAGCTTGGCGTCGACGAGGCGCCCGCGCCGGGAGCGAAGAGTCAGACGCCGGTGTACGTGTACGACACGCCGGGCATCATGGTGCCGTACCTGGGGCGCGGCGCGTCGGGCGCGGAAAAGGGCATCAAGCTCGCCGTGGCGGCGGGCATGAAGAGCAGTCTCTTCGACGTGCAGGTGCTTGTCGACTACTTGCTGTTCCGCCTGAATCTGCGGCATGGCTGGGACGAACATCAGTGGCGGCGCAACGGGGGAACGGGAGGTGAGTGGCGGGTGCGGCGCCCACGCCGCGCCCCCGTCTGACTCCCACTTGCACAGACGCGCCCCAGCCGCGCTACGTCACGCACCTGCCCATGCCCAAGCAGCAAGCCGCCTCTTCGCAGCCGACAAATGCCATCGCCACGCTGCTCTCACTCGTCGCCGAGCGTGCCCCGGGAACACTGGGGCGCGGCGGCGAGCGCGACCTCGACGGCGCCGCTGCATTCGTGCTGCAGCGCTGGCGCGAGGGCAAGCTGGGCGCAGGCTACGGAGAGCTGGACCTGGGCCTGTATGAGCTGCCTGCCGAAGTTCCGCAGGGCGACACGATGCTGATGGAGGGCGAGGAGGGCGCAGAGGAACAAGTCGAGGATCCGGAGACGAGGAGAGAGAGGCTGATGGAGGAGCTCAAGCAGCGCGCGGACCCGGCGCTGCGCATCGACGCCCTGGTGAGACGCCACTTTCAGGAACTGGCACGCGCCGAGCGCGCCGGCGTGGGCACTTCGCTCGGCCCGGCCCGCGGCGCAGGGCGTGACTCGCGGCGAGCCGAACGCGCCAGCGACACGCCCGACGACGCTTCGCTCGACGACGCCGCGAGCGCCGGCGCAGAGGCGCTGATGAGTCGGCATCAGAGCAAGAAGCGCGACAAGGCGCAGCTGCTCAAGCGCAAGAACGAGAAGCTGGCCGCCAAGGGCATCGGCGCTCGTCCGCCACGCGGCAGCGCCCCAGGCGCTCGTCTCGCCGCACCGCGCTCTGCGGGCGCGGCCGCCGGCGCTGGCGTCGAGAAGAAGGGGCCCGTGAAGATCCCCGGCCGCCTGCGCGCGGCGGCGGCGCATGGTGCGCGCCGCCCGCTGAGCGCGCTGCTCAAGAGCAAGAAGATGGGCATGGCGCGCAGCGGCCCGCCGAGCGCGCGAAGCGGCGCGCCCGCTGGCGCGGGCAAGCCGAAACGCACGGGCGGCAAGCCGGCCAGGAGGCGCTGATCGACGTAGAAGCCCGCCTCTGCCCCTCTTGCTTCGCCTTCCGTCCCCCCCCCCCCGCCGTAATCGCTAGACGTTGGGCAACCAGTCACTCCTGCACCTGTACTCTACACACTCGCTGCGCTTCTGCTACTCATGCATTCTTCCCCCTCGCCTACTTGCGTCCGCCCCGCTTGTTTGCCGCCTCCTGCCGCTCGCGCTCCTCGCGCTGGCGCATCTGCGCCACGACGCGCGAGATGCCGGCAATCTTGCGGTCGTCGTGGCGCAGGTAGTAGAGCTTTGCGCGGCGCGTGCGGCGCAGGCGGCCCGTCTTGTCGTCCTTGCCCGCGTCGGCGCGGGAGAGCACCTTGATGTCCTTGAGGAGCGGCGAGTACATGGCGAAGCGCACCTCGACGCCGAGCTTCTGCACGAGGGTGCGCAGCACAAAGGCACTCGCCACGCCGCGCCGCCGCACGGCGACGAGCACGCCGGAAAAGGTGCTGAAGCCCGTGCGCGCCGCCGACGTCCACGTCTCGACGATGAGCACGCTGCCCGGCGGAATGCGCGCGGCGGAGCGCCGCGAGAACATCTGCGAGATGCGCCCGGTGCTGTCGTACTGCGTGCGCAGCTCGGCCGTGAGGCGCGCCATGGTGCCGCGCAGGGGCGACTTGACGGTGGGCGCGGGCGTGATGCCGTCGGGCGCGATGAGGCCGACTTGCCGCACGATGGCGCTGGAGGAGAAGGGGTATGCTGCAGCGGGCAAGGCGTCAGATGGCAGGCCAAGGTGCGAGACACGGGCAAAGAGGAGCGGACGCTGCTGCACAGACGCCGGCCTGGGGGAGGCGCAGCTGCAGCGCAGGCCATACCTGCTCCTCGTCATCCGTGCAGCGCAGGCCATACCTGCTCCTCGTCATCCGTGCAGCGCAGGCCATACCTCCTCCTCGTCGTCCGCGCAGCGTGATGTGGGCGCCGAGCAGCACTCCGCCCACGCGCGCAGCAGCAGCGCGGGCCACACCTGCTCCTGCTCACGGCGCCCAGCAGCCCTCTGCCGCTGCCCTCGCGCGCCGCACTGCTGTCGCACCGCGCCCCAGCGACGCCTTGTCGCCTCACGCAAGCGTCTCCAGCCCAGCCGCTCGTCTGCTGCGCCGACTGCGTGCGCTGGCACTCACGCTGCGTCTGCGTGGGCGCGAGCGGGTCGGCCGCGGCGGGTGCCTTTGCCGACGCCGAGAGGGCGCGCCGTGCGCACGACGGGCCAGCGGCGGCGGCCGTGGGGGCGTCGCGCAGGGCGAGGGCGCGCATGAGCGTGGGCAGCGAGGAGCGGGCGCGCGACATGGCCGAGGAGGGAGCGGGGAGGTGGTTGGGATGGGAAGGTGGAGCACAAGGCTCGAAGAATGCAACAAGGGCGACGATGCGCGGAGTCGCACGCGCCTGGTCCTGGCGCTAGGCTGGCTGCCGGCTGGCACAGGCAGACGAGGCCAGGACCGAGCAGCGCGCCCCACGTGGCTGCGCTCCAGCCAGCCCAGCGTGGACGGGGCCAAGTCCCACGCCGACTCCGCCTTGACAGGCCGCTCCATCACCACCCAGCCGCGGCCCTCGCACCCCTCACACGCCAGGCGCGCCGCACCGCACCGCACCTGCCTGCGCCTCACGCTCGTCGCCGCTGCCGCACCCGCCGCAGCTGCTGCGCCCGGGCGCCCGCGTCGCCGCTGCCGCCGCATCCCTGCGCGCGTGCTCCACTCTGCCGCCTCGCCGCCCCGTGCCCGCCTAGCCCAGCATGGCGGCCCGCAAGCTCGCCAGTGCGTGGCCTGCCCCCTTGCCGCAGCCCTTGCCCGCTCACTCACTCACCCCTGCCGCAGCCGAGATCGAGCGCACGCTCAAGAAGGTCGCCGAGGGCGTCGCCGGCTTCGAGGAGCTGTACGACAAAATGCAGGCGTCGACGAACCAGACGCAGAAGGAGAAGATGGAGGCGGAGCTCAAGACGCAGATCAAGAAGCTGCAGCGCCTGCGCGACCAGATCAAGACGTGGCTGCAGAGCAACGACATCAAGGACAAGAAGCCGCTCATGGACAACCGCAAGCTCATCGAGACGGTGCGTGTGGTGCGGCGTGTGCGCCGCACATGCCGCGGCGTGGCGCGCAGGCGTGTGCGCAGCATGTGTGGTAGCGCGGCGGGAGAGCGCCGGGGCAGCGCATGCGGGGGTGTGTTCGGGGCGGCGGTGGCTGAGCTGAGTGCGGCAGCGAGGTGCAGCTGGGCGCTGGGCTGCTGCGCTCGCCTCTACAAGCAGCTTGGCAGTGGCTGCGTGGCAGGTCCAGCACATGGTGGCCTCTTGCCGCTGCTTGTGCTCGCGCCTGGCAGTGTTCACGCTCGTGCTCACGCCTGCGCTGCAGCAAATGGAGCGCTTCAAGGCGTGTGAAAAGGAGATGAAGACCAAGGCCTTCAGCAAGGAGGGCCTCATCGCCGCCGCCAAGATGGATCCGGCGGAGCGCGCCAAGGCGGACCTGAGCAACTGGCTCTCGGCGTCCGTCGACGAGCTCTCGCACCAGGTCGAGGGCGCCGAGGCCGAGCTCGAGACGCTGGCCGGCGGCGGCAAGAAGAAGAAGGGCAACTCGGGCGCCAACGAGCGGATAGGCGAGCTGGAGCGCCTCAACGAGCGGCGCGAGTGGCACGTGCAGAAGCTCGAGGTGCTGCTGCGCCTGCTGGAGAACGGGCAGCTCGAGACGGACGCAGTGGCGGGCATCAAGGATGACATTGCCTACTTTGTCGAGTCCAACGCGGTGAGTTGCAGCAGCGAAGGCGTGCAGCGCCTGGCGCAGCAGCAGCAATGCTGAGACGCGCCGGCTGGCAGGACGAGGACTTTGAGGAAGATGAGGGCATCTACGACGACTTCAACCTCGAGGAGGAGGAGGAGGCGCTGGGGCTGCGGGACAACGACGACGTGCAGAGCAGTCACGACGGCGCGTCTGTCGCAGAAGGTGAGCCAGCAGCGGCGAGCACTTCTGTGCAGCGGGCGCTAAGCTTCGGCGCAGAGCCAACACCGCCGCCGCCGCCGACGCCCAAGGTCGAGAAGGCGGCGCCGAAGAAGAAGGAGCCGGAAGAGGCGGCCAAGAAGTCGACGCCAGCACGCAAGGCGTCCGACGTGGCGTCGTCGAGCAAGGAGCCGCGCGCGGCACAGGGCACGCCCAGCAAGGCGAGCGCCGTCACTGCGTCGCCGTCTGCGCTGTCTGCGGCCGCCGTTGCGTCGCCGCCACGCGCGCCGAGCCAGGCGGCGCTGCCGCCGATCCGCTACGCCGCCGCAGCCGCAGCTGCCGTGTCGCCGAGCTCGACGAGCGCGCCGGCAGCCAGTGCCTCGGCCTCGTCGCCCGTCGTGTCTGCCGCACAGATGTCCGAGGCGCCATCACAACCGTCGCCGCCACCATCATCTGTCCTCGCCAGCTCCGACGCGCCCATGGTTACCGCCTCGCCGTCTCCGTCACACGCACAGAGCGTCTCTGCGCCTTCTGCCAGCGAAGGCGTCGCCAAGGACTCGCCGGCCTCGACGTCGGACATGCCGCCATCACCCACGCCTGCGCCGCCAGGGCTAGGCGCACAGTCATTGCAGCTCAACGGCTCGTCGCAGGACTCTCCGGCCGCGGCGCATGCCTCCGCATTGCCAGGCAGCGTCGATGCCGCACCAGGCGCGCCGCTCGACGGCAAGAGCAGCGGCAGCAGCGTGCCGGAAGGTGCCGCGGCCGCCGCTGCTGCGTCTGCCTCTGCGTCGGCAGCAGGCAAGGCCGGTGCCGAGGGCTCGCAGGCTGCCTCTGAGTTCCAGCCGGCTCAGCTGGCGGCCAGCTCGGCGGCCGCAGGCGTCGTGCAGCCGCTGGGCGGCGGCGCAGGCACGAGCAGCCAGCGCGCCGCGGCGCAGCGGCAGCAGGGCACCGAGGCGCGCCTGCCGAGCAGTCTGGCGGACCTCGTCTCGAGCTTCGAGAGTGCCAAGCACAAGTGTGAGTTTGCGTGCGCAGGTTGCTGAGCACAGGACTGGCTGGCTGATGGCATGTGCCGCTCTGCCAGCGATGAACCGCACCAACGACTTGACGCAGGTGCACGAGTCGCTCGAGTCGAGTGCGCTCGGCGTGCCGGAGCCGCAGGACAGCGATGCGTGCGTATTCTGGGCGCACGCCTCTGGCGGCCCAAGCTGACGCCCGCCTGGTTTCGCTGCTGTCCAGGCCGCGCTACTACCGCGCACAGAACCCATGGCCGAGTCCAGCGTGGTACCCGCAGACGCCGCTCAACATCTTTGACAATCCGGCACTGTACTCGAAGCTCGAGGAGGACACGCTGTTCTACGTGAGAGAGAGCTGTCCGCTTGCGCGGGTGAGGCAATGGCGCGGTGTTGACGCCTGGCCACGCACAGATCTTCTACTACTCGCAGCGCGACTACCACCGGTGAGTGTGATGCTGCGTGCTGTGTGCTGTGTGCTGGGAAATGCATGCTGACGCTCGCACCAGGTATCTCGCCGCCAACGAGCTGAAGCGGCAGTCCTGGCGCTTCGTGAGTGGCGCGTGCCTGCCGATGTGGAGCCGCAGCAGCTCACCTCTCTCTCTCGTCCGCAGTCGATGCGCTTCGGCACCTGGTTCCAGCGCTACTCGCAGCCCGTCAGCGTCACGGCCGAGTACGAGGAGGGGTCCTAGTGAGTTTGCCCCGCGCGCGTGTGTGGCTGCATGGCCGAGCTGTGCTGATCGGCGTGTGTGCCCCGCTTGCAGCATCTACTTTGACTTTGAGACGTCGTGGTCGCAAAGGCGGAAGCAGTCCTTCCGGTGCGTCGGGCTGCGCGACGCCTCGTGTCGCCGTGCTGATGCCGTCCTGTCCCGCCCACAGCTTCGAGTACGTCTACCTTGCGCCATGAGCGCGGCCGTGCCTGCCTCTCGGCCGCCTCTGTACAACACTGTCGTGGGCAACGCCAGACGATTACACATGCGCAGCGCGCAGTCTGATCTCTCTGCGCCGAGCTTGCAAAACGGTACTTTCAGGCGGACAGCGGGGTTCACCGCCATCTGTGTGGTATCGAGGGGTGGGGTGATGCAGCGCAGAAGAAAGGGTGCGCGCGAGAGCAGAAGGAAGAAGCGGCGGTGCGCACATGAGGCAGCATCACGCGCGCGTAGAAGAGACGACTGGGGACAAGTGTGCCGAGGGGCGGTGGGTTTAGTGTGTAGGGCAAGGCAAGGTAAAGAGTGCGAAAAGAGTGTGGCGGCCTGCTGGGCCAAGAGGGAGAATAGATCGAGCGAGAGGAGGCGTGGGCGCACGGATCGCGGCGCTCTTTACAGCACGTACGTGGCCGGCACGACGCCCGTCTGGCCGTCTAACCGGGCAATGAGCCACCACGACTCGTCGCCGTCGTCGAGCACGAAGATGGTCTGGAGCGTAGACGGGTCAGCTGCGCGCACACGCCTCGGGACTGCTGCATGCCACTCACATCGCCTGCGCGCATCGACACTTCGGACGGGTGTGTAGCCTCAAACGAGTAGCGCGCATGTGCCTCGATGCCCTCGCGCTCCTCGTCGTCCATGCCGCCATACGCCATGCCCACCGCCGCCGCGCCTGCGCCTGCGCCGCCTGCGCCGCCGTCGTCGCCGCTGTAGTACTGCGTCTGGCCCGTGCGTTCGGAGTGGTACGCCGTGCTGGGGTCGCTGTGGTCGAGCGTCGTGCCGCCGCCGCCGTGGTGCGCCGACGACTCGGCATGCCCGTGGCTCGTGCTGGCGGCCGCGGCAGCGGCAGCGCCAAAGCCCGCGGCGCCCGCACCGGCGGCGCCCGCACCGACGCCGGCCATCTGCGCATTGTCGACGCTGCCGCGCTCGTGGCCGGCGCCGCCGCCCATGGCGCCCTCCGTCGCCGCATTGAGCGTCGCGAGCAGCTCTGCCGGCTGCTTCTTCTCGCCGGCGTGGCCGAGGGTGTCGTCGGAGGGCGAGATGGGCACCTCGACGCCGCGGCGGTCCTTGCGCCGCAGCAGCGCCCAGAGCAGGCCGAGGAGCACGAGGAGGAAGACGATGCCGAGGCCAATGGCAATCGAGATGAGAATCACGATGCCCACGGCCAGGTGGCGCAGGTTGGGGAAGGAGAGCACCTCGGTCGAGCGCGTAAAGGCACGGATGGCGCCGAGGCCGCCGCCGTACGCCGTGGCAATGAGGAAGGGCGTCCAGGAGTTGCCGTCGTAGAGCGCCGTCGAGACGTTGCCAAAGTCGCGCATGTTGAGCGCGCCCGAGACGACCAGCAGCCGGTTGTTCTCGAGCACGTCGTTAGAGGGGTGGGCGCGCGTGATGCCGACGAACGAGAGCTGCGCGATGCCCGTCTCGGAGAGCAGCTCGTCGGGCGCCAGCGTAAGGAAGCTCTGGCCGTTCCACTTTGCCAGGTACGGCTGCTGGCCGTCTGTGGTGCGTCCGCCGACAAAGATCGAGTTCAGGTTGAGGTCGTCGACGGAAAGCGCCGTCGCTGGACCAGGCACCTGCCCATCGCCCGAGCCGACGGAGCCGAGCGCCGTCCACACCTGCCGCTCAAGGTCGTACGTGGCCAGCGAGGCCTCTGCGCCGTTGATCGTCATCGAGCCGGCGACGACGACGGTGCCCGCCTTGCTCTGCACAAGAAGGGTCAGCACACGATCACATCGTCACTCCGCTGCCGCACTCACGCCGCCAAAGTCAATGGCCGAGATCTGGCCGTCGCGCACGCCGGCGCCCAGCTGGCTCCAGCGGCGCGTCTGCGTGTCCCAGGCACAGATGTTGGCGCACGGCAGGCTGCCGGCGTTGTCAAACGTGCCTGCCACGATCATCGTCGACGAGTCGGGCCGGTGGTCAATGTCCGAGACACTCAGCACCGTGGCGCCGCCCTCCACGCTCAGTGTCGCGGCGTCCGAGAGCCAGGCCATCGAGCCAAAGTCAAACATCTGCAGGCCGCCATCGCCGCCCGCGTAGAGCTGGTTGCCGTCGACGTAGAGGGCACGGATGACGGTGAGGTTCGACGAGGCAGGCAGTTGCGGGAAGCGGTTAAGCTGGCTCGTCTTGTAGTCGTACCAGCCGAGATTCACGATGCCCTCGCTCGTGGTGAAGTTGCCGCCGACGACAAAGACAAAGTCGTCGTCGCCGCGCTGCCAGAAGGCCGACGCCAGCACATCCTCGTCGCCGTTGCTCGCCAGGCTCGGCGGCTCCATGGCGTCGGCGCGGCGCGTCAGGCTGGTGCGCGCACCGACAGCCTGCTCGTCGCTGCGCGAGAGGAGCGCAGAAGAGAGCCAGCGCGTCAGACCGCCGCTGGAGCGGCCCGAGAGACTGCCGCTCGAGATGAGCGCACGGCTGGAGTGCACGCGGCGGCGCGACTGCTCCTCCTCGCCCGAGATGACGCGCCCTGCCAGCCGGCGCGCCGAGGCACGCAGCGCCAGCAGGCCCTCGGGTGCCGCGGGCATAGCTGATGCTGCCTGGTCCTGCCGCCGGAAGGAGTAGTTGAGCGCCTCGATGGTCGGTGCACCGCCCTCCTCCTCTGGCGCATTGAGCCGTGCGGCGCCCGACGCGCTCGACGTGCTCAGGCCGGAGACGGCGCCCGCCATGTACGTCAGGCCGTCGGCCGAGTTGGGCGCGCTGACCGAGTCGATGCTGCCGATCAGCAGGCCATCCTGCGGCACCCACGCGTCGGACGTCGTGTCCCACACCGCATAGCCCGCCGCGCTGTCTGCGCCATTGTTGCGCGACTCAAACGCGCCCGTGACGAGGAGCGACGAGTTGCGGAAGGCGGCGAGCGTCAGAACGGCACCGTCCGGCGCGCCGCTGATTGGCTTCCACGTGTTGGCGCGCACGTCGTACTCTGCCAAATTGCTCAGTAGCGTCGAGCCGTCGGCCGTGGCGCTGAAGTTGCCGCCGACAAAGAGACGCTCGTCGATGGCCACGAGGCTCGACACGGGTCCGTTGAGGCCGCCGCCGGCCAGGCGCGTGTAGTTGGAGCCGCCGCTGGCGTCGGCGAAGCTGACGAGATTGGCAAAGCCCTCCTGTGCGATGTCCGTCGTGCGGCTGCTGAAGTTGCCGCCGACAAACGTCGTGGCCAGCAGGCTCGCGGCGCTGCTGAGCGTGTGGCCCTGCGTGCGGTTCACGCCGTTGGCGACGAGCGTGGAGCCAAAGTTGGAGAAGGCGTTGAGGGAGTTGTTGGACAGCACCTGCGTGCCGTTCTCGAGCGGCATGCCCGCCACATCGAACACGTTGTACTCGAGCATGCCAAAGCCGCGCGCCTGCACCATCTGGAAGAGATCGGGACTGGAGCGCAGGTACAGCGACACCTTGTCCGCCACGACGATGAAGTTGTCGCCGCGCGTCGGCGCTGCCGCGTCCTGCGGGATGCTGAGCGTGATGCTAGGCTTGAAGGTGTCCGAGGTGCGGTCGACGGGGCCGGAGTAGACGAGCACGCGCGTGTCGTCCTCGACGGCCTGGCTGACGCGGATCTCGCTGCCGGCGACGTTGGCCTGGGCGATGGTGGTGACGAGGACGTCGGTGCGCTGGCCGCACTGGCCCGCGGCCGTGCAGCCGGGCACGTAGAGGTAGGCCGAGTAGTTGCCATTGTAGTGTGCATCGACGTCCCAGCGCAGACTGACCGACGAGGCGGCCTGCGCGAGGTTGCTGTAGCTGTCCTGGTACGCCAGCACGGGCGCCGAGGCGCCGCCGATGACCGTGTTGGTCTGGTACCAGCCGCCCTCGCTCGTCGTCGTCGAGTCGGTCGAGTTGACGCCCGGCTGCTCAGAGCTGCAGCGGCCGCGGTTGTAGCCGCCGTAGGCGTAGGCAAAGGCGCCCTCGGAGAGGAGCGAGAGACTGTGCAGGCCCGCGCCGGCGCCGTACCACTCCGACACGGTCAGCTGGATGCCCGTCAGCTCGCGCACGCCCGACTGCGCGCCGCTCTCGGGCAGGTCGGCAAAGACAAAGTCCTGGTACGGAATGTTTGCGTCGTGCGCCAGCGTGCACGCGTCGCTGCACGTCACGTTCTGCTGCGTCGCGGGATCGACGTACACCATCGTCAGCACCTGGTTGTCGGGAATCGAGACGACGCTAAACGTGCGCGTGCCGCGGCCGTCGACGAAGGTGTTTGCGAGGCGCAGCGCGCGCGCAGAGAGGCTGCGGAAGGTGCGCAGCGTCAGGCGGCCCGGCGCATTGTCGGCAAAGAGGAACGTGTTGTTGGGGCCGTCGTCGCCGCGCGGACAGAGGATCTGCGCTGGGTTGGCATAGTCGCGGTTCGACGACACGGGCCCGCCCTGGAACTCGCTCTGCCCCAGCGGCAGCGGCGCCATGGCAATTGTGAGGCTCGACGCCGACGTGTTGGTGCCCGAGGTGGACATGTTCGTGCCGGCGGCCGAGGAGAACTGCATCTCAAAGGCGCCGAGCAGGCGGATGTTGGACGAGTTGGAGCCGGCCGTGATCGTGTCGACGGTGCCGTTGACGCCGCCGAACACGACGGGACTCCAGCTGCCTGCAGCGTACGACCAGCTGGCCACGCCGCCGAGGAAGCGCTCCGCCTCCTCGGCCGGCGGCGAGCGCGGCCGCACAAAGGAGCCGCCGGCGATGAGCGTGCCGTGCTCCTCGTCGCAGTACAGCGCCTCGACGGCGCCGTCGAGGCCGCCGGCCAGGTCGCTCCAGGAGCGCGACGCCGGGTCGTACGCGGCAATGTTGCTCACGGCGCTGCCGTTGATCGTCTCAAACGTGCCGCCGACGAAGACGGTGCCGTTGACGCCGTCGCTGCGCTGGCAGATGGCGCGGATCGCCCCGCCCTCGCCCGTCGCGCCCACCTTGGCCAGCTGGCCGCTGGGCGCAAGCGTAAGGAGCGAGCCAGCATCGGCGCTGAACGCGCCCGTGCTGCTCAGCGTCGACACGTTTTGGTTCCACACCTGCACGCCCTGGAAGCTGCCCGAGATGGCCACCTGCCCGAGTCCCTCAAAGTCGATGTAAGGGAAGTCGGCTGCGGCGACGACGCTGGCTGCCGAGAGCAGCACGGCGGCGCGCGCGAGCGACGACGAGGCACGCATGGTGCCTGCTGGGCCGAGACGCCGGCGAGGAAGGATGTGCGGATGCGGCGAAGAGATGCAGAGAGCGGTCTATGCGGGCGGCGGGTGGCTCGTCGCACTTGGTGCGGAGCGGGATGGGCGGGAGGGAGGGAGGTCGTGACTCGTGAGGGGTGAGGAGTGTGACGTGCGGCAGCGGCGAGAGGAGAGGTGCAGGCGCGTCGGCGAAGAGAGAGCCAGCGTTCCGCAGCCACGCGCGAGACGAGAGGTAAGGGTGGAAAGAGGGGAGAGGGAGATGGAGCAGAGCCGGCGGGTGCGATGGAGGAGCAGCAGGCAGCAGCGCAGCTACCGCGAGACAGGCGCTGTTTGCCTGCGAGGCGCGCGCGGCAGCGGCGGCGCGCGACGGCAGCAGCGCAGCCAACTTCAAGCGGCACGGCGCCCCTCTGCGAGATGCAGCCGCTCCGCGCTGCGCCAGAACGCACAACGCGCACCTTCGCCGAACGAGCGGGCAGCAGGCACAGGCAGGCGGGCAGCGGCAGCACAAGCAACACGCCGACGCCGAGCCGCGCCACGCTCCCTCACGAGATGGCGCCGGGACCGCCGCTTCATCATGCTCAGCCGCGCCTCGTTCTCGCGTGTCGATCAGCGCCCAGCTGGCGAGGCCTGAGCGTGCACACGAGGTGCTGAGACCCACGCCAGCCTGGCCACCGCCGAGCTCTGTGCTGCGGCGCTGCGACGGCGAGCGGTCGGCCGCGCAGGCGAGGCACAGGCGCGCCCGCCGCCCGTCCGTTGCGCTACCTGCCCCTGACGCCGATGCTGTGCCGCCTTCGTCGCTGCACAGGTGCTCTTCGACCGCAGCAGACCCTCATCTCCTGTGCAGTCTTCACGCCGGACCTCTTGCCCAAGACGTCCTCGCAGGAGGCGCGGTGAAGCTCTCCTCTCTCGAAAGAGGAGTGGCAGACAAAGGCAGCAGCGCGTCAGAACGGGGGCGCGGGAGACGTTCTTCGATAGAACACGCCGCGCGCGCAGCGGCCGCCATCGGGGTCCGGTGCCTCTCTGTTGGGACGGGAGCGTCACCTAGGTGGGAGCGTCACCTAGGTGGGAGCGTCACCTAGGTGGGAGCGTCACCTACGTCTATTCTCAGCTGCCTGTGACAATAAGAATGCTCCCAGAAATTGAGATGTGCGTGCTCAAAAGACACCCCTCATGGCCTTGAGGAGGGCCTCCTCTCGCCCAGCGGCAGCAGCGGCTTGAGCCGATCTGCCGGGCAGCGCACGGCTCGGCGGAGCTCATATCTCGCTGCCCTGGGCGTACCGCTGTTCCCTCAAACGCGGACGTCCGCTGCTTCGCCTCAGAGCAGACGGATGCTCTTGACCGTCTGAGGTTGAAGAGTTGTCGTCTCTCAGCGTTGCAGCAAAGCAGCCCGTCCTTTCAGCTGAGGCTGTGGGCGACGACGACGATGTGGCTGGCGCTCCCACCACGCGCACCGCCGGCGATCTGGAGCGCCAAGACCTCGCCGTGACGCGGCTGTGCTGGGCGCACGCACCGCCTTGTCCCCCGTCGACGCGCCTCTCTCCTGCTCAGCCAGCAGCACAGCAGATGTCGCTTCTCCGCACTTGACTGCCACATCCGTCCATCCAGCGTCCAGCATCCACAACAGCGAGCCAGGCCAGTGCCTCTCTTTCTCTCCGCCTCTCGTCCACATCCACCCCCGGCCTCGCATCAAGCACAGACATGGCAGCCCAGCAGTACTACGGTGCGCTCTCCTTCTCACCTCTCCTTCGCAGGTGCCGGCACTGACATTCCCTTCTTGCCTCTTCCTAAGGCGGCGGCCAGCAGCCGTACGGCATGCCGCAGCAGGGCGGCTACTACCCGCCGCAGCAGGGCTACGGCCCCGGCGGGCCTGCCATGGGCATGGGCGGCGGCGGCTACGGCGGCGGCATGCAGCAGCCCGGCGGCGGCTACGGCTATCCGCAGCAGGGCTACCCGCAGCAGCAGCCGATGGTCGTGCAGCAGCAGAAAGGTGCGTGCCAGGAGTGTGTGCGAGCGAGAGCAGATGGAGCATGGAGGGAAAACTCGAAGAGACGTCAAGACGCGATGGCGGCGATGTCAGGGCGCATGCTGGCCGCTTGAGGGCGGTCGGAGAGGTAGATGGGGCCACGGAGCACAGAGAGCGCAGCAGGCACAGGCAGGAGACAGGTGCAACGAGCCCGGTAGTCGCCTTGAGGTCTCCTCGTACGGGCACAAGCAAGTACAAAGCAAAGCCAGGCCTCGCTTCGAAACGCCAGGCCGAAAGCACGATCGCACGCGCGCTCGAGGATGCTTCGTCCCCGCGTTCAGGCATGGTCCATCAAGCCCTCTCAGGCACTGACCCCCTTCTTCCTCTCACCGGCTTGGCTTCCACTCACAGGCAGCAGAGGCGGCGCCTGTGCGCCCTGCCTCGCGTGCTGCGCCGGCATGTGTCTCTGCTGTGCCTGCGACGATCTGTGAGTTGTGCCGGTCTCTGCGTCTCAGTGCGAGTGTCCCTCCGTTCTTCGAGCTGCCGGCTTCGCGCACGCCGGGCGTCCCGAGCCGCATCGATCCTCATTGTGGCGGCAAGCTGACGCAGCGCCCTCTCCCTCTCCCTTGCTCCCTCTCTCTCTCCCTCACCGCGGCGCGTACAAAACCAGATGCTGTGGTAAGTCCCACCCCCCGCCGGCGTACACGGACGAGCGCGCGTGCGGCGAGGGCGGCTGCTGCATGGGCTGCGGCTGCTGTTCCGGCGCTGATTGCAACTGCGACTGTGCCTGATGATGTAGACTTGGCTTGAGACGAGAAGCTTTTTGGCTCGACCCGGATGGCTCGGACAAGTACCCTCTCTCGTTCTCTCGTCTCTCGTTCTCGCCTCAAGGCTCTCGTTTCGTCTCTCTCAGGTCTCGCTTGGTCGCCCCGATCGCTTCTCAACTCCACTCTCTTCTCCCCCTTCTGTACATCTTCCTTCTGCCATCTCTTCCATGCTCGTCATGCTAAAGTCACGAATACACTCTGCAGGGGCCTTGCGTCGCGTGATCACATCTCATTCGCGACCTTCATTGACAAAGGAGAAGCGCGAGTAGAGAAAGGTGTGGAGGGATTGGGTGATGCTCGTACGTCTGGCCGACGTCGTCACGCACTCGCGACCTATATCCCACTTCTATTCTTGTTGGCTCCCAGTTTGACCCATGCCGCCTATGAGCACTGCGATCCCCCGGCGTTTCTTAGGCGCCGTTTGGATAGGGAGAGTGCCAGGTGGATGGGCTTCGATGGGGCCGGAAAGGGGGGAGAGGAGGGGTGGATGGGGGCTCACGGAGAGGGCAAGACGGGAAGATGGGACGGCAGGCGCAGGGTGTCGCGCGCACAAGGAGTAGACACTCACGCACGGCGCTGACGACGGACACGGAGGAGCGCACAGACTCTCGCCGGCGCGCGGGCACTGCTAGGCGCTTCACTGTCGTCGTGATGCGCGAATGCGCGAAGAGGCGATTGACATGGGCATTGAGGCGAAGCGTTTCGCGGCGGAGGATGGTGGTGGTTGTGAGGCAAGCTCGCGGCTTGGCACGCACGGCGAGAAGGGCGCCTCCGCGAAGAAAGCCTCGCGCCGCGGCGGCCGGCCACGCGCCTCTCGGCCGAGCGATGCGCCCATCGCGGCGCCGCCAGCCGTCCGCCTGCCCCCAACACGCCTCAGCTGGCAGCGCCCTCCGACGAGGGAGAGTGAGAGCGGACAGATGGATGCAGAATATAGGGTTCGTTTGACTCTACACTTCTGCTGCCGCAGCGTGGGGCCGCCGCTGCGGTCTCACGCACGGCAGGGCAAGACGTGGTGCGCCCTGCGCTCGAGGCGGCGGGCAGCAGCTCGCGCACACCGAGGCGCCGCACCGGCAGCACCGCTTTCTTTGGCCTCCGTCTGACTCGGCGACGCAGTGCCGCTCCAGGAGATATGCTGCGTCATGTTCGATTGCGGGTAGAAGTACAAGTGTGTGGGGTAGCTCGATGCTCAATGCTCAGTGTTCAGTGTTCGGGGGGATCTCGGGAGGCCGCGCCTCAGCCCTTCTTCATCTTCTTCTCCAAGCCGTCCAGATGGTCCTCCAGCCGTTCCACCAGCTCGGCCTTCTTGCCCGTCTTGCTCAGGCGGTAGTACTCCAGCGCAGCCTTGAGCTCGTCGACCTTCAGCTTGCTCACCTCGGCGCGCGAGTGGCGCTCCAGCAGCGCAGCGGCGTCTTTCGTGCCAAACGATGCGCCGCCGCCACTCTTGCCAGCGCCGCCGCCAGAAAGGAGAAGGCGCTCGTCGCCGGCGATGAAGTCGCTCCATTGGGCGATGCGTGGTCCGACGCGCTGGAAGAAGGAAATGCGTCAGGACAGCTGCGTTCCGCTCTCTCTCTCTCTCTCTTGCACACGCGCACCTTCTGGATGCCCGCATAGTTCGGCAGCGTGCGATCCACCAGCTCCTCTGCGCCCAGCGGCTTGCCGAGCGCCGTGTTGATGAGCACCTCGTAGTGGTGCGCCAGCGCCGGATTCGGAAAGTCTTCCGGCCGAAACTCTCCCGTCTTTGCATACGCCTTTACGATGAGCTTGGCCGCCTCGACCTGCTTGCTGTTCGCCTCGAGCTGCGCCGCGTGCTTTGCTGGCGCCTCGCGAATGTCGTCTGCGTACGGCAGGGGAATGAGGTGCATGCCCGCCGGAATGCCGCGCTCGCGCTCTTCGGCCTGCGGCAGCAGCGCGCAAAAGACGGGCTGGTTGCCCTGCACGCGCATGAAGATGGCAATGCCCATCACGTGGCGCTTCAGCATCGAGGCGATGAGCGCGGCAAAGCAGCGACGCGAGTTCTTCCAGATGTCGTCGAAGGGGTAGAGAAAGTAGGCCGTCTTGATGTTGTCGCGCACCGCAAGGGCGTTGGGCTTGAAGCCCAGCACCTCGATGCCAGGCTTCTGCCCAAACGACTTGAGACGCGCAATCTCCTCGCGCCCAAACTTGACCTTGGAGCGCAGCGACGCATCGCTGCCGAAGAAGAAGGCCTGCTCCACGTCGTTGGGGCCCAACGGCTTGCCCGTGTCCTAAGAGACGTGTCAGCGACATGCGCTGCAATGAGCTCCGGCCTGGCCCTGACGCACCACGCAGATCTGCTCGGTGCGCGTGTCGACCTCGAGGTACGACGTCGGTCCGCCATCGGCCTCTGCCGCCGCCGTGTCGGGAATGACCTTGGTCGGGTTGCCCTTCTCCGCCTTCTTGACGAGGCCGTATCTATCCCCGTCCCACATAAGCAAAGGTGCGACGCCGTGCACGGCCTCGATATGGAACATACCCCTTGACGCCAATCGTGCAGCCTTTGCCAAACTTGAGGGGCCCGCGGAAGTTGACGCGCTTAGGCGTGTGTCGCTGTGCCACGTGTGCGTCGAGCTCGTCGATGCGCAAGGGCCGCGCGCCATTGAAGGAGCCGTCGGCGGGCGTCGAGGCGCGCGACGACGCCGAAGCAAAGCCATCTGCGTGCGCTGCTGCGAAGATGGGCTGGGATGCGAGCACTGTCAGTCTCGGGGGCTGTCGGCTGGCTGCTCGCAACTCACGCCCCAGAAGCGCGACACGTCAAACGCCCGCTCGTCCGTCTCGAGCAAGAACGGCTCAAACTCAATGCCGCGCGCCGCATACTGCGCCACGCGCTCCTCCAGGTGTCGCCTTACGCCCGCCACGTTGGCCTTGCCCGCGTACGGGTCGTCGGTGTGTGTGACGAAGAAGATGCGCTTGCTGCCCGTCTTGCCGCTGGGTGAAGAGTCAGCCTCTGAGGGGCCTCGAGAAGGGGGGGGGGGGCGACGACTCACGTCTGCTTGATGGCATTAAGCGCATTGCTCCATGCATGGTGGATGCGCATCTCCGAGTCGAGTGGCTCAAAGCGCGTGCGCAAGTGCGTCGGGTCGTCGCGCGAGACTGCGTAGCCGCGGCGGGGAGAAGGTAAGCCAAGGCGGCGCGCCACGCACGGCTTGCAGCTCGCCACGCCGACGCACGGTCCAGATCGTCGATGATGCCTGCAAGGTTGGCAATGTCGATCATGCCGATGGGCTCGAGCATGTACGTGTGCTCGTACATGCTCGTCTTGCCGATCTGCGCCATGTTCGTCTCTTGCTGCGGGGGTATGCGGGCATCAGCGGGAGCAGTGGAGGGGCTGACACCGAGGCGAGAGAGACATCAGGGCGTGGCACTGCCTCTCTCATGGCCAGAGCAAGCAAGCGTGTGCAGCGGCGCCGTTCACCCCACAGCGTCGCTGTCCAGGCACTCACCGTGTTGTACAGCATGACGCCGACGAGGTCGCGCGGGCTGGCGACGAGCTTCTGGCGCATCAAGCTGACCGCTCCCTCGAGCGCGCGGTGCAGCAAGCTGACCTGTGCGCCCTGCGCCTCGCCCTCGCGCTTGATGCGCATGCCCGTCTGCTCGGCCGCCGCCGCGGGCACGAGCGTGTCGTGCATGCGCGCGCCGGCGTCGATGAGGAAGAGAATGACATCCTTGGCGCTCTCTTCGTCGTAGCTCAGCAGCTCGAGCTCGTCGGGGTCGGGATCGGCCTCGCGCGCTGCGGCGCGGGGGATGTAGGACATGCTGGCGAGGAGAGTGGAGGTGGGAGGCAAGGGGGCGCTGCGCTGCGCCAGCAAAGGTGTTGCTCTCTCGCGGCCGCGGCGGCGCACGGCCACGGCCACGCGCGCCTCTTTACGCGCTCCACGCGCGCCGCGTCGCGACCTCCGCCGCAGCCGCAGCCAGCAAGCGGGCCACTCAAGTAGAGGGCCACACTCGTCTCAGCACGCTGCGCTCACGACCCTCTCGCTGTGCACAGCCAGCGTACGCTCGCACAGAACAGGCGACAAGCGGCCGGAGCAGCGCGACAAGAGGGCCACGCGGCACTCTGATGGCATTTGCAACACGCACACGCCACAGCAGCTACAGCTTGGAGCCGAGCACCACGGACGCCACCTCCTTCTGGTTGAGCGACGAGTCGGGGTAGGGCCTGATTGGCGGCGCAGCGCGAGCGTCAGCTGCTGCCGAAGCAAGACGGCGCTGCGTCGCAGCTCCCGCCAGGACTCACAGCCAGGCACTCTTGCCGTGCAGTGCGCCGCCGTCGACGATGAGGCGCGTGCCGGTGATGTATGACTGCATTGTGCCCAGGGCGAGACAAGTGTCAGCCTGCAAGGCTTGGGCGGCCAACGCAAGCGCATGGCAGCACATACTCACAGCGGCATCAGAGAAGAGATACACGCCGGCATTGGCAATGTCGTCGACGTCGCCCGGCCGGCCCATGGGGATCGAGGCGCTGATGTAGTCCTCTGCGCCCTGCAGTGGTGATGCCCGAAGCTCTCAGCCCACTGGCATGCGCTTCTGCGCGACAGCGGGCGCACCCACCTTTGGCGTCAGCCGCTCCGCGCCTTCCGTGCCCTTGATGATGCCCGGCGCAATGCAGTTGCTGCGCACGCCATGTGGGCCCATCTCGACCTGTGCGCAGAGGGTTCAATTTTAGTCCAGTGCTCCCCGTCTTGCGAACACCCTTTGCCCTCTGTCGCGAACAACGCACCGCAATGCCCTGGCTCAACGACTCGATGGCCGCCTTTGCGGCGCTCGCAGGCGCCTGCCAGGGAATGCCAGTGTGGTGCAGCGTGGCGGTGATGTGGATGTACTACGGGCGAGGTTGAGGGCCGGCGCGCTCAGAGTTAGCAAGCAGAACAGGGAGAGCAGGGACGGGTCCCGCGCGAGACTGACGGCGCCATGCGTCTTCTTCAGCTCATCCAGCGTCGCCTGAATGCAAGAGGCCACATGTGCGTCAGCGAAGGCTCGCCAGCACGGTCTGGCTCCCGTCGGCATATCACCTTCATGGTGTTGTAGGTGCCCATGAGGTCGATCTGCTGCACCGTGTTGAAGGCGTTGGAGGAGAGGCCCTCGAGCGGCGCCAGGAAGTTGCCGGCGGCGCCGCAGATGACAAAGTCGATGCGCCCAAAGGTCTCGACCGTCTGCGATGACAGGCACAGGCAAGGTGAGCAGCCAGCGACTGGAAGACATGGGGAGGAGCCGCGACGGCAGAGAGAGGCTAGATCCTGTCCTCGGCCACGGCATGGTGCCAGCCGTGCTCTGCGCCGCCTGCGCGAGGCCCTCTCCATCCTCTCTCCGCTCATGCACCTCTGGCGCGCCAGACTGACCTTGCGCACTGCCTCTCGCAGCGCCTCCTCCTTGCGCACATCCGCCGGCGTGGCGATGCAGCGTGCGCCGTGCGCGCCGCTCTGCTGCAGCTCGGCGGCCGCCTTCTGCAGACGCTCGGCGTTGCGCCCCACGATGGCGGCGTGTGCGCCGTGCGCCATTATGGCACGCACCATGCCGAAGCAGATGCCCGAGCCGCCGCCGGTGCAGAAGAGCACCTTGCCCTGGCGTGTGTGTGGAGTGAGCAGCGGGGCCGCGGTGGAGTGCCAGGGCACGCTGGCGGCGCACCTTGAAGATGTCGTCGCGGAAGATGGCCGTCGAGGGCACGTGGCGCAGCACGACGGGGTCCTTGTACTCGTCCGACATGGCGCTTGCGTGTGTGTGAGTGGCTTGTGGGATGGTGGTGGTGTGAGGCAGGCTGCGAGGCAGGCAGCAGGCGTGAGAGCTCCACAGCCGCAGCCCCGCATCCGCCACGCGCGCCTCTCGGGCCAGCACGAGCCGGTGCAGCGGCTCGCTTGCTTGCCGGACTATCTCGTGCAGAGCCGCGGCATTGGCAGGCGGTGGGTCAGCCGCACGAGAGCGCGTGGGAACGAAGCACCTCATCCTGCGCACGCTCCACCCGCGCTGGCCCTCGCGCTCGCCCGCCTGCCTCCGCACCACGCCATGCCCATGTCCCTGCTGCGTCGTCTGCCTGCTCCGCGTCTCCTCTCGCGCTCCTCTCCCGCTCGCCTCGCCCGCACTCCTGCACCGCGCAGCATGGCCTCCGCCGCCGACACCGCCGCTGCGGCGGCGCCCCAGACGCGCCTCACCGCCGTCAGCTCGCGCATCCGCGACGAATACCAGCGCGGCGTGCGTGCTCTCCTGTCCTGCCTTGCTGCCTCTCGGTGCAGAAGCGCATATTTACATCGGGCACGCCACACTGACGCGCTCTCGATATAGCCAGACGTCTGGTCCCTTTTCTCGCCCCTCGTCTTTCCGGGCGCCACGAACCTCGGGCAGGGGTGAGTTGCAGGCGCGCGGGCTGAAGACAAGAGTAGCAGGGACGACGGCGTACAGCGGCTGCGCGGCAGGCTCCGTCAGATGTTCAGCCCAGACAAGCATGTGCTGGCGCTGCTGCTGCGGCGGCGCAGAGGTGGCAGCTGGCTGCCGGTGCAACTCGCTGCTCCCTGTTATCGGCTGGCGCTGCCATGCGCACGCGAGGAGCTAGTACAAGCAGATTGATCGTCGCCGATACGCGCCTACGCTGATGCCAGTCTGCGCACAGCTTCATGTCCTGGGCACCGCCGCCCTTCGTGCGCGACGCGCTCCTCTCCGCGTCTGGCGAGCGTGTGGACACGCACCACTACTCGCACGCCAAAGGCCGGCCGCGGCTGCGTGCCGCGCTGGCCGAGTATCTGGGCCCCAGCGTACACAAGCCTGCGCCAGGCGCCAAAGACGTGCCGAGCGACCTCGGCGCGCCAAAGCTGAGAGAAGGCGCCGAGAAGCTGGACATCGAGACGGAGGTGCAGGTCACGGCGGGCGCCAATGGCGGCATCTACGCGGCCATGACGGCATTCTTGGAGCCGGGGTGAGCTGACGTCGACAGGCGTGCCGCTGTGTGACATGTGCACTCACAATCCTGGCGCGGCTCAGTGACGAGGTACTCATGTTTGAGCCGTACTTTGATCGTGCGTTCATTCCCACTCGCGACTGCCTCCTCTTGCCCAAGGCTCACGCCCGTCTCCCGTCGCAGAGTACATCTGCGAAGTGACGTACCTCGGCGGCAAGCCCGTCTTTGTGCCGCTGCAGCCGCCGGCCGACGCCTCTTCGCGCATTGCCGGCGCCGACGAGTGGAGTGTGGACTGGGATGCCCTCGAGAAGGCATTTGGCAGTGGCAAGGTCAAGGCCATGATCCTCAACACGCCTCAGTGAGACGCAGGACCTTCTCTTGCGGCGCTTCGCCGCATGTGTGGCTGACGGCGAGCTCTGAAGCAACCCGATCGGCAAGGTTTTCTCGCGCGATGAACTCAGCCGCATCGCCGCTCTTGCGATCAAGCATGACGTGCTGGTTATCTCAGACGAGGTCTATGACTGCTTGACGTACGACGGCCACGAGCACATCCGCATTGCGGCGTTTGAGGGCATGTGGGAGCGCACGCTGAGTGAGTTGGGAAGCAGAGCTTGTCGAGTCAGATGGATAGCTGCGCTGATGCGGCTTGGTCTCCTGCAGCTGTGGGAAGTGCGGGCAAGTCTGTGAGTCGTGGATTCTGCACGTCGCTGCATTGCTCGTCACAACGCTGACCAATCTTGGGCCATCAAGTTCGCGTGCACCGGCTGGCGCATTGGATGGCTCGTGGGCCCGCCGCATCTCATCAAGCCGGCGCTGGTGGCGCACACGCGCATCGTGTTCACCTGCAACTCGGCCGCCTCTGAGGCTGGTGCGTCCCCTTTCTCTGCCCTCGCAGTCCCTGTACGCCTACGCTGACGGCCGTCTAGCCGCCATCGGTCTGGAGCAAGCCTCGTCGCAGAACTTCTTCCCCACGCAGATCGCCGAGTATGCCGAGCGGCGCGCGCTGCTCACAGGCATGCTGGACAACCTGGGCATCAAGTACACACAGCCGCACGGCTCGTACTTCGTCCTCGCCGACTTTGCGCGGCTGCGCATCCCGGAGGACTTTGAGCTGCCAGAGGAGATCAAGCGGCGGCCGCGCGACTTCCACATGGCCTGGTTCGTCGCAAAGACGTGCAACGTCGTGACGTGAGTTGCAGGCGTGGCATGCCTGGACGGGCCGCTCTCGTAGCCAGACTGACTGATGCATTGCGTCTCTGTCGTCGCCACCACCACTCAGCATTCCGGCCACGGCCTTCGTCTCGGACGAGCACGCGGGCCTGTATGAGAACTACCTGCGCTGGAGCTTCTGCAAGGGCGCCGACGAGATTGCGCAGGCGACGGAGCGCCTGGAGAAGGTGAGGCGTCTGCGCGGCCCGTGCAAAGCGAGCGCTACAGAAGCTGATCCCGCCGCTGCCGATACAGCTGCGCCCGTACCTTGAGTAGAATGTAACAGATGCGTGAGCGGTGCGGTGTGTGTGACGGCACGAGTGCGGGGTGAGCGTGCCCGTGCAGCCGCGTGCGTTGAGCGAGCGAGAGCAAGATGCTTGCCCTTCGCTCCCACGCGTGACAAGCCGGGCGACAGAGCGGCGCGCGAGGCAGCACCGAGCAGCGCCCGCGCTGCTGTCATGCCTGCAACGTGGAGCCCCACGCGTGTGCGTGCTCTCCCCGCAGCATGAGCGCTACATAATCTGCTCCTCTCTGCCATGCGCCCCCTCTCTCCCCACATCCATCAAGCACAAGCCATGTCCACCTCGCAACTGCTGCCCGCACAGACGCCCGCGTCGTGGAAGGCGGCCGTCGTGTACCAGATCTACCCTCAGTCCTTCTGCGACTCTGACGGTGACGGCATCGGCGATCTGGCAGGCATCCTCTCCAAGCTCGACTACATCGAGCGCCTCGGCGCCGACGTCGTGTGGCTCTGCCCGCATCTGGCCTCGCCTGGCGGTGCGTGCGCCAAAGCATGTGTTGACGAGGGAGAAGCTGACGGGCCGTGTGAGGCAGTTGACAATGGGTATGACGTCTCGGACTACGAGGCCATCGATCCCAAGTTCGGCAACATGCAGACGAATCAGCTGCTCATCGACGGGGTGAGGCGCGTCGCTTTCCATCACTCTTGCTACGCCGAAGCGCTCGGCTGACGGGCCGTCGTCTCAGCTGCACAAGCGCGGCATGAAGATGATGATGGACCTAGGTGCGTCTGCACGCTGCCTTACCTAGCACCTCCTTGGCTCACCGGACAGCGCTGCAGTCGTCAACCACACATCGGACAAGGCAAGATGCGCTCGCTGCCCGACTTCGCACATCCGCTCTGCCGCTCACTGCTTGTCCCACCCGGCAGCACACCTGGTTCCAGGACTCGCGCCAGCGCCGGGGCGCTCGCGCAGACTGGTACATCTGGCGCGACGCCAAGCGCTCTGCAGACGGACAGCGTGTCGAGCCTAATAACGTGAGAAGAGGCTGGCCGAGGCATTAAGTCCCGAATCATGTGCTGATGTCATTGGCTCTGCCAGTGGGCTTCGATCTGGGGCGGCTCGGCGTGGACGTGGGATGCGACGCGAGAGCAGTACTACTTGCATCTGTTCTCGCCTCAGTGAGTGCCAGCTTCTTGATCTGCCGCCAGCTGGCTGACGAGCAACTGCTCTGCGCTACGCTAGACAGCCCGACCTGAACTGGGACTGCGCGGCGCTAAGGCAAGAAATCTACGCCATGGTGCGCCGCTGGCACGCTCGCGGCGTTGATGGCTGGCGTCTGGACGCTATCAACTTCATCTCCAAGCCGCAAGACCTCTCCAATGCCGCCCTTGACCTGCCCGATGCGCCAGTCACGCAGCCGGAGCAGCGCTACCAGCCCGCCTTCGAGCTCTTCAGCCATGGGCCGCGCATCCATGCGTACCTCAAGGAGCTGTATAGAGAGGCGCTCGGGCCGGACGTCATGACGGTCGGCGAGGCGGCCGGCACGACGCCCGAGCAGTCGGTTGCGTATACCGAGTGGGAGACGCGCGAGGACAAGGAGCTGCAGATGGTCTTCTCGTGCGTCAGAGCCTCCGTGCCACCAGCCCTCTGCTCTCGCTGAGGCCCTCCTTCGGCACAGCACCGAGCACGTCGACCTCTACGGCGGCTTCTCGCTCGCGCCCGTCGCGCCGCTGCGGCACGGCGAGATGCGCGCCGTGCTGGCGCGCTGGCAGACGGAGCTGCTGCCGCGCGGCAGCTGGCAGTCGAGCTTCATGAGCAACCACGACCTGCCGCGTGCGGTGCCCAACTTTCTGCGCGCAGAGGCGCCGCAGCATCGCTGGCGCGCCGCAAAGCTGCTGGCGCTGCATCAGGCGAGCCAGTGCGGCACGCTGTTCGTGTATCAGGGAGAGGTGAGCGGGCAAGGAGTGTGCAGCACGGCGCAGGCTGATGTGGAGCTGCGCAGGAGCTGGGCATGATCAACCTGCCGCACGACTGGGGCATCGAGGACTATCCCGATCTGTGAGTGGCAGGGGCTGCATCCGGACCAGCGCTCATGCAGCATCGCTTCACCCTCTAGCGTGTCGCAGAAGTTCTACCACGAGACGCTGCAGGCGCGGCAGGCGGCGGGCGATGCGGAGCCGGACATGAGTGATGTGATGGCTGCGTGAGTCGATCGTCACACAGCTCGCAGGCCCTCGTCGCTGACCGGGTATGACCGCAGCATCCGGCGGAAAGCACGGGACAACTCTCGCTCGCCCATGCCCTTCAACGGCTCTGCCTCTGCAGGCTTCTCGAGCGGCAAGCCGTGGATGCGCGTGAACCCAGACAACGTCGTCTGCAACGTCGAGGATCAAGAACAGGACGCAGACTCGGTGCTGGCCTTTTGGCGCGCCGCACTGGCGCTGCGCAGGGCACACGACGTGCTCGTGTACGGCATCTTCGAGCTGCTGCTCGCGCCGACGCTGGGCGCGCAAGACGTGGTGGTGTACGCGCGCACGCTGGGCGAGAAGCGCGCCGTGTATGTGGCCAGCCTGGGCTTTGAAGAGGTCGAGGTGGACCTGACCAAGGCGGGCCTGACGGAGGAGATGCAGCCTGCACTGGCGGTCGGCAGCGAGAGGAGCATGCACGTGCTGCAGGGCCTCGAGGCGCGCCTGTATGTGCTGTGACTGGGGCAATGCATCGTATGATGGACTGGGCGGCGTGCGAAGGTGTGGCCACGCGTCGATGCGTGGCTGTGCGCGAGAGTGTGAGGGGCAATGCATTGTGAGGCACAGAGCACCTCGGCCCAGATCGCGATTTATGCTGCACAGTTGAGGTGAGCAGGGCACGGGTCAAGAGGGAGGTAGCGAGCGAGCGACAGATCGAGGGGAGAGGAGGAGTCCGCGAGCGTGGGAGCGCGGCGCAGGCGGCGTGGGAAACGCGCCTGGCCCGCTGCCGCAGCTGCCCCCTCCAGCGCGGGCGGCGCCGGGCCGCGGGCGGGGCGGAAGGCGTCACGTGCGCGCGTGCGACTGCCTCGAGCGGCTGCACACGAACGAGCTTCGCGGCGGCCCGGCAGCGCAGACAGCGCGCGCTCCTCTGCCTCTCGCTCCCTCACCCTACTTCCCTCAAGACCCCCTCTCACACACACACACCATGGCTGACGCAGCTCCTCGCGGACGCGGCGGATTCGGACGTGACCGTGGCGGACGTGGCCGCCGTGGCCCGCGCCGCGGCGGCCGCCGTGGCGACGAGAAGGAGGAGTGGGGTGAGTAGCGCGAGAGGCAGCGACGCGCGCAGAGCAAGGGCAAAGGACAGGGCACGGCAGGGCGAGGCAGGCAGGCAGCGCAGGCATGGGAAGCGCGGCAGGCATCAGCGACGGCACCAGCGAGTAGCGCGGCCATGGCGGCGGACCAGGGTAGCGGTGCTGCCAGGCGGAGCGTGCAAGGCCGCGCGCGGGGTGGCTGCGAAGGTGTGCAAAGACATGCTGCGCCTGCTGCTCTCCATGGCCGCCGTGCCGCACGTTCGAAAGGCGCGAAGCATCTGTTGCCGATGGGCAATGCCGCATCGCTGTCGATGTGCTGCGCAGCCGCTGACACCCGCTGCAGTGCCCGTCACCTCCGTCGGCCGCCTCGTCAAGGACGGCAAGATCAAGAGCATCGAGGAGATCTACCTCTTCTCGCTGCCGATCAAGGAGTTCCAGGTGGTGGACCTGCTGCTGCCGGCGCTCAAGGACGAGGTGATGAAGATCATGCCCGTGCAGAAGCAGACGCGCGCCGGCCAGCGCACGCGCTTCAAGGCCTTCGTGGCCGTCGGCGACTCCGACGGCCACGTCGGCCTCGGCGTCAAGTGCGCCAAGGAGGTGGCCACCGCCATCCGCTCGGCCATCAACATCGCCAAGCTCAACGTCATTCCCGTGCGCCGCGGCTACTGGGGCAACGCCCTTGGTGAGCCGCACACGATCCCCATGAAGGTCAGCGGCAAGTGCGCCTCGGTCATGTGCCGCATCATCCCGGCGCCGCGCGGCACGGGCATCGTCGCTGCGCCGGCCTCGAAGCGCATGCTGCAGCTCGCCGGTGTCGAGGACGCCTACACGCAGGCCAGCGGCCAGACGTGCACCACGGGCAACTTCATCGGCGCCACGTACGCCGCCCTCGCCAAGACGTACGCCATCATCACGCCCAACCTGTGGAAGGACATTGCCCCGCCGCCGACGCCCTTCGTCGAGCACTCGGCGCACCTTGCCCGCTCGGCAAAGGCCAAGAAGCTGTAAAGCGTCTTCTGCGCCTTCTTTTGTCACGTCGTCTTCGGTCCCCTTCACTCGCGCCTCGGCCTTTCCCCCATCCCCCCACATGTTCTCGTGAGCATCGCTCAAAATGACACACCTCTGTCGTCTGTTGTAGGCGAGTGAACGCGGCAGATGGGCGGTCGTCAATCACGCTCGAGAATTACGAAGCGGGTCGGGAAAGCTACAGGCTGATGATACACGGTCGCGCTGACTGCGGACGCGTGGAGGCGCCCATTCACGCACGGCGAGCACGCTTGCTCGCAGGCGCATGCGAGCGCCACGGGTGGTCAGCACCGGCACGCTTGCACACCTCACACGCCTGCCGAGCCAAGCGAAGACGCTCTTTCCGAGCCGCATCCGCCAACGCTGCGTCTTCGATGGCCTTGCGCAGAGCCTCGAACGCCTCATACTGCTTCCTGCGTGCGCCGGCGACAGGACACTTGCTATTGCCACATACGGCTCGAGCCTTGGCGAGGTTTCTCTCGACTCGTGCCTTGAGTCTGCTGCCGTACTTGCGAGCCTCATCAGCTGCGGCCGCCTCTCCTCGGTGCTCGGCCAGCAAAGAGCCCATCGTGCTCCACGACATGAGCACCACGGCGTCTATGACGGCGCTCTGTCAGCCACCGTCAGAGCATCGACAAGGCTGAGCGCTTACACAGTTCACTGCTACTTCTCACGTTCTCGGCCCTCGAGAGCGCCTTGCAGAAGACCTGTGCAAGGCTGGGGTCAGCGGATTGCCCACTCCACAGTGAGCCCGACTGGCTGTGCCTTACTTTGGACAGATGCATCGGCTCTCCAGGGCTGAACGTGCGCCGATGTTCCAGCACGAGCTTGTGCGTGAGAACGACTCGGAAGATGGCCTCGCGACACCAGGCCTCGCCTCCGCTCGACGCGTTCGTCGCGGGCGGTCTGAGCGTTCGGCACTCGGCAGCGGACCATGTCCACATCAGCTTGCTGGTGAATGCTCCACGCTCGTTGTCATAGCCGAGAGGCGGGTCAACAGGCGATGCGGTTGCGTCGCCGTCGACCAGGCTCGGCACTTGCACTTCGTCGACCCGCGATGCGGCCGCGGACGCTTCAATGCCCATCGTGCCAGACTCCGTCGACACATCCTGATCTGCAGCAGTTTCGACGTCAGAGGCAGTTGGGCAACGTCCATCGCACCAGGCCAACGTACTGTGTCTCTCGACGGTGGCATCAGCGCCAGGCATCGTCTCGTCGTGGGTGCGGCGCACGCCTTCGCGTGATGATACGATGGACGCAGACGGCGTGACTGATTCGCTCGGCATCGCCAAGACAGGGGACCCAGTCCCCGCTGGCGCGATCGATGCGTCCGACGGGCGAAAGCCGAAGTATTCGAGCGAGGCCACCAAGGGCGCCGGGACCGTTGAAGCGCTGCTCGACGAGGTGGCAGCCCGAGTTTCGACCGGGGAGATGTTGTGCGCGAGCGACATGATGGAGTGCTGAGGGACGGAAGAGAGCGACCGAGGACGGAGGTCGAGTGAGATGATGATGAGGCGGCGCCGCGCGCGCCCCTGAACAGCGCGCGGCCCGTGCGGAGGCCGTCCGAGCTCGCAGCGGGGCGCTGTGCTGTCCTACGAGCTCACGACATCAGCAATGTCCCACACCGATCAGAAGCTAGCGCGGCACTGTCTCACTCAGCAGTCTAGAACGACATCTTGAGCGGCTGCCGTTGATTGGGCTCTCGCTCTGCGCTGCTTGTGCGCTCCTCGGAAGCCTCCGTGCTTTGCCGCCGCGCGGCGGCACGCAGCTCCGTGTGCCGCGGCAAGCCCATGCGCTTGGGGTTACAGCCGCCGGCAAGGACGAACAGCCTCTCGATGCGACCTGCACGCTCAGCTGATGCCAGTAGGAGCACTGGTGCACGCAAAGATGATGTGTGTTGATTTCTTTGCTATACGGGAAACAGGGCAGACGAAGAGGGTTGGGCAACGGGATGGGGAGCAACGGTGTAGGAGAGGGAGTGTGGCGAGAGAGACAGTGACGAGGCGGACAGCGATGGTGTGGGAGTGGGGCAGGAGAGGGAAATAGATGGGCAACAGACGACGTACGAGGGGACGGAGGGGCAACGATGATGGATGTAGGGTGGTGGTACAGATAGCGAGACGGGAACGACGACGACGGGAATGGAAGCTCTAGCGGTGCCGGCCCGACGAGGCGCGGCCAGACGTGTGGGTGCGGTGTGCGGGTGCACGACTGCGAGGCATCATTGCCTTTGGCGTGCCGAGGCCCATTGGCAGGGCATGCGCAGCGGGCAGTGGCGCATGCGCAAAGCTCATGGCGCCACCGCCGTTGCGAGACTGGCCAAACGGCGAGGCGCGAGGACGTGCGAGCGGGAAAGGCGCCGGCGGCGTGACGCCCGCGCCGGGCAGCGCAGTGTCGAACGGCGCCGCGGCGAGCGAGACGACGTCCGAGGTGCTGCGCGCCAGCGAGCGACGCCGTTCGGCCAGCGCCGCCACGACGGGCAGCGGCGTGGGCGAGGCGGCAAGTGTCGCTTGCGTGGCGAGGGCGAGGTGGGGACCGAGAGCCTCGCGCGCAGCAACGCCGGCGAGACTGGCGCTCCAGCGCCGCCACTCGGCCACACCAACGTCGAGACGGTAGCCGACGGCCTGCAGAAAGGCACGCTCGACGGCGCCCAGCTCGCGCAGCGGCAGGCCGCTGATGCGTGCCCAGGCGCGGTTCGAGTAGCTGCGGTCCTGCAGGAACTTGCTGGCGAGGAGCGTGGCGGCGAGGAACATGCGGCGTGCACAGAGGAGAGGAGAAGGGCCAACGTCGGCAGAGTCGGACGACAGGCCAGGCCAGGCAGCAGCAGGCGCCTCGCTCGGCAGGCCGGCGGCGACACGACGAGCGTGCAGCACGGCCGGCCGCGCGCGCACACAGTACAGCAGCGCCGCCTGCAGCGTCGAGCACGACGTGCGGCTGCGACGCAGCGTCTCACGGATGAAGAGGCGCAGCGGCAGCGCGCCGCCGTGGTTCGGGCCGGTGGCGTCGGGGCAGGTGGCGTCGCGCAGCGAAGCACTGGCGTCGCCGGCGTTCAGAGGCGCAGACCAGATGGAGTCGAGCGTTGTCACCGCCACATCTGAGGACACTATGAGCGCGAGCCCTGGCACGTCCATGATGGATGTCACTCACCGACAAGGCAGTCGACGAAGCCGCCGCGCGCCAGCGACGGCGCAGCAGCCGCAGCCGCGGCGCCACCGGCGAAGTGCAGCGCCTCGACGGTGTCGCCGAGCGACGACACGGCCTCGTCCTCCGAGTCGGGATTGCCGAGCGACGCCGGCAGCGGCGGTGGCGGCGGGCCAGAGACGGCGTCGTCGGAACGCGCGCCACTGCTGCACGGCGCCATGGCCGCGCGGCAGGCACGGCGCGCCTTGCGAGGCGCGAGGCCGGGCGAGTCGCACGTCGATGCGGGAGAGGAGGAAGAAGAGTCGAATGAGGTGGAGGGAGTGGCGTGGGCGGCGGCGGCGGCATCGTCGAGCGATGCAGGCGAGTGGTCGTCTGCACAGCTGCTGATGCTGCTGCTGCTGCTGGCCATGCTGGCCATGCTGCTGCTGCTGTTGCTGCGCGAGCGCTTGCCGATGCTGGTCGGCGGACGCGAGACAGAAGGCGAGGCCATGGTGCGGGGTGTGTGTGTATGCTCTCAGGCGCAGCAGCTAAGTGCGCCGCGAGAGCGGAGGCCGGTGATCAGGAGCGAAGAGGACCGTAGACGAGGAAGACCGAGAGGCGCGCAGAGGCGCGGGTGGCTGGCGAGAGCAGGAGATGGCTGCGGAGGTGCGAAGGGGATTGCGGAGGTGCAGCCCTTGGCGGTGGCGCGAGGGTGCAGGGCGGGATGCGGATAGCACACAGCACCGACACCGACACACTCTCTTCTCTCCAGACGCTTGCGCGCAGGTGCGCCTTAGATGCGGCGCGCGTGGATGACGATGACCATGGCGGGGTGTGTGTGCATGGGTGAGGTGGGGTGGAGAGGAAGCAGGCTGGGCGGCGCGGTGACTGCGAGTGACGCTGGCGGGCGTGTGACTGCGCAGGTGGCACGCAGCACGGCAGCGCAGTACGCCGCCGCTTGCCGCTTGGATCGCCATCGCGCGGCGGAGCGGTGGCGCAGCAGCAGCAGCAGGCCGGCCGTGACTCGCGCCCGCCGCCGCCGTACGCCGGGGCGAGACCCGCTCTCGCGCCGACGTGCCGCCCCTGCATGGGCGCTGCGCGGCGGTGGCGCACGCACGCACAGTGACTCGCCCCACGCCGCCCATCATTGCGCCCAGTCGCTCGCGCAGGCACCAGGCAGGCAGCAGCACCAGCACGGTACACGTGACGGCTCAACTTCCAGCCAGCGCTCCACACACGGCTGCACCGCCTCGCGCGGCCTGCTGCTGGACCCCTGGACGGCAGTTGCCGCCTGCGGCTAGACCTGACAGGGGTGCGACCGCCTTGCCCGCCTCGGAAGTCAGAGTGTGCAAGTGCGCAGGCGCAGCTAGCCGCAGCTCCACCACAGCACGCAAGCGCATCGCACACAAGAGAGGGAGAAGGCGCAACTTCTACAGAAGCGGGAGCAGACAGACGAGCGAGCGCACGGCGGCGGCGGGCGCCAATCAGCTTGAGGGCGTGACGAGCCCGCTCTCGCGTCGGCGTCGGCGTCGGCGCCATGGCGGACGCTCATCGCCGCGCTGCGCCGCCGGCTCATCACGCCTCGCCGCCGCCGCCGCGCACCCGTGGGCCGCTCGAGGCGCTGGCCGCACGGCTGGCGGACACCCAGCTCGGCGGCGCCGGCAGCGCGCCCTCGCACACGCCGCCGCCGCCGCTGCGGCGCGAGAAGCCGCTGCCCGATGTGCCGCCGCAGCAGGGCTGTGCGCCATATCCGCAGGCGTACGGACCACTGCAGCAGCCGCAATGGCGTCCGCAGGCCAGCCCTGCGGCGCAGCACGCTCCGCAGCACCGGCGAGCCGAGGACGCGACACGCTGGGACCCTCACGCTGCGCCGGCGCCGCAGCCATACGCACAGCACGGGCAGCAAGCACAAGCTGGTCCCTCGCGGCTGGCTCCCCTCGCCGCTGCACACCGAGGGCCTCTGCCGCGTGCGCCGGCGGGCAGCGTATGGGCACACGCTTCGCAGCTCGTCGCTGCACGGCCGCAGTTCAATGAGCACGGTCCGCAGCGGCCACAGCCATCAGCGCCCACTTCAAGCGCCTCGCAGCTGCCTTTCTCGACCTCGAGCGCCTCGCTGCCCGCCTCTCTGCGCGCAGCACAGACGCCGCCGGTGCCTCTGCCTCGGCCGCCCAGCATCTCGAGCGCCGACGTGGCGTACGGCTCTCTGCGCCACCCGAATCCCTGGGAGAGCTCGCTGCTGGCTCTCCATCCAAGCACCGGCCGCCCCGTCTCGCTGCCCAGCACGCCCGTGCGAGCACCAGCACCGCCAACTCGACCGCGCAGCGTCTCGCCCTCGCCGCCGCCCACACGCGCCGCTCGCTCGCCGCCTGGACGCGGCAGTGCCAGTCCGGCGCCAGCGGGCGGCGCCACACAGCGCTGCGCTGGCATTCGCAAGGACGGCGTACGCTGTGCACGACGAGTGCGCGTCGAGAGAGCGGCAACACGCACGCCCAGTCCGCGCAAACGCACGCCAAGTCCGACCAAGGCCACGCGCAGAGAGGTCATTGTGATCTCGGACGATGATGAGGCGGCTGCGTCTGGCGACGAGGAGGACGTGTTCTGCAGCCAGCATGTCAAGGAGATCAACAAGACCGGCGGGATGCACCTGCCCTCGTCTCGCGGCTTTCTCGCCTTCGATGCGCTCCTCGTCGGTCTGTCACAAGCGACTGCCGCGCGCATCCGTGCGCTGCTCGGCAGGCCCTTGACGGCGGCAGACGCCGGCGAGCGCGGCTATCTCTACATCTACTCGCTGCGCGCGCTCGACGACGCCACGCACGAGTGCCTCAAGGTGGGGCGCGCCAAGAGTGCGCTGAAGCGCGTGGGCGAGTGGCGGGCGCAGTGCGCCAGCAAGCAGCCTGGTGGGTGGAGCCGAGTGCGGCGCCACACTGGCATGCGCTGACGCTCCCCCAGTGCTGCGCGCAATCGTGCCGTCGGGCGCATCGCAGTCGCTCATTCCCGGCGCCGCAGCACCCACGGCGCGCGGCATCGTCGGCTCGCACCTGGTGAGGCGCGTGCATGTCTTCCTCTGCAGCACAGCTGACGCTCCGCAGTGGGAGCGCCTGGTGCACCTGGAGCTGCGCGACATCAACGCCGCCTGGGCAGTGCAGCCGCCCTGCAGCGACTGCGGCGCCCGGCATCGCGAACTCTTCCGCCTGCCGCGCGGCGCCGGCGGGCGCGAGGGAGGCTTTGAGCATGCGCTGGCCGTGGTGCGCAAGTGGGAGGCCGTCGTGCGACGCCTGGCGCCGGACTAGCAATGCGTGACATTTGATACCAGAGACGATGTGTGATGTGCTGCGGAGTGCGCAGAAGTGTGCTGCCGGAGATGCAGCGGCTGGCGTGTGCGGCAGAAAGCGCCGGGCCCGCTCTACGAGGCGACTTCGGGGCCAGTGGATGCGTCCTGAGTGAGAGCGTCAGCGCTGGCAGTGTGTGGCTCGCGGATGGCGAGCACTGGTCTGCGCAGGGCTAAGCGCGCGCGACATCGAGCACAGGCTGGGTGGGCAGCTCTGCTATGCGCGCGCCGCTCTGCATCTCGCGCCTGTTGCCTGGCCGCGACGGCACGCAAACCCGCGCACGAGCGCGCGTAGCCATCTCCACGACGGCGCACCTGCCGTGCTCGTCCGCTCTGCTGTGCCGCCGAGCAAGAGCAAAGGGCCGCATGCAGAGCGTCCTCTTCCGAGCATGCCTCGCCTTGACTTCGTTTGTGCACAAGGCCCGCCCCGCAGCTCTTGCCTCGCAGACACACCTGCAACGGCTGGTCCTTTTCGGGCACGAGCGCCATCTTCTCGCCGACCTTGTGCAGGCCGTCCTTGAGCTTGGAGAACACGCCCTCGCCGCCTCCACCGCCCGCCTCGTGCTTTGCCGCCTCCTCGGCGTGCTCGGCCTCGACGTCGGCGGCACGACGCTCCTCCCAGCCTGGCGGGCCCGCAGCAGATGCGCCGGGACGGACGATGGACGGCGGCGCTGACATGTTTGTGTGCTGCTTGTGGTGGTGGTGAAGAGGAGAGAGCGAGGAACAGGGGTCGAAGGCGAGAGTGACGTGGGCCTGCATGACGCTTGACGCGCTGTCTGCTCACGTGAGACGCCCAGCGTGGGAGCTCACGACGACGCCCGACGACGACGCCCGGGCATCGCGGCTCTTTCCCCTCCAGCCGTGCAGACACGGAGACCGACGGTGCAAGCTTGGCCCCCTGGACGCGCGGCATACGAACATCTCGCGCGTGGCCGAGTGCCAAGGGGCTGGCTCAAGGTGGAGCACCAACGGCGGCGCGCTCGGCATCGGGCCGTCGGTGACCGCCACGGCAGCGCCACGCCGCGAAGCGCGGCAGTCGCGGCCGCTGGGCGTCGCGCCGCCGCGCCGGGCGGGGCGCTGGCGAGGACCTCACATTCGCGTCTCTGAGCCTCGGTGTGTGTCTCTGCGACTGCTCTCGTTGTTTATCCTGCTGTACGATGAGCAGGAAGCCTGCCGAGAAGCAGGCGCAACACATCGCCGGCGTCCTGGTCGCAGGCATCTTGCGAAGCGGCGGCGGCTCGTGCAGCGCAGCCAGGCTGCAGGCGGACGGCAGCTCGCAGCCTCCACCTCCGCTTCGCAGCAGGCGGATGATCCGTGCGCGCTAAGGCCCTGGCGGGCCGTCATGCGTGCTTGGGAGCGCCGCAAGTGCCGTGTTGTGCGCCATCGGAGTCCAGTCTCGGCACGGCGCCACTCGCTGCGAAGGCCGAAGAGCCGCTCCACGCGGCCGGTCCGAGGCCGAGGGAGAGAGAGAGGGCCTCCGAGGCGAGGCGCTGACCGGCGCGATGTGGCTGTAGCCGCTCTCAATGCAGCGCGCGTGGACGCGCCGGCGCGCGCCGCTGCACGCCCGATCTTCCAGCGCCTCGCGCGCGTGTGCGAGCGCTTGCTTCGTGGCTGGAGCAGGCAGAAGCAGCGGCCGTCTTGCATGAGAGATGCAGCATGAGTTGTCTGAGGCGATAGCGTGTCCAGCGCAGCGAGGCGATTGGAGGACGACGGAGGAGCAGCGGGAAGGTCGTCTGTGTTGGTCCGCGCCGGCGAGTGCGCATGTGGAGCACCGGCGGCCGGCGTGGTGCCCCGCACTCTGGCGCTGCTCGGCATGCCGATGCGACAGCACCGCCCAGCACTGCAGCAGCGATGCATGGCCGGCCTCTCGCACAGCAGGTGTGCCTGTGTCGCGCCAATTTGTCGCAGCGGGCCGCCGGGCCGCCGTCTGATTGCTGTGAGAAGGCAAGGTGCGGCACGCGGCGAGAGGCGCGGCCTGCCTTCCCCGCACCGTGCGCGAAAGCCGCTGCGAAGGCCGCCCATAAGAAGGCGGCACTCCCGCCATGCGGCCCTCTTCTCGTCCACATACTCCACCACCCTACACCACACCACATCACACAGCATCCAACATGGTCAAGGGTGCGCCCTGCCGAGCCTGCTGCGCCTCTGCCACACCCACTCACACGCCCGCGCAGTCCTCTGCGTCCTCTACTCCGGCGGCAAGCACGCGCAGGAGCAGCCGCGCCTGCTGGGCACGATTGAGAACAAGCTCGGCCTCGAGCAGTACATGAAGGACAACGGCCACGAGTTTGTCGTCACCGACGACAAGGAGGGGCCCAACTCGGTCTTTGCCAAGGAGATCGTCGATGCCGAGGTCGTCATCACCACGCCCTTCCACCCGGGCTACCTCACCAAGGAGATCATGGCGACGGCCAAGAAGCTCAAGCTCTGCATCACCGCGGGTATCGGCTCTGGTAAGTTGCCCTGTGCGCCTGCTTTCGAACTGCTGCTGACGCCGCGCCCTCAGACCACATCGACGTGCGTCCATTCACAGCTCGCTCCTCTTCCGCACGCTCACACTCTTCTCGCAGCTCGACGCCGCCAACGAGCACAAGCTCACCGTCGCCGAGGTGACCGGCAGCAACGTCGTCAGCGTCGCCGAGCACGTCATCATGACGATTCTCATCCTCGTGCGCAACTACAACGTCGGCCATGAGCAGGTGTACCGCAGCAAGGCGTGGGACGTCGCCGCCGTCGCCAAGGACAGCTACGACCTCGAGGGCAAGGTCGTCGGCACCATCGGCGCTGGTGAGAAAGCATGCCTAGGCTAACCCCAGGCCGTAGCTGACGATAAATTACCTTTTCTAGGCCGCATTGGTGCGTTTGCCTGACGCGTGGGGGCGCCAATAGAGACTGACCAATCCCGCAGGTTACCGCGTCTTGGAGCGTCTCCTTCCGTTCAACTGCAAGGGTGAGCATCCGATTCTGGTCTCTAGCCACTCGTGCTCGGAGACGCGTTCGGGCTCCTTGTCGCGTTCTCACCCTGACATGGGCTTTCCATACGTCTTCTAACACGTTACATTCGTCTTCTTACACGTTATCTGCAGAGCTGCTCTACTACGACTACCAGGACCTGCCCGCCGAGGCCGCCAAGAAGGTCGGCGCGCGTCGCATCGAGGACATCAAGGAATTCCTGGGGTGCGTGTGGCCCACGAGCTCGTCGCGCATCCTTCCACTTGCTCATCTCTCATCTCCTCGTCACAGAGCTTGCGACGTCGTCACCGTCAACGCGCCGCTTCACGCTGGCACGAAGGACCTCATCAATGAGGAGACGATCAAGTACATGAAGGACGGCGCATGGCTCATCAACACTGCGCGCGGCGCCATCTGCAACGCCGAGGCCGTGCGCAAGGCCGTCGACTCGGGGAAGCTTCGAGGCTATGGCGGCGACGTATGGAATGTGCAGCCGGCCCCGGCGGACCACCCGTGGCGCGAGATGTCGGGTCCCGGCGGCCGTGGCAACGCGATGACGGTGGGTTGTGCGTCAAGACGCTCGAGAGCGCGCCGCTGATTCCCTTCCGTCGCGCAGCCCCACGTCAGCGGCACCTCCATTGACGCACAGGAGCGCTACGCCGCCGGCACCAAGGCCATCTGTACGTCATTGTGCTTGTACTGCGCTTCGTGCACGCTGCTCACGCATCTTCTTAGTCGATAATTGGCTTGCCGGGAAGCCCCAGAAGCCTGAGGATTTGATCACTGAATCCGGCAGCTACGGTGCGGGCTTCGCCACAAACGTCTCTCGTATGTTGCTAATCCTCAGCACCCACAGCCACCAAGGCGTACGGCAACCGTGTCGCTCAGAACCAGGAGGCCAAGAAGTAAGCACTTCGACCGCAGCTTGGCCACGAGGAGAGCCGCACATGCCCCTCGTCACGCGAGGCCTGATTACCCACATGCTCGACAAGCCCGATAATGACGATTCCCTGAGCCTGTCTGATTGACGAGTCTTTGGTGGCTTGGACGTACGACTGTCAGCCGGAGCGACTGTGACAGCGATCGTGACGCCAATGGACCCATGCATTTGCGGTGCTCCCACGGCTGCTCAGGCGTTCGCTCGGAGGCGGCACGTGTGCGGCACTCTCTCCGTCAGGCTCAGCGAGCGAGACGGCTTCAGGCAAGTTGGGTCCTCACGCCACGTGTATGGGTCAAGATGCGAGGCAGGCAACACGAACGATGTATTGCGAGGCGAAGAAGGGTGGGTGACCGAGAGGAGCAGATTACGGCGGGCGAGCGAGATGCGGCTGGGGAGTGTGCTCTCCCACGATCGCAGCGCGCTCTCACTGAGCCTGCTGCTCCTGCACGACGTACTTGTTGACGAGCTGCCACAGCGGCGCATCGATGTTGCCGTGCGTGGCGTCGAGGTGCCGCCAGGCGGCCCACCACCAGCCGTGCGTGACTGCGTCGGGGTGCTCATCGGAGGGCAGCGACTCCCACGGCTTGTCGATGATGTAGCTGCGCAGCGTGTCAGCTCTGCAAGAGATGGCCTGGAGCGGGCAGACTCACTGCACGTTGGCGACCTTGTCGTCGCGCCACATGTCGGCGTGCGCGGCGCGCAGCTTCTTGAGCGCATTGTACACCCACGGCAGCGGCTGCCATGCGCCGGCGTAGAAGGCCGCGAGGAAGTCCTGGTGCGGCCGTGATCAGCCGATACTCTCTCCGTGGCAGCGCCGCACGTACCTGGTCCGGGAAGGCCATCTCCTTGACGCTCGGGTCGCTGTTGAGGCGCTGCTCCATGGCACGCATCGTCTCGCTCGAGGGCGTGAGGACGACGAGGCCAGAGTTGAGCAGCTTGTGCGTCGGCATCGACGAGGCGTCGAGCTTGAGCGGCTGCGTGAGGGCCGCCGGGTGCGATTGCGGGGTGAAGGCGCAGTTCTCCGGGATCCTGAGCGGGAACGAGGGTGAAGCGCAAAGTCAGCGCCTACGGGAGGGAACGGCTAGCCAGTCGACTCGCTCGCTCGCGCCACTCACCAGTCCTTCGGGTAGCTAGCCATCTTCGCTGGGTTGCACGTGCACGCAAAGCCCGCGGCAATCTGCATGCCGTCGTCGAGCGGCAGCGTCATGAGCTCGTCCATGTTGCGGCGCACGAGCATGTCCGAGTCGACCATGATGACGCGCTCGTACTCGGCCAGCTCAAAGGCGCGCAGCTTGGTCCAGACGTCGCCGAAGCGCGCGTACGCCATGTTCTGGGAGGGATGAGCCGCGATGCTGCGAGGTGAGGGCCGAGAAACTCACGGTGCCAGCGACCTCCGGACGCAGATCCTTCACCTCCCGAATCTCGCAGCCCAGCGCAAGCACGCACTGCCTTGCCTCCTCGCTGAGCTTGCCCGTCGTCATGACCACGAGCGGGTACGCGCTCTTGTGTTCCCGCAGCAGCGAGTGCGCAAAGACCGCGAGGCCGGGCAGGTACTTCTCGCCCGTCATGAGCGTGGCCCAGGCGCCCCTGGGCAGCGCAGAGGAGGAAGCCATGGTTGTGGGCAGCGTGGAGAAGGCAGAGTCGGTCGTGTTCGAGGCATTGGTGTCGTCGCCGCCCTGCGACGGCGGCGCCTGCAGCTGCGAGGCATCCTTGCTCGACGAAGCCTCGCCCTTGGCAAAGATGCCTTCGCCGGGAGCGCGCTTGAGGATCCAGCTGCGAGGCGCAAATGAGGTCAGCTGCAGGCCTGCCGCAGACGGCCCATCTGCACGCACTCGACGGTGTACTGCAAGAACTCGACCTAGACAGCGCATGTCAGCCCGTGCCTCCGTTCTTCACGCAATGCGACCCACCTTCATCTCGCCCTCCTCATTGTGCACCTCATGGTACGCGCCCTTCCACGTCTTGCACTCCTTATCCCGCGCCTCAATCTTGCTCTCCATCTCTCGCGACGCCTTGCAGTCCGTCACCGGATCGTCCTCGCCATGCGTGAACAGAATCGGCAGGTCTGCAGGCCAGTTCTTGTACTCGTCACTCAGCAGCTTGAGGCCGCCGAGGAGAGGACCAACAACGGCTCGGAGATAGACACGCGGCGAGATGAGCGGGTCGGACTTGTTGTCATCGATGACTGCTTGATCGTGCGACAGCTCCGCCGGGTTGACGGGCGCATACCACGGCATCTTTGGGAAGAGCTTGAGCAGCCGAGGCGCGAGCCAGAAGGCGACGCCCGGAGGAGGATGCGCGAGGCGGAGCCAGGGCGAAGAGCAGATCACGCCGGAGATGAGCGCTTTCGTCGAGGCGGATGGCACAGCAGAAGAGGAGGGACGCGTGAAGAAGCCGAACGCCAGACCGCCGCCCTGAAAGAAGAGTCAGCATGCGCAGCCGAGTGTCGTGTGACATGCGAGAGCAAGTGCGTGATGCGCAGCAATAGTGTACGACCTGAGCTCACGCAAAGGCGAGAGGCGATATGAATGGAGGCAGCGACATAGGCAAGAAGCGCGGCGTATAGAGCTCAAGCCTACGCGCGCGGTCGTCTACTCGCCGATCCGCCCTCGGCGCCACGAGGTCTTGCTCGTCCGACCACCCGCTGCGCATCAATCCACTTCGAAACGCGAGACTCGGACGGCCCTGCACTGAGCATCTGGAGAGCTCGCTGCTGCTCTCTTCCGACCACCGTCTCCTACTCTGCTACACCAGCTCTTCGCGTCGCCGGCTCTGCGCATCCGCAACACTGCTCCCCGCTCAGCAGCTCGTCTCGCCTCTGCCTCTCCCATCCCTTCCTAGTACTGCCCTTGTACTCACCATCGAGTGGCCATAGAGGTACATCGGCAGTCTGCCCTCGTACTGCGCGTCCAGCGTCTTCCTCATCTCAACCAGCACCTCCTCCACATCCTCGTACTGCTCCTTCCAGCTCGTGTCGCCGTACTCGCCCTTGCTGCGCGCGCCAAAGCCGCGCTGCGAGAAGGCGAGCGCGTCGATGCCCTGGCTGGCAAAGAAGCGCAGCACGTGGTCGTAGCGCAGGTGGTGCTCGATGAAGCCGTGCAGCAGGACGAGCGCAGCGCGCACGGGAATGTGCGCCGCGGGCCGGTAGCGCAGCGCCGGGAAGGTGCAGCCGTCGGGCGCGGTGAGCGTGAACTCCTCGCGGCGCGGCTCGACGTCGGGCGCGATGGCGATGTTGGCCATGGTTGCGCGGTGCGATGGATGCGTGGTGGTGGGACGGCAAGATGCGCAGCGGCGCAAGCCAGGCAGGGTGCAAGGCGAGCTCACGTCATGCTGCCGCCGGCAAGCGAATTCAGCGGCAGCGCGCGCGCGCAGCCGCACGTTCGGCGGGCGCATCGCTGGATCGGGCAGCCGTGCCGGACTCCGCGGAGGCGGGACTCGGCCTGCGTCGCCGCGATCTTTGGCCTTTGGCGCCGCGGCCGCTGCCGCTCCTTCCTCTCTCACCTCCATCTCCCTCTCCTCTCCTCTCGTCGGCGTTGCCGGTCCGCATGCTGCGCGCCTCGTTGGCAGGCAGCGCTCGCGGCGTGCGTTTGCGCCGCGGCGGCAGCCGCAGTGGCAGCGCAGCCGTGTCTCGCGGCGTCTTGCCTGCGACGCCGCAGCTTGATGCGCTCTCTCTCGCCCTCACACCGGCTCTCGCTCGCACATACGCCGCGTCGCCTGTGCGACGGCAAGAGAGAGAGGTGCAAGTGGGCTCTTCGCGTGCACATGCGCACACGCAGCTGCACGGCAGTGCTGCCGGCGTCGGTGACGATGCCGGCGTCGAGGCAGTCGCTTCTTCGTCGCGCCTCGACGCGGCTCTCGCGTCCGAATTCGAGCCCGAGGCCAAGCAAAACATGCCAGCGGCATCTTCTTCGGGCCATGTCGATGACGCTCTTCCCGGAGGTTTCGACTCCTTGCCGCTCTCTCTCCCCGATCTCCTCCCACATCTGCCTCTCATCTCCCCGCTCTCCACTCTTCCGCTCCAACGTCTTCTCGCCAACGTCTCAGCAACACCAGATGACGTCTGGCACGCCTATGTCTCCCTCATGCGCGGCGCGCCACGAGGCAGCATGCTCCCTCCAGATCTGCTGCGACAGTGTATCGGCAAGGTGGCGAGACCGGGCGCGGGGCTTGGAGGGAGAGAGGGCGAGAGACGAAAAGAGGAGGAAGGTGAAGAGCTGTTCAAAGGCACAGTAGAGGACAACGGTGACGCCTCTCTCGCCGACGAGAGGAGCTCCGACGCAGTCGCTAGCAGTAGTCGTACGCACGCGTACCTCGAAAACGCCCACTTCGACGATGCCGAAGAGGAGGCACTCATCGACAGCGACGGGCTGCTACCGGCGGGTGCCTCGCCGCTGACGAACCAGGCAGCGCTTCGTGTGCTGGCGCTTCTCGGCGCGCTCGAGCGGGGCCTCTCCCGCGCTCGCGCCGGCGTGCTGGCTGCTCGACACAGCACATCTGCCGCCGCCGAGGCTGCAGCAGAGTCGAGCGGCAGCCGCAATGGCAGCGGCGAGGACGAAGGGCCAAGCGCTGCCGATGGCCATCCCGTCGTGGCAGCCTACCTCGAGGCCCTCAACGCTCCCTCGACGCGCCGAGCCGTCCTCTCTGCGCTGACGCGCGCGCGCCGAGGCGTTGCAGGCGAAGAGGTGACCGCGGCCTTGAGCTGGCTGAATCGCGTGCAAAAACCTGCAGGACCAGCGGCTTCGGAGTGGAGCACTCGTCGCTTTGAGCGCTCTGCCGCAGCGCCAGACGTTCTGGAAGGTAGACTGATTGACGGCATACTCGATCTCGTCGCTCGCTCCGTCAATGCTCACAGCATGGGTCTCTCGCTCGCCTCTACCTCGCGCGATGCTGTGCGCACCGAGACGCTGCGAACGATGCAGCAAGTGGCGCATCTACGCGTCGAGCTGCCTCCTACTACCCCTCGCAAGAAGAAGCATCGCTCCTCGCCTCCTGCGACTGTCGAGCTGCCGCAACTCGAGGCGCAGCACTACGACACGCCCGCTGCCGTGCGTCTCTTTGCGCACCTCTGGCCTCGTTCTCGTGCGCCCACGTTGCGCGCATGGGGCAGCTACCTGGCCCTCGAGATCCGACTTGCCGCGCAGCGTCGGCGCATCCGAGCTGCGTATCCACTCGAGGCATCACGCGCCGGCTGGGACTCCTGGGCGCCCGTGCGCGCTGCTTTGGCGCGCATCGCAGATGCAGATGCATTGCACGTCTCGCACGTCAATGCCGCCATGTACGGTGCCATGCGCTGGCGGCCTTCGGACGGCCTCGAGGAGGACTGGCCGAGCTGGAACGACGTGCAGACGACATATACGGCGCTACGGTCCAATCTCCTACAAGCCGAGATGCGGCGCGCCATGTTCGGGCTACCCGCGCCTCTGCGACCTCAACAGTCCGCGCCCGACGAGTCGAATGCGCAGCTGCTGCCGAGCGCACTGCGCCCGATGCCGGCGCACGTCATGCCGACGCACACGACTTACACGCTGCTCTTGACGCTCGCGACGCGGCAGGGCGACTTTGCGGGCATGCTCGATGTGCTGCACGACTTGACGAGCACGGAGCTGGACGCTGCTGAGCGGGCACAGCGCTGGCAGATGGCAGAACTGCGCGGACAAGACGCCATGGCGCGCGAAGCAGCTCGTCTGGAACAGGAGGAAGAGGAGGGAGAAAGGGAGAAGATGCAGCCTTCGCTCGCCGACTTTGACGCCATCTTCCGCGGCTTTGCCAAGCATGCCTTGCCTTCACGCTTCGACGTCGAGACCTCCAGCTGGGTGCCCAACGAGGAAGCAGCGGCGGCAGCGGCACCTCATCAACAGGCGTGGACGATGTCTGCCTTCCTCGAGCTCCTCGATCTCTTCCTCGACTGCTCGCCTCGTGCCGCGTATGCGGCGAACGAGCGAGCAGAAGCAGGCGCCAGTCATGCGCCCTCCGCTCCTCTCTGGCGCGCGCACGCAGAGCGCCACCGAGTGCATCGCAGCAGCAGCACAACTGCAGCGGCCCCGCCGCCAAAGGCCCTCTTCTTCCTCCTCACCGCCATGCGCCGCGTCTCGGGCGACGACGCCAAGTGGGTGCTGCAGCAGTGGCAGGACGTCGAGGACAAGTTCACCGCGCACGACGAGGGATGGCGCGCTTGGCGGCCGAACATCTACACGCGCAATGCCCTCGAGCTGCTCCAGCGCCGAGCTGAAGCGTGAAAGATCTGCGCTCAGCCGCTCCCGCCGAGCTCCGGACGTCGCAAGACATGCAGTAATGGATCACTCTAGAGTACAGATCTGCCCGTGTCCAAGCCACCCTCTCGCCCGCTCGCTCATGCGTAGGTGTCGACAAGAGCGTCGCGCAGCTCGTCGACGACGCCCGAGCCGCCGCCGCCCTGTGTGATCTTGAACGCAGCCTCGATGACTGAGAGCTCCGTGGCTGTCGAGGTGCGTGAGCCAGATGCGCTGCAGCACTGCACCTTCGCTGCTCCCACTCACCCGTCGAGTCGATGCCAGCGAACGCCGCCCAATCGTTGACGAGCAGGCCGGCGCCGATCAGCTCCGAGCCGCGGTTGACCGTGCCGGCGAGCAGCGGCACCTGCAGCAGACTGCTCAGCTCGTCCTGGTCCTGCAGCGAAGTCTTGGGGTGCACAAGGCAGCCCTGGTTCGAGAGGGCTGCGTACGAGCCGACGAGCACGTTGTCGCTGCATAGCGTCAGTGAGGGCCCGCGGCGGCAGAGCGTACGATGCTGCTCACCCGACCGTCTGCCGGAAGACCTCGACCTTGAGCACGTCGGCGATGATCTCCTCGGTCTCGCGGTCCAGGTCGGGGTGCACGAGCGCGACATAGTCTGTGTGGCGGTGATCAGCGCCACTGCAGTGCAGCACGTACACCTCCACTCACCATTGCAGGTGATGACGTTGCCGAGCGCACTGAGGCGCTCCTCGACGCGCTGGATGGCCACCTCGTCAGGCAGCGCGTTGCGCAGGTGCTGCAGCTCCTGGTCCGTCGTCGTGCTCGGCACCAGCAGGCCGTGCCGGTTGCCCACCGTGAGGCGGCCCACGAGGCGCGTGCCGGCGATCGTGGTGTGCACAACAGGGATCGTGTCGCCCAGCTCGGCCTCAAAGGTGCTGAAGAAGTTGGCCGAGCCGCCGACGGCCACGAGACAGTAGCTGTTCGTCAGACTGTTGCGAAGGGTCAGCGCTTGCAGAGCCGGTGGATGGCACGTGGAGCTGCAGCGCGCTCGGGATATGCGTGGTAGCTCGATAAAGCGCCCGAGCCGTGCCGTCGAGCACGAGCATGTGCAGAACCACAGCGGCAGGCGCACAGCGTGCGCCGCGACGGGTCGTTTCATCGCCGCGTCATGCTGCGCATACGTAGAGGCATCCGCCGAGAGTGGCAGTCGTCCCATGCGCATGCGCAGCAGCTAAGTGCGCATAGATGCACACCAAGCGAGGCTCCCGCCGACGCCTCACGGCTCTCATCTCGCCTAGAGGAGTCGCAGATCGGGTGCAGCAGAGGCAGCAGTGCACCAGCACAGCGGGTCGCCCCGCACCGCATGCGCCCTTTGTGCACGTAAGAAGACAGAGATGCAGAGTCGCCGAGGGGCCGCTGGCGCATGCTGCGACGCCACGCAGCCCTGGCGCCACCGCACTATGCGTCGCGCATTCTGGTGGAGGGGCGCCTGTTCGCATGCCCGATGGCTGCTGCAGCGAACCTGTACTGCCCTATAGAATGCAGACGGGGCAAGCATGGCGCTCGCTCTCCCTCCTGGCGTCCGCTCGCTGCCGCATGCGCCGTTCTTTTGCGACTGCTCCTGCGTGTCTCCGCCGCCGCTGCGCACACACGCACCTGGCGAACACGCCGATGTCCGAGTTGCCCTCAAACTGAAGACGCGAGCACATGGTGGCGGATAGATGAGGCGGTGCGAGGTGTGAAGGTGACAGGTGGCGAGGAGTGTCGTGAGGCTCGCGGGAGGAGAGGGATGTGGAGCAGGAAGAAAGGCGCGCAGAGCGGGCAGCTTATGAGCCGAGCAGCAGGCCACTTTTCTCCCGCACGAGAGCTACGCGCGCGCACAGAGCATCACGCCGCCGGCTTGCGACTCCCGCGCCCTTGGCCGCTGAGGTGACTCCACCGGCGCCGCGGAAGGGTGTGCCGGCCCGTCCTCCTGACTCGACATCTCGACCCACCAAGGCGCGTCTCAAGCATGGTCTGCTGTCGGATACGGGCCCTCAATGCATTGAATCGGTCCGGATGACCGCTGCGAGACCAAGAGAAAGCAACAAGGGCCGGGAGACGAGCGGATGCACTGGGCGGAGTAACGTCGAGTCATGCCGCGCACCGCCGCCGCCAGGGGGCAGCACGCGGCAGCAGGGCGTGAGGCGGATAGGCTGAAGCTCGTCGCCCTGGCAAAGCACCATCGTGGCTGATTGATGGGAACGGAGAGTGATGATTGCAGAACGACAAGGACGGCACGCGGAGAGACGAGCTTCGAGGCACGAGCGTCGTGACCGACATGTGAAGAGACGGGTGACGGTGCGGAGCCGTGCGCTGGGAACGAGAGCGGCGAAGGCAGGTGGAGGCGCGCGCGAGGAATGAGTGGGTGAAGAGCTGCATCGCCGACGAGACATAGAACGGCGAGCGACTGGTGCAAGACCAAGCGCCGTTGCGCATCCGCACAGCGCCTCGTGGACGCTGCGATGATGAGGCCCTTGATGCGCCTTCACGTCAATCTTGCAAGCCCGCATCGCCACCGCCGAGCCTCACTTGCTCAACGCGCACGCTGGTTGCCGTGTCCGCGGCGCGACTGGCTGTTGCCGCTGATGCCGGGCGGCACATGCTTCTTGTTGGCGCCGGAGCGCAGGTACATCTCGGCCGTGTGCACGAGACGCTTGCCGAGCTCACGCGCCGCTGCGTCGGGCGCCGTGTTGTCCGCACGACGCAGCAGTAGACCGCCTATCTGGAGCGTCGTCTTCATCATCGTGTAGACTGGAGAATGAGAATTAGCCCGTGCAGCGCCAATACCCTACGCCATACTCACGAAGCATGCCGCGCTCCGAGGCATCGTCCAGCATGGTGATGCTGACGCCGATGGTGTACGTCAAAAAGCCGCGCTCCTGGCGCGAGAGACGCAGCTCGAGCGCGAGAATACGGCGGTACAGCGCCGTTAGCGTCATGTCGGCCCAGTCGCGCCATGCGTCGATGGCCGCGTCCTCGGCCGGCAGAGGCAGCTCGTTGAGAATGTCGCCGTCGTTGGGCCCGAACGGGAATGGCACCATGCGATTGAGCGCCGACTGCGGCGCCAGTGCAGCCAGCGGCGCAGCACTGGTGCCGGCGTCGCCGCTCTGCAGCTCGACGCCCGTGAGCGCCGCCTGCAGCTCGCGCTCCTCGCGCTTCTTCTTCTCGTAGAGCTCCCACAGCGTCCAGGCGGGCGTCTCCTCCTCGACGTCGGACGCGTAGCTCTTCACAGCCTCCATGCCCGACATGACGATGTCGTTGAGGCCGACGCTGATCTCGCCTGCGGCGAGCAGACGCGCTTGGAGGCGCAGCCAGGAGCCGTCTTCGTCGGTCTCCGAGGCGACGATGGAGAGGCAGGGCATGGTGCAGGGAAGTGTGGAGTGAAGTGTAGTGAGGGAGAGAGGTAGAAGGTGCCGGCGGTGCGGACGAGCTGCTGGACGGTGGTGGGGCGGAGGCAAGCTGCAGGCGGTGCGAGCTGCGCCTTTGTACGCCAAGCAAAGTGCCGCTTCGGCTGCCCCAGCGCAATCATGGGCGGAGCCGGTCAGGGGCACAGAGTGGTGACCACAACACGCAGGCGTGGGAACGCTGCTTCGAGAGTGTGTTGCTCGCCTCGCCGAGCTCGGCACTGGCAAGCGGACATGCTGCTCGCTGCTGAGCAGCGTCAGCAGTAGAGTCGGCTGGGCGAGAAGCGACCTCGACGAGCACAGCTCTGACCCCGGATGGCCTCGAGGCCGCAGTGACGCACCTCGATCGCGTCGCGTCACCCCCTGAACCAGCACAGCGCGGCCTCCGCGGACCCCAAGCAAGCAGCTCGATGGCGTCTGCTGTTGCCCCAAGCTCTGGCAGAGCTGCGTCTCCGACGCATCGAGCGGCATCAGCATCGCAAGAGAGAGTGCGACAGGAGGGCTCGGCGTGCCATGCAACGCGCCACTTTACGCGCTACACCGCGTGTCCCGAAGCAGCGCGCCGGACGCCTGTCGCGCCTCATTCGCTGCTTTCGTGCGCGCGGCGCAGCAGCGAGGCCCGGACTACGCTCGCTGCGAGCTCTTAAGGACCAAGAGCACGGCTTACAGCCTGCTTCTCCTCCACCACCTCCACGCTTCCCAGTCCTTGCACCTCAAACCCTTCACCCGGCGCCTGTCACCTCCCGCTCCTCATCAGTTCCTCGTCAACGCCTCGTCAGCTCGCCAGCACACCACCGGTCACTGCTCGCCTATCCGCCTCGTCATCATCGTCGCACTCGGTCTTGCCACCGAGTACCCGCTCGTGAGTACTGCACATGCAACTGCACGAGACGCACCTTCGGCCTCCTCCGCGCTTTGCACAGCTGCGAGCGCGCTCACACCAGCTCCTCCAGGTCACGCACTTTCGACGCATACACTCGCTCGAAGATCACTCTCGTCATGTCTCAGAGCTCGTACGAGCCGCACGGCTCGGAGTGGTTCGACGAGACTTCCTTCGCCACGGACTCAAGCACGCCGAGGTTCGAAACCTCGTCGCGCCGCCGGCAGCGTCATGTGCGGCTTCATCGCGTCAGACGCTACTCTACAGCATCGTCCACAGCATCGCCCTCCTTCGTGTCGGCCGCTACCATGGTGACTCGGAAGCAGCAGGAGATCAGCAGCTTTGCGGCAGCGAACATGCCGTCTACGGCTCCATGGGCCCACTCGGGTGATCCTTCGACGTCAGCTGCGCTGAACAGCCTGGTCGTCGGCCGTGCGGATGAGCGAGGATTCGCTCTGCTACCCCTTCTGCCCTGTTTCTACGACGCGACGACACACTACCAGCCGCTGCCCTTCTATTCCAGGGCGCACTGGAGGCGCTGGTGCATCGAGCGCGTTTTGTACCTCTATCACTGCGTCGCCAGTCATCGTCTGCTCTGGAGCAGCCAGGATCGGGCCAGTGTGTTCGGTGCGATTAGTCTCTGTCTCCACGACATCGATCAGGGCTACGGGTTCCGCGACATGCGTGAGCTGGCGATGTCGGAATCTGCAAACCGAGCAATGCTGACTTGTCGTGATCAGTCGGCACCGAGATCCTCTTCCTCGAGTTCTGCGGAGAGCTTCTGTCGCAGCGCGTAGGGGGTCATTGGCGCGAGCTCCGTGCGCAGGTGGTCGGACAAGACATGATCGACTACAGCTCCTTTGCACTGGATCGCGCCGGGGCCGTGCCAGCCAGGGAGCCTCCGGCGCCTTGGGCAGACCAGCACCGCAGAGCAGCTCAGCTCTCGTCGAAGCGCCGCACCTTAGAGTACGTCGCGCGTGTAGCAGCAGGCGAAGGCGACGCGCACGAGCATGCGCAGACGAGCGCAGACGACGACGCTGCTGCGGCGCCTGCGACGATCCACCAGCAAAATGTGGACGAAATCTGGCGCCTCGCAGAATTCTTCGAGTGATGATTGGCGGCTACAAGAGCCCTCGAGCTACTCGTGAGTCATTCGGAGGCCGCACTCGCGGGTTACTCTCTGACTCTCCCGCCAGCTCGACTCCACCGCGCATCAAGAAGCGGCCTCGTCATCGTCGTTGTCTTCTTCATCCTCAACGTCATCAGCGCCGTCTCACAGCTACTTACTCTTCTCCCTTCATCCCGTGCATCCTCAACATTGTTGTCATCACAATTTCATGATCTCTCGCGTCCTCCTCACCGTTCATAGCAGGAGTGCGGCGTGACGGTGGTGGCAGGTACTGGCGGCGCGCGAGGTTGCTGAACGTCGGCGAAGCAGCTCCAGGATGCTCTCGCTGAGCGCCGCTTGTTGATTGTGTGTCAAACAGAGCGCCGCTTCGTGCGTTGCAGCCGGGATGGAATGGAAAGGCCGCAGCGAGCTCACACAGCTGTGAGAGCTTCATCGCATGGGCGAGGGCTGCAGATGGAGTGAGGGAAAGGAGAACCAACGTGCTCCACCTCTGTAGTATGGCTTCGAAACGTTCGGAGGTGGCATGACTGCAGGGCTTCGCTCAGTCTCAAAGCGTAGCTTCGCAGTCGCGAAACGCGCCACTTTACGCGCTATGCGTCGCGTCCTTATGGGACGTGCGCGGCCCGCTTCAAGAGAGTCGAGTGCGAGGCCGAGCTCCTCGCACCTTGCCTCCGATCCACCACCACCCAGCTCATACGGCCCGCGCGTTCTGCACTTCGCATCTCGCTCCTCTCGCTTGGCTGCGAGTGTCTCGCACTCGCCAGCCGCAGCTCATCGGCCGCGCCCCGAGCGCCGACTTCCCATCTGCACCTCATCAACACCTCGCTCGCACATGGCACGTCGTTGAGTGCGCATCATCAGCCGCACTCCGCCAACGCTCTTCCGCCACTGCCACTGCCGTCCTCCGCCAACGCTCTCCGGTCCCCGCCCTGCGTCCGCCGCTGCGCCTTTCCCATGTCTCGCTTTGCCGCTGCGGCTCGATCCGGCGCCGCACGCCGGCACGTCTCGTGAGTATCGCAAGCGCGAGCCGGACCTGCAAGCGCATCGATTCTCAAGCTTTCCCACGACCTGCCGAGTCTATGTCGGCGCTAACGCCCTTTTGCGCAGAGCTCGCTCTCTCGCTGCCCGCGTACGGCCCGCCGAACAGTCTTTGACGTCGTTCGGCTCCAACGACGGCCTCGACGTTACCGCGAATGGCTCATCGGAGGCATCGTCCGTTCCTCTTGGGCGCACCGAGAGCTTCGCAGTGCGAGTGGAGGCTTCGGTCGTCGCCATCGATGAAGGCACGCCCGCAATTCCGGCATTGGCCGAGCCAGGCCGCCCAAAGTGCAGTGCGTCAGATGGCCCGACACCCGACGAGCCTAGCCAAGGCAACAGCAGCGACAACGATGTTTGCGAGCTTTGCGGTGCGATGGCGCATCTCCACATGAACGACGAGATGGTGTGCACGCCAGCTCCTTTGCCGTCGCCGGTCACGCCTCTTCTCGTCGAGCGCAACGAGGCGGACGACGGCAGCCGTCGTGCTGCTGGCTCGCCTTCCACAGTGACTGGTGAACAAGGCACCACTGCTGCATCGGCTGGACTCGACGGCGATGGCGGTGCTACTTCTCCGTCTGCTGCAGCTGCTTCCCGCACTTCATTACCTCCGTCTTCCTCGAGCGAGCAACGAGGCCATGCGCCTTCATCTCCACTGCCCGAAGCCCAGCATCCTGCTGTCGAGCCCTCATTGGATCGCGCTTACATGGAAGCGCTGTCTGAGTATCCGCCGCCTGACGCGTGGGCAGCGATGCCTCCTTTGAGCGAAAGCTACCAGCCGTGGCTGCAGTGGGGAGACCGTCGCATTCGCCACATCCACCGCGTCGTCCTCGACTTGCGCGTTCTCATGACCCACCGGCTACGTGGCTTCCTGAGCAGCGCATTGTCCTCTGCCTTCACGGACCTGGATAGAGCCGAGAGTCCGCGTCGAATGAGTGAGTGCTCCTGGGGCAATGCGCGCCAGAAGTGTCGACCTCATACCCCTTCGTGCAGTCGCCGGCCAAAACATGTTCATCGGGCTCGTTGGCCAGATCCTCTCCTGCCATACCGGTGAAGGCTGGCGCGACGTGCGTGCGCGCATATTCGCGCTTGACTGCGTTGATTTCGCCGACCTTGGCCGCTGGCCAGACAGATTTGACTTTGCCGATCTTTACCATACGCCGCTGTTCACGATGCTGCCGCGGCCGTGGCCGGCGACGAGGCAGGAGCCTTGGAGCAGAGCTGGAGGCCTGACAGAGGACGAGGTGTGGCACTACGTCGGGCGCAATCGCGTAGAGGTGGTGCGCATGCGCGAGTTCGCTGAACGTGTCGAGCACGAGGCTGGCGTGTGGTTCCAAGAGATTGACTAGGGCCGAGTTCCGAACATCAACAGTGCGCTCGTCGACATCGACACTGCTCTGCGCCTTGCTTCCACACATCGTCGGCGCTGTCCTTCGTTTTCGTCGATCTTCACCTCCACTTCTCGTCACCGCTCCTGCTCCGTTCCTTCCTCCTGCTCAACCCTCCGTCTCTCTCAATCGTCTTCTCTTCCTCGTCATCGGCCCGCGTCGTCGCGCCAGCAAGGCGGAGAATAAGATCGACCCGCTCTAGCCGGCTGCATCAGTCACGCGCTCAGGGTTCTCGCCGTGACCGAGTACATCCTCGTCCGTGCTTCTCGTTCGCTCTCTCCTCTGCGTCCACTCGTCGAGCAGGTCACCCTTCTCCATCACGCTCAGCTCCTCCGCTCCACGCACACAATGTCACGCACCTGCATCTACCCAGCGCACGGCCACACCGGCGCCTATCTCTAGCTCTCTCGTCGCTTGTCCGCCTCAATCTGAATGCGTGCCTTCCCTGCGCCTGTGTGTCGTCTTCTCCAGATTCTGCAGTCCTTCAAGCCTTGTCCCGTGCTTCACGCCCACTTGTGCGAATCACATCATCTTCCATTCCAGCCGCCTGTGCCTGAGCAGCGCATCCCACGGCGGCCTCTACAGTCCCTCTCTAGTCCGAGTCGCCCTTGGCACGCACGCCGCTCATGTCGACAGTGCCACCCACGGGCTGTCTGTGCTGGCTCGCCTGGTCCAGGAGGCCAGTGTACCGGAGGCTACCACGGACGCACGTCAGTGCTGCTTTTGCTTCGCGGCGTCTTCATCTGCAAACTCACCGGTGCACAGCCGGTCGCTCGGCAGAGTCGAAGAACAGCCGGTCCTCGGCACGCTGACGCACGAGGTCAAGGTGACGGGCGTTGCGCTCCTTGAGCGCATCGACCGAGGGCCCGTAGTGCTCGAGGTAGCGCGTGATCAGCGGCGTCTCGCCGGCGTCGTCCGACTCGTTGCCGGGCGCCGAAAGACCGGAAGAAGAAGCGGGGGAAGGGTGTGCTTGGGAAGAGAGGTTGGAGAAGCGGTACTGCGCGCCCGTAAGACATCATCAGCAATCTGGAGACACCGTCTTCGCAGATAACCGACTCACGGCTGCGAAGCCACCGAGAAGCGCGAGGATGGTGTTGCGCCAGATGGGGCTCGAGAAGCCTAGAAGGAGCGGAACCAGAGTCAGCGTGACGGCCTCGGGAGAAGAGCGCCAGAGAGCGAGGAATGGCGAGGCCGAGACGCGAGGCCGGAGGAACACATGCACAGCCATGCTTTGAGATCGCACTGCAAGTCGTCTTCACAGAGTCCGACGCACGCTCCTCGTTTCCCTCTCCCTGCTCCGCCTTCTTGAGCGCAGGCCCACAGCCGGCTGGCAGCGTGGAGGGGACCGCGCTTGCCGCTTCCGTTCCCCACACTGTCGCCCACTCGCACAGACGCAGCACACCTGTCCGGAAGCTGCCCCCCCCCCCCCCGTGCCGGCATCGTTCTGCAGGCGCTGCAGCTGCGGCGACAGTTGCGCCAGGGCCATGCCTCGTGCTGATCGACTGCTTCGCGTCTGCCTGGCACAGCACGCGGCAATGCTCCGGCGCAGAGGGCGGTGCATCCCGGCCATCATCCCGCCCTTCGCCTGTCTGGGATCAGACAGCACGCGATGCCCGCGCGCGCATCCGCTTGCACGAGACGGCGCCGAGGAGAGGGCACGGGCGCGGCCGCTGCTCGCAGGCCGCCTCGCTTCTCCGTCTCTGTCCAGCGTGGCTGTCTCTGCGCGCCCTCGGCCCTTTGCTCCCTTTTGTCCACAGCGTCTGCGGCTCTATCGCCTCCCCGCCCGCGCGGCAGGCAAGCGCGCAGACTCACCTTCCTCGGTCGCCTCGTCGTGCGCGCCGCTCTCGGCATGGGCGCCCATGGCCGGGCGCGAGGCGTGCAGCGCGCGGCGCTGGGCGGGCGCGGCCGCCGGGCGCGTGACGAGCGCGCGCAGCGAGCGTGTGGGGAGCGACATGGCGGGCGAGGGTGTGGTGGAGGGAGCGCTGGGCCGCGGCGACGGACGATCGAGATCTCGGCGAGGCGCTCGAGCGCCGCTGCTGCTGCTGCCGCTGGCCGCCGCGCACCGACCGATCTACGGCTGGGCGCGCGCGTCACGTGCGCTGCCCGGGAAGCGGGGCAAGTCAGGCCTGGCCTGGGCCACGGCCGCGCGACACCGGCGGCGTGCCTGCGCCTGCGCCTCGCCGGCAGATCTTCCAGCGGCGGCCATGCCTCTCTCGCTCCTTCCCGCCGTCACCTCCATCTCTCTCCCAGCATGGCGTCCGGCCTCAAGGCGGCCTCGTACCATGCGCCGCCCGTGCGCTCGCCTGCGGGCGCAGACATCAACGTCATCCGCTGTCTCGACGCCTCCATCCATCTCGGCTTCCACCTCGCCTCTCACATCGCCGACGTGCTCGTCGAGCAGGTGCCCAGCAGCACCTACATCCTGCTGACCGACACGCGCCTTGCCACGCTGCATGCGCCCGCGCTGCTCGATGCGCTGCACGCCAAGCTGCGTGCCGCCAGCGGCGCCTCGCGCGTCCTCACGCGCGCCATCCCGCCGGGCGAGGGCAGCAAGAGCCGCGCGACAAAGGCCGAGCTGGAGGACTGGATGCTGGCGCAGGGCGTCACGCGCGACGCCGTCGTCATCGCCCTCGGCGGCGGCGTCGTCGGCGACCTCTGCGGCTTCGTCGCTGCCACGTTCATGCGCGGCGTGCGCTACGTGCAGGTGCCCACGACGCTGCTCGCCATGGTCGACAGCGCCGTCGGCGGCAAGACGGCCATCGACACGCCAAAGGGCAAGAATCTCATCGGCGCCTTCCACCAGCCGACGTTTGTCTTTGTCGACGCCGCGTACCTGCAGACGCTGCCTGAGCGCGAATTCAGCAACGGCATGGCCGAGGTGGTCAAGGTGGGTGCGAGCGTCAGGATTGGGCAGGTGCTGCATGTGCTGACGTGCTGCTCAGACGGCGGCCATCTGGGACGCCGCCGACTTCCACAAGCTCGAGTCGTCCGCGCCTGCGATCCGCTCCGCCGTTCTGGGCCCGTTCCCCGAGGGGCAAGCCGCCGACGCCGGGCGCGAGCTGGGCACGCGCAGCGAGGCGCAGACATTGCTGCTCGACGTGATCCGCGGCAGTGTCGGCGTCAAGGCGCACATCGTGACCATCGACGAGAAGGAAATGGGCCTGCGCAACCTCGTCAACTTTGGGCATTCGATCGGACACGCCATCGAGGCGGTGCTGACGCCGGACATGCTCCACGGCGAGTGCGTCAGCGTGGGCATGATCCTCGAGGCCGAGATCGCGCGCGGCATGGTCGGGCTCTCGCAAGTCTCCGTCGGCCGTCTCTCGCGCTGCCTGCAGCAGTACAACCTGCCCATCTCGCTCTCCGACGCGCGTATTGCACGCCTCCCGCGAGCAGACGGCCTGAGCGTCGAGCGTCTGCTCGACATCATGCGCGTCGACAAGAAGAATGCGGGCCACGAGAAGAAGATTGTGCTGCTCTCGCGCATCGGTGCCACCGCAGAGCAAAAGGCCAGCACGGTGCACGACAGCATCATCGAGCGCGTGCTCAGCGCCGGCGTGCGCGTCGTGCCGATTGCCCGTTCGCCGCCCAAGGCCAGCGCCACGCTGCAGCCCCCGGGCAGCAAGAGCATCTCCAACCGCGCCCTCGTGCTCGCCGCGCTTTCGAGCGGCACCTGCCGCGTGCGCAACCTGCTGCACTCCGACGACACGCAGGTCATGATGGCGGCGCTGCGCGACCTCAACGCCGCAGAGTTCGAGTGGGAGAACGAGGGCGAGACGGTCGTGGTGCGCGGCAACTCGGGCCGCATGAGCCCGCCGGCCAAGGGCAAGGAGATCTACCTGCAGAACGCAGGCACGGCGGCACGCTTCATGACGGGCGTCTGCTCGCTCGTCGCCGCCGACGCGGCCGACTCGCACGTCGTCGTCACGGGCAACGCGCGCATGAAGGAGCGCCCGATTGGCGCCCTCGTCGATGCGCTGCGCACCAACGGCACGAGCGTCGACTACCTCGGCTCGTCGGGCTGCCTGCCTCTGCGCATTGCCTCCGGCGGCCTCGCGGGCGGCCACATCCAGCTGAGCGCCAGCATCAGTTCGCAGTACGTCTCCTCCATCCTCCTCGTGGCGCCGTACGCACAGAAGGAAGTCACGCTCGAGCTCGTCGGCGGCGCCGTCATCTCGCAGCCGTACATCGACATGACGCTCGCCATGATGCGTGACTTTGGCATCGTTGCCGAGCGCCTCGTCGACGACGCAGGCAAGCCGAGAGATGCGTACCGCGTGCCGCAGGGCGTCTACCAGGCGCCGGAGACGTACGACGTCGAGAGCGATGCGAGCAGCGCCACGTACCCGCTCGCATTCGCGGCCATCATGGGCACTGAGGTCGTCGTGCCCAACATCGGCTCGGCAAGTCTGCAAGGCGATGCTCGCTTCGCTCGTGACGTGCTCAAGCCGATGGGCTGCGCCGTGGAGCAGGGTGCCTCGAGCACGACCGTGCGCGGCCCTGCCGTCGGCCAGCTGCGGCAGCTCGGCACAATCGACATGGAGCCCATGACGGATGCCTTCCTGACTGCGTCGGCGCTCTTCGCCGTCGCGGCGCCCGGCGTCAATGGCGAGACGTCGACGCGCATCACGGGCATTGCGAACCAGCGCGTCAAGGAGTGCAACCGCATCAAGGCTGTCATGGACGAGCTGGCCAAGTTCGCCGTGCGCACAATTGAGCACCCCGACGGCCTTGAGATCTTCGGCGTCGCGCCCGCGCAGCTGCGTGCGGACGCCAGTGTGCACTGCTACGACGACCACAGGGTCGCCATGGCGTTCAGCGTGCTTGCCGTGCTGGCGTCGGGCGGCTCGGGCGCCGTGATGGAGGAGGCGCGCTGCACGGCAAAGACTTGGCCCAGCTACTGGGACGACATCTCGCGCTCGCTCGGCATCGCCTTCGTCGGCGCCGACATTCCGATTGTCCGCCCGGCGGCGTCCACCAGCGCCAAGCTGAGCACCATCAGCGACAGTCTGACGCCCGTGCAGTACGCCCGCGATGCGAGCATCATCTGCATTGGCATGCGCGCCTCGGGCAAGACGTACCTGGGAGGCTTTGGCGCTGCGGCTTTGCGGCGGCCCTTCCTCGATGCGGACGTCATCTTCAACGAGCGCTTCGTGCTCAACGACTTTGTCGCCACGCACGGCTGGCCGGCATTCCGTGCCGCAGAGACGGAGATCCTCAAGGAGCTGCTTGCCAACAAGAGCACCGGCCACCTCATCTCGCTCGGCGGCGGCGTCATCGAGAGCGCCGAGAACCGCGCGCTGCTGCAGGAATACGCGCGATCGCGCGGCCCCGTCGTGTACGTGATGCGCGACGTCGAGGAGGTCGTCAAGTTCCTCGAGACGTCCGACCGGCCGGCGTTCGGCGAGCCGGTGCGCGACGTGCACAAGCGCAGAGTGCCGCTGCTCTACTCGTGCTCGAGCTACGAGCTGGTCAGCTACTCGGGCAGCTCGTTCGACGCCGATGCATTCGACGCCGAGACGGGCGCGGCCCTCTTCGATGCCAACGACTCGGCGCTTGGTGCGCCGCACCGCTCCTCGTCCATCCGTCCTGCGCATGGCCTCGAGGCAGAGGTGGCGCGCTACTTCCGCTTCATCGCCGGCGTCGAGACGAACCACGTGCCGGAGCTGGCCTCGGGACGCCCGACGTTCATGCTCTGCCTCACGTTCCCCGACGTCACGCCCGCACTGCCGCTCATGGAGCAGCTGACGTCCGGCGCCGACGTGATTGAGCTGCGCGTGGACCTGCTCGACCCCTCCGGCACCGCTCCCACCACGCCGCAAGTGCCGGCCTTCGACTACGTGGCCGTGCAGCTGGCGGCCCTGCGGCAGCGCACCAACCTGCCGATCATCTTCACCGTGCGCTCCAAGAGCCAGGGCGGCATGTTCCCGGACAACGCCGTCGAGGAGTACTTTGAGCTGCTCAAGCTGGGTCTCCGCCAGGGCTGCGAGTATCTCGACGTCGAGCTGCGCTACCCCGAGGAGCGGCTCGAGACGGTCCGCGCGCACCGAGGACACACGAAGCTCATTGCCTCGTGGCACGACTGGAGCGGCGCCTTGCGCTGGGACGCGGCGGACACGCTGGCCAAGTACGAGCTGGCCCTGCGGATAGGCGACGTCGTCAAGATCATCGGGCGCGCGGACAGCATGGCGGACAACGTGGCGCTGGAGCAGTTCCGCCTGCGCGTCGCCGCGCGCAGCGACGCCAAGCCGCTCATTGCGCTCAACATGGGCGTGGCGGGCCAGCTGAGCCGCGTGCTCAACTACACCATGTGTCCCGCCACACACGCCGCCATGCCGTTCCCCGCGGCTCCCGGGCAGCTCACCGTGGCGCAGCTGCACGCGGCGCGAGCCCTCGCCGGCGTCATCCCCGCGCAGCAGTACGCGCTCTTCGGCACGCCGATCAAGCACTCGCTCAGCCCGACGCTGCACAACACGGGCTTCAAGGAGCTCGGCCTGCCGCACCACTACGGCATCATCGAGGTCGACCACGTCAGCAGCGAGATCAAGGCGTTCATCCGGCAGCCCAACTTCGGCGGCGCGAGCGTAACGATCCCGCTGAGTGCGTCGGGTTACACGCTCCTCTGCATGCCACTGCTGACACCTCTCTGCAGAGCTTGACATCATGGCCGAGCTGGACAGCATCACGCCTCACGCGCGCGCCATCGGCGCCGTCAACACGATTGTGCCTCGGCGCGCCGGCGCCGGCCCCGCGCTGCTGGAGGGCGACAACACGGACTGGATCGCCATCACCGAGTGCTCGCGGCGCAACCTTTCGCCGCTGGCCCTCTCTTCGCCCGCGTTCACCGCGCTCGTCATCGGCGCCGGCGGCTCGGCTCGCGCGGCCATATACGCCATGCACAAGCTGGGCGCGCGGCGCATCTTCCTCTTCAATCGCACCAAGGCCAACGCCGACAAGCTGGCGGGCGAGGTGCCGGCCGAGTGGCACGTCGAGGTCGTCGCGAGCCTCGAGAGCCTGCCGTCGCAGCCCAGCGCAGTCGTCAGCAACGTGCCGGCAGACGGCACGAGCCTGGACGCGAGCAGCGGCGCAGGTGTCATCCTCCCTGCGTCCATCCTGAACAATGCAGAGGGCGGCGTGGCGATCGACATGTCCTGTGCGTATGCTCCCCCCGCTCTCCTCGTTGCCGCACTCTCATCTCCGTCTCTCTCGCAGACAAGCCCTCGCACACGCCGCTCATGGAGCTGGTGGAGCGCACCAACGCCGCCGCCTCGGCCAAGGCCGACCGGCACAACCTGCGTCAGGGCCGGCTGTGGACGGGCGTGCCGGGCCTCACGATTCTCCTCGAGCAGGGCTGCCACCAGTTCCTGCGCTGGACGGGCCGCCAGGCGCCGCGTGCGGAGATTGAGCGTGTCGCCTGGCAGCGCTACCGCGCCCAGTGAGGCGGCGTCTGTAAGCGCAGCGCCTCGGCGAGAGGTGGGAAAAGCAAATAGAACGTCTATGAGCGCACCGGGGTTGGTTGAGGGCGAGAGCGCGATGCGGACCTGACTCTGTCCGAGTCGGGGCTCACTGACGTGCGGTGTGCCATCAGACTTGTGCGGCCTGTCCCCCTCCTGCTCCACGACAGGCAGACTTTCGCCTCTGCCTTCGCTCGTCGAGCTGCGAGTCTGATGCTGTTGCTGCAGTAGTGAGGGAGCATCGGGCGCGGCGCCGCGCCGTGATTGGCGCGGCGCGGCGGGCGCACGTGACCACTGACCAATCCGCCCCCGCCAGCTGCCGCTCGCCGCCGCCGCGCTCGTCGGCGGCGCCACGCCCACGCCGCTCCCAGGCTACGCTCTCGTCCCGTCGCCGATCTCCCTCACCCCCGCGCCGCCGCCCTCCTTCTCCTCTCGCGCCGCTGCCGCTCCTCGCTGCGCGCCTCTCCACCACTCAGCCTCCTTCGCCGCTCCGCACTCGCTGCCGCCATGTCGGCGCCTCGCACCATGTCGCTGCTGAGCCGCTCCGGTGCGCACGCCCGGCTTCGCACGGCCACCTCACTGCCGCTCACCTCGCGCTGCACCACAGCGCTGCGTGCGCCGCTCGCACCGCAGGCACGCGCCCTGCGCACCCTCGCTGCGCCGCCGGCGCCGCGCAAGCAGCAGCAGCACGTCGCCGCGGCGGCCGCACCGCAGCTGCCCGAGCTGGCCCGCGCGTTCGCCACGAGCAGCGCGCGCGAGCAGGCCGCGCCCTCGGAGCAGCCGCTGCCCATGACGACGCTTGGCAATGCCAACTCGAACCAGCTGGCACTCGAGACGCCGCGCAACAGCGTCGGTGAGTCGGCCCCCTTTGAACCCAGAGTACAGCGTGCAGACTGGACCTGGTGCTTATGCACCTCGCAGAGTACGTCACCACGACGCTCGACAAGATGGTGAACTGGGCGCGCCAGGGCAGCATGTGGCCCATGACGTTCGGCCTGGCCTGCTGCGCCGTCGAGATGATGCACGTCGCCACGGCGCGCTACGACCAGGACCGTCTCGGCGTCGTGTTCCGCGCCAGCCCGCGCCAGAGCGATGTCATGATTGTGGCGGGCACGCTGACGAACAAGATGTGAGTGCGGCGCTTGGGCGACTCGAAGCAGACGACTAGGAGGGTGACAGAAGGGGGCACGTGTGATGAAGTGGAGCATGACAGGAGCGCGTGCGCTGGAGGTTGCCAGGCTTGCATGCGGTATTTGCGCAATTGGCGGAGAATCGTCCGGACCGAGAGCGCTTGCGGTCCGTCTGGCGCAGCTTGTAGCTCTCTGCACGTCGTGTCGGACGCGAGCCTATTCTCGCATCGCGTGTTGCTGCAGCCCTAGGGCGGGAGCATCATGATATGCGGTGCAAGCAGGAGAGCGTGGCGATGCGCCAGGCGCAGTGCGATGCCTTGCCGAGTCGAGTCTCGCGCGGACCATCTTCGACGACGCCACTGACGCTTGCTCGTAATCGCAGGGCGCCGGCGCTTCGCAAGGTGTACGACCAGGTGAGTCTAATGCCTTCGAGCTGTGCAAGAGCCTCGATGCTGACGCACACTTCCTCGCAGATGCCTGAGCCACGGTCCGTTTCCGCCAGCGCACCAATGCCGTAGACACGTCGGCTCACAGTGATTTTCCTGCAGATGGGTGATCAGCATGGGCAGCTGCGCCAACGGCGGTGGCTACTAGTGAGCAGCTTGCGTGGTGCTGCCTCGCTTCTCCCGCATGCTGACACATGCCGCTCCGCAGCCACTACTCCTACTCGGTCGTGCGCGGCTGCGACCGCATCGTGCCCGTCGACCTGTACGTGCCCGGCTGCCCGCCGACGGCCGAGGCGCTCATGCACGGCATGCTCTGCCTCATGCGCAAGATGCGCCGCGGCCGCAAGGTCACGCGCTGGTACCGCTCCGTCTGAGGTGCTTTGCCGTCCCCCAGCCTTGTCTCCGCTCGTTGTGCAATACAGTCGTGTTCCGCTGCGAAACGTCTGGCGAGCGGAGAGACTGCGTCCTCTGCCTGCTCCTGGTCGCTCCCCGTCGCATGCGGGCGCTCGCCTGTCGCCCTTCCCATCAATCACACGCGCACAGCTGCCGATCCAAAATAGTTGCTGACAAGGTGGCGCAGGGGTCAAGTATTCGCTACAGGGGGGTAAAGATGGACGAAGCTCCGGGCTGGTGGGCGAATGCGTGTGTCGTCAGAGCGCATGAGAGAGAAGGGGGGAAGCGGCGTGGGGGCGAGGACGATGCGTGAGAGCGGCGCACTGGGACGCGCCGAGTGCGATTCGTCTTGCCGCAGGCGGCTGGATGAGAAGAGAGATGGTCGGAGTCGGGAAGTGCTGGCACGGATGCGGCGGCGGCGCTGTGGTGGGCGCGCACGCTCGCAGAGGTGCGAGGATGGGTCGTCAAGGGATCGTGTGTGACGGAGCGGGGCCCGTCAGAGAGAGGCATTAGGGGCGTCGCGGAGAAGGAGAGAAAGGATGCAGGTGTGCGTGGTGCGTGTGTGTGTGTGTGGTGTCCGGGTTGCATGTGAGGAGAGGAGGCCACGTCGGGCAGTCCAGGAGAAGAGAGAAAGGAGTCGAGAAGGAAGCGGCGCCCTCACAGAGGGCGCACGCGGCCGCGCTGCTGCCAGGCCGAGTGCACCCAGGGGTGGTCGCGCACCTGGGCGATGGTGGCGCGGCGGTCGGGGTCGACCTCGAGGCAGCCGCGCAGCAGGTTGAGGGCGTCGTTGGTCCAGGCGCCCTTGGGCTTGCTGATCTTGCCGCGGATCGCCGCCGTGGGGTCGGCAAAGGGGCACTCGCCGCTGAGCAGGATGCTGAGCAGCACGCCGAGCGACCACACCTCGGCGTGCGGCGCACGGTACGGCTTGCCCTGCAGAATCTCGCTCGAGGCAAACGTCATGGTGCCGAAAAAGCGGTTGAAGTACGGCGACGGCTTGCGCGGGTCCGAAATGACGGCCGAGCCAAAGTCGATGAGCTTGACGTTGAAGTCGGCGTCGACGACGCAGTTCTCGTCCTTGATGTCGCGGTGCGTGATGCCAAGGCGGTCGAGGTGGAAGACGGCCTCGACGACCTGCGCAAAGACCCAGCGTGCCTTGTCCTCGGGCAGGCGCGAGTGCTGCTCGATGCACTCGAACAGGTCGCACGACGAGCGACGCTCCATCGGCGCCGGGCGCAGTGCCGCCGTAGGCTTGGGTGCGGCCGGCTCGCTCAGCGAGCTGGCGCTCTCCATGAGCGTGTCGGCGGGCGCCGGCGTCAGGCTGCCCGGCGGGAAGACGGCAAACGACGGCGAGGCCAGCGGCTGCGAGGCGTTGGGCGTCGACTTGGAGAGCTGCATCGGCGCCGACGTGGGCATGCCGGCCGGCGCAGCGAGCTGCGACGAGGCCTTGGGCGTGGCGTTGGCCTTGGGCGTCGGCGTGTCGTCGCTGCCCGGCGCCTTCCACGGCGTGCCGTGCAGCTCCATGACGAGGTAGAAGAACTCGTCGTCGTCGAAGAGGTCGACGAACTTGACGACGCCCGGGTGGTCGACGACCTTGAGCACGAAGGCCTCCATGGGCACGACGCCGAGCGTCGGGTCGCGCACCCAGCCGTGCGTCGGCACCTTGTCCTTCCAGATGAACTTGACCGCCACAGGCAGGCCGTCGGCGTTGCGCGTCGCGCTCACGACGAAGCCGAAGCCGCCGCTGCCGAGCTCGTCGCCAAAGGTGTAGGCAGCAGCGAAGCCCGGGTGCAGCGTGCGGTGTGCCAGGTGCTTGGCCGAGACGGTCATGGCGTGCGCCGGCGCCGAGGCCGACTTCTCCATCATGGGCGCCGCGAGACGAGCAGCCGCAGCGACGGGAATCGGCTGCGAGCACGGCAGCTCAGCCTCGACTTGCGACGTGGTGCGTGGCGAGGCCATCGGCGAGCGCTGCTGCTGCTGCGGCTTGGATGCCTCGTCGCGCAGCGGGTACGGCGACGGCTTGATCTTGGCCACCTTTGGCCGCGAGGCGCTGAGCGAGCGGGCGAGGCCGCTGCTGCCGAGCACGCTGCTGCGCTTCTTGGGCACGGCGCTGCTGTTGCTGCCGCTGGCCGAGCCGGCACTGCTGACGCGGCGGTCGGCGATCGGCAGCTCCGTGACGGGCGAGTCCTGCTCGGCGTCGGAGAGGCTGCGCGGCGCACCGAGCGGCGAGTAAGGCGGCGTAAGGAGCGTGGCCGACGACGAGGCAGACGACAGCAGGTTGCTGCTGCGCGCCGAGTCGACCGACGACGACGTGGCGGCGCTGCTGGAGCCGTCGCGCTGCATGCTCACGGCCGCGGCGAACTCGGAGGAGAGCGGCGACATGCCGACGGAGCCGTTGCGCTGCAGCGACGGCCGCGAGGCCGGCGAGCGGATCGGCGTGATGGACGGCAGGCTGGCGCGCTTCTGCTGCGACGGCACGGGCGACGTGCGCCGTGGTGCGGTGGACGAGGCCGTGACGCCCTCGGGGAAGAAGGACTGCGAGGCATCGGTGCCGGCGGCCTGGCAGAGCGGCGTCGGAGGCTCGAAGGGGCTGACCGGAACACCGCCGTGTGCGGCACCGTCGCGAGCACCGGCGAAGGCGCTGCCGCCGGGCGTTTGCGGCATGTTTGGCCGGAAGAAGGCAGACGACGAGGCCGACTTGCCGAGCGACGGCAGGCTGATCTTGAGACGGCCGGCCGAGCCGGGAGCCTGTGGCCGGTTGGCGCGGCGCATCGCCGGCGTTGCGGGTGCTTGCGTGTCGGCGCTGCTGCCCTCCTCGCTGATGCCGTTGAGCTGCGGCTCCTGCTGGACGCTCGGTGCCGTCGGTGCGGCGGTGAGGTGCAGACCGAGGCTCTGGCTGAGCGACTGGCGCTGCTGCGAGAGGTGCAGCGGCGCCTCATCGCTGCCGCGGCGCGACTGCAGGCCCGGGTAGTTGGCGGCGTCGGGCGAGGCGGTGAGGTCGTGGTGTGCGGCGAGCGAGTCGGGCGAGCGCGTGACGCCCTTGGACCAGCGGGCTACGGCGCCAGCGCCAGCGCTGGGGAACGAGTAGCGCGGCATGGAGCCGTCGTCGTGGTGCGGCGGCAAGCCGCCGAGTGCGTGGTGCGAGGGCTTGATGGGCGTGCGCAGCTCGAAGCTTGTTGTTGAGCCAAGCGACTGCGAGAGCTCGGGCATCGAGGCGTCGGCGTCCGTGTCGCCGCCGTCGAGCGTCGAGGCCGAGACGGTGGATGCAAGCGAGCCGCTGGAGAGCGAGGGCATCATGCCCATGCTGAGGCCCATGCCCATGCGCGACGAGAGTGACGAGCGCGCGTCGGCGCCGAGCTGGCTGCTGCTGGCGCCGACCTTGCGGCTTGTGGAGCTGCTGCGCGACTGCGGCGGCGTGCCGTTGTCCTCGAGGCCGCTCATCTCGTCGCAATCCATGCCCATCGAGTCGGAGTCCTGCGAGCCCCACGAGCCGCCGGTGTGCTGGCCGCGCAGGGCATAGTGCTGCTGCGACGGCGCGCTGCCCTTGAGCTGCGTCGGCGACGGCAGCTGGTAGGCCATGTTCTCAAGATGCGACGGCTGCAGTGCTTGCGAGTCGGCCGTCATGAGGAACGAGTCCGTCGAGGAGAGCGGGAGAGCTGCCGACATGGCGAGGCGCGAGGGCTACGGCGCAGGCGCGTGCCGGGAACGGAGACGCAGCTGGGCGTAAGAGTGAAAGCGATGCTCCTGTGGCTGCGAGTCAGCATGGTGCGAAGTGGCTGGGAGCGGGCAGCGGGTGCTGGCCGAGCTGGCAGGAGAGATGCGAGCTTGGGCCGCGCTCGGGCCGCGCGGCGGGCGGCACTCATCACCTCGGCGTCTCTGCCGCAGAGTGGCCCTCGGCCACATATAGTGGCCGGCGGTGCGTGCGAGAGTGCCCGCTGCTGCTGCTCGGGCCGCCCGCCGAGTGTGCCGCGCTTCGGCCAAGTGCTCACCAGGGTGTAGATGGCTGGGAGTGCAGGTGCAGGAGGGTGCGGCTCAGCGAGCGAGAGAGAGAGGCGCGGCGAGCAGGAGCGTGCGCGCGAAGGTGTGCTTGGGCCAGGACGCAGTAGGATGGAGCGAGACGCAGTGCAGAGCGAGGAGGAGAAGGAGGAGGAGGCGGAGTGGCTCGCCGCTGGCCGGCGCTGCCTACCTTTTGTTCGTGCTCGAGCGGCCCAGGAGGCAGCGATGCGGCCATGGCACGGCCTTGCGAGGGGCAGCGGACGCAACGGCGCGGGGAGGCGAGGCGCGCCGGGCACAGCGCCAGTGTGGCGCGGACACTGGCGCAGCGCCCGGCACATCGCGCCTTGCCGCCAGGGTCTGCGGCTTGCTGTGCGGCGTGCAGCGCTCTCAATCAGAAGCACGCCGGGCGCAGCGCCCGTGTCTCGCCGCCGCCGCGCCACCGCCTTCGCACGCGCGCGCTCAGGGGGCGCACGGCTGCGGCGGCGGGCGGTGCGGCGAGCTGCTGCCATGCGGCACTGCGCATCATTCCCGCGCACTTGCAGGCATGCGCGCCGCTCGCTCCGCCGCCCTCTCCTGGGCTGCTGCACGCGGCCCGGCGGCGCACGGCGAGACAGGCACGGCGACAGTCGACTCCGCCCGCGTGCAGCGAGGTGCAGCTCGCACCAGCACAGCGAGCGCAACACACAGACGCGCCGCAACGCGCACCTTCGCACCTCGCACCGCTCGCTCTCGCCGGCGCTGCACGCGCTGCATGCATCACAGATCGAGCACAGCAAGCCGCAGCGCCCAGCGCTTCGGGCAAGGCACAGCGCAGAGCATGCGGTGTTCTGCGGCTGCGAGAGGGCGAGTGCGCGACGCAAGGCGTGCCGCGTGCCGGCGCCCGACGGCGCGGGCGGAGCGCAGCGGCAGCGGCAGCTCGCTCGAGAGAGCACAGCGCTGCGAGCCGAACTGCTCCCGCTCGCTCGCCTTGCCACAGCTCAGTGGCAGCTCGAGTCGCAGGAGCTCCGTTCTCGAGCGCAGCGCACCCCCTGGCCAGGCGAGACCAACACCGTCGGAGCGGCCGGCGCAGCGTCATCCGCATCGCAGCATGGCCCCATCGAGCGCCTCCTCGAACGCAAACGGAGGCCGTCCCTGACGCTGCCTGCTGCCTGCGCGCTGCGACGGTCCAGCTCGGCGCATTCGTTGTTCGCAAACGGCAGGTCGCGCTGCACACGCCCTGCAGAGGTGCAGCACAGCGCAGGCCCATCACGCTGCGTTGCAGCTCCGGCTGCATCTGGCACTATGACTTGTCATGGGGCACGCTCGGGCACGGCGCCTGCCGCTCCTGGCTGCTTGCCCGCCGCTGCGGCTGCCTGCAGCGGCCGGCTCGCGTGGCGGACGCGGTGCAAAGGCGCACGCTACGCCCGTCGGCGGCGCCGTCCGCTCGCGCAAGGCAAGGCATGCAGCGGCGCGCGCGCGAACGCATCGCAGCGCCATCGTCGATCTGCGGCGTCTCGTGCTCGGCGCCTCCGTGCAAGCCGCAGCAGCGATCGCCAGAGAGGGAGGGACACCAAATTCTGTGCAGAGTGCGGCGTTTTGCCCCGTGCTCGGAGCGCCGAATCTCTCTCGGGCTGCTCTCATGTGGCACTGCGTCACCTGGCACGCACGGAGCAGCGCAAGAGGGGGGGCCAGGAAGAAGGAGGCGCTGCGGACAAGGAGGCCGAGCCGGCTCACGCGCGCTCCGGAGGCGCAGGCGGCGCCCGGGCATTTCGCGCGATGCGTGCGCGTTTCTCTCATGCGTCGCTTCTTCCCGAGCACGAGCGCACGGCCGGACGCCCTTTCTCCTCGTCTCCTGGCCGAAGCAGATCCTGGCCGAAGGAGCATCAGCGTGAGCAGGGCGGCCGAAGCTTCGCAAGTGTGCATTGCGCCAGAGACACGCTTCGCTCCGGGTACCGGACCGTCCAGGAGGCGTGCGCGTGCCCGTGGGCCAGGTGTGCTTCTGCTGACCCTGCTGCACTGTGGCACCATAGGCGCCAGAGGGACCGTCCACGGCCCAACGCTGCGAGGTCCGGAGCCGGTGCTCCTCGCTTGCTGCAGCCGGCGGATGGAGGCAGCCTTCTGAGCTTGCATCCGGCGAGGAGCGCGGCAGAAGGGCCTTTGCACTGCTGTGAGGCGCTGATCGCCTCGGAAGCAGCTGCGCCTCGCTCGTCGCCGAGTCATAGCGCGCGGCACACCTGCTTAGCACGCAGCCTTGCAGACTGCATCTTCCAGTACCCAGCAGAGCAGCAGCGCAGGCAGAGCACAGCGACGGGATCAGCAGCTGATGCAGCATGCAGCTGCAGCGAGAGCATGCGCAGAGACGTGCTAAGATCAACGGCCGGCGTGCTTCCGCGGACGCACGCCAGCATCACGGCGCCGCGTGCGTGCTTGCTGGCCTCGACCGCATGCTCTGACCAGCGCAGGTCGGATCTCGAGCTCTGCTATCAGCGGCCTTCGATGCCTTCTGACGCTGAGATCGAGGCGACATGGAGAAATCTCGGCGCTGCGGAGACTTCGATGGCGCCTGTGGCGATTTTGATGCTGCGACCTCCTGCGGATGGTCTGACTCCGACGCTGCTGCCAGCGCCAGCAGCCGAGCTGCGGCCGCCACCAAGGCGACGACGTGCAGCCTCCAGCGCCGCAGAGCGCAGCTTTGCCCGAGCGCCGACGCCGAGCGCCGAGGCGCCGATGCCGCTTTCTCCGTGTCAGCACACGCCGCTGTCCTGTCCGCCCATCCGACGCTTCCCACGAGGCATACGCCGCGAGCATGCTGAAAGGCGCGAGCGAGGGCGGCCTCGGCCTACGGCTCGTCGGCT